GCACACTTATTTGTATTTATGTTAAGTTAAAAAGTACAAACTTTTGCCTTCATATGTTACGAGTCAAATCAACTTCTTAGCTAGTTGGATTTAGTTGGGAAACTTAGCCGGATAAGTTATTTTTTTTACAAAAACTAAGCCGAATAGTAAGCAAGATTACGAAGTAATTCTAGATTTTGGGATGTTAAACCGTTTGGAGATATCAAATCATGAAAGCATACTACAATTAAGCTATTTAATATTCTTTTCTAATCAAACGAATACAAATGTTTAAACCGCGATAATCGAGTTTGTTTGTTTTTTGTAATATAATGCGAGTGAGTCACGCGCATAAGAGAACCTTAAAGTGACAGGCTGTCACGCAAATAGAAACAACTGTGGAAACCATTAATATTCAGTTATTCACGGACTCGAAACAAAGAAGGCCACTTGCACTTGGAAGCTCGACAAAATTTACCATTTGATAAACAATACGCCACCGTCACGGGTCACTACCAAACACTCTCCCTTATTGGGATCTATGATTCCTTCTTTTTTTCTCCTAAGAAAAATCGATCGTAAATTGGTGTTTAAATTACATTACTTGAAAAAGAAAAAGAAAAAAAAGCATAAGTCAAGTTGATATATGGGGTCGCCTGAAACATTGTATTCTCAAAAGATTATATACGTACATTTAACTGAATACCAGAGAAGGTACAATTATACGTTAAGACAAAAGAGAGAGAACAAAAAAACGAAACAATTTTATACGTTGAATATTCTACGTGCACTGACGTATAAAGCTAAAAGTTAAAAGTTAAAACGCACTCGCATGCTACTAGATTCGTTTATTTTGAAACCTATTTTAAGTAAAAAAAAATTAACAAACATGAAAAACAAAAGTATAAATCCTAACACTATCCACATTACAGAGTTGATACAGACCGTATGGTCCGTATCATTATTTGTTTCCTCGAAGACAGTATCGTAATCTCAACTATAATAGGTGAGAAAAGAAAAATCAATTATACAATCCTCGATTATTTTTAAAACCTTTATTAATTTATACAAACCACAGATTCTTCAGTGAGCGTAGTAGCTTGCAAGTATATATAAATCCTCGATTTATCACTCAACCCAAAAAAAAAGTATCCCAAGAATCAAAACACAACACAATGGGCTCTTCTTCTCCATTAACAAGGCGAAGCAGAGAACCACACTCTTTAGCCTCTGTTTTTATTGTCTTCCTCTGTTTCGTTCTCTGTTTCGCATATTCATCAAACGCTCAATCCTCGCCGGTTTTCGCCTGCGACGTCGCCGGAAACCCATCTCTCGCCGCTTATGGATTCTGCAACACCGTTTTGAAGATCGAAAACCGAGTCGCTGATCTGGTCGGAAGACTAACGTTGCAGGAAAAGATCGGGTTTTTAGTGAGCAAAGCTAACGGCGTGACTCGTCTTGGGATTCCGACGTATGAATGGTGGTCAGAAGCACTTCACGGCGTTTCTTACGTCGGCCCTGGCACGCATTTTTCCGGCCAAGTTCCCGGCGCAACCAGCTTCCCTCAGGTCATACTCACGGCCGCTTCTTTCAACGTGTCTCTGTTTCATGCCATTGGCAAGGTAACTAAATTTATTTATCCATTTTTTTCAACTTTTAAAAAAAAAATCATCTCTATTAATTTTATTTTAGTCCTTTGCTTTTGTTTCTCTTTTTGGATAATGAAAATATCTCAGTTATTTAGCAACTGGGCCTCTCTTAAATTCTCTTCCGTTTGGTACAAGTAAACACTTTTCAGCACGCTTCACGACGTCGTTTTCGTACTTTTTTCAGCCAATACTGAAATTTCCAACATTTAATTGTTTTCTGTGCCCATGTTACTTGTCATTGTTCAGTTTTGATACATTTTTTCCTATGAATTTTTCGATAAATCGTTTCTTTTGGACCTGATTGGACACGCATAGTTCGTCTTTAATGATTGTTGTTGTTTGTTATAGGTTGTATCGACGGAAGCGAGGGCAATGTACAACGTTGGACTAGCCGGACTAACGTATTGGTCACCGAATGTTAACATATTCCGAGATCCGAGATGGGGAAGAGGACAAGAGACTCCCGGAGAAGATCCGTTGCTCTCTAGCAAGTACGCTTCAGGTTACGTAAAGGGTCTTCAAGAGACTGACGATGGCGCCGATGCTAACCGCCTCAAAGTCGCCGCCTGCTGCAAACACTACACCGCTTATGACGTCGATAACTGGAAAGGCGTAGAACGTTACAATTTCAACGCCGTGGTAAAAACTCAAAACCGCAAATTTAGTGACAAAGAAAAAAAAATGCATTTTCAATATTTTGTACTAATTGAAGTATTGAACACTTAAGAGTTTGGTTACAATTTTGGTTTATTTGGTTAATCCGGTTGTACTAAATTCGGATTTGGCTCATTTTTGGTAGGGTCTGTTTTATTGGTTGGATCAAATACATTTTTCAGTGTTTTAACGAACTATTTGTTGTGTGTTTTTGTTTGTTGGAGTAGGTGACTCAGCAGGATATGGATGACACGTATCAACCACCGTTCAAGAGTTGTGTAATCGATGGGAATGTGGCGAGTGTCATGTGTTCTTACAATCAAGTCAACGGTAAACCGACATGCGCCGATCCGGATCTCCTCTCCGGTGTTATCCGCGGCGAATGGAAGTTAAACGGGTACATTGTGTCAGACTGTGATTCGGTAGATGTCTTGTACAAGAACCAACACTACACCAAGACTCCAGCGGAAGCTGCAGCTATATCCATCAATGCCGGTTTGGATTTGAACTGTGGTTCGTTCTTGGGTCAGCATACAGAGGACGCGGTTAAGGCCGGTTTGGTAAACGTCTCGGCTATCGACAACGCGATTTCGAACAACTTTGTGACTCTCATGCGTTTGGGATTCTTCGACGGAGATCCGAAGAGGCAGATCTACGGCGGGTTAGGTCCTAAAGACGTCTGCACGCCGGCGAATCAAGAGCTGGCCGCGGAAGCGGCGAGGCAAGGCATTGTCCTGCTTAAAAACACCGGATGCTTACCGCTTTCTCCGGTAGCGATCAAATCGCTGGCCGTGATTGGACCAAACGCGAACGTCACCAAAACGATGATCGGTAATTACGAAGGCACGCCGTGCAAATACACAACGCCGCTTCAAGGATTAGCCGGGACGGTATCGACGACTTATCTACCGGGCTGCTCCAATGTGGCTTGCGCGGTGGCGGATGTAGACGCAGCCACGAAGCTAGCGGCGGCTGCGGATGCGACTGTCCTCGTGATCGGTGCTGATCAATCGATTGAAGCAGAGAGCCGCGACAGAGTCGACCTGAATCTTCCCGGGAAGCAGCAAGAGCTCGTGACTCAAGTGGCTAAAGCTGCGAAAGGACCGGTCTTTCTCGTTATCATGTCCGGTGGAGGTTTCGACATTACGTTCGCTAAGAACGATGCGAAGATCGCCGGAATTTTGTGGGTTGGTTATCCCGGAGAAGCCGGCGGCATCGCCATCGCTGACGTCATATTTGGCCGTTATAATCCAAGTAAGAAGGAAGACTCTGTTTTCGTAATTGCAAGTTGGTTAGCTTAAACCGGTTGATAACCGGGTGAATTTTTGTTTTGTAGGTGGAAGATTGCCGATGACTTGGTATCCGCAATCGTACGTGGAGAAAGTTCCGATGACGAATATGAACATGAGACCCGACACATCAAACGGGTATCCGGGTCGGAGTTACCGGTTCTACACCGGAGAAACCGTTTACGCCTTCGGGGATGGACTCAGCTACACAAAATGTAGTCACAGCTTAGTCAAAGCTCCACGGCTCCTGTCTCTCCGTCTCGAAGAGAATCACGTTTGCCGATCAACGGAATGCCAATCGCTGGACGCGATCGGACCGCACTGCGAGAACGCTGTCTCCGGCGGCGGAGGTGGACCGGCGTTTGAGGTTCAGGTGAAGGTGATAAACGACGGAGATAGAGAAGGGATTCACACGGTTTTCTTATTCACGACGCCGCCGGCGGTTCACGGATCGCCGAGGAAGCATCTTTTGGGATTCGAGAAGATTCGGTTGGGGAAGAAGGAGGAAGCGGTGGTTACGTTTAAGGTTGAGATCTGTAAAGATCTGAGTGTTGTTGATGAGGTCGGGAAGAGGAAGATTGCGTTGGGGAAGCATCTTCTCCATGTGGGCGATTTGAAACATTCCTTGAGCATTAGGATCTGATGCCAATGGATTCTAATTTTTTTTAGTCAAAAAGAAAAATTATAAATATGCTTAAAGCTTATGCAAGTTGGGGAAAAAGAATGAATAAAAAGAAAATTGCGCGAATCTCTTAATTTTCAAATTGTTTTAGGTAACTAAAATCAAAATTATAATCTCTGCCAGATTTGGGTTCAGGTAGTTTAGATATTTATGTTAGTTGCAAGTAATTTCGAATATATTTCCTGTAATCTAATGATAATTTTGATTTTTTTAGTTTATTCCCGGATCATTATCTCAATATCAAAAGATTCGAATATTTGGGTTAAATACGGTTATGGTCGGGTGATTCAGCTACCTACCGTAATTCAGGAATATCATCACCGGTTAATATCGGTTATCGTCGGTTGGATTTGAAATTAGTTTCACCTCGTTATTCACGTTTTCCTTTTTTTCAGAAACTGTTAAAACTCTCTCCGGCACACACACAAAAGAAACCTAAAGAGCTTCGAAAGAAAAAGATTTTGCGAAAACACATTCTTTAATGAAAAAAGAGCAGACAGGACGGAAATTCGCTTTTCTGAATCCACTCGGGTATTGTTTCCTCCGTCGAATTCGCATGAACACTTGATCAAAAAGGTCTGATTTTTCTCTTCTCCCTTTTTTTTGTTCCTCTGTTTTTTTTTTCCAGTTTGGTTACAACTGGGTGAAGAATTGGCGAGGGGTTTTGTCTGATTCTGGTGCTGAATTTTTCAGACAGCGTGGAAGTGGACGACAGTGTGGACAATTTTTTTGTTTTGGTAAGAAGAGATGGCGCATAACTTGTACGTGGTTCCGGATGATGCTTCGGCGATTGTGACGGTGAAGAAGAAGACGCCTCAATCGTCGCGGAATTGGGTTTCAATAGACGCGACGGGACAGAGTACGGCGCTCGACGCCGATAAGTATTTTATCATGCACCGTGTCCAGATCCACGCTCGCGATCTCCGTATTCTCGACCCCAATCTGTCTTACCCTTCCACTATTCTTGGCCGAGAGAGAGCCATTGTCCTCAATTTGGAGGTATGGATTCTCGGTTTTTCACTCTTCAAGCAATTCTGGTCTCTGCTTTGTCTTTTTCTTATTTTTCTCAGTTTTTTGATGATTTTTGCTTCGACGGTCGGCTTTTGCAGCATATCAAGGCGATAATCACTTCCGAAGAGGTTAGTTTTCTCTTTGATTCCTTAGATTTGTAGGGTTTTTCCAGTAGATAGATTCGATTTTCTTTACTGACTCTGTGTAAGGAACTTGAGCAAACACTGAACTTGACAACAAAAAATTGGCTAATTTCAGATTTGTTCAAAAACTTACAGTCTTGTATTAATGACCTGACTTACGGCAGGTATTGCTTCGGGATCCATTGGATGAGAATGTGATTCCGGTTGTGGAGGAGCTTCAGAGACGCTTACCAGTTGGAAACGAAGGAAGCAATGGTCAAGGAGATGGAAAAGAGAGCTCTGGTGGTGGACAAAACGACGGTGATACTGGTGAAGAAGATGGTAACTGTTATAACACACATTACTTTTGGCTTTAATGAAACACATTCAAAATATTTATGCTTTTTTTGTTGCAATATTTAGAATTCCCATTCGAATTTCGGGCGCTGGAAGTTGCTTTGGAGGCAATCTGTAGCTTCTTAGCTGCAAGAACAACAGAGTTGGAAACTGCTGCTTATCCTGCTTTGGACGAGCTTACCTCAAAGGTTAGTAAAGCACCTCAGTCTTCGTTTATTATCATCACTACCGATCCAATTTTCATCAGCATTCTTTCATCTTTTAGATTAGTAGCCGTAATTTGGATAGGGTTCGGAAGTTGAAGAGTGCCATGACTCGGTTAACGGCTCGGGTTCAAAAGGTGAGACCAAGTGTATTTTCTTTTTCTTGACTACTTTCGTAGAGAAAGAACAACAAAGTGTTAAAAAGCTTTCGTTTGCGTTTTGAAAGGTAAGAGATGAGCTTGAACAGTTACTGGATGATGACGATGATATGGCGGATCTTTACCTTTCAAGGAAACTTTCTAGCGCTTCCACACCGTCTAGCAGTCCTGGTGAACCAAATTGGTACACTTCTTCTCCGACTATTGGCTCTAAGATCTCTAGAGCAAGTAGAGCGAGTTTAGCCACCGTTCGTGGTGATGAAAATGATGTTGAAGAACTTGAAATGTTGCTTGAGGTTCGTTGTTAACTACACATTTTTTTGCTTGTCTTATCAAATCTCTATTCGATTTCTCATGTGTCAATATCTTTACATGACAGGCATACTTCATGCAAATCGACAGCACTTTGAACAGATTAACAACGGTTATCTTCTTGCTTCTTCTCTCTCTTTTTTTGTTTATGTTTCTTCGTGAAAACTGTTCTTGCAACTCTCAAATGTTTGATTATGATGCAGCTGCGTGAGTATATCGATGACACAGAGGATTACATTAACATCCAGCTAGACAATCATCGTAATCAGCTGATCCAGGTAAGTGAATGTTGAAGTTTTTGTCTTTATCATCTTCTTGAGCTTCTCTTGTTGATCATATTCGGGAATCCTTGCAGCTGGAGCTTAAGTTGAGTTCTGGAACCGTTTGCTCATCGATTTATTCTCTTGTCGCGGGGATTTTCGGGATGAACATTCCATACACATGGAATGACCACCATGGATACATGTTCAAATACGTAAGAAACCATAAATCTAGAGTTTGGTTGAGAACGAAATCAGAAATGTCGTGGTTAAACATAAACCGGTTTTTTTTTGCAGGTCGTGATTTGTACGGGGACACTTTGTGCTATCGTGTTCGTGTTCATTATGTCGTTCGCTCGGTACAAAGGGCTTGTGGGATCTTGATTGGGTGAATTTGAGGGTAAGAGAGATTTTTATTAGTAGAGAGTTTTTAAAGAAGAACAAAAAAAAAGTGCAGAAGCAATTGTGACTTCTGTAAAGACAATATTTTCTCTATACATCGATTCCTTACAATTAAAGTGTATATCCAAGTTTTCTTTTTCCTTTCTGTCAGCTTTTGGCCTATACTAGCATATTCGTACCAACTCTACAATTTTTGAGAATTTGAGTTTAAAGAAATTGTTGAATATACATATAACTTTCAAAATTACGGTTTATGTTATCTGGTTTCTATTCGGAGTCTTTCTCTTCATGATTCTGATTTCTCTTTGTATGTGTTTCAGTTGGCTTTTGTGTTCTCTTTCTCTTGTAATTAAACTCAGAAAACAGATTTCATGGACATAGAGGAAGGGGAAGGGCTTGGGCTTGGGCCTGTTATAATTCATTTTCCAACAGAACTCAATTTTAAAATCCATTTAACGAGCTTAGCTATTTCACATGTCAGTAGTTGTATAACTTCTGAAAAAAAAAATGCATGTTCCTTAAACTCTACGAACGAAGTCAAAAGCCTAAACATCATTTATCTTAAGTATTGCAACAAGGCTTTCGTGTTTCCACATACACAATTTTACCAGATATTATAATTTATAATATAAAGTGAGAAAAGTATAAAATATTAGACGACGTCAGCAGTTTCGCGTGGAGAGTTGAGGCCGGAGCTGACGCAATCGCCGACTCAGCATTAAAATAGTAAGATTCCTTTTTATTTTATTTCTTTTCTGTACTTTTCTTTAATGTATAATTAAAATAATATGATAGATTCTTCCACTCTGCAAGGAACCTCATTGGCTGACGTAATAGGAATTGCCTCTTGGAACAACATAAAAATCAAAACTTCATTTATTTGGGTGTGGTGTGGTCCGTTGCGACAATTTTCATCACACCACGACAAAAAGTTAATATCAATTATATTAAAGCATGGTCCGTACTAAAATATTAAATAAATTAATTGTCGACACTTCTCTTCACAGCGCACAGCTAACATTTTCCTCCTATTAATCAATCAGATGTTCAGTTATTTACTTATTTCATACGAATTTTCTGCATTTATGTAAATCCATTTATTCAAGTAGCAGTTGATGTTTAATTACCAAAAAAGAGTTAAAATAGGTCTTTTGCTTAAATAGAAACTGACCAGTTTAGCATGTAGATCTAGATTAAGTACAAAAATGAGTAGTAAAGTACAATCATAATCTTTAATTTCTTAGATACTTTATGGCTTTATGCCACAAGTGCTTCGCATTTGGAATTTGGATAGTGGAATCTTGTTTAAATTTTTAATAATACTAGGTTTAATGATGCCAGCTAATTCTATATTTTACTCCCTATTCCTCCTGGCATGAGGAAAATGGTTATCTTCTTGTCTCGTTTTATAAAAAAATCGTCACATAAAATGACAAAAAAAGTTTTATAAATATCATTGATGTTTGCAAGACTCGATCAGCTGATATCATCAATGCCAATATACAAAACAAAACAAAAAGAAACTTGAGTTTTCATAAAACTGCGATGACGTCATAAAAAATGTAAGAGGAATCAGTTTTGACCGGTTAAGACGGTAATCGGTGTTTATTTATATCAGAAGTGACTTGTCGCAACATCACTACCACTCGAATAAACAGAAAACAAGGGGCATATAAGACTTTTTCTCTAAAAAGACGGCGTCGTTTTCATCGAAAAGCAATTTTAATAGATTTCCCAAAATAGAGCGTTGTCTCATCCAATCAGAACCGTTACTGTCGTCGGAGACAGAGGGCATTTTGGGTAATTGACTTTGATACTCTCTCTCTCGCGGTTTATAAACGAGAAGGACCTGAAGCGTCCACGCTCATAATAATATCTTCCTCTCTCTCTCTCCTTTGTAGCCCGCTAATAATTCGACACCTGTGCTCAGTCTTTTTGTTTCTTCTTCTTCTTCCTCTAAATTTCGAGACGAGGAGATTCTCAGTTTTCAAGGGTTATTTGCTTACGGAATCTCTCTTTGTCACTCAGATCCATCAGGTTTTGATTTCTCCTTTTGGTAATTCTCTGTTTCCTTTATTACTCTGATTGATTGAGTTATAAATGATGAAGCAAAATGCATGGTCTGTTTCCTTTTTTGATATTTTTGTTTTTCCTGTTTTTAATAAATTTCCAGCTTGTTTCTGTAATTGTCTCATGCTCTCTTTAGTTATTTTTTTCTTCTTAATCCTGAAATTGGGTTTTGTTCTTTCACCTTCAAGCTGCTAAATGTTTAGAGTGTTGCTGAATTGATTATCCTAATACTTTTTTATTTGTTGCACAAATTTCTACTTTGTCTGTAAATTTTGTTCTTCATTAAAGTTCGAATCTAATGAGAAATATATAAAAATCTGTTTGATACCATTGATTTCCTTAGATCTTGTTATAGTGTTTGGATAATTGGATCTTCATGTATATTATAAAATACCGAGACATTGTTGGATTCGCTTATCAAAGAAGTTTGACTTTGGAGGTTATGATAGAAGTTATCAAGCTAATGATCTCTCACATAATTGAAATTTTGCTTTTTAGTAGTTTTTGAGTAACAAAAAAAATTATTGATTTTTTTTTTTTAATTTACTTTGTTGTACTAATTTGTAAACCAATCTTATCTTATCCTATCTTTCATTCTGCTTTTTTGGGAAATCTCTAATTTTGAAATTTATTTGAGCAATGAAAAGATTTCACTTTTACCCAAGGCCACAAAATGTTGCAATTATAAGTCACATTTAGGTGTTGGTACTTGGTCCTTTTCAAGAACAGTTGTAGCCAATTATTGGTCTGTACTTTGCATCTCTTAACTCCCTAAACTTCAACTTGTGTTACACTATTTACCCAAATGCCTTTTGAGTGCTGGTCTCATGTCATTGTAGCTTTTATTGCTCTGCTTTCTTATCTTTCTACTGACAAAGGTTTTTGTAACTGCTGCAGAAAAATTCTTCATTCTTGCTCTTCCTCCATTTCTTGAAGATGGACAGGGCAGACACATGGGGATTCGTCAGTGGTGGGAGAGGTTTATACCTCAAGCTGCTTTTATGTTTATAGCTTCCAAGGTGTTCTGAGATATTCTTCTTCTTGGGCATTTCTACTTCCTCCTCTTGCGTATCCTTCTGTCTTCTTTCATATGGATTTGAACGAGAGTGTCGTCCACTTTTCTCGTGCCAACGGTGGTATTGCAAAGCTTGACAATTTCGGTGACACTGCTCTCAGCTTGAAATGCCTTGGAAGCAACGCAGGGAGATTGATGGGGAGTTCTCACCATAACCATAAGCTTTGCTCTGATGTTTCTATCTGTCCTGATGATGGTTGCCGCTTGGTTCTCGGTTTAGGTCCAACACCGCCTTCGTTTTGCTACAATGTCAGGGTTAATAACAACAAGAAAGTTTCAGCTTCTTCTGGGAGTGTTCAGGAACTCTCATCAGGAGGTAACTCAATTCTGCAACTTGGTCCTCCAGCTGCAACCATGGATACTTTCAGCGGACTTGACTGTTCGTTGCTGACATATACAGAGAGTAACGTGTCTCAGCCTGTTGTTGACGAAGGTTCTACCTCTGCTAAGCGGTCAGGTGGCTACATGCCATCGCTTCTTTTCGCTCCAAGAACAGAGAACGTTAGACAGCCTTCAAGAATGCAGGAGTGTAGTACTGCTTATAACTCACAGATGAGCCATGAGTCAGAGTTCTCTGTTGGTGCTTTCTCTGAGAGGACGGCCTCTGCCACGTCTTCTCAGCACAGGACGAGCAACCCTAAAAAGTGCAAGTTCATGGGATGTGCGAAAGGAGCTAGAGGAGCATCTGGTCTCTGCATTGGCCATGGAGGTGGGCAGAGATGCCAAAAAGCAGGCTGCAACAAAGGTGCTGAGAGCAAGACTACTTTCTGCAAAGCACATGGAGGAGGGAAGAGATGCCAGCACTTGGGATGTACAAAGAGCGCTGAAGGGAAAACAGATTTCTGCATATCTCATGGAGGTGGAAGACGGTGTGGATTCCCTGAAGGATGCGCTAAGGCTGCACGTGGCAAGTCCGGTTTATGCATCAAGCATGGTGGTGGTAAAAGGTGTAGGATCGAAGGCTGTACAAGAAGCGCTGAAGGACAAGCTGGACTCTGTATCTCCCACGGTGGTGGCCGGCGTTGTCAGTCTTCAGGCTGTACAAAAGGTGCTCAAGGAAGTACAAACTACTGCAAAGCTCACGGTGGTGGGAAACGCTGTATATTCGCTGGATGTACGAAGGGAGCTGAAGGAAGTACTCCGCTGTGTAAAGCACACGGTGGAGGAAAACGCTGTATGTTTGATGGAGGTGGGATTTGTCCTAAAAGCGTGCACGGTGGGACGAGTTTCTGTGTTGCTCACGGTGGTGGGAAGAGGTGTGTTGTGGCAGGGTGCACGAAGAGCGCTCGTGGTAGGACTGATTGCTGTGTGAAGCACGGTGGTGGGAAACGGTGCAAGTCTGTTGGGTGTGAGAAGAGTGCGCAAGGTAGCACTGACTTCTGCAAGGCACACGGTGGAGGGAAACGGTGCTCGTGGGGAGGAGATTGGAAATGCGAGAAGTTTGCTAGAGGGAAGAGTGGTTTATGCGCTGCGCATAACAGTATGTCTCAGGAGAAAGCTGGAAGCAAGATTGGTTTGATTGGACCTGGACTCTTCCGTGGCCTTGTCTCCACTTCTTCTCAAACCACAACTACTACCACTACCACTACTGATCATTCTCAGTCTGGAGTCAGTGCGGTTTCTGATTGCACGGACTCCATTGACCGCACGCCGCAGCTGCATCATCAACATCCTGAGAAAAGACAGAAGGTAATGATACCAATGCAGGTTCTTGTGCCTCCATCAATGAAGTCCTTAAGCTTCTCAAATGCTGAGAGACCTGAAACGGAGACAAACAATAAGAGTAGCAGCAGTGGGAGGAACATATTTGACTTTATGATTCCGGAGGAGAGAGTTCATGGTGGCGGGCTTATGTCTCTGCTTAATGGTAGCCTGAGAAACAAACACTCCATTGATGGAATTTGAAAAGCTTTCTCTATTGGTAAAAGAGCTCAATCTCATCACCAAGAAAGCTAGAATCTGTGTAAAGCTTGCTTATGTATTATGTATAGATTTTCAGGGATATTTTCTTCTTTTTCTCTTAGGTCCTTTGTGTACATTCATGGGGTCTGTATTTTTGTTTGGTCTTGGCTTTGACTTGACCATCTAGTCGATGGCTCGAAACCAAAGTCTTTGTTGATTTGATTTTTGTTTGGAATGTTGCAATGTAGTTTACAGTGTTAAACGTTTTGTATAAAACCTTAGCTTGCTGGGTCGAATGATTAAATCATTCCCGGTTTAATAATATGTTGGTTTATTTCGTCTTGGCCTGTTTAGTGGAACTGTTAAGAAACTCCGTCAAAACAAGTTCTTCAGATGGATAACGGAACGGTCCCGCCGTTATCGTTTCCGTCAGGTGTATATATACGGAGACGTTAAACACATTCGTCGTTACGAATCTGATTTTTTCCCTCTTCTCTCTCTCTCTCTCTCTCGGAGAATTCTGGAGCGAAGCTTCACTATTGAGCTACTCGAATTCAACAGGTATGTGAATCTCGATTTGATTCCCAGTTTCGAGCTTTAGTTATAGCTCTTTCGTGATTGAAGCGATTGCGTTTGCCTTTCCCGATTGATTCTCGTTCTTCGCTGCTTCTACCCTAGCTTTTTTGATTTCATGATCGGAATCTGGATCTTCTTCTTCAATCGTTGTCGCTTTCGATTTCTTCATGTTCGTGACTGTTTCCCGTGAGAATCATTTGGTAGATTTTGCGTTTCTCTCGTGAATCGTCGTCATTGTCAATTTTGGCGGGAAATGTTCTTGCGGAGACTTAATTCGTAACTCGATCTGAACCTAATTCACAGAAATATTTCGTCTTCTTATCTAGATTCTTCGCAAATTTTCCCGTAGGTGATTGCATTGGAATTACATATTTGAGATCATCGGAATTTTTCTGCGGAAGCGTTTAGCGCAGAAACGGCAAATAAGTCGGGGCTTGTTCTCTGTTGATTTGGTTGTTCTGTTGAATTGCAGATCCTTTCTGGTGATTTGACTAAAAAATGTTCATTTTGTAGCATCTGGTGATCGAAGAATCAATCAGGAATCTCATGTTCTCCAACTGTAGAGAGATGATGATGATGGACAAAGACGAGCCATTTGTCCTCAACGAGGTGAATTTCGTAACGCCAAAGCAGAGTCCTCAAAGCAACCAGACGTGGCCGATGGATAAGATCCGGCAGAGCCGTTTTCAGCAGAAAATGTCATCGCTTTCGAGTCCTGTGACTCCTAAAAGTGACAACAGAGTTCGTAGTAACACAAAGTCTCTCCTCCTGCAATGCTTACGGGAATCAAAGTCAGATCCACCACTCCCTCGTAAGCTACCGGCTTCATACTCGGATGATGGAATCTTGATGGATGGTGTTCTGGTCACATCAGCCACTGCAAAGAAGGTGTCTAGCTCTCTCGGAAAATCACCACGCTCTTCAATCTTCCAGAGCCTGCACAAGAATGTAGAGTTTAGCAGTCCTAGAAGCGAATCAGGACGAAACCAGGTACGTCATTTTCTTCTTCTTTGTTGTTTACATCAATATATAGGTAAAGAACATCACTGAGTTGGTTAAGAAATGAGTTTATATCCAAACACTGCCTGTGATAACAATACAACTTTGAGATGCTAGCTAGACGTTAGTGATTTGATCCTGATAAAGTTGAAGATGTCTATTTTTGTTGAGAATGATTACAAGTGTATAGATAATGCCCTTGATGCATTCAAGATAAGCAAAGATTACGAGTATACTGTCGCAACTAGGCTCACGGTTATGTATTGAGATGTATGTATTAAGAGTTTTCTGGTGATTATCGCAGGAAACCACTGGGTCTCAGCAACATTCAGCTGAAAAGAGAAAGATGTTGGAAAGTACACCAAAGGTTTCTACTTCACAACACTTTCTGTATCAGGATTCTGAAGAATCAAAACCACTTCTCTCATACGCTTTTATCAGTCCTAGAAGCGAATCAGGACGAAACCAGGTACTTCTTTTCTTTGTTGTTGTTTACATCAATACATCAATATAAAGAAATGCGTTTATATTCAAACACTGCCTGTGATATAGCTTAAGAAATGGTCACAACAATACAACATTGAGTTGGTAGACGTTAGTGATTTGATGTCTTTCGAGGACTGTTATATATCAAAAGAGCTGAGCCTGATAAAGTTGAAAATGCCATTTTTTCTTGAGAATGATTACAAGTATATAGATAATGCTGAACTTCCAATGCCTTTGATGCACTCAAGATAAGCAAAGATTACAAGTAACTAGGCTCACGGTTATGTGTTGAGATGTATGTGTTAAGAGTTTTCTGGTGATTATAGCAGGAAACCACTGGTTCTCAGCAAGATTCAGCTGAAAAGAGAAAGATGTTGGAAAGTACACCAAAGGTTTCTGCTTCACAACACTTTCTCTGTATCAGGATTCTGAAGAATCTCAACCACTTCTCTCATATGCTTTTATCTCTGTTCATTAGGCTGCTAATCCGTCAAAACTGCAAGCTTCTGCTGAGCCATTCATCCTCACACCAAGACAAGCTTCTCCTTTTCCATCCCAGCAATTCCCATATGATCACTTTAATCCTCTGTTTCCACGGACTGTAAGTATATCTCAATCCACTTTTTCGTTCTCCTTTTTTGTTTCAGACTCCAATAACGCTTTTGTGTAATCATCCTGCAGCATCCTCTTCACTTGCAGCCGTACCCATTCTTGCACCTGGCTCGGCCTCCGTTCTACGGTTATCAGAGACCACCACCTCTTCCGGTCTTACCCCATGAGTCCGAACTCTATCAGTTAGGTCCCACTGGCTACCTAAAAGAGCAAGCACCAATCGTAAACAAGCCTTTTCAGCTAGATTCTGTGACCAACTTTCCAAGTCTCACTGGCAACCCAAAACCAACCACAAATAACGACACCATAATCCCACTACTTCCCACAACACCTTCCTCTAGCCACCCAAACACTAACACCACACCTCTCCGCACTCCCATATCTACTCCTTGGACAGCCAATCTCAGCACCAGTACTGTTGATGGACTCGAAACCGTGACAAAAGAACTAGACTTGCCTTCACCTTCTGATGAGCTTAAAACAATGACGCAGGAGCCAGACTTGTCACCAACTGATGGACTTAATGCAGTGACGCAAGAACCAGACTTGTCACCATCTGATGGACTTAATGCAGTGACGCAAAATCCAGACTTGTCATCACCTTCTGATGGACGTGAAACAGTGGCGCAAAATCCAGTCTTGTCACCTTCACCTTCTGTTGGACTTGAAACAGTGACTCAAAATCCAGACTTGTCACCTTCCGTTGGATATCAAACAGTGACGACAAAGAAAGAGTGGTCACCTTCTGATGATGGACTCCCAACATTCACACAGGCTCAAACTGATTTCATGAAATCACTGGGCAGGGTCCTCCCATATGATGCTTTTGAGCGTTACAGATTCAGAGGAGTGAGAATGTCATGTTTCAAACATCTTTGCTCGGAGGAGGCCAGCAGAATCTAAACACACCAGGTAACACTCTGTCCCAAAAAAACTTTTCACAGTATTGTGAAGATTTCTTGATTACACATACAAAGAAACCTAGCTAGTCAATGTATAAAACAAAAGAAAAACTTAGTTCACACCAAGAAAGATTTACAGATTCATATCAGATAAAGCAAGATGCTTGTTTGTTATGTCTGGTTTTGATTTTGGTTCTATAAGCTTCAAAACCAATCAAATTCTCTGCTTAATTCAACCAATGTTCACCTACGAAATCCACGTTCTTGATATTTTGATAGCTGCAATACTAAGTAAAATCCTTACCCTATTAAAGTCGTCTCTGGTTTACACTACCAAGACGACATCATTACATCTATTTGGTTAGAAAACTCATACTTGTAGGTAGATCAGTAGATAGGTTTCCCTGTTTTTATCATTTAAATTACAATTATGAATATATCGAAACATCAAAACCATAGAAATCTCCACAGCCATTCCAAACTAGACAATAAAACGGTTTAATTAAGTGAAAGCCTTAACAAATGACGTAGTTATAAGATCATCCGAAAAAGCATGCAATCTGCAAAAATGCGCATAATCTACTTCCGCATATCCACGATACCTCCTATCACATCATTTTTGCAAATAAATACCAAAGTTTAAGTGTATATAATGGGTATATCCATCATTTAAATCCAATCCCACTCTTACCCAACTTAAGATCTATCCTTTCTATTTTATTGCATATTATTATATGTGCGCAAGGTGCTTGCATCATTCATGAGTCAGTGCTTGCTAAGCAAGCACCCAAAACAAAAATATATTTTAAAAAACTTAGAAATGAAAAATATATATTAGACGTAGAAAGACAATGTTGCTTCGCTCGGCGACACAAGACAACTACTAAACCCAATCAAATATCTATAGAGAGAGACTATAGCTTGGAGGAAAAGGCTCTCAATTGCCCAAGTCTCATTAATTTATTAACAAAACACCAGTCCTACCCTAAACCTGAATCAGGTTTAGGCCACACTTATATCATATTTACAGTCTACACTTCAAAATCTATGTACTATAACACATATTTAGTTTGCTTACAATATTAAAACTTTGTATTATCATCGTCCTTAAAAACTTAAGATCGGCTCCCCAAGTGCAATCAGATCCTACGATGTTATACACCTAAAACTTAGGGCTCCACAACTTATTTCTAGGAAAATTATTTCCCAAGCTGCGTGCCTCTTCCATCTACAATAAGGGTAAAATATTATTTTGTTGGTTTGTTTGTTGAGTTAGAAATTGGAAATCATAAACTTTAGAGAAAGAAAGAAACCCAAAAAGTTAGTTTGGTCTCTATAACTTTTTAAACACACTATTAGCCTTTCCCCATGATTATTCGCCAACATGGGGGGCTTATTTTTTTAAGTCTCATTTGCATGCATCCAGTGGTAACATAATCATGATTTTCCCTTTTTTATATGTATAAACATGTTCTAATGTTTTGGATCTTGTTAGTCAAAACTCTAATCCGTTTCTACCAATTAAAATATATCTGTTAGCTAGTATTGTTTAAAACGATGAGAAGTAGGCTGCAATTTTATCCCAAACCATGTAGATGTGGTTCTTCTCCTAACCTTATGTATATTAGGCAGAAAGAAGAGAGATGTTAAACCTATACACAAACCAGTAATCTAGGATTATGATTGAATTGAGAATAAATGTCTAACATTTTTTATAACCATATTATAACATTGGTTTATCTAAACATAAAATATGTTTTTTTCGTGTATTACTACATGCATGTGATTGTCGAGTGGATTTTATTTATTTATTCGAATCAGTGCATATATACTTGTGTAGAAAATAGATAGATGAAGGCATTTTTTTAATCATATATGATGTATTAATTAATTTTTCATTGCAACATTTGTGATAACTTTCACCGAGATACTAATTTCTCCCATATAGCTAACATAACCAATTGAGTATTATATAAAATGGATATATTTGAATTAAAACAATAAAATACAATCTGTTGCTTCTTGCTTGCAAATTGAGGATCGCTAATCTTACAACATATAACTTGTAAGAGTGATGTCATTCTCATTCTCCTTTTCTTTTGGTACAAAGATTTTAGAAATAATTGCCCACTAAACCTTTTCTTTTTGGGTGCTTCTGTCTTTATTACGGTAAGCTTACTTCGTCAAGATCATCTAAAGACAAAAACACTTCATCCAAACACGAGAGCTCTGTCCCATCATCATCCTCTTCCTCACTGCAATTTTGTTCATACACTCTGCATATCACCCACTTGCTATAATCCTGCACACAAAAATATCCATGCCACGTGGAGGCCACGTTCTAATTTTAGGTTCAAAATCAAAATGTAAAAATTTAAGTTAATAGACATCAGGAAACAAAAAGGGGTACTCACGGGTTTATGACTAGAACTAGACGACGCACGGCTTGATCTCTTAGAAGATCGACTAGATGAAGAAGAGGAATCGGGAAGTGAATATTCTTGCATGATCCAATTCGTCTGAGAATCTCCGAGATAGAAAGTTAGATACTTTTTGATACCCACTTTCTTGCGTGTGGAGCTTGTGTAGATTGCCTCGTCTATTCCCATTGATCCCCAATACCCATTGCTCGTAACTCTGTCTTGCGTCTTTCTACTATAGAAGTACCATTGCCTCCCTTCTCCCAATGCTTTCCCTGTATTTTTATACGTAAACATGTTAGCGTATTGATTGTGTATTTGAGTGTGAGTGTGTGTGTGTGTGTGGGTGTGTGTAAATATTTGTATATGATTGATTGTGTTTCTGTATCATGAGATTGAATGATTGATATGGGTGCACATGTATGACTATGAAGAAAGCAACGTTAATTATGGTTCACCAATTAATAGATTCCTTCCAAGAAAATAAAAAGGAAATTTATTAGGTAAGAGATTGGTACTATTAGTATTTGTGTGTATGGTGAGATTTTGGAAACAAAACAATCCTTAAAAAGAGCAACCAAACAAAAGTGTACTGCTATAAAAGGAAGACATGTTGGCTACTTAAGTTGGTGACAACAATCAATCTCTGTCCTCTAATTTCGATCATTATACACACACACAAACATATTATCAACTATACATATGCATACATGATACACACCCGCTGCATAATTGACTATATATACATGCATGCATGTTTAGTAAACTATATGGGATCATTATGAACATGTTGAATGATGCGTATATATATATATAGAGAGAGATATTTGTGTATGTATATACCGGGAAGGTCCCAAGGATCGTAATGGTAAAGATCGAGGTCAGGGATGACGTCAGGATGACAAGGCAAGAGTGAAGCTTTGCGGTGGAGGAAGTGAACGACGAGCTCTTCGTCCGTCGGAAAAAACCTGAATCCCGGTGGTAGATTCATTGTTAACGATATTGACCTCACTACTTCACATGTACATACTCACAGATATGTTACGTGTGTGTGTGTGTGTGTGTGTGTGTGGAAGAAGCTTAAATTAGGAGGAAGTAGATATATAGAGAAGATGATGTGGAACCAGAGGAAGTGTGTGAAAGAAATTGAGGTATATATAGGAGATAGAAGACGAAGAAGAAGGTGGAATTTGGAAGTCGTATACTTTTTTATATAGCTTCTTTATTTCACTTGCACACACATTAAATTTCCGCCTTTAATTAATTTATTTTAAATTATAAAGTAAAAACAAAAGAGAATGATGGTAGTAGTAAAGATGCAAGCAAGTAAGTGCAATGGAACTAAGAAGAGAGGAGTAATCGATGTCAAAGGGCATTTGAAAGCTTATTTTCCGAGAAGTCGTCGTCGGCTCAAGTGGATCTTACAATTTTGGCTGCTGTTTTGTTTTTTTTCCTTTCTACTTTTGCTTTAAAAAAAATTATTACTAGTCCCTATTCACAAAAAAAAAACTTTGTGGTTCCATAGTGTATAAGAGTTTTTCTTGGGTGAGTAGGCTAAAAGTTTATTAAATTCGAGTTTTGATGTTACAGCATTCAGTAAAATACAGATTATTCCACAACTCAGTTTCAAACACGGCCTTGAACGGATTAGATATTTTGTAAACCAAGTTTAACATGGGAAAAAGTGTTGAACAAAAGATTACACATATGAACTTTATTAAACAAATTATATTTTAACAACTAAAAAGATGGAAAAAAAGAGAGAGAAAGAGGCGGGCGGAAACGAGAGGTGTTTAGGATTGGATACTTCCACGCAAGAGGTATCTTCTTTCTTCTTCTTCACCACTAAGAAGAAGATTCTTATCCACTTCTTCTTTCTATTGTATATCATAAAACTAAATTAAATTAAATTAAGCTAAACTAAAAACAGCACTACCTCTCAAATTTGTGGTTGAGTGTAAGTTTTTTCGTGGGGCGCAGACAATTTTTTTTCTGCTCTTCTTTCGTCGGCATTTACCATTTAAGGTCGTGATAAATTGTTTTTTTATTTTGCACCAACTAATGGGTGTATGTCAAGTCAGCGTACATATGTACAGATTTGGTTTCTTCCATCCCGTGGATAGCTGCTAATTATTGAGGGGATTTCAGTTAGTTTTTTTAATTAAATACTCCATTGTCGTTTTTGTATAAGTTACTCCATTTATATTTACATAATTAAGTAAGTATCGTTTTGAAAGCTTTTACACAAAAACACTATCCATGCATTTCCAAGCAAAAATCAATAGTACTATCTCTCTGATCCAACAGTAAACTGACTTATTAAGCGGAAAATTGCAATTTACTTATAAAACAGTATAGTACATAGCTACGTTTATTATAAAGAGAAATCGGTGAAAGTCTTAAACGGAAGGAGTATAATATAATCAACAAATGCTCGTTAGAAAAAAATTATTCAGTTTGCACCAGAAAAACGTCGATAATACTGTTCACTGTTTAAGGCTTTTAGGGAAATATCTACATTTTAACGGTCGTCTTTTCTATTTCATTAATGTAGACTACAGTTTACGCCAAAGACAAAATTTAGCTACGAACCAAAATTAATGTAAAAAAAAAAACAAATTGGGAGGAGGATTTCGAGGTCGATGAGTGATGATGACACTTCATGCTGAGATCATGCACCCGCAATAATCCACGTGGCGCACATGAAAATGGGTTTGGTCGTCAACCATAGGATTATGGACCCCACTTCTCTCTCTTCTTTGCCTTCATTTTGAGATTTGTACCTTTGTACCCAATTCCTTCCGATTGATATACACTCAGTACTCCTTATTTTGTTTTTTCTTTTTAAATATTTTTGTACATGAATTTAAAGATATTTATATCGTTGTATTAGTAGTCTATATTATAGATTTATAGTTCGAGTAATAAATTTGGATACAATAATTTATAATTTATTTGGAGGAAACAATTAACTTCAAAGATACAACAAAGTCTAAAACGACCATATATAATCGTAGACCAATGCTTATAGCTTTACTAATACGATCGCCGTCAGATTACCACACAAGTTCAAATAGGATAACATGTGTCCCAATTATTGACAAAGAAACAATGTTACATATCGGCCTATTAGCAACATTATGTATCCAAAGAACCCCTAAAATATGTATATATATATATATGCTAGAATTGTGGATGTAGGTTTTAATAAATGGTTCAAGTATCTAACTAAAAAAGATTATTAAGTATATATGAAGAAAACTTTAACATTTATCAATCTTTTCTCATATGCAGTCTCCCTCAAGTAGCAATCAATGGCTTTTGTTATAAAATTGAGATCCACACAAACTCAAAGACTGCCCAAAAGATTGAGACTTCAACTGATTTCTCTTCTTTGGACCCACTTTTCCCTTAGAATAATTGAGATCCTCTATTGTTTACTTGTTTAGAATAATTGACTGGTTCTTCTTGCTATTATTATTTGTTTTCACTCTTCTTAATATTAAATTTAAAAACTTACTAACCAATTCATCAGACAAATTCAATTAAAAAAGAAGAAGAAGAGCATAGCAGTAGGCAGCCCCAATGAATAGGAGGAGTGTGTGGGTGCTCCTCAAACTTTGCTTCAGATTTCTCCAAGGTTTTCAAAATTATATAGTTTTTATATATATGAACTCAATATTATTATGGAAGGGTAAAATGGACAAATTATATCAATCACATTGAGGGGTTTGGATGATCTATTGCTTACGCTTACGCACGCACATGCCCACGCCACACGCGTGATCAAGAGATCTTAGTCTTCTTTAGTTTGTCCTCGTTTAAACTATCGGGAACAATCAAATTCATATTTTTTGCTTCCATTAGACTAAAAGATCATTTATGTTATTGCTTGCATTTCTATTAAAACCATTAAGAACATATCAGAAAGCTGGAAAGCTAATGTGAGTAGTGATCCAACAGGAACATCCAACATACAACGGAGTGAATCGAATTGAAAATTTCATACAAATTGGATGATCATACATGTATGGATGAAATGATTTAAAAAGTAATTTACTTTAGTAACTGTTGAACTCAAATTTTATTAAAGTAACAGTCGGCAATAATTAGGTTTGTAAAATAGCAATCGCAAAGATAAGAGTGATCACTAGAAACAAACAAACAAAAATACTAGGATCTAAACAAATATAACAAAGAAAAGGTGTACTAATGTCTTAGATTAACAGGGACTACGTGGTGCTAATAATGGAGAAGTGTGAAATTGGTACTGACAAATAAAAGGAAACAGAAGGAATGGGATCAAATCAAACTTTGCGATGATTTATTTAATCTAACTTTAATTAATGGTTGATATGAGAGGGAGATTGGATATAGTTTCGGCTAATTGTATGTGTGCAGTAGACGTAACCATCAAACAAATGGGAGTTAGGCCAAAGTCAAAGTCAAAGCCTTTCATACCCACATCTTGTTCTGTCTTTTTAACTATATACATAATTTTTTTCTTTCTACAAAATGCTTCGTTCTTATCTTTAACTTTTTTTTTTCTTCTAATTTTGTATTGACCATATCGGCATTGCTTGTCCATAACTTTCTTAACATTTGTTTTTTTTTTAATAAAGGGCTTTCTTAATATAACAGAATAAAAGAGTCTTTTACAGGGAAACAAATAAGAACCAAACAATGCTTTTCTAACATTTGTTACTACCAAAATTATCTTTAATGATGCTATATAAATGAATTTGTAATACATACAATACTGTATACAGTATACATACACCATATGGTCCATATGGTACGATGGAGAAACAAATGAGAATTTGAGAGATATGTGTGTAAGAATGGTTTCTGCCGTTTACACTCGCAAGTCACTGAGTCGTTACTTCAGACGTATCAACCGTTTATATTTCATTTGGGAAATCCTACTTTCGAGCTATAACAGCTGAAAAACATAAACCTGATCCCTATTGTATAATGAACTTTACTTTTACATCAGTTTTTTTTTTTAATATATATATACAACGAGGAAACGACTCAACCAATTAGGTGATGCATCTTTCGATAAATGTATAAATACATTTTTTTGGCGACAAAAAGTACATATCAAAACTTGTTTTTTTTTTTTGAACGACTTCAAAACTTGTTCAAAATCACTATGTACACTGTACAGGTAAGAATAAAAGAGATAAATATGGATACCTTTGGGCTGTGGAGATCAATCCACGCAATCTAGAAAAAGAGGTTCATTTTTTAGTTTCACATCACACATCATATCCAATCCATCACATAAAAGCTTTTTAGTGGAAGTCCTATGAATATGATTCTGATTTTTTTTTTTTTGGTTCAAGTAAACAAGTTTAAATTTATCTCTAATGTTTTATATCATCAAGTATCCAAAAGATTTGACTACTCCCACTCCTTGTAAAACCTAATTATTACATAAAACAATAATGATTCCTAAATCCAAGTTTATCATATACTAATCCTCCTTAAGATATAGATTAAAAAAAAGTTATAACGTGAGACAAGACTGCTAAAGTTTTTACTCCAAAAAAGAAAATGGTTGCAAGATAAATATGGTGAAAACAAGAATGGATAAACAAAACCACCAAAAAGGCAATAATTGATGACTGTATAGTATAACAAAGACAGAGTCCACAAGCAAAATGCTAAAATATGATTTTAGGGTCGGAAAAATGTTACACGACTCATACATAGTGCATAGTGATGTCCCATTAAGAATGACTTTCAAGTTTCCAGGAAGCTAACAGTTAAAATTAAAAAGTATGCTTTTATAAGAATGAGGTTATACAATAACACGTGCAGTTGCAATTTCAAGTCGTTGATGTCAAAATCATGAGAATGGATTTTGACAATTTTGGAAAGATATTACAATCCAATTCAAATCCAAAACGTGTGTGTAAGTATATGATTTTCTTTCTTTTCACATATAAGATAAGGTTTCCCAAATATTCCAAAAATAACATAATCAAGTTAAAAAGATAAAAAAGGGGCCCAAATTTACATTTACAGATGTCTATTTCCCCCCCCCCCCCCCCCCCCCCCTCTCTTTCTTTATGTAAATACAGAAACTCTGCATCAACTTTACATCTGGCAACTTTTCTGCACGCTGCTTAGCTAATAGTTCCTACCTTGAACTCACAATAGTAATGGTTTCTACAGAGTACAGAGTAATAAGCACAAGTGTCAGATAATTTATGGACTCTCTAATAGTGAAAGGGAGAGAGAGAGAGAGAGAGAGAGAGAGAGAGAGAGAGAGAGATTGAAGAATACCTGAAGAGGAATCTAAGTCATGTGACAATGACAATACCAGACTGCATGAGATGATGAAGCAGGAAAAAAGTTAATAGGAGGGTGAAACGGTTTTACAAGACTTGTAAAGGTCGTGATTAGTTTACTTACATCATCTACTATGAATCGGTCTATGCTACTAAGTTGCGGTTGTAACCATTCAAGTGAATATGCCGACAAACTTTGTTGTCCCGTTTGTAAAGACTGATGATAAGCTGCAGAGATCATAAACGTAACTTGTCCTTGTAAAGCAAATGAATGAGAAAGGGGAAGAGTTAACCAAAAAATCAAAAAAATATATTCAAACCTGATTTCCGTATGATAATCTTATGTGTCACAAACGCCTGCAATGGCAGCAAAGGAGGGTAGTGAGAAAGATTCATCGAACCAGTTAATGAGTTTGGCACATCTTTACAGGGGCAAACAAACGTTACGTGTAAAAAAATGATCTCAAGAAAAGGCTTTTAAGGTTCACATCAGAACAAGACCTGCCAAGAAGAGGGCATGAATTCACGAAATGGAGTTTGCTGAGCTTTACTTGAAGCATTCCCTGATAAATCTTCGTTTGAGGAGAACTTCCTGAGATTTGTGGGAAGTTAGAGAGATCAATCAACTATAACAACACAAATGCAAAGCCTGTGATATTAACCAACGAACCGATTAGTCTCATTTGTGGGGAACTTTTCTTCGTAAATTGTAGCCTTGGTGGCAATTACTACCAACGAATGCACCTGCAGTATCTTCTTCACCTCTTGCACTATCGTCTCCACCACATTCGTCAACGAAAGACTTTTCCTACATATCATTATACATATGCGTCTCAAACAAAAAACATCAATGCGTTGTTTATCTACCACACACACACACAAAAAACATCAGTGCGTTGTTTATCTCACCTGTTGTTTTTCTCCAATGCCAATGATGACGATAGACGATCAGTCCAGTGGAAAGCACCTATGCTGGTGAAAAGATTTGTAACATAATTAGCTCAATTTACTATCAGCAGCACTTAGAGTAGAAAGTGATGAAATGGTCCTGGAAGGAAACATAGACGAAACCTGTCAATCATAAGCACTCCAACTTGACTTCCACACGCTTCTTGCTGCCGGATCCTGCAATGCAATGTCTGCAACACAGTCAAAACTATTTAGCAGGGTCTAAAGATCCCAACAAAAAACCCACCAAATGTGAAACTTCACACCACAAACACTACACCTTGAGAGTAGACAGAAGTTGGAGACTATCATAGCAGCGAACATACATGAACCTTTTCATGCATGAAACATACAACTCCTCATCATAAACATTGTTCGACTTGTCTTGTGAAGCTCTGCTATTCTTAACATTTGACGCTTCAAGTTGCCACCATGCTCCATTCCCTAACCCTGATACGCTCCAAGAACTTCATTCAACCATTTTCAATCTCTATTGCATAATTTGGCATTACACTCTATCAAAACCTTAAACTATCCAACATCATGTACCACTAGATTAGAGTATTTCAATGAAAGTTTAAATTTTGTTTGCAGAGTTAGCTTGAAGAAGTGAAAGTTTGAATTTTGTTTGCTTACGGTTAGCTTGAAGAAGGCGATGCTTGAGCATTTCGGATAAACGCAGGACATCAAATCGGCAATCGAGATCGAGGAACAAAACCAGTTTCCCTAAACCTCCGTAGTGAATGCCATTCCACGTCTTCGGAAGAATGCAACTGATCGCAGCCTGAATCAGTATCTGTGTTTTCGCCGACGGTGACGCGCCAGTGATCTCTACTACGTTCCCGGCGCGTAAAGGCACACGGTTGAGAGGCGGAAGAAGCAGGAACGCACGGTCTCTAAGCACCCTTGATAGCATCTGCTTCGCCGTCTCGTCCCCGCGAATCCAGCTGTTCGCTTCATCTTCTCCTCCCATAGTTCGTCACACTTCCGGCCGGCGTAAGAAGTCTCGGCCACGGTGACCGGGCGTTCACAACGAGCAAAATATGGGCCTATAAGAAATACTCCATGGGCTTTATATGGGCCTAATAATATGAAGTTATGCCCTCTGAGTTTCCCATATGTATGATATTATCCTCCGTCTTTCCGTTAATGATTATTTCACCTTTCGGTTTGTACATTATTGTTTAACCCTTGGTTTATTTGATGATTGTGATTATGTCCTCAAATTTCTCCATATTTATGGTTATGCCCTCATAGTTTACCATATTTAGGATATTACCTCCGTCTTTCCTTTAATGTTGTTTTACCCTTTGGTTTGTATTTATTTGTAATTTCGCGCCTAAACTCTATACAGGTTGTGTCTTGCAACAAAACTAATCCATGGATTTAAACGAAACCTTTATCAAATTATGTATGATTTCCACCAAAAAATGAGTAATTACAAATTGGAGTGTGAAGTCTAACACACACTTCTCTCCTGCATGTAAAGTCATCAGATTTCCTTATAAGAACATCAAAATATATGTATATATGCCCACATGATTTACAAGGTGAAAGGGCTTGGAGGAGGCTGAATGATTGGAAGTTTCGACATGGTTACATTTCCATTAATCACATTCTCCGCAATCGTATCCTCCACTGGTATCGGATCAACTTGCATTACGTTCTCTGGTACAACCTTCTCTCCATCAACCTTAGCAAGAACCTCAAAATGCATCCTCATTGTCTCCGGCTTTGTTCGCCACGCTGGAAAGTTCAAACCTTCAAGATCACTTTCCTTCAGCTTCCTCTCTACACCAAAACCAATCTTCATAAACGTTTGAGCCGAGACATCCGCTTTCAGCACCTTAAAGGAACCTTTTTGCTGAGCTTTAGGACCCAAAACAGAGGTCAACAGCTTCTCAAAGCCGAGCAAGTTAGGGTTCGAGCCATTGATTGAAGTAATTGGCCACATGGTTGTAAATTCTCTTGGGGTGATAACAGTAGTAGCAGCGCCGCCAATTGTTGAGAGACTACTACTAATACCAGTCTTGCCTTTAGACATGGAAGATAGTTCAACAAGTCCAGGTGCAAGACGCTTGAGCTTGAGTTTGTTGTCAGGAGACTGTGAAGTGGATGCGAGTGAAGTAGGACCAACAATGCGGAGGGAAAGAAGTGGACTTTCTTGATCGCTTGATGAAGAAGCACGTCGAAGCTGTTCAGCTAAAGAGACGAGTCCAGAGGCAAATTCATTGGAGCTTTGGTTCAACGGAAGTGGCAAATCAATCGGATGCCGCAAACTAACTGATCTAGCTCCTTTCACTGTTACAACAGCTCCATCTGCTAATATCACTTTCTTCAAAACACCAGCTTCCACATCATACTGCAATTTTTTGACAGAACCAATCAATAAACAAAAACATAACTTAACCAAATGGGGTAAAGTCTTATACTTACTGGCAATGAAAGACGCATATTGTTTGCATCTTGGATCCAAATTTCCATGGGACCAGCAAGCTGAAACGGGGATAAAACAGGTGAAACATCACCACTAGACTTCTTCTTCTTCTCGCTCAGAGGAACCAAAACATTTTCCTGCCTGGCTCCATTAGGTTGTTCTACTTGGAAGATTGGGAGATCTACGTATTCCCATCGGTTTACGTCTTCGAGAAGCTTGAGTGGAAGCACTTTGTTGTCGATTTCCAGATCAAACTCATATGAAATAGCATGCCCTACCAATGCATCCCTTACATCGAACCCAGAAATCTTTACTTCCTCGGATTGGAATCCAAGCCCTTTCACAATTGCTTCCTTCAAATCCTATCAAACCAGAAAAGTAAAACATTTGGAAAATTGTCAAAATTCTTACTTTTCTATTGTTTGATTAATACCCAAACTCGATAATTTGTTAGGGATTGTACATTTGCACTAAACTGATCATGAAAATTACAGAAAGGTTATAGCTTGCCTTTACAATCTAATCCTACAGAGACTTACAAATCCTAAAACCAAAAAATATTTTTAAAAAATGTGATAATTGTCTTACCGAAATGGCTTCAGGGTAAGGAGGATTAGCATCAGGAGACGAAATCAAAGCTCTAGACGATGGAAATGTAGAGAAAAAAATCAGAAACAGAGCTCCCACACAAACCAATAATCTGCGATCCATCATGGATTGAACGAAGGAATCAAAACCCACGCCTTGAAAAGTTAAAATCCTGGAGATATAATTACGAGATTAAAAGCTCTTAGCGATGACGATGCGAGAGAATTATCACGGAGAACAGACGAAAATGAAGGCTTGTAGGTGCTGATTGCGCAAAGTTAGAAAGATCAAAATTAGGACTTGGCTCTCTTTTTTTGTTGTAACTACGAATGAGAAGGATGTGGATGGTTCTGGACTCTTTTAAATGGCGTGTTCTCAAGGGAAGAGATGACGACGTGGAGAGTACTAACCAATAGGAATGAAGAGAGTGATGTGGCGCGAGATCATTAGACGTGTGACGTGGATTATAGCAGACGGTTATGTAACGACGTCGGTTCAACTCGTAAAATTAATACGCAAACTAAAAAATTTAGAAATGGCTTCGCCCGGGTTCGAACCGGAGACCTTCAGTGTGTTAGACTGACGTGATAACCAACTACACCACGAAACCTTTCTGTTCATTTGCAACAGTAAATAACCATTGTAATGTTGACTTGCACCAAACAATTATCAACTAATCTTTTGGTCGGCAACAATCATGTGTACACTATAAGATCATCTATAGAATTTACATAGTCAATGAAACATAAATTTCATAGAAAGTTTGAAAGACATACTATACAAATGAATGTAATTGATTGTGTACAAGGCACATACATATATATACTTGTACAAGAGAGTAGAGAAAGAGATGAAGAAACCATACACAAATTCTTAAAAGTAGTAACATTTGAATTTTCAATCTCATGCTTCCTCGAGAAGGGGTGCAACGGTTGAATCTCTTGTCACTGAATCAGCTTCGGAATCTTCGTTATATCGATCAACACTATTCAGGAAAATCCCTGCAGAGTCACAAACGCAGTAAAATCATTACCTCCCACATTAAACTAGAAAGAAACTACTGATTTTTGGCTTGGCTAAAAAACCGAACCTATGAACCAAATTGCAGCAGCTGGAAAGAGTACAAATGTAAGAACAAGCGAAGTCACTCTCCAATTGTGCACATGGTCCTGCATGAGCAAATGAGAATAATACAGTGGTTGGCTCAAACTTAATCCAGGTAAAGAAAGTGCACTGAATTGAAACTGAGAAACCAAACCTGAAGAACTCCAACGAGTGGTGAGGAAGGAACATCTCCAAAGATATGGATAGAGACAGTAGACATGGCCATTGCGAGTGGTCTCAAACTTGGTTTGACACAATGGAGAACTATAAAATTCACAGGACCCTGAACATCATGAAATAAAATCAAAAGAGGTGGATTTGTAAAACCTGACAATGATTAAAACATAATAGAATCAAGTATTCGAATACTGGAAACTGATATTACCTGTGTGGCAAAGATGAGAAGTTCACCAACAGCAAAAAGAGCTAAAAATGCATACATGCTCTTGAAACAGAATGCAGCAAAGCAAAATATCGCTCCTATAAATGTTGAAACTGAAAGAAGCTGCAAAACACAGAAACATGCGATCATTACTGGTTTAACAAGATGAGCCACAAGTAGAGTTTGAAATTTACCTTGAAAGCATTTGAAATTGTAGCATCCATGAAATCTAAAACAACTCCTCCTGACAATGTGCCAACGATTCCACAGATAACTGTGACCCCTCCAAATATCAAATCAGCGTTTTCCTGGAAACAGATAAAGACATCAAGCGATATAACTTTTACACATTGAAACGAAAACGTTCTGTTAATTTCTTACCATCTTGTATATGTTGTAACCAGCCTTTGGCCCCCAATACGAATATGCGCCTAAAACAAAGTTGTACGCAATATATCCTGAAAGACGAAAGAAAACAGTTACAGGTAAACAACAAACAATGATCATACAACGACACAAATGCAAGAAGGAAAAATGGTTACCGAGAATGTTTGTAACGTAGACTTTATCTACCAAAAGTATTTTCAGATCTTTCATGACAGCTGAGAACCCATAACTCGTTGGCAAAACATTTAAGGTATCTGTCCGGTTTTTTCCTGTATCATCCGGAGCGAAACCTGAAGGTACAAGTCTCATTAGAGGTAGCTCAAGTCTATCAGCAACATAATGTGTTTGTGTGTAAACACGAACCTTTCAAATGCAAGGGTTTGATAACAAAACCTAGAACAGCAAAAGGAAGCATAAGTATTGCTTCTCCCCAAAATGCAGCACGCCACGGAAGAACAATCCCCACCTACAAGAATTCAGAGAAAATGAAGTTGAGGTCATTGGCAATGAAGTAAAACAAAAACAATCTAATCAGAATTCCGTGCCATTGAAAATAGAAAAATGACTCACCAGACCACCATATACGTATCCAAGAGCATAGCCTGTCGGAATACACATGTAGAACATAGCAAGCCATGCTGATTTCTGGTTAAAACAAAAACAAAAATGCCTTGTGAATCATCATTCAAACTATAGAACTTCAATCAATGGATCATGTAAGCACATACATTCCAGAAGAAAGTACCTGATCACGTGGGGCATTATCGTCGATAAATGGGGCAGCGAGGCTTACAAATGATGCCTCACCAACACCAACAAACCTGAACAAGGTGAGAAAAAGTTAAACGGATATATGTATCTGATTTTGAAAACATAGCATGAAAGACATGACTGAAAAGCAAATGAAAACTACACCTACATGCGACAGATTGTGATGGACCAAAAATCAAACGAAAAACCACAGCCCATCACAGCGAGAGTCCAGACTGATAATCCAACTCCGATAAGTCTAAACGGATTAACACTGCAACACAGAACAGCCAGTGAGATGAATAGCCTAAAATGTATTCTTTGTACTGAGAACTTCTGGCAATCCAGTAACGCACCTCTTTGCTAACGAAGCAAATATAGGAGAGGCCACAAGAAGTCCAACCATGAAAGCAGATGATAGACATCCGTCTTCGAAATTGCTCAAGTTGAAATCTCCCCTGTATAGTACAACCATTACCAATACGAAACAGCCAAGAAACCATTTCTAGCTTAAATCAAAGGCCTAGAGCTTTGACGACTAACAAAATAGGAACTTACTGTATTCCACTGCCAGCTGAACATGTACCACCTGAAGTGCAAGTACCAAGACTCCCATTGATACCATTACTTGCTATAGCTCCTCGATCTATATAGTTTATTAAGTTGACTACACAAAACACAAAGAGAAGCCTGCAGAGACAGCCAAAAATACGCACAGAAAATCAGACTAAATCATTGACTAAGTAAATCAAAACATGCAAATTTAGGATTTCTCACAGTTCAAGGACTAACAAATTGCTGAAGCAAAAAGATGATCGGCTTGTTAGTTTCATTAAATGTACAGAACTTCCTTAAATAGCAGACTGCAAGCGGAAACAAAAATTCGCATAGTTCCTTCACACCATAAACTCAAAAAGCTTCTACATTCCTCACAATTTTGCCTAAAAGCTATGGTACTTTGACCTACGAAACACATACAAATGAGGAAATCAGAGAAATTACTTTTTGGGGGAAAACCATGAAGGCTCTGCGATCTTATCTTTGATTGAATCCGAACCCGTCTCCATAATTTGAGGGTTTCGCCTGCGATCAGCTTCTCCGTCAACGTCCATGGGAAGCTCGGATTTCTTAAAGATCCAAACTTTGGATATTCCATGGGGGCATTTTTGTAATAATCGTTTGAAGTAGTAAATGAAGAATGAAGATAAAACAGAAAAAGTCGGTCGAATTTATTTTGGTTTCATTGCTTCCCCAAAAATCAAAAAGACGCTAACTTTTATTTCACTCTAGTTTTTTTTAGTAGATAAAATCCTAAATCCAATCCATTTAGGACGAATTAATTAATCAACTAATCCTAAATCCTTTTTTCACTATGAATCGCATTTCAACTCTAACTAGGAAAGTGAAACTTTATATACGAAAAATCACCACAACATATCCAGGACTCATAAACACTCATATTCTTCAAATTAACCAAAAACTTGAATAGTCGTGTAGCTTGTGGAAACAATGGAAAACTTCAATCGCTTATACAAGGAGTTACAAAACCTCCGTCTTTACAACGCCGGAGAAACTAGCCAGCAACAACAACCACCGTTAATCTCTCCCGCTATGCCTCATGCTTCCGGCAACACAACGTCAAAACCTCACGAAGAAAGAGAAACCAGTTTACCAATACCTCCGGCGACCCATTCACTCCAAGCGATTCAAAATCACCACCGTCAACGACTCCGCACGCGCCTTCACGCGCTACTAACCACCGTAGAAGGAGAAGGTCCCGCGGAGTTTAAGGACATGATCGCGAGGAACGACGGAAGAGAGCTACGTAAGTTTGCATGCATGCTGACGTCAAACTCCGATCACTTCTTCGAGATAGTCAACGACAGAGAAGGCTCGAGACGCGTGAGGACACTCCTCGGGAAATCGCAAGAGACCGACGAAATCTTGTTGAACGCTATCGTGCGAAGATTCATCGACGTCATGACCGGAGAACACAGTTACTTCGTTGCGTTACGAGCCATTAACGTTTTCAACGACGCGAGAAGCTCGGTTTTGGTCAACCTCACGCTCCATGACGCGTTTTACTTGGCGAGTGACAAAACCGGATGCATCGCACTAAACCAGGTCATAACCGGATCAAAAGATTTCACCAGGTACGAATTCCTAAACGCAATCGCAAAGAACGCTGATTTGCTGAGCATGGACGATTCAGGGACCTTTGTTGTGCAACATGCGCTTAAGTTCCAAGACTTGCAATGCACAAACGATATAGCGTTGCGTCTTTGTGGTTACTACGTGGAGCTTGCCTCTCAGAGACGTGGAAGCTACATCGTGGAGCAGATTCTTGAGTCGAGGTCGGTGATGGGTTTGGATTTAGTGGTGAGTGAGCTTGTGGAAAGCGGTGGGGCTACGTTGTTGAGGCTGGCTCGGAATGAGTTTGGGAATTACGTCGTGCAAAAGGCTTTGAGAGTCACGTGGAGCGAGCGTAGGGCTGATTTGTATTGGGGTCTCGTTGAGAAGCTGTTGCCTTTTCTTGATATGTTGCGTCGGTCTCACGGAAGAAACATTGCCGAGTTTATCCAGTCCAAACTTGTATGATGCAAATGCAATAGATTGTTTCTAGGTTTATGGTTATGTTGGTAGTATAGTTTTTGCTTGTTTTTTTTTTTTTTTTTCTTTCTTTTGAGAGTAGAGATACGAGAGGTAGTTTCTTCATACCATAAAGTACTAATACATAAGTTTCCTTGTTGAATTGATGATATATATTTACATGCATGTTACACCTTTTTCACATCTTTACTTGGAGTAAAAATTGATGTTACACCTTAAATAATTTCTAAGTCTTAGGTGAGTTTGGGATTACTATTTGCGGATGTTCCACTGGGATTAGGATTACCTCCTCCCGTAGCTCCTTTAGCAGAAGTTAAAACTTGGGAATTATAATAACTTTCAATTGATGATAGATCCATAGTTACTCCTTTCTTCTCAGAAGCCGTCTTCACGAATAGGCTTATAGCTCGAGCCCATTTCACCATAGACCATGTCAGATATCTCCTTTGTTCAAACGTTATCTCCTTCAAACCGCTCTTTTTCATCTCAACCAAAACCTCTCCCATTGACAACAACCCATCCACCAGCCTCCACGGATCCTATATTGAAATGAACATATTGCACATTCTTTCAATTGCTCACATATATATATATCGTATGAATATGTTAATTACTGTCTAGTGAAAAAACTTACCGATGTTCCAACTTTGGTACCATTCAATGCAGAGGAAGCTATGAAGAGTCTCATAGCTTTATACGTAATATTACTCTCTATCGAATACGTTTCAGGTGATAACGTCCTGAAGCCGGCCATGTAATCATTGAGCTTTACGAAGAAATCCTTAAACTCTGCGCTCGCAAGGCACCTAACTTCTAGGTCACGTAAGAAATCTAACATACCTTTGTAAGCGAAAGGCTCAAAATCTTTGCCCATTTTAGGGAAGTTTCTCAAATAAAGAGGTAACGAGAAGGGCTCTTGTGTTTTATTGGCAACTTCTTTAGAAAGAGATATATACGTAGGGTCGATATCGTTGATTTCAAACTGTGATAGGTCGATTAATTTTCCATTAATCTCGGAGACTGTCTTCACAAATAGACCAACCCTTGTAACCCATTCACTCATTGACCCATACAAAACCTCCCATTGTTGAGGAGATATTACCATATTCGTAGTGCTCTTCCTCAACTCAACAGAAACCTTTTCCATTGACACTAAGGCCTCGATCAGCCTCCACGAATCAAACTATCATCCAAAAAAGAAAAAGAAAAACATTTGTTCATTTAAATTAAAATTCATGCTTTGCATTTGCATACCATATGATTGTTGATATCGAATGAAAACTTACCGATGTTCCTTCTTTAGTACCCTTCAATGCTGCCATAGCCATGAAGAGCTGTTCCTTCTGGATGTCTATTGATCCGGATGATGCAGGTTTAAAGCAATTCGATGTGTAATCTTTCAGCTTTGTAAAGAAATTCTTGAACTCTAGGGTTGTGGGAGACTTTCCCTCCAAGACACCTACGAAATCTATCAAACCTTTGGAGGCGTATGGCTCAAACTCTTTGGTCATTTTGGGAAAGAGATGCAAATAGTCAAGCAATGAGAACGTCCCTTGAGCTTGTGTTTCGTAGACATCGCTTAATCCAACAAGTAACATTAGACATACCGCTAATGAGATTCTTCTCCCCATTTTATTCTTAAGAAGGACAAAAACAAAAAAAAACTAGAAAATAAACAAAGTGAAGAAAATACTATTGTTTGGAATGAATATGGTTTCTATGAGAACTCGGTTTATATAGATGTTTTGAAACTCTAAAATCTATACTAACAAAATGAATGTGAAGAAAATGGTCGATAGATTTACGGTAACGAGTGGTTTAAATATAGAAATTTGCAGCAATGTCTGTTGGTTGACGCTTTTCTCTAGATCTTTTTGTTGTTGAAAGGATCAAATTTTCTTCATCAGACTATATTTAACTAGAGGTGAGAGAATAGATTGATTTACACCACCATTTACAATGAACAATCTACATTTATTGTCTACAAAAGATGTCACATTTCCAAAACTGTAGGGTTTTAAAAATCTATGGGCCCAAAGTAAAGCTTTCGGTGGAACGTTTTGGTTTAGATCCCAAGTTTTGTTTCCGATTTGTCTGTTTATCTCAGACCAATCCCTTGCAATTTTGAAGAATGGCAACAATTGTGATACATTTCTTGCAATTTTGGTACCAACTGTTTTAGATTTCAGCTTGACAGACAAATCTCACACTAAATTGTTTGTTTGTCAGAAATATAGCAAACTGATAAACTAAAGATGAAATATGCAAAGACATGAATTAGAAGATTCTACTCAAACCCAATGATTCTCTTCAATCCAGGAAACAAGCCAGAAAACGAAGGAGGAGACATAGAAGAAGGAGGCTCGAATGTTTTGTCAGAAACCAAACACTCTTCTTCCACCATTTCCTTTACAGATCTAACAGATAGAGGCTGAAAATCAACACCCCACTCATCCACAAACTCTCTAACCAGAAGGAATTTCTCTTCTTCTCCGATCTTCCTCCATTTCATCCTCATCTCTTCCTCTTTCAAATCCACATGCCGACAAAACTCTCCCCATAGAATCTCACCGCTCTTCTTCATCGCTTCCCGTCTCTGTTCCGACACCGTGTTCGCTTTCCCGATTTCTCTCGCCAAATCCTTGGCCAGCTCCGAATCGCTCATACTTTTCTTCTTCTTCTTCTTAGGCTTCCTCATCCTCCGGCTGCTGATGATGTCATCGTCTTCTTCGTCTCTCCTTATGCACTGAATCCGGTTTACGGGTCGGGTCAACACACGGCCAAATTCGAGATTTCGATTTCGATTAAAGCTAGTGCTTTGAGGAAGAAGATTTAGTAATCTCAGCGACATTTTTCGGCGGCTCTCCTCTGTTTCTCTCTCTCTCTGCCCTTTATCCCAATTCCCAAATGTTAATAGTGTATCATTAATTCATTATCCGATCAACAAATAAATTTAACCATCAATTTATTAGATACTGTTAGACTTACAACTGTGTTCTGTACTAGAATATCACAATTGTGTTCTGTTCTGCACAAAGAGATGCTACAAAATTTTATCAAAAATGAATCCTTTAAGTAATGGACTAATCCAAAGGTGGAACCTTTTAGATAGTTGGGAACTTCCACAGAACAAACAAGCTAAATGTGTTTGAGAAGGTGTGTATCTTCGGAAAGAAACAAAAATCCTACAAAAGTTTCATCATTTACAGTAAAAATGAATCCTTTCCCATGGAAGTCTCAGTTTTTTACTCTGAAAGTGTCTTCACTCTGTTTTGGAGTTAGTGAGAATGAGTTGGGCTAAGATATCGACCCATGTGTCGGGAACACCAGGAAGGCACCAATGCATACAGTCTTGTCCCCAAATGGCCACCGCGTCCTGTTTCCCTAACCAGATAGCTGGATGAGCATCTGCTCTGAATTCACTTAGATGGGTCACATCGAGCAGCTTGATCTCTGTGGTTTGCAACTCCTTCTTGATGATTCCGTTAATCCTTCTTGCTTCTTTGTTCACTCCGTTGTTCCTGGGATCAAACCACAAGTCAAGCTGTCTAGGTCTTAGCATCCACATCAAACCAGAGAAGAGAAGCAAAGACTGAGATATAGAAAACAGGGGCTTGCTCAATAAAAGCATACCTGGTTTTCGTCGAGTGGTTTATCAAGCAAACAACTTCCATTTTGGTTCCAGTCACCGCCATAGAAATGCCTTGGTGACTGCAAGCGCCAGAACTTTAGTGTCTTTGCTGGGACTTCTCGTTGGATATATGAAACCATATGTTGAAGAACTACTTCAAATCCTTGCATTATATCAAGAGATGGATCTATTGGCTTTCCCTCCCGATAGAAGACAAGAGGTGTCTCTTTAGGAAACTTATCGTAACCCCACCTACACCCCAAATACTCTTGAACAATTCCTTCACAAAGTTGTAAACAACACATAGAGAGAGAAAGGTATCAACTGTTTACCAATGGCCAGAGTTAAATATGAGAACATCGTAGAAGCTAGTGACGTTGATCCACTCATCTGCAGGAACATCGACATCTACTTTATAGATTCCTTTAACTCCGTCTTGATTAGCTTCTGCAGAAGGTATCGGCTGCGACCTTTATCATATCAGTTTAGAAAACCATAAGGCTGGACATACAAAACACATTCATTTTTTTTATCCTCATCTGCATCTGCCTCTGAAATGTCACCATTAAAGAGGTACCTAAATGTAAGCACTACAACATTCAATTCAAATGCAATGCAAGCTCGCTACGATGAGAACATTCGCCTTCGAATCTAAAGGAGTGAGTCTAAGTCTCACAGCAAACACTGAACTTAAATCCAATAATGGTCATCACCATGAACAGTAAAGCAATCTATAAACCTCAAATTGACCTACTCCAAGTATCAATCAATAAACACATTCATGAAAAGTGGATGTAGATTTTATCTTAGAGATTCACAGCTCAGTATATGGAATGAAATTGAAATTCTTGTACGAAATGAACATTTGCAAAACAACCAAACAAGCCTATATCAAGAGAGTGATCCTTAGAATCTTACTGATATTTGGCGAGAAGAACAGCTCGGTGATAGGCAACAGTGACATTGAATTTAGGGAAATAAGCTCCACGCCAAGCTTTTTTCTTCTTCCACTTGACAGCACTTGGATCAGCCATTCTAAGTATGCACAGGAACGAAACCAAGAAATTCTCGTTCAGAGAATCCCCTACGAACCCAATGTTCCTGTTCCTCATCCGCCCTAGGAATCGGGTCGGGTCAATTCGACTCAATCCGCAGCCATCGGGGACCCATCTCCACGAATTGATAGCACCCATGTTTTCTCGCTTGTTCCGTAAGCAATTCCAAGCGTTTCTGTGGAATGGGCAAGTATCGTCGTACATAGGTTTCGGAGTTTCTTCTGGATTGAAGACCCATCGGCCGGAGAAGAGATCGCACGGCGGAGGAGATGCGAGGTTTGAAGTGATCGGACGGCGGAGAGGAATTGTGGAATATAAGATGAGTAAGAGGAGAGAAATGAGTAAAATACGTGGAACAAGTGAAGATCGGAGCTTCGACGGCATCGGCGTGTAGATTCGTCTGGATCCCAACTCCATCGATTCACTCGAAATTTCAAGGAGAAGACGAAGTGTGTTCACCTCACTGCAATTTCTCGGTTTACCACTGTTACAGTTGCGGTTTAATTTCTGGGTTTTGGTTTAAATTCTATTTCGATTTTTGGTTTGATTTTGACTTGGTTTAAGACTTTCGGTTTTAGATAATTAGTTTTTTAATTGAAAAAAAAAAAAAAAGCCGGAATGATTTTAAGCAAATTCGCTTTTAGAGTTTTTTTAGTTATTTTTATAACTTTTCTAACGTTGAAAATGGAAATTCTTATGAAAAAAAAGAAAAGATAAGAAGGAAATTATGAACAAAACACGTAACCAGGATTATCGAAAAATAATATATGAATTAATGAGGAAAGTCACAATAAATCCCACCTCGAAAGGAATATGGAAACTCGAACGAGTCTCACTTGGATTATAATTAGGAACACAAAACCCACCTTAAAAAGGAAAAGAAAGGTCTATAAAAATATATAAAGTTATTACTGATCCAGCATTCATCGTTCAAACACCACACATACACACACACACACACACACGCACAAAAAACTCTTTGGACTAATTCCCTCGAATTATGGAGAGCATCTACTACAACTTTGAGCCACAAACCAGGGGGTGCCACAACCACAAAGTAATGACTAGTAGCCATAAAGTTTACGAGGACGAGTTCCTTAGGATTGTCTCAGCCTCCTCCGATGAGCTCCATAACTTTGCGAACACGCTAACGTCAGATTTAGATCTCTTCGTCGAAATCATGAGAGACGAAGTAGGCTTGAACCGCGTCATGAGAATCTTAGGAATATCAGACCATATCAACACGATACTTTTCTACCCTATCATGATCAAACTCCCAGAGATTATGACGCATGAACGTGGCAAAGATTTGGCGTCACGAGTCCTAGACGTTTGCCACATACACGAAAAGAACATGTTTCTCCAAACCACGTACCGTCACGGCCTCGTCTTGGCGCGTGACGTAAACGGTTGCAGCACACTCAAGAAGGCCATAACAATAGCTGATGATGTCTTCAAATCCGATTTCCTGAAGCTAGTCGCATGGCACGCTCACTCGCTAAGCGAGGACGATTTGGGAATCTCCTTAATCCAACATGTGCTTAACCTCGACTATACGCGGAAAACCACAGAAGACGACACGCGCTTGCACGAGCTAATGGGAGAGTTTGATGAGATTCGACCGACATGTGATACAGGGGAGCTTCTTAAGCTTGCCTCGAAGCTGACGTCAGATTCTGATCTCTTTGTGGAGTTTGTCAAAACAAAACGAGGCTCGCTCATGGTTCAGATAACCCTAGGAAAATCAGAAGAAGTCGACGCAGTTTTATGGGAAGCAATCAAGCGAAGCTACACCGATCTTGAAACCAACTATCTCGGCCATCTCATCATCTTACGAACCATAAGCGTTTCCGAGAAAAGAGGAAACTTGAGAGTGTTTGAGCAAATCCTACGCCTAATTGGATACAACGCTCTCTACCTATCCAAGGAACCTAATATGGGAAACGTCGCCGTACAACTCGCAATTAATCTCCACAACTTGGACTGTACGGAATTCATCGCGTGTGGGCTTTAAGGCCACTACATTGAGCTTTCCTTTCTGAAATATGGACACAACATTGTGGCGAAGCTCCTCGGTGAAGATGACGATTTGGCTTTGATGTTTATCGTGATGGAGATTGTCAAGTGTGATGATGAAGATACGTTGGTGAGATTGGCTAAGGATGGATACGGGAATGGTGTTTTGAAAAAGACTCTACAAGTTGCGAAAGAGCATATGGATAATTTGTTTGATGATCTTGTTGACAAGCTAAAGCCTCTTCTTGATAGCTTGCGTGGGTCTCGTGCAGATAACATTGTAGCTCTCATATCCGGTCAGAGTTTGGATGATTAGCTTATTAGGTTTTTTATCCTAGATTATTTTTTTTTTGGATTTTGCAAGACTTTAATTTACTTGGTTCTCTCTTCTTAATCCCTTTCAAATTTGTAAGAGAAGTTTTCGTTTAATTCTAGTGTTTCATGGAACTTTCCTTCTGTACCGCATGTTTTTTTTGAGTACTTGAGATTAGGTTAGGATTATTATGATTATTATGCGTGTTATACTTGAGGTCAGGTTAGGACATATTTTACTCTCATTTCAGAAACATAAAAAACGTAGGTATTCTCCATACCTTAAAAGTACTAAAACATAAATCGAATTAACGGGAATCCATCCGAAGAAGAAGAGACGAAAGTGTGGTTCGCGGTTCAACCGGTTATTGTAAATCGGTTTGTATTTTCCGGTTTAAACTCTACTTCTGTTTTTATTTTGATTTTTCTCTTGGTTCTTGGCTTTTCCGGTTCAATTGATTAGACTCTAAACTACAGAAACATATTAGGGAGAGATTATTGTGAAGTGGAAATGAAATCAAATGGATAGATGAGGTGTGGATAACGATATTGGATGGTTCAAAATGTAAAAGAGTACAACTTTGGTTCCTATAGAGTTTTGTTTTGGCTTGGTTCGAACCTCTAATCATATGAAGCGGACCCAGATGGTTCGTATACGTGGTTAGCAAAATTACCAGTTTTTCTCTCCACATTTTATTTATTTTTCTGAGTCGTCCCCATTGGTCAATTGCATGGATCCAAAACAATTAAAGGATAATTGCGCATCAAATCAAACAATTAATCAAACTAATCTCCTTCTCCTACTTCATTCCCATCTTCTCTCCTCCGCCTCCTTTGCTGTATCTTCTCGAATCTCCTGTAAGTCAACATCTGTGTGTGTATCTATGAATCTGTATTCCTCTATGTGAGTGAGTAATTCTGTGAAAGTCGCTTACTTTTCTGGGTCATTTTGTCACCATAGTCGTCTGCATTGCGTCTCGTATTCTCATTCAATTGTGTGATTTTGAGCGTTAGATTTACTTCATTTCTTGGTTTACTCACAAGATCTCATATGACTCTGTTCATCCGTGAATTGAGTTAAATCTCGTCTTTGATGATTTGAGTGATTCTTCTGGATTTGAGTGGTGTTTTTATCTCTCCAGTCTCTTACTTGAGTTTTGATTTTCTGTACAAAGTTACTTGATTCTACCCTTTAGGTCTCTGATCCGGATATTGTCAAAAAAAAAAAAACGAAACTTTAGTCTTAGAACAGTGTGCTTGCTTGTAGTTTTTTTTTTATCTGATTGATACAGAATTTGTTGTTTTTACGCCTTGTATATGAGATCAATGCTTGATTCAGTTTGCAGAAATGGAGACTGGTGCTGGTATAGGTCTGTACCCTTTGCACCGCTGCAAAACCATCTACCTAGTGAGTGGTTTTTTTATCTCATTTAGCTGATATATCTATCATTTCGTAAGATTCAAGATGATTTAATGTCTGAACCTGTTCAGGTGAGACATGCTCAAGGGATTCACAATGTTGATGGAGAAAAGAACTATAAGGCGTACATGTCTCACGAGTACTTTGATGCAGAGCTGACCCAACTTGGGTGGCAACAAGTACATAAAGAAACCTCTTTAGCAGATGTAAAACAGATCATACAGTTGAGTTTCAGTTCACTGAATTGTAGGTTCTTTTGGTGACAGGTAGATAGTTTGCGTAAGCATGTTCATTCCAGTGGACTTCACAAGAAGGTCGAGCTGGTCATCTCGTCTCCACTTATGAGGTACTTCAGACATTTTCGTGATTGCAGAGATCTTTAGTGCCTTTCCATTTAGTGAACTTTGGAAGATGTTGAAATCGGTTTGACAATGTTTTGGTTCTATATGTAGAACAATGCAAACTGCTGTTGGTGTATTCGGTGGAGAGGGCTACACAGATATGAGTGATGTACTACCTCTAATGGTAGCAAATGCAGGAAACAGCAGCCGTGCAGCAATTTCGAGTTTAAACTGCCCTCCAATTATTACAGAGGAGTCCTGTAGAGAACATTTGGTATGCCTTTTCAGTTTACTAACATACTTAGCCTAGAGAGAGAGACTGGGATGTTGAGAAATATGCTTAGCTTCATCATCAGGTTTTCATGTTTGGATTCGATTTTGTTGGACACAGGGAGTGCATCCATGTGACCAGAGGAGAAGTATCAGCGACTATCAATTTCTTTTCCCAGCAGTTGACTTTTCACTGGCAAGTAAAAATTGAGAGCTTTAGATGTGCCTGGCATTGATTATTACTTGTAATCTTCTGGTTGCTCAATTAAACTACTAGCAGCGTACAACTCCTCGCACAAGTGACTTGTATGTGCATCAAATGACTCCTCTCGTTTTGAATCTGCGTTTCAGATAGAAAGCGACGAAGACAAGTTATGGAAGGCTGATGTTAGAGAAACAATCGATGAACTTGCAGCTAGAGGCAAAAAATTCCTCAACTGGTAACTTTCTCACCTAAAAATTACATGTAGAATGTGAATAACCTCCATTAGGCTTATGGGAAACAAAACTGAGTTTGATGGGTGGTTTTGGATTTTGTAGGCTATGGACAAGGAAAGAGAAAGAGATAGCGATTGTGACACACAGCGGATTCTTGTTTCACACATTGAATGCACTACAGAATGAATGTCATCCAGATGTTAAGAAGGAAATTTGCAGCCAGTAAGCTCCAAACACTTCGTGAGGAAACTTTTAATCTATATTGGGTTTGTAATATTACATTTGTTTTGCAGCTTTGCAAATTGTGAGCTACGTTCAATGGTCATCGTCGATAGGAGGTTTGGAATTTCTTCGTTCATTTTTCTTCCCATGAGCTTTTATCCGTTAAAATGTTCTTGAAACAACTTTTCCTCCATGTTTAAATTCATAGTATGCTGGGGTCGGACGTATCAGTGACTGATTATCCAGGAAAGATACCAAAGGGGATTGATCTTCCAAGTGATGCGGTTGTAGAAGACAATATCAAAGGTGAGTGATTATATTCAAAGCCTTGTTTCACATTGTTGAAATCAACTTTCGACTTATCTATACACAAACCCAACTTCTTTGTTGTATGCAACTCTGTCATTAGTCTTAATATTGAGATGCAAAAATTCTTGGTGACAAGTTTGATTTATGTTTTGCTTAATTTGGAGTAATAAGAGTGATTATTAAAAAAAAAATTGTAGATGAGATCGTTAGAAAGTAAATGATGTCCTCTTCAAGGCTATATCATCTGGTATAATTTTCTTAAAAAATGATCATAGTCATTAGTCAATGTAAGAGATTAATACAATATGTTTTTATAGCACAAGAATCGTCGAATTGTTTTACCTACATGTATTTTGCTAATAATCGTATAAATATCAGATTACCCTGAAAACAAACACGACCAATCCAAATGTAACACACATTAAATAATGAGAGAAAATATTTTGCCTTTTGGCTTTTTCATTTCTCTAGCAAATCCGTAAGAGATGTCTTTGTGTTGAGAACATCGTGATAAACAGCAGGTTTCTTTGTGACTGGAGCCAGTTCCTGAGATACCACAATCAACACACCATCAGTGAAAGGTTTTACTAGTAAGAAATTTCAAAAAATGGAATCGACCATAACACTGCCATATCGAAATTGATGGACCGGTTACAGAGAGAATATACCTCAACAGCAGCAGCTAAACCAAGGATTGTAGCTTCGGCCCAAGGTCTTCCCATTATTTGCAGTCCTATTGGAAGTCCTTCCTTATCATACCCAATCTGTATTGTTTTTTGAAAGAGAGAGTGATTAATCACAAAGAAGATATAATGATTACTGCACGAAGGAAATAAGTTAGACGAACACGATAATAGATCTAAGTTCTGTTGATATGTGTACGACTCCACTCAAGAGACTACTAATAGAATTGCTTACGGGGATAGATATGGCCGGGAAGCCCAGGAGATTTGCAGCTTGAGCAAAGCGCATTAAATAAGCTAGAAAAAATAATTAATTTGAATATCAGAAGTTGAACACTCTGCTGTAAATTTATGTACTCCAAATAATACAAGTTTACATCAAATGTGACGAAGTTGAGAGCTATGTTTGAGTGAAAAACCTGTGACTTGGAAATTGGTTTCTCCATTTTTGAGAGCATCAGGGGGTATCAAAGGGGCTGTCATGCTGTTTTTACAAGACAACATTTTTCAGAAACAAAATTGAAAGCATTTGTTCGTTAATGTACGTTGACAATGGGTAATTAAATTATCACTTCATAGAATTTTTTAACGAACCCAGTTGTAGGGGTCACAATGACATCAACGTTTTTGAAGATATCCATGTGATACTCCATCAATCTTCGCCTGCAACAAAGAAATTCTATAAGAAAACGTTGTATGTTCTAGCTGAAGCAACCAGGCCATGACACTTCACTCGGTCAAAACGTATTTCCTTAGGAAATCAAAAACGAAAGGTAGTTTACCTAAGACACTGAGCAGCAATGTAGTCTGCAGCAGAGAACGACCGGAATATTGCAAAGCTGGTACGAGTGTCATAAGATAACTTTGAATTCTTCCTGAAACATTAAGACAATGGTGAGAATTTTTAGACCAGTGTTGTAATATGTTCCGTTGACGATAGAAACAGAAAGGGGATATAGAGATTCACTGCTAGCTACTGAAATCACATACCCAGCCTCACAGTAAGGAGTAAGAGAAGACAGTGACGCAGACCCAATCGAAATAACATGGGCTGCACGCATCTCTTCCAGTTCAGGAATCACTATCTCCACCACCTGCAACCGTACCATATTAGAGACTAAATAGCTAAAAAGAATTTTATTAACGGAGGATATGTATAGTGAGATAGACGTATTGAAATGATCAGCTTACTTCGCAACCATGGTTGTTTGTTAGGAGCTTAAGGATATCTTCGCATTTGTCAGAGATGTCACTTGAATTAACATCATTAAACCACTGCATGGACAACAAAAGCGAACTACATATATGACACTGAACTAATAAAACCGAACTCAGATCAAACTAGCAGGGATATAGAATATTTACCGTAGTATATTTCCCTAGTCGTAGAGATCCTATAGCATTGCCTCCGTTGTGAGACAATAACTTCGGAAAACAGGGTGGTGTCTACACAATAAATGAGACCATTTAACAAATGACTATATGTCCTACTTTTCCATTAGGATTTACAGAGTTCTGTCTAGAATAAATATTGGCTGAAGAAGTTACCGGTTTCAAACTGAGTCTATCAATAGATGAAGAACCCAAGATAGCTGCATACCTGGAACACACACACAAAGCCACATTAGCCAACAATCCAGATTTACCTGAAGACCAGATAATGAAAGAATACAACAATAACAGGAAACCATTCACTAGGCTAATTAGTCTCAACAAACTTACACCAAGAAGGCATCTTCCAGAGATGAAGCAAGTGGACCAATTATTTCCACTGTTCCACCTGCACATAGTGACCTGTAGAGATGACAACAGCCAAAATATAAATCATATGCCATTTAACACCATATCACACCATAAACTCTTACCCTGTCATATCTGTCCGACCATATGTTGTTTTCAGTCCCGTTATACCACAAAGTGATGCAGGGATGCGAACAGAACCTGCATTTCAAGACACGACTAAACATACTAAGTAGCCAAATCATAAGTCAGATAAAAAAAAATATCAAAATAACTTTGATATACCTCCGCCATCTGTTCCTAGAGCAGCTGAACATAGTCCAGCGGCGACAATAGCTGCTGAGCCTGAGGAAGATCCACCTGTGTACCTTTCAGGTGCGTGTGGGTTTCTTGTGGTTCTGCAATGCACCATACCACAAGAAACACATTGAACTAAACCGTATCAGATTGCATATTTCATACAAACAAGATTTGTGCATTCTCTACTGTGTCTCTTACCCGTAATTCGAATTGTTCCCTGTGGTACCCATTCCTAACTCATGCATATTGGCCTTGCCAAGCAAGATTGCTCCACAGCTGCGCAGTCTTGAAACAACTACTGAATCCTTCTCCACAGAACGATCCTCATGCAGCCAGGTTGTTCCACCTTGTATAATGACAAAGCCTTATAACAAGGCCTGTCGTAACTGAAAGTATTTTAATTAACATAAGAATGTCATACTCACCCTTTGTCGGATGGGGTAAACAATCAATATCATCCTTGATTGTCACAAAAATTCCATCCAAAATAGATATTGGACTTCCTACACAGCTCACAACAAACATGATCAATACAGATCTCTACAATCACGTTGAAACCTCACTGAAGCTAATACTTTAAGAATTACCTTCTTGAAACCTAAGTGTAGAAGCTTCAGCTTGCTTTAATACGTCATTGGCATCAAACTTAACCAAAAATGGTGTTGGAGGTTTGTCATAGTTAAACTCCTTTATTATTGAGATTATTTGTTTTGCTACCTACCAATTCAGCAACAAGATTCTCTGTTTATACCAAAAAAAGAGAGAAGTAAATGACAAAATCAAGATGACTAACTAACCTCAGAAGGAGTTGTGAGGTTAGATCTATAAGCATGTGCATAATCACGTATCTTCCAGTACCGGAAGGTCGGCTTTGGATCTGCGTGCAAGCTACGAGAAGGATCATACTGAGGAAGACACTTCAAGGCTGTTTCCAATCTCTCTATAGGGCTTTCATCTTCGTCAACAATGACAACATCAAGCTCCGGTTCTAATTAAAAATCATGCACACAAGCATCTTTTTGAGATTTGTATAATGATTACCAATTGAAGTAAAGGAAGCCTACACAATATTCCATATAAGTAAACAAATGAATGGTAAAGAAGAAGAACATACTCTGAGGTGGGAACTCCGGTCTAAACATGGGTTCTTCTGGTATAACTGTGTTGCGAAAAATCTAGGCAAACCAGCACATAACTATGGAGAGTGAAGACCAGTAACAAAGGCAAATGATACTCAAAAGTCATTTTGATCAAAAACAGACCTTAGTCATGCCATTGCTCTTCTTCAATGAATCTACAATCAGTGAACCTATAAGCGGTGCTTCAAGCACGTTAGCGAACAACTTGAACGAAAACCCAGTCAAATGAGGTGCTGCAAAAAGAAAGTACATAAAACCATGTAAAAATCACAAGTAATCAACCAAATACAGGAAATTCAGGTAAATCAAATCAGCATTGTGTGACCGAACCTTTGATGTCTTCTGCTTTATATTTGACAGCAGAAACATCAACCTCATTTGCCGGTGTCATGACATGATACTTACCCATCTACAGACAAAAGTATCAACCAAGAAAAGGACATTAAAAAGTTTGGATGATCTAACGGATCACTGGAGAAATTTACAAAAACACGGCAAATTCACAAACACAAAATCGAATCAAAACGGACGAGTCATTGTTCTAAAGTTCCAGAATCCCAAATTTCAGAATCAGAGCAAAATAGCAGGAACAAAAAGACAAGATAATGGCGACGAAACTGATGAAATTTCCGACAACCGCGGTAAGAGAAAAACATCGGCGAGAAAACAAAACCTACTTCGACCTAAGAGCATCGAGAATCCAAGCATTGAGAAGAAAGAAAATACGAGGAAATCAGAAGAACCAAAAAAAAAAAGTCAAAAAACCTTAAGCAGATTCGGAAACCAGGATCCGAGCTAAACGAACAGAGCTTGTGGAAGATTCAATCTCAGATTGCGAACTTAAAAGAGGAATCAGAGAAGGTTGATCCAATTCTGGGGGGAAGTAAAGAAGCCGAGCGGATGAGCGTTGAAGTTGTTGAAATCATGAATGGTGACTTCAAATAGCGTCTCATTTGTGTTACCGGGTTGGTTTTTTTGTATATAAATAATCCTATTGGACTGGTCCCGGTTGCTGACATGTTCCAATCCAATCACGTTTCTCAAAGTTAACGAAATTGCCCTCTTGTCGTGTTAAATATGATTTTGGCCCATTAATTAATAATGAGTCTTCTCAACTCCTAACCACTGTACATATCCAATACAAGTATCAGCCACAGTGTATGAGTTTGGTCATCTGGAAAACTGGTTTTGTTCGGTTGGTTTAGGTGCGAACTGGTTTACTGGATTATGCTCTGTTTTTGTTTCTATTGGTTTCTATTTTATTCAGCATTCGAATGATGGCGTTGCTGATTATGTCGCAAAAACAGCTTTAGTGGCTGTAAGCCTGTAAAACGGTCTTCTCTGCTTCTAGATGACGAACTATCTTATTTATATAAAGTTTGACCCCAGCAAAAAAAATCGAACTAACTTTTTGGTTCGTTACAATATTCAAATATTATTATAGCAAGAAAATTATCCATAGAAGAGTTATAACAGATTTTTAATTCAACTTTTCATAATTATGATATCATTTATCTAAATAATCAAATAGTGTAACTGTTTAGTAGTATATCATTAGTGAAGTGGAGAGTTTTGGTTGAACATGAGTTTGTGTTGGACATCTTTGCCTAAATTGGTTTGGTTGACTTAACCAGGCCACGATATAAGCACGACATGATATATGACTGATCGAGCAACATCGTACCGAGCCGACTAGTCATGACGTTTATTTAATTTCGGAATTAAAAATCTCAAACATTGATTTTGCGTAGCATCGGAAGAAATACTAACTATCAAGGCTCGCAAACATGTTTTGTAATTATTGTGAATAGAAAATAGTTACATTGATTCCGAAAATATATATGTAAATTTTTCTACCATCAATGATTACACCTTAGGCATGCTGGTGAAATACGTCTGAAATAAGTTGGAATAATTATAACAGTTTGAACACTTACAATAAGGTGCAAGTTGACATTAAACTATGGTATAGAAGAATAAACAACTGAAAAGTGGAACCGGTCTTGGACACATTTCCATGAAGTACTTGTATGAAATGTTTTTGTCAACATCGCGTAGATTTTTAAACAGGAATATGAACCCATTTACAATTATCTTCTAGATAACATATAGGAATTTCAGTAATTGTTGTTTGTCATTTTTTTCTTACCAAAAGACTGCAATAAAACATAATCAGCTAGAAACCAAATCTAAGCAAATCTAAATCTCACTAAATATTTCTCCACCCAAAACAAACAAACAAAATCCAAAAAACTGAAACCAGAAACACAATCCTAAAACAAATCTAAAGTCGGGCCAAAGATTGAAGACAATGACCCTTTTTGTGTTTAGATCTTATTTTACGACTCTTAATTAGTAATTTAACAGTTAAACAAAACACTGCTTAACTAGTTGTTGATAGCTTAGAAAAAAAATGTAAAATATGCCTTTCTTCTTCTTCAACGTCGAAGTATCAAACGCACTGGTTGGACCCACCACAGTGTACTACAGTGTTCCAAAAAGTCATAACTATTAAACTGCGGAGAGATCCAGCTAACATGACAGACCGTCACACAACCTCATCACCGCCTTAAACTCATAAATCTGACAGGCCACGTGTAACAGAGCAATAAGTTCACGTACAAACGTCCTGTCGAGTTAACATTTTCCAACACCACCGTTTCGACATGATAATTAAAACCAAAAACCATTTCAGAGTCTCCTCCATTTCTTTCTAAAACTCTACTCATGAATTAAGGCAAAAAAAGGGAAAAACAATTCGCGAGATGGAGAAATTCTCGTACAACTCCTATCCAGATTCGACTGACTCGTCGCCGAGATCTCGCGAAATCGATTTCGACAACCCGCCGCCATGGGATGATCAGAACCAGCAGCCGCAGCCGCAACAGAGCTACAAGGTGAAGTTCATGTGCAGCTACGGCGGCAAGATTCAGCCGCGTCCTCACGATAACCAGCTCACTTATGTAAACGGCGAGACAAAGATTCTCTCCGTCGATCGCGGGATCAGATTCCCCGTCCTAGCTTCGAAGCTCTCCGCCGTATGCGGAGACAGCGGCGGGGACGTTCTGTTCAAGTATCAGCTTCCAGGGGAAGACCTAGACGCCTTGATCTCCGTTACCAACGACGACGATCTGGAGCACATGATGCACGAGTACGATCGCTTGCTTCGTATGTCGTCCAAGCCTGCGAGGATGCGTTTGTTCCTCTTCCCGGTTTCCTCCGGTTCCGTCGGGTTTGGATCGGAGGGCTCGACTCAATCGGACCGGGATCGGTTCGTGGAGGCGCTGAATACAGTTCGCACCCGGCCCGAATCGGAGAAGCCCGTAACCGCTCCTTCGAATAATGCGGATTTTCTGTTTGGATCGGAGAAAATCGCAGCTCCGCCGCCACCACCGCCTGAGGTAATCCTACCGGTGCCGGTGGCGCTGGAGCCTCCTATATTCAATGATCCGCGAGTGATTCCACCGGATCACGGCGTAAATCCGGCGGAAATTCAAAGACAAATGCATGACTTTCAGAGGATGCAGATTAGGGATCAGGAGCAACAGCAATTACTTCAACAACAGGAAGCTGTATACCGGAGGAAGAGCGAAGACGGTCTACTGGAAACCGGAGGTTACTTCTCTCCGCCGTACGCCCAAAACCCGCCGCAACCGACGATTCCTCAAACCAATCCACCTGCTCCTCCGATGACTTTCTGGCAAGGAAACCACAATCCAGGAGGCGTATTTCCAACAACCGCGCCAGGATTAGGATTACCGGAGCAGCAGCCGGTTTACATGATCCCCTCTCCATCTCCATCTCTACATCCCGGGACTGTATACCACGCGCCACCCCCACCGCAACCGCAAGGCGTCATAAGACCAATAGCTACAGGACAAGTAAACCAAGGCGGTTACTATCCTCCGGTACAGCAGCGAATGTTTTCAGAACAACACCAACCGGTTTACAACGTGGCTCAGTCTCAGCCACAACCACTTGTAGGAACAAAGGTACAACAACCTCCTCCGCCTTTTACCTCCGGTCCTCCTCCACCGCAATACGCTGCCATTGCGCCACCACGGCAGGTCGTTGGATTACCGGATACAACTACGTTTACTCAGGTAACTTACGCCGGCGGAGGAATGGGGAAACAAGTATACTATACGGAGGCAGCTCCTCCACAGTACCATGGAATTGGCTTGCCTGTGAGTGGTATGAACGAATTGAGAACTGGACCGGACGGGAAGCTTGTTGCTATGAACATGGCACCACCGAAAGTTTCATCGCAGAATTCAGATTCGGCAGTGTGATGTGGTATCATGGTTTACTCAGATTATTGTTTAATCCATTTACAAACAGCATCATATATATTGTGTAATCGAGATCACTTTTCTATTTGTATGTCTGATAAATAATGTTTTTCTTTTATAATCTACATGTTCTTGATTCTGCAATTTCTATACTTTTTTTACCAGTCTCTTGTGCATTCTATAATTTTGTTGTTGTTGTTGTTGTTCTTTTGTGTTGTGACTGTGTGTGCGCGCCTTTTTACCTTTTTCATTTTGCTATATGTCAACAAGATTAGGTTATCTGAAATTAAATTATTGGATTGGACTTGTATATTAAATAAATTATTTTGGGTTGTTGTACATGAGAACTGATGGAAACTGAATCATGTTCTTAATGGAAAGATCAACATTTGAAACTCAATAATTGGATGCTTTATAACGACAAAACTAATACGATTGGATTTTTCGTTAAATGGTTTAAACTAGTAGAGGATGCCGTGTCATGAATCATAATGTTAGCCAAATTGAAATTGTATTTATTTTCTACGTTATATGATTTAAATTAAGAAGAATCGATGATCCACGAAAAGTCTCTTTTTAGAGACAGGTGTTGTGAAAGGATGTGATATTTAGTTCGGGGGTTTTGAACTTTTGAGAATCCTCCGAAGAAAAGAGACAGCTTTGCTCACTCACTTATCGCCCATGTTGTCGTGAACCATTTTGCTGTATCTTTCCAAATTTCCCCACTAAACGACAATCATTATGCATCATAATCATCATCGAATTCATATATCAAATCAAAACCCCAAATAATATTTATAACAAAGAAAATTCAACAGAATAACATTATGAGTTTTAAGTTTTAACATATTCTGAACCTGCAACAATAAACAACCTGAAGAAAAAAATTGAAAACAAAACCGTTGAACTATCTCAAACATCTCTCGAGTACAGAGTGACAATGTAAAATCGTTTGGTAAGGGATGTAGAAATTCAGACTAGGAGGAAGTTGAAACTTGTGGTTCCAAGTTTCCTTCATCAAAAAGAAGAACAAAATTAAAGGAAAAGAAGGTTTGCCTCTGGTGATTCTTGCTGTGGCTTGTGTTTATTCCTCAGTTTTCTTGAATTTCAAGAACGTATCACCAAGTGCAGTTTCACAAGCTGTTTGACCATCTGGTCCCAAACCCTCGAGGAGAGACTTGGTGAGTTTCAACGAAGAGACCATTTGAAAGATCCTGCCACAGGACTTACGCACCAGAGCTCTCCTTGCGTGCTTATCGGGCATCTTTCCAACAAGCCCTTTAATCAAATGACTCAGATTCTCCAGATAGGTCTCCATTTTTTGCTTCGAGTCTTCTTCGGTGTCTACGTTTATAGGAACCAGCGATCTCAGAGTTTCAGTGATCAACTCAAGAGATTCCACTCTACGGTAGTCAAACTTGGTAGTCCCGCTCTTCTCCAGAAGAAGTCCAAACAGTTGGTGTGCAATCCATGGTCTCCTTCTAAACACTTGCTCAAGGAAGTCTATCTTCATCTGAGACTTCTTGGTATCAAAGTACCCGACAAGGACATTCCGAAACACATCCAGGATCGACTCCAGTTCAGTTTCTGAGAATTTTCTGGCTTCGATTATCTTCAGAACCCAGTAAGTTGAGTTCTGGGCAAGGTTAGAGATCATTTTGTATCGGCTCCACGCAGCTGACTGCTTCGTCTGGTTCATTTTTTCTCGTCTCCACGCAGCCAGCTTCTTCTTGGCAGGATCAACCTCAGGATCAACCCCTGACTTACTCTTGAATGGTTTTGCCACCAGTTTTAGATTCTTCTCCAACAAAGAAGCAAGCGCAGGCAACTCGATAGATTCATCCCTGGGAATCTCTTTAGCCTTGAAGATCTTCTTCTGGATGATACCCCATAAACGCTGTAGAAGCTGCTGGCTACTTTCTGCAGTGCTTGGGTTCACAAGTGCCTGCGCTAAGTTTGTGTACACTGTCATTACTTGAGGATTACCTGTTTGAAACATCACCAAAAACACAAAGAGCAGAGCTCAGTAGAGACTAATATTGTGCTTTTCATCATGCCAAAACATCATCTTATGGAGCATTTACCTGGATTTTCATGTAGATAGATTTCGAGAAGAGAAAGGACACGGAGTTTAAACAAAACAAGCTGGGACTGAGCAGTTTCGCCCCCAGGTTGATTCCTCTTCTCCTTGAATATCTGTGCCAGGTAAGTGTCCATGCGAAACATTGCATCATCATCCATCCCATCATCAGAAGAATCATCAGAGTCCTCAGAATTTTCAGGAGCTTCTTTGTCAACTGCCCTAGGGACAACGCCAGTTACTGTTTCGGAATCATCAGTCTGCTCATCGCTCTCACCAGTTTCACCCATTTCCTCATTTTCTTCCTCTTCTTCCTCTTCCTCTTCAAGAGCTAGAAAATCTTCGTCGTCATCACCAAGATCCTTAGAGTCTGAGTCTTTCTTCTTCTGATGTCTAGCCGGTTTTAGATCTCTTTTGATCACCCGCAACATTCTCAGCAGTCCATCATTGGTGACATCTTGACAGAAGTACTTGAAAACCTACAAGAGCCACAGAATAGTGAATTTCAAATTAAAATAAAATAGAAGCTCATTTTAGACCAGAAACGTCAACTAGAGCAAATTAATGATTATTTGTTGCTCGTGGCTAGCTTAATACCTGCTCAATGGAAGATCGCATTGGAGCTGAAGAATGTGGCAAGAGGGAAAGTAATGTGTCCACGAGGACATCCATGACTGCTGGTTCTTCTTCTTCGTCTGCCTCACCTTCGCCATCACTTCTCAGAAGATCAAGAGAGAGCTTAAAAGCTTTGTCACAGCATACTGAAAGTTGAGCTGCAGCTTCAGAGAACTCTCCCGGATGAAGAAGTATTTGAAGCAACATCTGAACGACTAAGTGCCTCAATGAATGAATTTTTTTCGCGTCAGCAGATAATCCTGAATTCCTTTCCTGCAAAATAGAAGATTTCACAGCTTAAACACAGCATTCAACGTTTATTATAATAAGATTTCAATGTACACTAGCACTAAAGCAAAGCCAGCAAGAAATTTACCTCCTTTAAAAGTTTGCTTTCTGTTTCTTGTAATTCTTTAACTGCATTTTCATCTTCTTCATCCAAGGAACGGAAGAGAGAAACCGAGGGAATATTCTGCAGCGTGCTAAGGAACCTCATGAAGTATGAAACAGGATCATCGGGCTGCTCCAGTCCATTCGCCTTAGATAGTGGATTCTCAATCTTTTGAGAATTTGATAGCAATAACTGAAGTTGCTCAATGCACATTTTGCAAAGAGCAGTAGGAGTAGCTGTCTTTGGCCACTTGAATTTCTCCTGCAACTCAAATGATGTAACCTCAGTGCCGAGAGAAGCCACGAATAGACCTTGAACAGCGAGAAATTTCAGGATCTGGTTATGCACTCGCAGTTTCGCCTCAGGAGCCAACTTAGCATGTTTTAAAATGCCAGAGAGAGATTCAATGACCCAGCTTTTCAGAGCATCCGAGTTTCCAGTCGCTCCAACTGAATCCTTCTCCTCGTTTGAACCTATCTCAGAGTTATCATCTGTTGTTTGACTCTGATCCGAGTTCAGAGAGCTAGGTTCTTGGGCCCATTTCATACTTGAAGGTTCCTCAGGAACATGCTGTTCATCCACAAACAAGTTCATCAAGTTTTGGAGAAAAAGCGTGCAACCTTCTTCAGTTTCAAAATCTGCAGCTAGACCTTTAACAGTCTTTGTACGCGTAACATTGTCAAATTTGCCTTCACTATGTTTCTGAAGAGCCATTGTAACAGCCACCCTCTTGGTATCGTCGTCTTTCACCCAATTCATTAGCTCCACAAGAAAATGAGTTGCAACCTTATGCAACCAAGACTCCTTCGTGGAGAGTATATCCATGAGGCACTGAACAAACTTGAGGGATAAAAAATGCTGGATGAAACTTGCAGGAAGCTTTGGAAGAAGAAGAAGCAGGATATCGAACGCCAAATGTTTGCGATCGTGAGATGAAGACAGCAGGGTTCCTTCCATAAAAATTCCGCAGAAATTCTTGATGTTATTTGTGGCTTCGTCTTCAACGGGATTGGACTTGCGGTTTCGCTTTTGCTTCTTCGAGGAACTCGTGATATCTTCGCTTTGGACAACTGCTTCCGGTAACAGCATATCTCGAATAGCAGACCATATGCTATGCACACGAGGCTGGCAGAAAGTAGATTCCTGGAAAAGTTCACAACAAACAAACAATCAATCTCAAGACAAAGTCTTAACATGATCAACCATTCTCCATAGCAAAAAAAGATTGGCATGTACAGTACAGTACCTTCAAGCAATTACCAATGGCTGACAAATGATCAGCAGAAAAAAAGTTCGCTGAACTGAAAGGAACTGGTAGAAGCTTGTTAAATACAGGGTGATCGGCTGAAATCTTTTCACGGAGTTTAAGCGCTAGGAGCAAAGCATCAGGGTTTCCAGCTTCTGTGGCTTGCTCAAACCATTTCTGAAGCTCTGGAGCTTCCATAACATGAGCCACTACAGCTTCAGTGGGTAGCTGCACAGTAATAAGATGATTTTCACATCATGTAACAAAATGGTATCGTAAGAATGAACCTATTATACCTTCTCAACAAAGTTTAGAAGAACATGAACAGCTGGTTCCTGCAGGTAATGCTTCTTCGCAGCAAGACCAATCACAGCATTGGTAAATTCTTTGATGATCTGAGAGTCTTTATCAGACTGCCAATCTTCAACCAGTCTTCCAGATCTCGCTATCGCACCATAAGCAAACAACCTACCCAACAGGCATTCCTTAACGTCCTGCGCCAATTGCAAATTCAAAGCATTTGAGTCTCTCAATAGCAAAAATCACATGAAACAAAAGAAAGAAAGAAAGAAAAAAATGCTAACTTACTTGTCCCTTCATGGATGAAGATACTGACAGAGAATCAGAAATGAGTTTCAGCAGCGATTCCATATTAATGCTAGAGATTATGCTAACAGGCAATGTTAACCCCAAGGCAAATCCTTGCCTTGCACACTGTTAAAACAAATATGAGCAACAACAACAGCAAAAATTAGTGTTCTTCAGTCAGGAATTGATTGAAAAGTTAGATCTTTGTATAATGATAGATACCTCTCTGGAAGAAGAGACTCCACGAATTAGCCTCCGTAGAGCGTATCTCAGATGCGGCGCACAGTTATCCAAACCGTCGTTCTTCTCAGCTTCAAGCATCAATCCGCCGTCGACGGATTCCTTGTCCGGTAACATCTCGTATTGCTTCTGAATCTCTTGAAGCCTCGACACCAGCGACGCAGCAGCTGCTTCTCTGACGGAAGCATCGGAAGAAGCCAAATCCCTAAAGTAGTTAAGTGGCAACTCCGGCAGCTTTCCAGATGAAGAAGAATCGGAAGAAGCGGCGGCTAGAGACGTTTCAGGGTCGTCGGAGTTCGAATCGACAGCCATAGGGTCGGGGCGGGAAGCTCCACCGTCGTTGTTCTCAAGAGCTGCGCGTCTTCTCTCTTTGTCTGAAGCTTTTCTCTTCTTCTTCTTCTCCATATCCTTACCGGAGCTCGCAACGCCGGGTGGAGCCGCCGCCGCCGCCGCATCAGTATCATCAGCACTGAGCACGGTTTTCATCTTATCACTCTTTGATTTCTTCTTCTTCATAATCAAATCCGTCTGATTCTTCTCGACATCCTCCGATGTCTCGGCGCTGCTTCTCTTCTTACTACCCATTGAAATGCTGCAAAAGCTGCGATTTTGCTTTGGGTCAAAGGAAGTCGATTTGAGGAACGAAAACGAAGAGAAAAAGAAAAAGAAAACCCTAGTCGCAAATTTTGGAATTGGGATTTTGGGGACCCGGCTTAAGGGGTTTAGCCGTTAGGGTTTAGAAGCAAACTCTGTAATAAAGTATATATACTCCTAATTTACATGTCCCAAAAATAATTACTTTTTCGTCAGTTTATGACATGATTATTTCATTTTAAAATATATTTTTATTCGACAGAATTAAATAGTTCATAAATTATAATTAAAAAATTCAAATTCACAAAAACATAATAACTTTGAAGAAGGATTTTAAACTCCAGTATACATGACATAAAAAAACTAAAATAAAAAATCTCTTCTACAGTGAATTTTAACACAAATTTAAAAATATTTTGAATGATTTAAATAATAGATATCAGTTTGCAGGGGAAAGAAAAGAGTTAAATTTGATTAAATTACATAATAAACCGAGGTGATAACCGGAAGTTGGTAATGCGAAGGGAAGATGATTGAATGATTTGGTAGTAGAAACTTGGTTTGGGTCGGGTTAGGTAGGGTAAGTAAGGCAAATCAAAGCCATTTTCTCACGTAAGATGAGATAACCGATTGAAAAAGATTCGAGTTAACTAAATTAATAACATGAAAGAGCATATGTGAGCTATCGATACCTTGCAAATGTGGCCCAGCTTCGATATATTCCAAGCACTCTGTTCCTAATTATCGTCAATCTGTGTGAGTACAAAAACATGTCCACATTAATCTGGTTCAATTAGGTTAGTTATTAGGTTGATTTGGGCTTACGTAGTAACGTCATGGTTTGGGCTTGGGCCTCTTGTAAATCTCACAATTATTAAAATTGGAATACCTCTTCTTTTACCGCCGGTTGGCTCTTCTTAATCTACTCCATTACTTTGTTTAAATCAATTTACCCTACTACACTTTAGTTTTAATGTATTTTATGAACAAAGTTTCATGAGTTTCTTAAAGCAAATATATAACGCATATAAATAAGGATTGATACTGATAATATCATATATAAGGAATGAAAAAAAGAAACAATTTGGCTGAATTTGTTTGGGTAGGATTTTACTCCACAACAACTCACTGAAACCTTAAAAGTAACTCATTAAGAACTTAAAGTACGTAGATATGTAAGCATTTGTGGTATTTAATTACAATGTGAATGCTTTGACTTGGAAAAATCATATTTTAATGCCGTATTCTAAAATGCAAGACTATCACCATCATAAAGGTTTCCTTCGACTCTTTTCAAATTCTCAACCAATTTATAAACTACTACATAATTTTCGTTTTACGTCATCGCATGATCCATGAAGTATATTTTTGTAATTTTCTCCATTTTTGGCTACTACTAAGAATAAAAATAGAAATAAACCTATTGGCATAAACCTATGTCCTTCATGTATAATCATATAGTTGACTCATAAGAGCCACTCAATGATTCTTATTAAAATAATCAAAAGATTCTTATTAAAATAATCAAAAGATTCAGAAACCCGTTTATATTCTCTTTATTATTAAAAATGAAATAAAACTCTATTTATATTTTAAAAGAGAGGTAGCTCTTGACAGTCTCACATAAAGATTCCATTCCTAGTCCTACTCTCTCTCTCTCTCTCTCTTTCTTACTTACAGACAGACAACAAATACATTACCTGTTCACCGGAGAATGGCCACCGCCGACGAATTCACCGACGACGACATATCGCCAATTGAAGAAGTCCGTTTAACGGTAACAAACACCGACGATCCGACACTACCGGTCTGGACGTTTAGGATGTGGTTCTTGGGTCTAATCTCATGTTCTCTCCTCTCTTTCCTTAACCAATTCTTCTCGTACCGAACCGAACCGCTTGTAATCACTCAAATCACGGTTCAAGTCGCTACACTCCCCATCGGTCACTTCTTGGCCAAGGTGCTTCCTAAAACCCGGTTCGGATTACCCGGATTGGGATCGACACGGTTCTCGCTGAACCCGGGTCCGTTTAACATGAAGGAGCACGTGTTGATCTCGATTTTCGCGAATGCGGGTAGTGCGTTCGGATCCGGGTCGGCTTATGCGGTCGGTATTGTCACAATTATCAAAGCTTTTTATGGCCGGAAGATTTCTTTTATTGCCGGTTGGCTCCTCATCATCACTACTCAGGTGATCTACTTTAATCATTATTCTCTTTTCAAGTTGTTATATATTTTACAGTAAATATGACGAAATGAAAGAAACTAAATAGTTGTAAGATTCGGAACAACGAGTTGAAGAAAGTTACGTCTTAATGGGTTCATATTTGGTCGACAAAAACAAGTTCGTTTTATTGGCCTAAAAAACAAATTTTGTCCGTTTGGATGGACATATTATCGCCGATGTCATTTGATTTGATATTTTCTGTGAATAATATTATTTGCTAACTAACATGTATGTTTTAAATACAAAATTGTAGGTATTGGGATACGGCTGGGCCGGTTTACTGAGGAAATACGTGGTCGAACCGGCTCATATGTGGTGGCCTAGCACTTTGGTTCAAGTCTCACTGTTTCGGTGAGTTTTCTACTCTTAATTAATTAAACTTTTTGAACAAAAAAAAAATTAAACTTATAATTACTAATTATTCCAATCTTTTGCAACAAAGCTACATATAATATGTTAAGTAAGCATTAGCATCAATTTTGTGGGAGAAAGCAGCTTTGGGATTGCTTTGATCAATTTGACTTTTCAATCCCAGAATAAAAACAAATTTTCTTTGTACGTACTAAGTCGTATAAATAATTACACAAGCTTATCCATCTCCTTTCTGTAAAAGAAAAGAAAAGAAAAAAAATCCCAGAAGATTGGTATAGCAAGATTTGGTTCTTCGAGTTTGAGTTTGACTCCATTAGCAGGACCACACTCTCATTTTCCAATTTTCACATTATATTCTTTTGTGATTTTCAACGCTCTAGCTCATATATCTGGTTAGGATTGATACATCACATGACACGAATTAATGGTTTTCAGAACTTAAAAGATTGTGATTTCATTATAGGTCAATGCAGAAGTAGAATAGTATTATCTTGTTTTGTAAGAAAACAATATAATCAATTACCCACTGGGATAAAATGGGCACTAGCCCCAAAATTATGGTCCACGCTTGTGGGCTATCCATTGATCAAGCATAAACTCTTATCCTTTTCTACAAGATTGCTCAGAGGTGACATACATAGTAAGCTCACATATATAAATATATGTATATGAATCCACGTGAGTCAAGCTGTAGACATGGCGGTCTTTATGCATCCACGTAAATATGACCTTACTTATTCACTGGGTGGTCTACAAGTTTTTTTTTTTTTTTTTTTTTTTTTTTTTTTTTTTTTTTTGTAAAAGAAGTGGTCTACAAGGTTATTTAACATTTCCACACTTCGTAATCACGACCAAGAAACACATACATAAACTTTTACTTGACAAAAATGATTTATTCAATATAAGAACATTACACACGTTATCGTCTTAATTGGGCTTTTAAATAGAGTTCTTTGTCTAATCTCTGGCTGTGGTGGAGGTTGCACATGGTGGGTCTATGCATGTTTACAATTCAACAGATAATTAATAGGAGATTACGAAATTCTTAGATACCTAATTTTTTCTTACAAAATGAATGAATAATCGAAGAAATAATGACCTAACTATACTATTTTATCACCCTTTAATATGGGTTGAACCAAAAACAAGTACCATTAATTAACTGACTTGTCCACATACAATTAGGAAATCATTTAATTATCTTACGAACCTGTAACATAATTAATTTGTCATGTCATATAACTAAATATTTGATTGTAGGGCATTGCATGAGAAGGATGATCAAAGGATGACAAGAGCGAAGTTCTTTGTAATAGCACTAGTCTGCAGTTTCGGATGGTACATAGTCCCTGGCTATCTCTTCACAACACTCACAAGCATCTCATGGATCTGTTGGGCATTTCCAAGATCAGTCACAGCTCAACAGATTGGTTCGGGAATGAGAGGCCTCGGTCTTGGAGCCTTTACACTCGACTGGACAGCGGTTGCATCTTTCTTGTTCAGTCCACTCATTAGTCCCTTCTTCGCCATCGCTAACGTTTTCATCGGTTACGTTCTTTTGATCTACCTCGTCTTGCCTTTATCTTATTGGGGATTCGATTCTTACAACGCCAAGAGGTTTCCTATATTTTCATCGCATTTGTTCACATCGGTTGGTCAGAAATACGACATTCCTGCCATCGTCAATAGCAACTTTGAGCTCGATTTAGCCAAGTATGGTCAACAAGGAAGGATTAACTTGAGCATGTTCTTTGCTCTTAGCTATGGTCTTGGTTTCGCCACCATTGCTTCTACACTCACTCATGTAGCTCTCTTCTATGGCAGGTAAGCAGCGTAACATAATGAAATTTTTGCACTTGACTAATTAAATCATATCTTGTAATTAATTTTTATTAACAGGGAAATAACAGAGAGGTTTCGAGTTTCTTACAAAAGCAAAGAAGATATACACACAAGGTTAATGAAGAGATATAAAGACATACCTTCGTGGTGGTTTTACGCAATGTTGGCTTCTACACTACTTGTGTCTCTCGCGTTGTGTATTTTCTTGAACGATCAGGTTCAAATGCCTTGGTGGGGTCTTGTGTTCGCAAGCGCCATGGCCTTTTTCTTCACACTTCCCATCAGCATCATAACCGCAACAACTAACCAGGTAAACAATATCAACCGACTTTGTAAATCCATGGTTAGTTCATTTATTTATTTATTTAATGCAAATATTTTGACCCGTATTGCAGACACCGGGACTGAATATAATAACAGAGTATGCAATGGGAATCATTTACCCGGGACGACCAATCGCTAATGTATGCTTCAAAGTCTATGGATACATGAGTATGGCACAAGCTGTCTCTTTCTTAAGTGACTTCAAACTTGGTCACTACATGAAGATTCCTCCAAGATCCATGTTCTTGGTTCAATTCATCGGTACGATTCTCGCGGGAACAATCAACATGACGGTCGCATGGTGGCAATTAAACTCTATCAAGAACATATGTCAAGAAGAGCTTCTACCACCAAACAGTCCATGGACATGTCCCGGTGACCGTGTTTTCTTTGACGCGTCGGTCATTTGGGGATTGGTCGGACCAAAACGGATTTTTGGCTCTCAAGGAAACTACGCTGCAATGAATTGGTTTTTCCTTGGTGGAGCGATAGGACCGGTGATAGTTTGGTTATGCCACAAGGCGTTTCCAAAACGTTCTTGGATTCCACTTGTGAATCTCCCTGTTCTTCTTGGAGCAACCGCGATGATGCCACCTGCGACCGCTGTAAACTACAATTCATGGATTTTGGTCGGGACGGTATTCAACTTGTCTGTGTTCCGGTACCGGAAAAGTTGGTGGCAGAGGTATAACTACGTGCTCTCAGCTGCCATGGACGCTGGAGTAGCGTTCATGGCGGTTTTGTTGTACTTCTCGGTGGGGATGGAAGAGAAGAGTTTGGATTGGTGGGGAACAAGAGGTGAACACTGTGATCTAGCCAGGTGTCCAACCGCAAGAGGAGTAATAGTTGATGGTTGTCCGGTTATATGATCCCGTTCGTATATAAACAGTATGTTTTATTGGTGCGTTACAAGGAATGTATGATATTACCATTTATAAACAAATAAAAGTAACCAAAACTTCATTTTCAAAGGCGAATTTGAAATGATCAAATGAGCAGAAAGCTTTATGACATAAAATCCATAAGGCATTATTTGATTTGAGAAAGGGAAAGAACCCAAGTCTTACAAACGAAAACCGACATAAGACTTCAAAAACTTGTAGTTTCTGGTTCTGGAAATAAAATAATTTTGTAGCAGAGCAAATTAAGAAATGGCACTTTTAAGCACCAATGACAGAACCGGAGTTCTTCTTGCACTCAGACAACATGTCCATGTAGAACTGACACTTGCTGATCTCGCTTCCATAGCTGCTGATGCACTGCATCAATAACAAACCAGAAGAGAAGAAGCCAACAACAATCAGTGACATTATATAGGCTTTCAATGATTATCCAAATCCTAATGTAAATATTATTCAATCTATTCCTATTGTAGATATTATTCAATCTATTCAGTGTTTAGCAATAGAGTGACACCAAGACACACAAGTTTAAATGTGTACGCATAATAAACCAATCACTGAGGTTTCATCCAATGAATTCAATCAAACATTTCATGTTCTACTCTCATGCAGTTAGATAGAACGTGGACAGCAAATAACAGAAGAAAGAGTGGGATCGTGAGAATAAGATTGAAGACTTACATCTTGGAAAGCCTTAGCATGAATGTCACAGGAGCTGGAGAAGACGTTGCTTGCAATAGGAGCAGCAGATGCAGAGGCAGCCTCAACACCTTCGTGCTGAATGGTTCGTGGACCCATCACGGAATCAACAGCCCTGTGTGCAACTGCACTTCCAGTACCAAAAGCCATACCTAATCCCCCAAAAACACAAACAAACAAGTTAGTACTTAGTTAGGAGAGGCGTTTCCAATTCCAAACAAACAGTTTTTGGTCTAGACAGAGAAATGTTTGAATCATTTACCCTGAGCAATGGTTGAACCAATGCCTGAGAACATGCCACCACCACTGCTGCCCTGAGCTGGAGCTGGAGGAGGTGCACGGTTTACTGAAACAAACCCCAAAAGAAAGATTATTAACCTGAAAAATACCCATCAATCATCATAATCCAAGAGCAAGCAGACAATTTAAGAAAATAAATTTACCAGGTGCAGGCGCGGGGCTGCGTGCAGCAGCAGGGCGGGGACGAAAAGCTGGCCTTCCTGCAATCGTAGACAAATGAGCAACATAAAGATCACAAAATGAAATCGAGAAATGAAATGAATCACAATCGTCGTATCTCCAGTTTTCTACAAATCGAGTACCAATTACGCCTAATCGTTTAGAAATATTTCACTTTCTGAAGGGTAATATCTACGATAGCCCAAACAAAATAAAATAAAAATCAACAATCGGTAAACCCTAGATGGGTTGATTCGAACATAAACAAATCCAGACCAAAAATATGAAAGTTTCGTCATCATCAAAAGTCATAGAATCTAACAGATCTGGAAATCGGAGAGAAACCTTACCACCTCCGGAGCTACGGCGACCCATTTTGATAGACGGGTAAGAAATGAAAAATGGGATAGAGAGAGACTTTGGGATCGCAAAATGCAACACAAATGCTCGAGGCGGTTGTTTATAAAGGGTGACGGAGTCGGGTCGGCAAAACAAACCAGGTCAAGACCACGCGGAGATGAACACGTGTATCGCTTTGATTGGTTTAAAGTCGGATAATTTCTAAAGGAAAACTTTTCGTCTGTCAGAGTCATGGGCTTCGTTAAAGGCCCACCACATTATCCTCCTTTTTTAGTGTGCAGGTCAATCAAATTCATGGATTTTTGGTTTGATCAACACAAATTTATTACAAGATAGTATTGTCAAAAGACAAATTACAAGATTATAGTATTATACAATAGCATCGCCAAGATTACAAAAAAGCATACAAATGTGTCAAAAAGAAACACTGGCTTCGCCAACAAGAAAAAAATAAGAAGCTTTTTGCTGGGATTTGTTTGTTTATACTTTATACATAAGCTTCACATCTTATCCTGAATCTGTCTTTTTGGTTTCACTCCATGGAAGATCCTCATCTTTGGACGATAACGAACAAACATCGAGTACAAAACATACGAAAATTCTACACAACAAACTCACTCGAATCTAGACAGATCCACCAAATCTAATGTGTTAACGCTTTCGTGACAACCAATATTACACATGAATTCTCAATTTTGCATTTCCATTAATTAGATTATTGATTGTGTACAGGAGTGATCTTGAATTGTAGTTTTGCTATACAGATTAAAAGAGAGTTTTTGAGGATGTGAGAAGCTAAAGGAGAGTCTTGCAAAACCATTAGTGAAACTTTGTTAAAGGTAACAATTTATTGACTTCGCTTATGGAACTTTAAGAGTCAAAACTCAGTAAAATTTCTACCATTTTCATAGCTAAAAGAAGGTGAGACAAGCTGAAACAGAAAGAACAGTCATATGATGCGCTTGTAGGAGCATATTTCAGTAAGTCAAAGCAAAAACACTTAACCCACTGCATCTCAAGTTTTTCTTTTGTGAAGATTTTTGACTGAAAAAGTTCTTGAGATCATGGTTTCTATAGCAGTGATCAAATCTTAATTCCATGTAGTAATAATGTGCGATAAAAGAAGATAAATTCAGAGAGGACATCGAACTGATTCCATCAGAGTACTTAAAAATGAAAAAAAAAAAGATGTTGTACAAAGACTTCAAAAGATCCAAACCAAAAAGAAAAGAGATTAAGTAAAACAATAAACAAGTGGAGCTCGTTTAGTTTTAGTTTTCTGTATGGTGAAAACTGCGTGGTTCTTCTAATTTAGGTTGTATTTTTTGGACATTGAGGTTTCACCTGTAAGGATGAAGGCATGAAGGAGGTTTTGAGCAGCCTGGGTTTGATCAGGTGTCCCTGATATGACAATGATCCTGTCACTTGTTCCTAGAGAAGGTTCATGGACTATGACCCTCGCACCCGATATCTGATTAAGCAAACATTAAATGGTTTATAAGCTACGCTTAAGCGGTTATGACACCACTAACTATTTGGTTTGTAGATGATCATCTCTCACACTATTATGAGAACTCCAAGTTATAACACTGAATGGTGGGTGGGATTCTAAGCAAAGGTTCAAGAACTTCAGAAAATTACCAGTTTTCGTACTTTAGTCACTTTGTCGAGTAAAGTTTTTCTATAGACCTAGATTAATGGTGGCAGGAAGGTTTTCACAATGTAATATTACGTTAATGGATTTTGTTTTTGCATGCTTTCTTTTTAGTAAGCCTAGAGTTCATTTTTGTGTTTTTTTTTCAACCGTTAGTAACTGTTTCTTCGTATATGATTTCAACGACTAAGAGAAGCCAATAGAAACTAAAACCTATGGCTGCTCGTGGAGCAATTTAATCATTGCCTATTCTCCTTTGGATGACACACTATTGGCGAACTTTGAAAAAGAATTGTAAACGAAAATGTCTTACCTGTCTCAGTTGCTCCAGATTGTAGCCATGCTCTCCATAGACAAAGCTCATAGCATTTTCTGGAACTCTAATTTCCACAGTGGTGTTTGTAACGATGGCAGATTTGTGTCCACTGGAAAAGACCAAGCCAGTATGTAAATTACACGAAGACCAGATCAATAATCTCACATAAGTAACTTTCTATAACTGTTGTTCTTTTACCTGCTCTGTACAAGGCCAGACCGCACAGAAGATAATCCACCATTGACATCAGATAAGCCTCTTGGAGCTGCCGGTGGCTGCATAAAGACTATGTATATTAGCTACAGTTTAACTAAAATCACAAACTGTGTCTTTGTTAACTTTGAGGTAGCTACAGGAATGTCCAAAATATGTATGTGTATGGGGGCAGATAATATCCTCTAGATTCCTCAGTGAGCATCAAAAAGTACTTATGTAGTTATGTTCACTAGATAGTAGAGAATGGGAATATACAGAGGAATGGAGACATACCGGGGACGCCCACATACGAGATGCGGCCTCAGTTAAGTGATGGGGGATATCATTGTGGTCCATAGTGGTCCGGGGACCAAAATTAGGAGAATAGCCTGCTGATGAATTAAACCTATCAGGAATCGGGTCTTCTTGTCTTATGTAAGGATCTGTGCCGACAGGTCTCGAATAGTTAACTGATGATGAATGAGGCCCACTTAGAAAGGAATCCTCAGATCTTCTGTGCATACTTGTAGAGATGGTAGTTGGATGACTAAAGGATTGATGAGACCCAATAGACAGAGGATTATCTGATTGCCGGTGGTAGATTCGCTCTGTAGTTAATGTGGAGTTGCTCTTAGTTACAGAATCTTTCGCTGAGTTGGAGAAAAGACTGTCTCGTAGCCTGCTCGTAATATGGTAGATGGCTTCTCTGACATTTGGAAACTCTCCTGAAATCTATGGGCCGGCAAAGAATGAGTTTATGACAGATAACTAAAGAACAATGATGCTTAGAAAACGAATAATATGAACATTTCACATTTAGAGACCAAAACCGGATTCGGCAATAAAAGCAAAGCTCTAACATCTAGCATTCTGTTTCACCAATCGTATGAGAGATTGTCAAAGATCGAATAAGATCTTTTAACAAACTAGAACCTTTCAACTTGAATATGTACCATAACCAAAAGGTCAACAAATGATATAAGTACCTGCACAACTTGATCATTCTCTGAAACACATTTTGGATTCTGCTCAACCTTCAAAATTTGAATTCCAGCCCCAGTGATTTTCCGCATTTCCGAAACTATGACACCTCCTTTTCCCAGCAAACAACCAATCTGACTCGTTGGGACAACAAGCCGTGCAGTGATAGATGGCCTTGGGCCATTGTCTACGATTTTTTTAGTGGCAAGCTCAAATAATCTAGTAAAAACAAGGACAATAGCTTTCTGGGCTGGCGAGCTTTGACCTTCAGGGTTCTACATGATGAACAAGCAGCAATTATCAAACAAGAATAGTGAATACATAGGATAAATATCACAAAAGCATCCATGAAAATGGGAAGAGAGATAATAAAGACCAACCTCTTGTGCAGTAACTGCAATCAAACGTTCTTCGCAGTCAGAAACTGTATTTCCCACATTTATGAAGGCACCTGTCTCGCTATGAAGCATCCTGATAACTTTACCCCCTGTCCCGATAACTCCGCCAGCATTTTCAATGGAACAAAGTATCTTAAAAACCACTTCTTGGTTCCCTACTTCCCCTTCTGATAGAGGTGGTCTCATGGTGGCAGCGTTAGTCACTGAAGCAGAGGTAGTAACGCTGTGAGGATGTGTATCTAAGGTTGAATAACGATGTGCAAGAAAATCTGCAGATGGCTGACGAAAAGTTTCTTGTGGCATTGTTTCAATACGCCTCCCAAAAGTTTCGCGTGGAAATGACTCAAAAGGCATGCCCATAGCATCACGTTGAACCATCTCGAAAGGTCTATGCAAGGAATCATGAGAATCATCCACTTCTCTACGCTGGCGAAGAACATCTCCCCTGCCAACATCAGAAGGCCTGTATAACGTTTCTCGAGGATCCACATGAATATGCCTGCGTAAAGCATCTTGCCGTTCCGCCTCACTATGCCTGTGTAAAACATCTTGCCGTTCCGCCTCAATATGCCTGCGTAAAACATCTTGCCGGTCCGCCTCAATATGCCTGCGTAAAACATCTTGCCGGTCCGCCTCAATGTGCCTGCGTAAAACATCTTGCCGGTCCGACTCAGTATGCCTGTGGTGGTGTAAAGTACCCTGAGGAACCACCTGGATATGCCTATCATGATGAATCACATCATTAGGCCGAGCTAAAGTGCTCCGAGGAAACATGTCAGCTGCTCTCGGTCTGTAATCGTAATCTTCAACCGACCTAGGAAGAGACTCCTGAATAATTGTTTCTATGGACCTATGCGAAGGTGCTTGGATCTCTTTCTCAAGGGGTCTGTTTCCAACCACTCTTATCTTGTTTATCGATTGACAATCTTGCAGGCAGCGAGAGACAGTCAAAAGAGCCTTTTTCACAGAGCTAGCATTACCTTCGATCTGCCACATAGTTGAGTTAGTTACTCAATATGAGAGAATATAAAGTCAAATCTGCAAAAACAAGCATCTACAGAGTGCAATACCAAGCTCACACCTTAGAGATGTTCATAGTTTCTATTTGACGCATAAAAATGTGTTAATGACTGATAAAACTTGGAATAAGAAGGCAACTAGACTCCAACGAATGTAGCTCAGACGCAAAATTGAGAACTCAATTTGGCAAATTATCACAAATTCGATCAGTAGAAACCATTCAGAATGTTCAGCATTCGATCCCGGAAAACGATAAGCTAAAACGCAAGTTCGTACCTCCACCATCTCGTCATCAGGGTCAGCGCAAATCGGCAAATTCTCAGTCCGAATCGCAATTTTGCAGCCAGTTTCTTTCCTGATTCTCCCCACCATTTGACCACCCTTGCCTATCACAGCACCCGCATGGCTAGACTCAGTCAGCAATCGGCACACGACCGGGCCATTATCAGCTTCGGCCGCTAAAACTTCGAAAACCTTAATCAACCCTGCTTGTGCTTTAGATACCTCAACTTCCTCCTCCTTGTTCTCCGACTCTGCGTTGCCATTGTTATCAGCGCCTAATTTCAGCCTAGACGTCGAATCCACCTGTGCAATTATCGTGATGACCCGATCCGGGGATCCAAACGGAGGCTCCTCGACCCGTATCTTAGCTCCGGTTGACTGTTGGAGCTGTTTGATCACGATTCCGGATTTTCCAATCACCGCGCCGACCTGCGACAATGGGCAGAGCAATCGAAATGACGCGTGGCCCACCGGAACAACCAGAGGCGAGAGCAGCTGCGCGTGATGGGTCTTCGCCCTTTTGGAAGATCCGAATCCTGAACCCGGATCAGACATACCGGATCTCTTCTCTGTATGGTAATTAAAGCTGCTTCTCTCCATTCTCTCTCTCTCTCTCTCTCTCTCTCTCTCTCACCTTCACACGGCGGTTCCCGGCGAAGAGATTGTCAGGAGAAAGTCTTTTCGCAGTCTCTAACGCTAACTTGCTAACTTGCGCCGAAGAAGCGCATTAATAGCCTGCTTTAAACGAAGCCGTTTCAAATATGTATGTGTTTTTAATTATTAACAGACAGGTGAAAGGAAACAGAGGATTATAGAGGAATCGATTCAGACTTCATATCCAAGGATTCACAATCTGTTGTAGCAAGAGCAAAAATGTATAGAGTTTATTTTATTCCTACGATAGTGTGTATTTTACATGATCTCCATGAAGTAGTCACTGACTATTATATCTTCACAACACTCTCAAACATCACATGGATTTGAATTATGTTCAAAACATGAAATGAAAGTATGAAACAGAGGAACCGTTTCAAACTTCGTAGCCAGGGTTAACAGTCTGCTGCACATCTCCATAGCTCTCAAGCTCAGCCACATCCTCTACGCTCCCAAGAAACAGAGGCAATCTCTGGTGAAGCTTCACAGGCTGTATCGAAAGTATCTCTCTCTTTCCATCAGAGGCTTTACCACCAGCTTGTTCCACGAGAAAAGCCAAAGGGTTTCCTTCGTAGACTAAACGGAGATGGTCTCTCGGATTCATAGCCACTCCACCGTATAACAACGTCCTGTGAAGGTCAGCCACTAGAGAACAAATGTAACGCGCCGAGTACTTTTTCGGGTTTTCGCCTTTCCCTTGTCTCACCGTATCAATGTACTTCCTCAAACCTTCTGGCCAGTCGAAGTACCTCGCATCGTTCACTGAGTAGATTTGTCCTGTAGTAGATACATGACCAAATATAGCAATGATCAAGGCAGGTCCAAATGTTTCTGATTAGTCATGATGTTGCTTTTTACCTCGAGTAGGGATCTTAATGTTTTGATGGGTAAGAACGAATTCGCCGGTGGAATGATCAAGCGTGAAGGCATGTGTTCCGGAGCCAAGAGTAACGCAGAGTATAGTGGCTGAAGAGTAGAGAACGTAGCCGGAAGCTACAAGCCTGTTGCCTCTCTGCAGAGAATTGAGCTCAGCTTTCTCTCCAACGGGTAAATGATCAAGCTCAACGAGGCGGTTGTAAATCCCGAATATAGTCCCCGTGGGTATCGAAGCATCGATGTTCCGAGATCCATCTAAAGGATCTACAACCACAACGTAAGGTCCATCGTCTTTTATCCAAGTGGGAGTTTCGTTTTCTTCAGAGGCCATTACTGCTACTTTCCCTGAGTTTCTAAGAGAGGACAAAATGATATCATTCTGCAAAAACAGAACATGAATTATAAGATGGAATCTTTATATGAAAAAGAAAACATAAACAGGGTAAAGAGCTACAGACCGTGACAATATCGAGCGGCTTAGGCGCATCTCGGTCTGAGCCACTAGAGGAGTTAACAGAGAGTTTTCCAAGTGAAGAATTGTAAGGAGATGCGACGAGAGAAGCGATTCTTTTGCAGGCATGTTGTAAGTGGTAAAGCAACACCACAAGGTCATCTCCTACATTTGTCCCTTCTCTTCCATTTCCTATCACAGGAAAAAATTCACCAACAACTTAAGAAACACAATATTGAAACTTCAAAAACCATATTTAGTTTTGTCTCACTGAGAGTGTTTTTCTCCTACTCAACTGAGCACAGTTCAGATGCTAAATTCAGAATATTTCCAATAAAGTCCGGGTTTTTTTTTTCGGACAGACTGACATAGAACACAAACATTAACTTCAGTTTTATTGAGACAGGTGCTAATTACGCTCAGACAGAGCAGTTTGTCACCTGCAAAGTCTAAGAGAGTACAGTATCCATCATCATCATCTTCAGCGATCGAAGTCCCACGAGCGGCGAGGGACTTAAATGAAGTAGACTCACGGCGAGACGCCGCCATCCCGCGACGGTTGTTACCGGAGGTCGGAGTAGAGAGATTAGAAGCTGCGGTTTGTCTTAACGGGTAAAGATCGAGTCTTGGCGGGGAAATTGAAGTTGGGTACTGAGTTATAGTGAGAGATTGCATTATTTTTCTGGATTTAGAGCATCATTCTCATCTCTGAGGCACGGTTCAAAATCCTGGATAGCGAATGATGACGAATTCCATAATCCACAGCATCGGCTTTCGGTTAATTTCGGAATTGGGTTCCGGTTTGTTTTCAACCGGTTCGGTTCATCAAAGAGGAAGTGCTAAAGAAAAGCATCAAATTATCCATTCATGTAAACACCCACAAACAGATTATCTGTTACTGTTACACTTACACATATGATTACAAAGTTCTTTCTTTTGAAGATTCACAGACTTAAGTAGCTGAACTTGAGAACTTCTTCTTATGAAGAATTCTTGTGGAGCATTGGGTCAGAGACGACTTGAGGCTTAAAGTCTGGCTTTACGTAACTAGCCAAAAGATCAGCATAGACTTCATATCTTGCAGTCATTCTAAATCCCCATTTATCTTTGTACTGCCGGCAGAGATTGAGATCCATCTCCGATACCAACAAACCATCTCTGTAACGAGACAAAGACGGCGTGCAAGAAGCATCCGGTGCAGAGAAATGGCTCGATCCATAGAAATGACCGAAATCTTTGTGTTCCGGTTTACCATCTCCTGACGTAAAAGCATTGGGGAACACTTCTGTTCCAACTCGGTTTATCGATCCGACAAAGTAACTGTTTGCTATCGCAGCATTACGTGCCTGAGAGTTTCAGAACTGAAAATGTCAGACAAATGTTATCATAGATAGAGAAGCTTCAAATTGGTGTGTACAAACCTCAATAGGCCACATTGGTTCACTGAGTTCACCAACAGTTGCTGAAGGGTTAAAGACAATCTCAGCACCATTCAGACCAAAAGCTAACCAGTTTAAAGGATGATGTCTTCCATAACATATGTTAACAGCAATTTTACCAAACACCGTCTCAAACACAGGATGTCCCGTGTCTCCTTCCATGTAATAAGTGCTCTCGTTAAAATCTCCAACCCTCGGTATGTGGTTCTGTCACAAGTCACAGGTCACAAACCAAGCAATATAGAAATTAGCTTGAGAAGAGAACAATAGACATGTAAACGCAAAATTTCTTTTACCTTGCGATGCTTGCCAATGATGTTTCCGTTATTCCCTATAATCACAGCGGTGTTCCAAAGCACGTCACCGTGATCAAGATCTCTCTCGAGAACAGGACTCACGATCACCATGTTATACTTTTTAGCTAGCTCTTGAAGAAACTTTGTTGATTCTCCATCAACAGGCTCTGCAAACTCACACCATCTCTTCTCCCTTGTGCAAAATGCAAACGGCATAGTCCATGCTTCCTGTAAGCAGAGTATGTTAACACCGGCAACACCTGCGGCGTCGATGATTGGCTTTAGTTTCTCGAAGATTCCACTTTTTTGGTCGGAGAATGGAGCTGTGGTTGGAAGAGCAATGGAGTTTTGAATGAGACCGACTCTGACCGCTCGAGGCTTTCTCATTTGCTCTTTATTAGCTGAAAAGCTAACAGCCTAATATGTCCAGAGGTCAAATCAAAACATCTTCTCATCAGTCAATGATTCGATATCGATCCAATGGTAAAGTTATGATGACTACGAGGTAAATGAGTATCAACCTGGAGATCAAAATCATGTTTTGAAGAGAGGGCTTTTGCAGAATCTGGCAAAACAATCTGTTCAAGCGATTTACCACAGTTACTTCCGCGGAGCAATCTGCTTACCTCCTGCAAAATCAACTTAAGTCTCTCAGTTTCGATAAACAGAAGTAAACGCATAACAAAATTCCACGAGATCATAACCAGGAATCCAAATCAGTAACTAGTTTCTAAAGGAGTCTTCACCTGATAGAGCTCAGGCTTCAGATTCGCGGATAAGAGTTGATGAAGCGAATCGTATCCACAAATCGATCCGTCGGCAACTGTTTCTCCGTTTTCTAAGATCGTCTTATCCATTTCTACAAGAGTTTTCTTCGCCGGGAACACCTTTCAAGGTTCGAACACGAGATTAAGATGGCGATGACGAACTGACGAGGACAATAATGATCGGTGGTTTACTTAAATTGATTTATTTATTCAGCAAGGGAATCATTTTGCCTTTGCCAACTCATTTTCCGGGATACGGAATCTCGCAAGTCGCAACAAATTAGTACAAGTTTCAGTTTTGTCTTAAAAAGTATAAAAAAAAAATCAAACGCAGTGGTTGACCATAAAAGTGGGCTCCACTCTCCAAACTTCGTATAATAAGCAAGCCATTACAATAACCAAAAGATTAACATTGATTTGTTAGCTACAGCTGGACAAGTGAAGAAAAAAGCTTTTGAATAGTGAATACATCGTATTAATGTCGTATGAATTCAGATCTTCAAATTGATCTAATCTCATAATGAATATCGTGTGCTCTTCATCACTTCATGTTCATGTGTTAGAGTTAGACAAAAGGCTATTGCCTAAGTTTTTTGGTGGAATAAATTTGGACAAAAGGTTAATGTGCTTCATGTGTGCTTCAAATTCAGGTTCTTACAAAAGGTTCCATGCGTTAGACAAAAGTTCTCGAGTAATGCTTGATAATGTTTTTTTTGGTGGAATAAATTTTACATAGCCAACACACACAATCATACAAAGATATTCTTGAAAGTCTCTGTTTTGGGAGCTTATACACATGTTTCCTATGGGGATATGGCCTATACACAAAGATATCACATGTTAATTAACCTTACAACGAAGGAAGAAACCAAACAAGATCTGCTGTAATATTGACTACAAAAAAAATAACAACAAAGGAAATAAATAAATTGACGAGTCAATAAACGGAGAGAGCCAGAGAGGAAAAAAAAATTAGGGGGAAAGAGATTGGAGATATGGTAGTCGGAGTTGGTGGTCGTGGAAGCGGCGGCGGTAACAGAGCGGAGGCGGATCGGTGGCTTGTCACATCGGAGAAGCTTCTGGCGTCTAGTGACCTTCAGGGAGCCAAGACATTTGCGATCCGCGCATGCGGATCCGACCCGACCCGAGCAGAAGCCGCCGATTACATCCTCGCAATCTGCGACGTTCTCATAGCCGGAGAGACTCGCTTAGGCGACTCAAACTTGCCTGACTGGTACGCCGTGCTACGACTCGGCCGCTTAGCTCAAAACCCTGAACACGTCGCGACTCAGTACCGTAGGCTCGCTCTTCTCCTCAATCCTTCCGTTAATCGCCTCCCGTTCGCCGATCAAGCGTTTAAGCTCGTCTCTGATGCTTGGCACGTGCTCTCCGATCCGTCGAGAAAATCCTTGTACGACCGAGAATTGCAACTGAGTCAACTCGGTCAGTCCAGTTTTCAGCCCCAAATCCAAACGCAGCAGCAACATTTCCATTCGAAACCTACCAAACGCACTAACCTAGCACAAGAGCCGCCTTCAGCTCGGGGAGCTACCGGATATCCGCCGCAGAGCCAGGCTGGGACCTCGACGGCGACGAGTTTCTGGACGGCTTGTCCATACTGCTTTGTGCTCTTTGAGTACCCTAAAGCTTACGAGGAATGCGTTTTGAGGTGTCAAGACTGTAGAAGAGCGTTTCAAGCTGTGACGATACAAAACCCTCCGGTGGAGGGGAAAGGCGAAGAGGACGTTTACTTCTGCTCTTGGGCTGTATTCCCGCTAGGGTTTTCCGGCGAATTCAAAGCCCCGAGCTGGTCACCTATCTCACCTCTCTTTGCATGCCCTATCCAAAAGGTGGATGATGAATCAAACATGAGGAAGAGAAAGGAATCTGCTCCTCCGAGAATCTTCTACGACGATGATGACATCTATGTTGCGATTTCCGAGGATGACTCTGAAGGAAATGAGGATGATGATTGGCAAGATGGGGTGCAAGTGAATAAGAAGGCGAATCTTGGGAAAGGGAAAGGGAAAGAGAAAGAAACAGTTGTGAGAAGTAGCAAGAAACATGGAGCTGAGAAAGCTGGGAAGGGAATCCAAAATGTAGAAAGCAGTGCAACGGCTGTTGGTTCCTCGTCTGATTTGATGGCTAAACCAATGAGTTACACTACAAGGAAAAGAATGGGAGCAGGAGCTAAGAACGTTGGGAGGTTGGATTTGAATGTGGAGTTCAGTAACGAAGGGGAAGAGCCTGCTGTGGGAGGCAGGAGAAGTGAAGGCAACGGGCTCGGAAGTAACAGGGAAGTGGATAATATGGAAGGGATTGGGTTCTTTGAGGGACTTGATGAATTCTTGAGTAGTTTGCCGATACTTTCTGTTGTTGGAGATGATAAGATCAAGGCTACTTAGTGAAGTAAGACCTTTTCTCCTCTTTTGTTCGGCGTTTTCTGTTCGGGTGGTTGTTGTAGGCCTTTAGCTTTTATGTTTCCTATTCATGTTTAACTGTAGTGGAGATACTAGCGATTTGATTCCATGGAATTCATGTAGTTGGAATCTGTTGATGTATTCCGCGTAAATTGCAGACTTTTTCTTCTCTTTTATGGTATATAATCATCTGCACCATAACCAGGACCATGCTTTTATGTGCTTGTGAATTGTGATGAGCTTAGCAAGGCATTAAGATTTCTTTTCAGGATTAGAGGATATAACATGATTAGCCAAGTGCTTTTTTTATGGCAAAAAGTGTTAATTACTTTGCTTAGGTTTGTTTTTGCTGCACAAGCATTTCTGTTCCTGCAACTCAAAAAGCTACAGTGCAAAATATAGGTGTTTCTCCAGGTGATGAAAAATGAATGTAGCATGATTGATCAAATATGTATTTACGCATTGTGTCTAGCGCTTGAATTTGTTTCTGTACATTCACACATTGCTAGCTTCATTCACCCGAAGTTTCTGTGACCCTAGACGCCCTTTGAATCAGAAAAAAAAAATCAGCATTTTGGCATAAAATTTTAGCCTGGGTCTATTGTAAAGACCTAAATGGCTTTGTAGGGACTCTTCTTTTGTAAGAGTTGTCAGTTCTCACTTTCCTGTAAGCTGTAACGATAGTCTGCAAAATCAAAAAGAGGCAAAAGATATTCAATCAATGCTCATGTGCACGTTATTTGGCCTTTGTAAGCTCCAGTTTAGGTACAGTAAAGGTTCCATTGTCGATTCATAATGCGTGTTCAAGCCTAATTTGATTTTTTTCTATAAAGACAAAACTGTTTAGGCTGTAACGTTCCTGTATTGTTCTGGTTTTCCGTGATGAAGACAGGCGGATAGTTTCTGGAAAAGCAAAGCCATGCTGACAAAACCAGGTTCATCTGTTGTGCTCTCTCTTCTTGACTATGTATCTTTCCATAGTGTAGTGCAAAAGAAATATTGATAGTTTCCTACTTAGTGATACAATGTTCAATAGTCATTCTCGAGTATAGCTATTGGTCTGCCTTAAAATTGAATCCCAAGTCAGCTTCCAAGCAGTTGTTATGTTTATATTCCAATTTCTGTAACGCTTTAGAAAAACATAAACTGCTACCTAATTTAGTTAAATTTCCGCAATAAAGAAAAATACTGTCTCGGACGTGAAGTAAGCCTAAGAAATGAAGCTGAAAGAGAGACGAGAGACATTTTTGTGTGAGTTTATGACAGGGGTAATGGTCAACGGTCAACGCAAGCATGGGGATCTCCGTCTTTGTTGGAGAAGATGAGATCCATTTATAGTTGGATCCGACAGGTGAGCTACCAGACAACCCAAAGTCTATCTGTCTTTTTTCTTTTGTTTATTCGTTAATTCCCTTAACATCTACATCTTCCTAATACACTACACATCACCTGGTTTTTACTCAGCTGCAGGTTTCTCATCAATGGCGATCGTTTCCTCAATCATGTCCACTTCAGTGGATCCTTCTTCTTCAAGAATCTGTGTTCCTCACAATACAGAGAAGGTACACTTTCTTTCTCTATGTATAATGTTTTACCGAGAGTTGTTTAGCATTCATATCTCTTTTACTCTTGTATCTATACAGATCTTTGGTAACAATGCAAAGTCAAAGCCGACCTATCCTAGATTTTGTACCTCTTCAAGGTATTTTCTCTTTAAATTTTTATCAGTTGACTTGGATAGATAAGTTTGCTTACAACTTTACTATTGCAGAAGTAAGAATATTTTATGATACGAAAATGGAGAAACAAATGTCAACTTTAGGTCATAGAGGCATTTAAGTAGTTCCAAGCATTAGTGTATTGCTGGCAACTTTGAAATCTTCTTATCTAAACCGCTTTTGTATCTTCTAGAAGAGATGCCAAGTTGAGACTAGCGGTTTCTTCTTCGAGAGTGCCATCTAAGCTTATCCATGAAGAAAAACACATGACTTCACCAAAAAAAGGACATGACGTTTTTGAAGAAATCAAGCATCGGTTCCTGACCTTTAAGAAAGACAAATACATGTAAGTTGCTCAACGATGCAAGCATCGATTTCAATTTCTTTGCTTTTCACTCTATAATAGGTTTGATTGTTTATGCGGATAAAGGGAGAACTTGGAGCGGTTTCAGAGTCTAGCCAAGAGCCAATCCCCAAAGGTGAGAACAGAGCACTCTGTTACACTACACATTTTATATGTGAGCCATATATATCTAACATCTCAGAGATCAGTTTATGGTGGTAGCTTGTGCAGATTCAAGGGTTTGCCCTTCAGCAATCTTAGGGTTTCAACCAGGAGAAGCATTTACCGTTCGAAACATTGCAAATATTGTACCCACTTACGAGGTTTGTGCTTGTAATCATCAGCTTTATACTTGTATATATTCATGTTTCTTTTGATGCTGAAACAAGAGAACTTGTGCCTTTTTTGTAGAGCGGTCCATCTGAAACAAAGGCTGCACTGGAATTTGCTGTAAATTCTGTTCAAGTAAGCGTTATGAAGAAACTAATTACATCCATGATCATGCATTAAAGATTTGGCATATGATCCATATGTGACTGTAAACTTTGTTTGCAGGTCGAGAACATTCTTGTGGTCGGTCATAGTCGCTGTGGAGGCATCCGTGCCTTAATGACCATGGATGATGATGAAACAGAAGAAGACATAGACTCAAGGTTAAATCCAAATTTCATTACTCAATATGACGAAATCTCATCATCACCTGCATTATTGTTTTTTTTTCCTCTTTTTTCCAGGAGCTTCATCAAAAACTGGGTTGTTGTCGGGAAAACCGCAAGATCAACCTCGAAATCAGCTGCTTCCGGACTCAGCTTTGATCAACAATGTCAGCATTGCGAAAAGGTGAATTATGTAAGCCTTTCGCTGCTCTATTCACACCGTTCACGTGTCCTAAAGAATTTCGTTTTCACACTTGTAGGAATCTGTGAACTGTTCGTTGCGGAATCTATTGTCGTATCCATGGATAGAAGAGAGAGTGAAGAACAGAACTTTATCGATCCATGGTGGTTACTACGACTTCACCGAGTGTACGTTCGAGAAATGGACGGTTGATTATCAGGAAAGAAGCTGCGGCGAGAGCAAAATCTCGGTTAAGGATCGGTCCATCTGGAAATGAATGAATTTTGATGCAAAAATAAAATTGATACCCATCAGAATCTAGATTGAGTTTGGTTTGGTTTCGATTCCATTTACATACGCTTTACACTGCTTTTTGTCTTTTAACACTTGTCTAAACATATATCATTACTCGTGACTGAATTTTGCTTGGTTTTGAATTTGGAAATTCGGTTGGTTTTGGTTCGGTTCCACGCTTGCACTTTCCTAAGCTTAGCCGCTCCTAAAACCCATATCTATGCTAATATTATCGGCCGTTCCGAAGCCCATTTATATAAAATTATGGGCCATTTCGAAGCCCATTTTATGCATCTATGGGCCGATTCTAAGTCCATTGCTATGCCAGTAAGAAGAGTAAACGCACAATAAGAGCGTCTCGAGAGTGAAAGCTGCGACAGAGAAGCAAGTGACGAGAGAGAGAGAAGAGAAGGTAGAAGATTAAGCAAGCGATGGGTGTGGAGAAGCAAGTCATCAGACCCGGCAACGGTCCCAAACCCGCTGCGGGACAGACCGTCACCGTCCATTGCACCGGATTTGGTAACTTCTCTTCTCTATCTCTCCTCATATCTTTGAAATTTCCATGTAGCGATAGCGAAATCGATCTAAACGAATCTGCTTAGCTGAGGAGCTTTCCGATGTGGTAGTCGCTGGATGTTTCACTATTTGTGTTTGATTTGTTAGTGGAGAAATGGATTTGATTAGGGTTTATATTCTGAGATTACAGTGTTCGACATCTTGGCTAGTTTTATTCCCTTGTGATTTTTGTTTGTTTATATGATTATTTGTTTTCACATCTGAAATTTTTAGTGAACCGATCTCTTCTATTACCTCATAATTGAAGGTTTAGTGGAGAAACTTGAGAATCGAATAATCAAGTTTCTTGTATGAGATTGAAACTCTCTATATAGACGTTTGTGAATTTTGTTTCAGAATCGTAATTTGTTATGCTTTTGCTTCTTTCAGGGAAAGGTGGTGATCTATCCCAGCAGTTCTGGAGGTAAATGATTCGCTCACATTCAAAGCCACACACACACTCGCTTATAAATGGATATGGTTTGCCTTTAAAAATCTTGTTAATTCTTGTGATTGCTAAGCCTAAATGGACTTTTGGTATATAATATAGTACAAAGGACGCTGGGCAAAAACCTTTCTCGTTCCAAATCGGTAAAGGTGCTGTGATCAAAGGTAAATACATTTCCTCTGTTCTATGGTTTGCTCATACGATGGCTCTATATTCCTTGTTAATATGAGCTCTAAGTGTTGAGTTTTTTTTGCTTACAGGATGGGATGAAGGCGTTATGGGAATGCAAATCGGAGAGGTTGCTCGCTTGCGGGTATGTACACTACTTATCTCATCTATGCTTCATGAAATATGAGCTTTGTGTCTCTATTCAAAGCATTCTTCTCTCTAATGATTATTGATAGTTACTAAGAGCTTTTTGTAGTGGAAACCATTCGTGTATTTGTTTGTGTATATGTGTGTGGTATTATCTTTGGCGATTCTTAACAAATTATCTGTTTCTGCAGTGCTCACCGGATTACGCATATGGTGCTGGTGGATTTCCGGCATGGGGAATCCAGCCAAACTCGGTTCTCGACTTTGAAATCGAAGTACTTAGCGTGCAGTGATTTTCTTAATCTATGAAAAGCACAAAACTCGAATGTTGAACTATTTAAGTGGTATTGCTTCTGGGATGTTTACTTGTCAGTGTTCTTCTAAACTCTTTCTACAACGTTTGATCTAAAATAAAAAAAGACCCGTCTCTTGTTTCAATCCGAATGTATGTGTTCTTGCAGTTATTATGAGATTATTGTTGCCATTTACATTTCTATAACTAGTTAACCACAATTGTTGATGTTTGGGATGATTTTCTTCAGATCGACCTAATAGATCCAACTTAAAGCATCCGCAACAATGATATTTAGGGTTCTTTAACATGAAAGTAAAAATTCTTTATGTGGGATTAAAATGCCACTAAAACTCAGAATACATTATCTAGATTTTATTTAGTTTATCATAATTTGGACCATGATGAAGTTTGAATTCAACACACTTGCTAACACAGTGATTACTATTCTTGATATCAAATCAAAGGAGAATAAAAGACGAAAGCTACAAACTTTATTCAGACAAGATGTATAAGTTAACAAAAGAAAACGAAGAAAAGAGAAAAATGTTGAGAGAAGTCGTGCGGGTAATTAAGCACTTAAAATTCCCGTGCATTTCTTTAATCATCACTTATGCTCCTTTCCTTTTCCTTTTTCATTTTCATTCCTTGCCTTTTCCTTTTCTTTCCACCCACATTCCCCAATCACAAATAAGACTTTTTATGACAAATAGTATTTTAAAAAGAAACCAAGTCTACAAAATACATTTAAAAAATGAAAAACAAAAGTATTGAGCTAAATTTGGCGTTGTGCAAGCTAGATGCTCTAAATTGTGAATTAGGAAGAAAAAAAGTGGTTGGCTTTTAAATCTTTTCCGTCACAATGGGTGTTTGAAAACACACCACGCACCTGAACAAATGTTATTAGAATATAATCAAGGGATATATAAAAGCTTGAGCACACTTTCACTAACTTAGCTTTCAATAAAATTAAAAGAGAAAACTTTTGCTTTAACGAACAATCAAGAAAGTATGAACAAACTAGAAAAAAAAATGTTATTTTTTAATCATAAAGAATGTATAAATAAACCTGAAATTATGGACCGTGAGACTTTGTCATCATATATACCATAATTACGTATATACACGTTCGGCCCCCTTGTCCCATTTCTTTCAAGCAAAGCACCATAAAAATTGCTTCCATTTTTAATTACAAGATTAGTTTCCAAGTTACATTCTTTTCCTTCAATACAAATGAATACAAAATTCATATGCAGCCTCTGCCTGTACTGATTTAATCTATAGATAGATAAGCAAATATTCATAATTTCGGTTCGATTTGGTTAAATCAAGAAAATTCAATTTTAACTACTCTTAACTCAAACATGTTTCCCAAACCAAAGGCTGAAGGATTTTAGTAAAATAAAGGATTAAAGAGGGGTAAAAGCGTCATAAAACCTTTTTATAAAGCCTTGTTACTCTTGTTGCCACTTACTTCTTTAGAAACACTTCGTTAAAAAAAAAAAAATTATACAGTTAAACATTATTGTTCGTTGGTCACTTTCATCTCTCTTATCTCTTCGCTTTTCCATTGATTCAGCTAACAAAAAAGCTCTCATTCTCTGGATCTGAGCGAAAAAATCATTCCTCTGTTTCGTCTCTGTAAGGTATCAAATTCAATCTCTCTATCTCTCTCTAGTCTCTACTTTGTTTTCGAGCTTACATCGTCTGTGTCACTGTTTTCTCTGTTCGTTTATCGAGAAATTTTAGTTGAGAAATCGTTCATGTTTTGGGGAAATTTTGTATTTTTAAGTTTGAATCTGGGTATAACATTGTGGCTTGTGTATATTCTGAGTTTGAATTGTAAAATTAGCGTAATTCAGATGCTTATGATTCTCTGTCATTTGAAACTGATGAGATTTATCCCTTCGATTTTGCACAGATTACGAAATTTCGAAAAAGTAGATTGATTACGAAGCAACTGGATTTGATCAGAATCAAATTAGTGGTATAAGAAGAAACAGCATGTGTTGGTTCACTACTTCTGTTGACGTATACCGTAAAGTTGTGAGCTTGAATCTCTACTGCCGTGTCATTCTGTAAATCTCTTCTTCTTCCTCAAATAGTCATAAAGTCCTCTTCTTTCTCATTCACCATCTTCCCTTTCATATTCTCAAACGCTCAAAATGGGATCCCAACATTTCTACGTGTACCATTGTGAACAAAGAATCAGCTAGACCAAAAAGCTTTCTCCTTTCTTCTTCTTCTTCTTCTTCTTCTTCTTTCCCTTCTTGTTTGGGTTGGTTTCTCTCTGTTTTCTTCCATAAAAGAGTTCCTCAAAGTTATGGTGTGCCAATCCCCTGGTAAGACAAGATTTCGAGCAGTGAAATACGAGACAGGAAGTGCCAACACACCACCAATTGTAGTCAGAGTTATTGCATGCTTTCGACCCATGGATAATTGCCAGGTACAATAATCACTCTCATTGAACACACTCTTAGCTCTATTAGCTTCAGTCTTATTTAACACTGTGGTTTGTGTTTCAGGCTGAGTACTTCAGACTTCTACTCAAACCAGTGACGTAGTTGGTTTTTGATTCTCCGCTGTACTTTTTCCTCCGTTCGCTTGTCTCTTCTTTCTTTCACTACTTTATTCCAAAAGGAAACCAAGAAGTTATTGCATTCACCTGATTGAAGCTACTTAACAATCGGTATACAAACTAAATCTCCTCCTCTTACAAAGTTGTTATATTTATCCATCTTTCATTAGCTGATTTTTTTCTTTTTTATTTCTTTTTGTCCTGCAGTGTTTCTACTTTTTGAAGTTAAACTTGCAAGAGCATGCCTCTTGATACCAGGCAATGGGACTTGCCTCTAGGCTTCAATCCTCAAGCTTGCTTTGAGGATATATCAGCTACAGCTAGGTCTGTCCATCCTGGAATTCCTCTCCCTGAGCTTGGGAAGCTATACACAGCTGAGCTTCAGGCTCGCTGTTTCCAGCCACCACTGTTTAGTCATGATAAGGAGTCTTGTGGAAAACAATTCTCACGGTCTGACTTGCGGTCTTGGTGCGCTGCTGCTGCTGCTACTACTACTCCACATGGAGCAGCATTAGAGTCTTCTCAGAAAAGACTTATGATATTCGATCAGTCAGGAAACCAGACTCGTGTACTACGATGTCCGTTTCCTCTACAGTTTCCATCTCCTGAGCCAGTGAGATTACTCGGTGTAGAGAAATGTTTCAAGGAAGATTGTGTTACTTCGAAAGAGTTTGATGAGAGCCATTTAAATGGGAAAGAATCAGAAATGCATGAAGACACTGAGGAGATCAATGCATTGCTGTATTCAGATGATGATTATGATGATGATGATTGCGAGAGTGATGATGAAGTAATGAGCACTGGTCACTCTCCTTATCTGATTGAAAGAGTTTGCAACAAAAGAGAAGTGGAAGAAGAAGTCGATGGTCCTTGTAAAAGGCAGAAGCTAGTGGATAAGGTCAACAACTTGAGGGACTCATCATCACTTGTGGGCACTGAGAGCTCCACAAAACTCAATGGAGGATCGTCCTTTCTTCTCCCTGAATCAAACATCTCGACCAAAGAGGACACTGGTTCTGGTCTGAGCAACGAGCAGTCGAGAAGAGACAAGATCCGGACAGCTCTGAAGATACTCGAGAGCGTTGTTCCTGGTGCAAAAGGAAACGAAGCTCTCTTACTTTTGGACGAAGCCATTGATTACCTAAAGCTGCTGAAACGAGACTTAATCTCCACGGAGATTAAGAACCGTTGCTAAACAAAAGAACCACCACCACTCACCAGTCACAGGTCACCACAGTTTGTTAAGTTTAAAAGAGACGACATGGGGAACAAGAAATCTACAGACAGACAAGGCTTGAAGATTCTCTCTCACGAGTGAGAAAACGTGTGAAGTGGTATTAGGGTCCGTATCCTCTGCGCCAGCTTTTTTAGCTGTATATAGTGGACTACTTTTGGGTATATATGCTTCTGCAATTTCAAAAAGTTAAAGAAGAAAAGAGGTCACTTTCTTCTTTCTTCTTCTCACTGTGCTTTGGTGTGGGAAAAAAGGCCAAAGTCGTCATGGTCATTGATCGACAATCATTATCTTTTCTGGCTGAGTGTGGATGGTGAAATCAAAAGGCGATATTCAAAGTCTCATCTCAAACTCGCGTGGTCTATGAATCTCCCCTAAGGTAATATAAAAAAACAAAAATAAAAATCTCTGACCCACACTCTCTTTTGTCTATATGATGACTTGAGAGTGGGTCCAATCATTTTATGAATTGATATGTCTTTGTTTCATGTAATTTATTTGAGTGTCTGTAATAATGCAAACCATTCCTTTGTCTTTTGCTTCCCCACTTGCTTCTGGTTTTGTTCTTGTGTCTTTGAGTTTCTGTTCATTGTTCATTTTCTCTCTTTGTCCATGTATTGTCACGATGATTGGATGTTTGTTGAGAGTAACATGCATGTCTATTGTCCATCTTGTCAAATGGTTGTATGATTGAGTTTGTAATAAATCAATGTTACAAACTTGGGTCTTTGTTTGAGTAAACATGAAGAACATAAAAATCAAATCTTTACGTCACTTATTCCATATTAGAGAAATCAATAGCATTACAAATTAGGACAAAAAAAGAACAAAAGCTTATCTTTCTCCAAAGAATCAAAATCAAAGATTACACAAAGGTAGGCTGTATAAACAAGCACTTCAAGAAATTGAGTTCCTCCAACGTCTTGGTTTCCTAGGCAGTTGGTGATCAACACTAACTTGTTCTCCTCCGACCATATCTTGACTCTCTGGTCCAGTCATTTTAGTCATCTTAGTCAGCTTCTTCCAACCGCTGGTCCAAGCTGAAGAAGAAGTAGTAGTATTCTTCACTTTCCCTGTCTTCTCAAACTGTCTTTGCATCACTTCCATCTCATTCTGAAGCTCAACATACTTCGTCTTCACAGTCTCTAACTCGAACTTCAACGTGTTAATATCCTTCTTAGCCGCAGCCCACCCTTCCTGTTTTTACAAAAACTTCCATAAGAGAATCTCAAAAAGAAAAATGTCTCATATTAACGAGTCTTTTCCTCTTACTTGCCTGAAACGATTGTGGTGTTGCATCGATCAATGTCTTCCGATTCGGTATCATTGGTTGATACGTACCCATGGCTTCCCCTAGCGTCGTTGACTCCTTGAGTGACGTGTTAGCCAAGGCGTTACTGATCTTGACTTGCTCCGAGAAAAGGACTTGAACCACCACTCGCAATGGTAACCTCTCGTTCTGCGCCGCGTGCATACACGCGTCCATTGATAGCTTTTGACAGTCCATCACTCGACATAGCCTCTTCCTCTCGTGCTCCGACAACGTCGGATGCGCCTGTCCGACCAAACCCAACAACATGATCAAGAGAGTCTCTAACCATTGTAAGAAACAATATATGAATTTACCAATAAGACCCTTTAATATATATACCTTGAGATATGAATCGATTGCTCTGTATAGTCCATCGTCACAGGTTCTTGCAGATTCCGGCAACGCCTCAGCCAAAACCTGAAACTTGGTTAGAGGCAAGTTTCTATCTCTAGCAACTTCAGTGAGATAACTATCCACGAGCCTCGCGACTCTCATCTTCGCGTTCTGATTGATGTTATTACCACCTCCGTTGTTGCTATTCGCTCTCGGGATTCCGGCGTCGGCGTACATAGACGGCGACGGCGACATTCTACTCGGGCTAGACCCTTCCGTCTGCTCTTGCACGAGAAAATGCTCCAACAATCTCTGAACGAGATCGACATCGTACATCGTCTCTCCTTTGTTGTTGTAACCCGGAATCAGAAGATCCTGAAGCGTCGCTTGCTCGAACTGCATCCCGACGCGTTTCTCGAGCTCCGTGATCAGCGCCGGAGCTACTTTGAGCATGTTTGCTGCTCTGAGGAGACGGAGGAGGAAGCTACAGGAGACGGAATCTTTCTGTGGTGGGATGATGCTGATCAGGGATTCGACGATCATTCGCTGGTCTTTAGGGCTGATTCCGATTCCGGCGAGGCAAGCGACGGAGTCCTGATGTCCGTTTGTTTTACCGGAGATGACCATGTGGAGACCGCCTTTCCAATCGGGACCGGAGCTCCCTCCGCTGCTGTTGCTTCCGCAGCTCACACTCATATCGTCTCCTCCTAATCCCAATCCTCCTCCTCCTCCTCCAACGGCGGACATTGCCGGAGCTACTGCAACTCCTCCTTCTTTGATCAAACCCGGAAGCCATTTTCCGGCGTAATGCATGATTGCAGCTCCGAGAAGCTCAAATCTCATACCTTTCACCTGATTCAACCGTTAAAATTTGAGCACTGAAACACGCACACAAAGTGTTCGACGATATGCTTGAGAAAAGAAGAGTCTTTGTACCTTGATTGCAGTGATCACACGGACGAAGTGATCGATCCTCAAGATAGAGACATCTTCGAACCACCAATCCGGAGGAACATTCTGGTTGTTATTGTTCCTACTCGGGCTACAATAGAAACCTGAATCTTTCGATTCGTTCCATTTCGGACTAGAGCTTGCGTAGTTCGTGGTCGGTGGAGATGGAGATTTCCCTGTGTAAGCCCATCTGATCCCTTTTGGGTTACTACAAGCCTTCCAAGCAATAGATTCACTACACCTTCTAACAATCTGAAGATTCTCAGCCCATGGTGAGAGCTTCTCGCAGCTCTTTAAGACCAAGATCGAGTCTCTCCACGAAGACAGAACCACGTAACTGAGGAAAGCTTCTGTCTTGAAGATTAGATTCCCTTCCTCGAGATCCTCTGTCATCTCAAGATACTCAGCTGCACAACGGAGACCTGATATGTTAGTTGCCGTGAGATCCACGGGAACTCCGTAGCAGAATTTGGATGCTAGCTCAAATGCTTCTGGTCCTCCGGGAAGATCATCAAGAATAAGTATGGTTGGATCAGGTTCTCGTGACTCGTAGATCAATCTGTTCATCTTCCCGCTACGTGACAGCAACGGATACTAAAAAGAAACGGAGAGACACTTTAAATCCATATAATTTTCTGAAGTTTCAACTCAAGAACATTAATTTACCTTGTGTAAGTGGAAGTTCATGTCGCCGATTTTAACCAGAAGGTCGCTGGGGATATCCGTAGCAACAAACCTAATCAAGAGGAAAGGATTTGATGTGAATCTTAACTTCCTTAACAAGGAAATATGTTATTTTTGCATAGACTGTATTTATAGTATTTTTTAAGTTTTAAGGAGATTACCAAGATTGGCCTCTAAGCTCAAATCCATCAGTCTTGACGCCGCCATGTTTGTTAGAACTCAGAACTCCATTACCATACTCTCTTCCTCCTCCTCCTCCTCCTCCTAACACCCCGGAATCGCTCTCAGATTCCCACATCATTCACAAAACTCTCTTCGATGGATGCAAGAAGCCAAGAAATGAACTAGAGAAGATATTACTTATTAGAGAGGAGAAGATTGAAGTGGAAAGAGTGATCTAAAACAAACAGTTCCTGAAAAGAGAGATTGATTATAAAGATGAAAGAGAGAGATAGAGATAGAGAGAGAGAAAGAGAAGAGATTATCCCCACATGGGATGCTTTGAGTGTTGGAGCTTTCTCTGAATTGTCTATTTTCTCAGAGAGATTTGCAAAACCAAAGTCTCTCATATATCTACAGCCTGTGAAGTAATGGGCTTAAACTCTATGCTTCTCAATTATCATAATTCTCTAGCTATTTTATGTGTAATTTTTTTTTTTTGCCCATTCTTATCATATAATTCAAGGTATTGTTATTTGTATATTTTTCTTTTATTTTACATAACATTATTGAGTTATAACTGACAGTTGTAATCTGTTTTTCAGTGAAGATATGAGTTGGTTAAGAGGAGAGAACCAACAAAAAAAAATTTAAAAATTAAAATGGGAGGGACAAGTTGGAGAGTGAGTGACATTAACTATGACAAAGCCTTGTTCCTTCTTCTTTGCCTGTCTGTTTTTGATGATGTTGAATCGATCTCTGTGTGCAATGCATTTAACTTTCTTTTTGTTTATTTGCTTCCTTTTCTTCTTTGAGGCTTCTTATTGGGTCCATTTCCCTAATTTTCTATTCTCGATTTTGCATATATCTCCTCTTCCTTTCTTTCAAATTATTCCTCTGCCTTTCCTTAATCTTCATGTTCCATCACTACTTGAATTGATATCAGTTAACAAGACGTTGTTTCATTGTCACTGTATCCAAATTTAGTGTTACGCCTTTACAAAAATGTTGTTTACACTATAGCCATTTTAATTCCCCACGAAATATTGAAAATTATTCAGAAGCGTTTAGTTCTAATCAGTGTCACTACTGAGTCCGGATCTAGAGATAATAATAAAAAATTGCCATCTCACAATGTTGATGGTGGATAACTTATGACTTTAGATATTACTTCAATGGTAGTTGGTTAATGACATGAAATTGAAGAAAAAGTTGGAGGAAAATTAAAAGGCATTAAAAACAAAGGTTGTTCATACATACATAAATGGAGATAGAGAACAGAGAAGAAAGAGTGGTCCATAAGAATGTCATTTACGTATTATATACATACACACTGGTTATATATCAGTCGCAATCCTTCACTTAATTTGCGACCATTTAGTAGATAGATGTAGATCGATGAGTTTCAAACTTTCAATCGAATTGTTATAACCGAGGCTAAGATTTACTCCTTTAAACTTATACTTATGATTATAAAAAAAAACGTTTTTTATACAACTAATCAATTTTATATCCTTGATTATATTTTGGTTTTTAAAGTGTATCACTGTACGATAGAAACAATCAACATATGATTATGATATACTTGATGGCCTTATCCAAGAACAATCACCACGTTATAACTCTCACATCCACATATGTAATGGCCATTAATTATATGATGGCCACATATTGATTGGATTGTTACGACTTACGAGGGGTTTAAAACATATGAGGTCAGTGTGTTTGTCTTCATAAAATACACAAAGGTAATAATGTGATCTTTATATACACACATCAATGTATATACACACATTATTGGCTTACATATATACGTATAATCGCATTATTGATGATGGTGGTGCTGATAAAGGTGCCACATCGCCTTCTTATGTTAAAAGCCACGTGTGAAATTGTCGGATCCAGTTAGACCGGGCCTGCTCATCCTACGGCTGACGTTTCGGTAATGAGAATCTAACGGTCATGATGAACCTCAAGTTTGGGCTCAGAAACTTAACGTTATCCTTTAACTTATAAAAGACGGTAATGTAAAGCTGTAGCGGATCACTCTTGGTTCGTTTGGGCCTCTTCTTAGAAGAAAGCATTTTCGGATTCGGTTCAATTTTAGACCTTTTCTTCTCCCGTGTGCTTTACTACTCTGATAGGGTTTTTTATTTACTCTGTTAGGGTTCCCTGACAAGTGAATAATTTTGAAGCTGAATCTTCACCATCTGAGCTTTGCCGGATTCGTGTGTTAGTCTGTGTCTCCGGATTCACGAAAATGGAACAACAACGGTATGTTTTTCTTTTTTTGTTTACGGTTTTTTTGTTTCTCGGATTCTCTTTCTTTACTGTAAAATCGAGACCTAGTTCTTTGAATACTAATTCTTGGATTGGCTTGTAAGATCGAGCTCTAATTCTTTGAACATTAGAGTTAATATCTGTTTTCCTTTGAATATTGACAGCGAAATCTGTGGTGAAAGTGTGAGAAATCGAGTTGTTGTGAATGAGGAGGACAGAATAAGTGAGTTGCCTGACGCTTTGCTTATAGAGATACTGTGTCAGCTTCCAACAGAGAATGTCGTAGCTACGAGTGCTTTGTCTAAACGGTGGAGATCTCTTTGGAAGATGGTGCCAAAGCTCAAGTTTAATTCTGATTGTCACAAAAGTGAAGACCACATATTTTCAGAGATTGTGGTCAGGTCTTTGCTTTCACATAAAGCTCCGGTTCTAGAGTGTTTGCATCTGGTAGTTGGAGATTAAGTGGTGGTACTAGCTAATGAGTTTTCCTTATGCACAGATTAAGTATCCTAGTGGTATTATCTTCCATCAGCTGGTTTCTTTAGAGGTATATATACTAGGAAAGTGGTATGAGATAAACCCGCGAGAAAGGTGGGGTCTTCTTCAGCTCATGCTCGATACTTCTCCTAATCTGCAAATCCTCAAGCTCACCGACGTAAGCAATTTCTTTCTTCTTTCTTTTTTTTTTTTTTTTCCATTTTCAAGATTTTTGATGATCCATTGTTTTCAGCCATCTCGGTGGGACAAAGAAAGAGTTAACGTTTCTCCTGTGGGCTGGAGATGAAGTCAGCCAAAACGTGTACCTGAATGTTTGTTGTTCCACCTTGAGACGTTCGTGTGGACAGGGTACGAATGGCAACAAGAAGATGAGAAACAAATTGCGACATACATCCTAAAGAACGCTAGACGGCTGAAGAAAACAACTCTTTCCACAAAACATATCCGATCCAAAGATCCGGACAAGTTGGAAAAGAGACGTGAGATGCTCAACGAGTTGGTTAGTCTCGCCGGACCTTCAAATTCATGTCACCTCGTGTTCAACTAGGTGACGTTTACTTGTATCTTCTTCTACCATGCATGTGACAAAAAAATCGGAAACGAATTCAAGGTTGCTTAGCTATGTATTTACTTTCTTTTGTTACTAGCTGACTATATATCTAGTTGCAGCAGAATCACAAGTCCAATTATATTGCACATAGCCAAACTCTTTTTTCTCGTCTCGCTCCTCTTGAATTTAGCATTGTTTCCTAAATGAAATCAAGTGTTTTAAACGTTTTAGATCAAGAAAAAAGGAGAATATACGAACCCTCTTAGCGATTTAGAAGGTTTAAAGGAGCCAGAAGGGTAATTTGGTAACTACATGTGTTCTAACTTCTAAAGGTCTTCACTCTCATCAGAACCAGGGTCTCTCTCTGTGAAAATCAACAACATTCAGAGATTAATGTGGCTTTTAGGGTTATGCTTGCGAGATCAAAGCTTGCTCTTGATTTGAGCATAAGATCACAGTCTTCGCTGAGAATATCCTACCACGCGAGACTCTTATCTGGATTCTGTAGCGGCGTCGATGATGGTGTTGACGGCGGCTTACCGGGAAACGGTGGTTCCGATTCAGGCAACGAATGGGAGAAGCTTCTCAAACCATTCGATATCGATTCTCTCAGGAATTCAATTCACAAGATCACTCCTTTTCAGCTCTGTAAGCTACTCGAGTTACCTCTCGATGTCTCTACATCAATGGAGTTGTTCTCATGGACGGGCTCTCAAAACGGTTATCGTCACTCCTTCGATGTGTACCAAGTGCTTATACGTAAGCTCGGCGCGAACGGCGAGTTCAAGACGATTGATAAACTGTTGATGCAGATGAAGGAAGAAGGAAGCGGATTTAGAGAGTCTCTTTTCATTTCGATTATGAGAGATTACGAAAAAGCTGGACTTCCTGGGCAAACTACGAGATTGATGCTGGAGATGAAGGATGTGTTCTCCTGCGAGCCCACTTTTAAATCCTACAATGTCGTCTTGGAGATTTTGGTCGCTAGTGATTGCCACAAAGTTGCAGCTAATGTGTTCTACGATATGCTTAGCCGAAAGATTCCTCCGACGCTTTTCACATTCGGAGTTGTGATGAAAGCTTTCTGCGCGGTTAACGAAATCGACTCGGCTCTCTCTCTGCTCAGGGACATGACGAAACATGGCTGCGTCCCAAACTCGATGATTTACCAAACTCTCATACACTCTCTATCCAAGTGTAATCGAGTGAACGAAGCGCTTCAGCTTCTCGAGGAGATGTTTCTGATGGGATGTGTCCCGGATGCTGAGACGTTCAACGATGTTATCTATTGTCTCTGTAAGTTTGATCGGATCAACGAAGCTGCGAAAATGGTGAACCGGATGCTGATCAAAGGGTTTGCTCCTGATGATATAACCTATGGTTATTTGATGAATGGACTGTGTAAGATAGGACGTGTTGATGCTGCAAAGGATCTTTTCAGCAGAGTTCAGAAGCCGAATGTTGTCATCTTCAACACTCTTATTCACGGGCTAGTGACTCACGGAAGACTTGATGAAGCTAAAGCTGTATTAGCAGAGATGGTATCATCTCGTATTGTTCCTGATGTCTGCACGTATAACTCGGTGATCCATGGATACTGGAAGAAGGGTCTTGTAGGCTTAGCTCTGGAAGTTGTTCGCGATATGAGGGAGAAAGGATGTAAGCCTAACCTCTTCTCTTATACTATCTTAATCGATGGTTTCTGCAAATTGGGAGAGATAGATGAAGCATACAATGTTGTGAATGATATGTCTGCTGATGGATTGAAGCTCAATACTACTGGTTACAACTGTTTGATATCGGCTTTGTGTAAGGAACATCGGATCCCCGAGGCTGTTGATATGTTCAGAGAGATGCCGAGAAAAGGGTGTAAACCTGATGTGTATACATTCAACTCGATGATATCCGGACTCTGTGAGGTTGATAACATTGAGCACGCCTTGTGGTTGCATAGAGACATGATATCAGAAGGTGTTGTTGCCAACACTGTTACTTACAACACGCTGATCAAGGCGTTTCTCGATAGAGGTGAGATCAAAGAAGCTCGTAAGCTGGTCAATGAGATGGTTTTCCAGGGATCCTCGCTTGACGAGATAACCTATAATGGTCTGATAAAAGGGCTGTGCAGGGCCGGTGAGGTAGACAAAGCGAGAAGCTTATTCGAAAATATGTTAAGAGACGGGCTTGTGCCGAGCGTTATTTCCTGCAACATACTTGTAAACGGGCTGTGCAGAAACGGGATGGTGGAAGAAGCGGTTGAGTTTCAGAGAGAGATGGTTCATAGAGGATCTACGCCGGATATTGTGACGTTTAACAGTCTGATAAACGGTCTGTGCAGGGCCGGTAGGATTGAGGATGGTGTGGCAATGTTTAAGAAGCTTCAGGCTGAAGGAATATCGCCTGATACGGTGACGTATAACACTTTGTTGAGTTGGTTGTGCAAAGGAGGTTTTGTTGATGATGCTTGCTTTCTTCTGGATGAAGGTGTTGAAGATGGTTTTGTTCCAAATGTTAGAACTTGGTCCATTTTGTTGAGGAGTCTTGTTCCTCAAGGATCACTAGATAGGCAAAGATTTTATGAAGCAGTTCTCTGAAGCTAAATTGATAACACAAGTTTGTTTAGTATATGTATTCACAATTATACGTTCGTTGCGTTGGGCTGCTATGACGCCTAAGAACTGTGAAATGATTTTGTGTCACCTTGCAATATTTGTTTTCATATGTACATCTAAATTTTAATTAATCAGACCAAATACAGGATACTTGTGAATTCTTTTTCTTAAATTTATTTTGGTGATAAACGTTTTAGCGATACTGTGTTCTTCATAAAACTATTTGGAGATTCACGAAGACAAAAGTATTTATTTAAATCTGATAAACTCATAATATTAATAGATAAGCTCATATGATCAACGAAAAGGAGAAACACATCATAGTATTCTGATAAATAAATTAATGGAAAAAAAAATAAAGAATCATCTCTCTGCAGAAGCTCATATATATATCTTAAATAAATAAATAATAAAAACCTACTAAATCTAAAAATTCACTCCTCGAAGGCTCGAACCTACATGGCCAAAACGGCAGCGGTTAACATAAACGCGACGGATCCGAAGACGGCGTAGCTGTTGGAAACGGCACCGTTTACCGCAGGACCGGGAGCTTCACTCGGGGAGTTGGAGATCGAAGACGGAGCACCAGCAGGCGAATCTGAAGGAGAATTTGCTAGAGGCGGCGAAGGAGGGGAGGAGGACAAAGGAGAATCAGCTGGAGACGGTGAGGGAGGAGAGGAGGAGGATTCTGGAGTCAATGCAGATTCAGGAGAAGGAGAGATTGCCGGTGCAGAAGTCGTCTCCTTAGGTGAAGGCGCCGGTGAGATGCGTCTTCCTCCGGCTCTAGATGGAGCTGGAGCTGGAGATTGACCCACCGCGAAAGAAACCAGAAGAGCGGCGAGAAGAAGGAACCCTAGAACTTTTGAGAAAGCCATTGTAAGAGAGAGATTCGAGTTTAGCTGTTTTTGGAAAGTTTTCTCTTTTGTTTTCGGGAGTGTTTTGCTTAATTGCTTTGTTGATTACAAAACTCGGAGACGAGTCTCTTTATATAGAGAAGTAGTGGGGTCCACTGTATTCGACATGTAAGGTGAATCTGCACCGCTGATCTGAAAGCATTAGGACCGACTTTAATCTAACGGCTGAGATATCATTATAATAAAAAAAAGCAAAAAAGGTGTGGGGACAAGACAAGCCAGATGAGAAAGAAAAAGAGAACGCGGTTGGCTCAACCCCTTGACTACGGCGCTAACGGCTCTTCGACAGCTGTTTTCATGGAATCCTGAGCGTACGCGTGTTGGTCATATTAACGCGTGATGAAAAAGGAAAATATGGCCGTTGTGTTAAGTTATTTTCTTCCATAATTAAACTGTTTTGGTTTTCCGCAATTTTACATTTTGCTTTTCTTCCATAATTAAACTGATTTGATTTTCCCTTGTATTGATGAGAGTTTAAATTGTAAGCTTTCCAGTTTGAATCCACTCTTTAACAGATCCAATTAAATTTTAATTATGGTTTAGCAGAAGAGGATGCACATTTCAAGGCTTCCTGTTTCCACAGCTTTCACAAATCAAATCAAATGCAACAGTTCAATCCGGAGTATAATAAGTAACAATGTTGAAAATTCGTTACACAAGAAATGTAAAACAAAAATCAAATAAAGATTAGACTAGAACATAAACCAATCCAATCAAGATTCTCAGATAGATCAAAAGTCTTTTTCTTGCTCTTCTGTGTCAATTTTCTTTTCCTGTATCTGAAGTATCATCTATATTTTTATTCCCGGTTCTGGAGCTGCTCAAGACTCAGACTCAGCATCATCATCATCATCAGTCTTCACGACGATATCGCCTTTGAACTTCAAGCCATACATGTGACCCATCTTGGTCCGCTTCGTCTCTAAATATCTCTTATTCTCCTTTGTGATAAGACTCAAGAGAGCCACTCTTCCCACAATTGCTAATCCATATCCCTTCAAACCAACGTACTTCGCCGGATTATTCGTCATCAGCTTCATCGTCCTCACTCCCAAATCCCTCAGTATCTACACATTATCGAATCACGAATCAGTTGAAGAAAAAGGTTGTTGGCGATTAGGATGTTAACGAGATCTCACCTGTGCACCAATTCCATACTCTCTAGAATCAACAGGAAGTCCCAAGTCCTCATTAGCTTCGACCGTGTCACGACCAGCATCCTGCAGATTGTAAGCTCGGAGCTTGTGTCCTAAACCGATCCCTCTTCCTTCATGTCCACGTAGGTAAACCAACACACCGCGACCATTAGACTCGATCTGCTGCATCGCAAGTGCTAGCTGGTTCCCACAATCGCACCTTGCTGATCCAAATATGTCCCCCGTGAGACATTCCGAGTGAACCCTCACTAAAATGTCTTGACCGTCACCAATCTCTCCCTGCCCACACAATTTCAAACAAATGAGACTTTAGGCTAGAAAAAAATCAAAAGGAAATGTTTTCTAAAAGCATTTCTCTAACCTTAACCATAGCAATGTGCTCTATTCCGTCTAATATCGACTTGTAGCAGTAAGCTGTGAAAGGTCCCCACATTGTTGGGATCCGAGCCGCGGAAGAACGTTCCACTAGTTTATCTCTCTTCCTTCTATATCTGTTATTTCAAGAACCAGAGACTTAAGATCTTTAGCTTCCACAGGATTAGGTAAATGAAAATGAGGTACAAAGCTTTGCTTTACCTGATCAGATCTGCAATGGAGACAATTTTGAGGTTATTCTCAGCTGCAAATTCACGGAGCTTAGGTAATCTAGCCATGGAACCATCATCATCCACGATTTCACAGAGTACACCAACAGGATCTAGTCCAGCCAAAACAGTAAGATCAACAGATGCTTCAGTGTGTCCGGCCCTTTTCAAAACCCCTCCCTCTCGATACTTGAGCGGGAATATGTGACCCGGGCGGTTGAAATCCTCCGGCTTCGAATCTCTCGATGCAAGGGACAGTATCGTTGTTGCTCTGTCACGAGCTGATACTCCTGTTGTTGTACCATGTTTTGCATCCTATAAAGCCAACAAGCAAACTAAGCAACAAACTCTTCAAGATCAAAGCTTTTCTCAGAGAGAGAAACAAAAAAAGTACATACCACAGTCACTGTGAATGCAGTGGAGAGCTTTTCTTCGTTCTCCTTCTGATTCACCATCAGAGGAAGGCGTAATCTCTCGAGATCATCGTCTTTCATGCTCACACAAACTATACCAGTTCCATGTTTCACAATGAAAGCCATGGCCTCAGGTGTAGCTAACTGAGCAGCCATTACCAAATCCCCCTCGTTTTCTCTATCTTCATCATCCACAACCACCACAAGCTGCAACATTACCCCCCAAAATCAATCCAGGATAAAGCATAAACAAGAACAATAGGTGACACTTTGATTCAAATAATTGTAAACGAACCTTCCCTTGGCGGATATCTTCAATGGCTTCAGGGATTGAAGAGAAACCTGGTGTTGGTAAATCCAACTCATAGTCATCATCTTCGGAGACGAAACCATTGGCTGGTGCAGGACCTGAATCCGCCGCAAGCGTTCCGAGAGAAGCTGAATCAGCCTCTTCCGGTTCTTCGATCCGGTCATCTAAGAGAGAGCCATTGGTGTAAGAGAGCAGATCGTCTTCTCTGGAGACGACCGCAGCTTTCACTTTTCCGGTGGTTTTGATGGCAAATGATGATAACGGATGGTTAGATGGTAAACTAATACGGCGTAGTCCATGGAGCAATGTAGTAGAGCTTTGGCTTAATCTGCACAGAATCATGGTGAAGAAGTAAGCATTCGTTTTTGTTAAAAGTATGAATCTCGTTATCTGATCAAACGCAACTACGGATTCTTAGATCACGAGATTCTATTAGCTGAGAAATTCGAATTGAATCTCTTCGATGCGTAATCGTATTTCCCCCAGAATCATTGACCAATTAACAAAAGCAAAAAGAAGAAATGAAGCTAAATCGGGAGATATGGTGGAAGAAAAACCTCACCTAGAGCGGGAGAGAGATATGGTGGAAGGAGACGAAGACGATAAATTGATCGAAGACATTTCTCGCTACTCGTCGACGAAATGAAGAGAAGCCTTAATCGAAAAATCCAGAAAAATTGGGTAGATTTGTAGTCGCGATCTCCGGAAAACCCACCACTTCGGTTATCCGATAATTAATGGGAGATTGGAAGCTTTATGAAGAAGATGCGGGGAAAAGTGAGCGGATGTGTTAGTTGCGGATGACGATATCGATTAGCGAAGCTTTATTTTAATGGCGGCGCAAATTTGGAAAATGAAGAGAAGAAGAAGAATTAAAGGGATCTCTTTGGGTGCGTGCGATGATGATTCGGTGAGAGATAAGACACTTGCTCTTGGCTCTTGTCTTCTCCAACCATTTCTCGACGCCGACTTTTATAGACTCTTTTTTTTTCCACCACAAGAAAAGTCTCGGGTCTCTCGTTCTCGAATCAAATCTGCCTCCTACCAAATTAATTACGTTTAGTCATTTAAAACTCTTTTGATCTGGATATACGTAAAACAACAAAAAACTCTCTTTTAATTGGGATAGAAAGATAGAAACTGAACTAGACGACGCCACAAGAAAGTTAGGACATCCTGATCAAAAGAGTTTCATTGGGATAGTAAGTTAGAGACTGAACTAAAAAGGGTAGATAGTTCAAAATCTCAACATTGCCCGGTGTTGCTAATGATAATCGTATAAAAATTAACTCAGCAAACAAATACGAGTGTCATTAACGACGGTGATTCCCATGCATGTGAAGAGTTTCATAAGAAAAAGGAAATGGACCCATCCAAGATTCCAAAAAAGCTTTGGGTATAAGTGATAATTTATATAATTGAAAGTGATAATCTATATAAAAATAACGAGTGTATATTATAATCTGAGTGGCAGCCCATTCCCATGAGACACGAACCGCACATTTTTGTGTTTCTTTTCATCCTCGCTTCTTGGTCGGATGACCCATGCAACATAATGTTCCTCGTCGCTCGAGAAATTATAAAAATGTAATACTACTATAATGTAAGTTTTTTTGGATCTAAATGTTTTTTTTTTGTTAAAGTATGGATCTAAATGTTAATGTAGATTGAGTCTACTTGTGCTTTGAGTATTTTCTAGCACGAAAATGATCGGTGAAGTCTAACGGTTGAATACTACTACGGTAGCGAATAAAAAGTCAATTGCCTCGTATTGTAAAATCCAACATAGAGCAATAGTTTCATCCTTTTTCTTCCAACATCTATCCATCGTGCAAGTAAAGATATGACACTTCTGCATTCCTTCTTTGGTCATCCACATGGCATTGGATTATCGATCAAAAAATTATCTGAATTTACCCGTAAACCAATCCTCACATTTTCTTGAGATAGTTTATATAGTTAGCATCATGCGATAAAAACGTTATACACTTATACTGTATATTCTATTGAATAGCTTTTGATTTTCATCTTATCATTGTCATTGGTTCCTCTAGTATCATTGTGTAAAGAAGAAGAATGATGATGAATATTGAATACACTGACCGATAACCAAAACAGAAAAATCGGATTTTGAACCAAATTAAAAGAGGTTCGGTTAAGTTGACTTTAGTTCCGGTTTGTCTAGTCTGGTTAAAAGGAAGAACCGGAGACTTTTTAGGTTCAGTTAAATTTCACTGTCTTCTTCACATCCACTCATCATCATCATTGCTGTCCGGCGAATAGACACAGCGTCTGAAACCACTTCGCCGTCTCTCTCTATCTAATCGCCGGCGATGGAGAGCTTCGCACTTCACTCTCTCTCCACCACCGCCACTTCCGCTTCCTTCTCTCACCACCCCTCACGCCTCTCTGTTCTCCGCCGTATCTCATCATCGAGATCTCCGCCTTCATCCATCTCTCTCCCATCTCTCCGATCTCACTCTGTTCAGCCTCTCAATTTCCCTCTCCTCAAACCAATCCCCCGTTTCTCCAAACGAATCAACGCCACACCAAAAAACAACGACACTCCTTCGCCAACCCAATCCCCGTCTCCTCAACCGCCGCAAGGGGCGAAACTAGTCCCTCTGATTCTCTCCGTCTCTGTCGGTCTAATCCTCCGATTCGCTGTCTCCGTACCGGAAGGAGTCACGCCGCAAGGCTGGCAGCTCCTCTCGATCTTCCTCTCCACAATCGCCGGCCTCGTCCTCAGCCCTCTCCCAGTCGGAGCCTGGGCTTTCATCGGCCTCACGGCGTCGATCGTCACGAGAACGCTCTCCTTCTCCGCAGCTTTCTCCGCCTTCACCAGCGAGGTCATCTGGCTCATCGTCATCTCCTTCTTCTTCGCACGCGGATTCGTCAAAACAGGCCTCGGGGACAGAATCGCCACTTACTTCGTCAAATGGCTCGGAAAAAGCACCTTAGGCCTATCTTACGGCCTCACCCTTAGCGAGGCCCTGATTGCTCCTGCAATGCCCAGCACCACCGCTAGAGCCGGCGGCATTTTCTTGCCCATCATCAAGTCTCTGTCTCTCTCCGCCGGAAGTAACCCAGGAGATTCCTCTTCCAAGAAATTAGGAGCTTACCTAATCCAATCCCAATTCCAGGTTACTTCTTGTTTGTTACAGTTTGCTCCAATGTGTGTATAGACTATAGTAGAATGTGCATGTTGCTTGATTGATCTTTGCTTATATATGTTTCTGTTATGTGATAATTTTGGACAGTGTGCCGGAAACTCTAGTGCTCTGTTCTTGACAGCAGCAGCTCAAAACTTGCTGTGTCTCAAGCTAGCAGAGGAGCTTGGAGTAGTGATTGCAAACCCGTGGGTTTCTTGGTTCAAGGCAGCGAGTCTACCAGCGATCATATCACTTCTTTGTACTCCGTTTATCCTCTACAAGCTTTATCCTCCGGAGACCAAGGACACACCGGAGGCTCCGGGGATTGCTGCTTTGAAACTCAAGAAGATGGGTCCCGTCACTAAAAACGAATGGATCATGGTCGGTACAATGCTCCTCGCTGTCACTCTCTGGATCTGCGGGTAAATTTTCTTTGGTAAACTCTCATTGTAAATTTTTATCATAGTATGGAGTTGGTTAAATCTGAAAACATTTACTACATGCAGAGAGACTCTTGGCATACCAAGTGTTGTAGCTGCGATGATTGGTCTCTCCATACTTCTTCTGCTTGGTGTTCTTAACTGGGACGATTGCTTAAGCGAGAAATCAGCATGGGACACGTTGGCTTGGTTTGCTGTGTTGGTGGGGATGGCAGGACAGCTCACGAACCTCGGTGTTGTGACGTGGATGTCTGATTGTGTGGCGAAAGTTCTTCAGTCTATGTCCTTGAGCTGGCCTGCTGCGTTTGGACTTCTCCAAGCGGCTTACTTCTTCATACATTACCTTTTCGCAAGCCAGACTGGTCACGTGGGAGCGCTCTTCTCGGCTTTCCTTGCTATGAATATAGCAGCTGGTGTTCCTGGGGTTCTTGCTGCACTTGCTTTGGCTTACAACACCAATCTTTTTGGTGCTTTGACTCATTACAGTAGCGGTCAAGCTGCTGTCTATTATGGAGGTATGTCTTATATTCCCTTTTACAGAAACAGAACAGAGTCTCTCTGTCTTTTTATGGTTAAGTCTTTTATCTCTGACTTTGGTATTTGGTTTCATGTTTTTGGCAGCGGGTTATGTTGATTTGCCTGATGTATTCAAGATTGGATTCGTGATGGCTACGATTAATGCGATCATCTGGGGAGTAGTTGGAACTTTCTGGTGGAAGTTTTTGGGTCTTTATTAAAAATTTGAAATCACCATTTGGTTCTTGTAGCTTGCAAGGATGCACAGTCTCTTTGTTGATCATTTTGGTTTCGAGGGCTTTTCTCCTTTTAAATTACTTGCAATTGGAGAATTCCAATTGGAGATTCTTTGTCACATAGATATACACAGAGATCTGTCTCTTGATTCGTTTCTCTCTTATGAAAATATCGTATTTTTTTTCAGAGAGAGCTTAACAAACAAGATGCAGATTTGATCTGGGCGTGTTTTGTTGTGAGAAAAATTATGGGGATAAAATAGAGAAATTTCTGATATAAAGGAGTGAATCTCCCAAATAAGCCATAAGACAAGGATCGATTTTCAAATTCTTTAAAGGGAGGAACATGAAGTTAAGTTTTAGATCCACACGCATCACTCTCTTACGTGTCCCCACAATATGTGATGGTACGATTACAATCCCCACAATTTTGTTTTCGTTCAATAATGTAACCAAAATAAGTTACATATCACATGTCGAAAATGGTGGGAAAAATAAAAGCGAGGCGTTAGCTTTCTCAATGTGTAACTTATGTGTTCAAACTTCAAAGGGACAACCTTTTTTTTGTAAGAAGTATACAGTATATCATTATTTTCATGAAAAAACACTTTCACCACTCCATACAACTACTATATGTATCACATTCATTTTGTTAGTAGGATGCAAACAACAAACTACACTCAAAGACTAACAATTCCAGAACAATAATTGCTTTCAATTAGAATTCTGACGTAAGAAATAAGAATAACATTTTTTTATAGTTAAGCATATACAGAGAGAAATATCAATCAAATGATACTTGATAGTAATATACAAAATCAATTTCCCTCCTCCGGCGAGAATTAACACTACGAAATCGAAAAACTCTCGGCGATGGAGAGTTTCGCTCTCCGTTCTCTCTCAATCTCCGCTTCTTCATCAGCCTCATTTCTCTCTCTCCGCCGCTCTCCTTCCAGATCATCGTTATCTCTTCTTAAGCCTTCGTTTCCCGTTTACTCATCCCCAACCGTCCGATCACTCTCAGTCTCCTCCCCGCGATTCACTCTACGCGCCACCGCCTCCTCCGCCTCTTCCTCTCCGCAGAAACAGAACATACCTCAATCTTCTTCGCCGCCGCCGCAAGGAGCTAAGCTGATTCCTCTCGCAATCTCCGTCTCAATCGGTCTCATCGTCCGATTCTTAATCCCTAAGCCAGAGCAAGTGACGTCGCAAGGATGGCAATTACTCTCAGTCTTCCTCTTCACGATCTCAGGTCTCGTCCTCGGTCCGCTCCCTGTCGGTGCCTGGGCTTTCATCGGCTTAACCGCTTCAATCGTCACCAAAACGCTTTCCTTCTCAACCGCCTTCTCCGCGTTCACAAACGAGCTCATCTGGCTAATCGCGATTTCCTTCTTCTTCGCCCGTGGGTTCATCAAAACGGGCCTCGGCGACAGAATCGCCACCTACTTCGTGAAATGGCTCGGGAAAAGCACTCTTGGTCTCGCTTATGGTCTCGCCTTCTGCGAAACGCTTATGGGTTTGATAATGCCGTCTACGATGGCTAGAGCCGGCGGGGTTTTCTTGCCGGTGATCAAATCTCTCTCTCTCTCCGCCGGTAGTAAACCCGGAGACCCTTCTTCCAGAAAATTGGGTTCTTTTCTCATTCAAACCCAATTGCAGGTAAATGCAAAATTCGAAAATCCAGATTCATTTTTAAAATCAATCAAAAGCAACTAACATTTATAATGTCATTAAACAAAGAACACCATATTTTAACCATAATTATAAAAACAACCCCAAATTATCTAAATAAACACAAATTAATATCTGGGCCGTGACGTTAGTTGATGTATGTGCTATGTGGCAGTGTTCAGGAACTTCTGGTGCGCTTCTACTGACATCAGCGGCTCAAAACTTGTTATGCTTAAAACTAGCGAGAGAAGTTGGTGTAGTACTCACGAATCCATGGGTCTCTTGGTTCAAAGCAGCGAGCGTTCCTGCGTTTGCCTCTCTTCTTTGTACACCGCTCATCATCTACAAGCTTTACCCTCCTGAGCTAAAACACACACCGGAAGCTCCAGCTGCAGCTGCCAAGAAACTAGAACGGTTAGGTCCCATCACGAAAAACGAATGGATCATGCTCGCGGCTATGGCTTTCACTGTCTCTCTTTGGGTTTTCGGGTAACGTTTCTTGCAAATCCGACCAACTACACGAACTCGTAACAAAATGCTAAATCTATTTACGTTTGTGTCATAAAGGGAAGCAATAGGAATAGCGAGTGTTGTATCGGCGATGATCGGGCTATCAACGCTACTGGTGTTAGGAGTCATAAACTGGGACGACTGTCTAAGCGACAAATCAGCTTGGGACTCGCTCACTTGGTTTGCGGTTTTGATTGGAATGGCCGGACAGCTGACGAACCTCGGTGTCGTTGCTTGGATGTCAGATTGTGTGGCCAAGCTGCTCCAGTCTCTCTGCCTGACTTGGCCACTTTCGTTCGTTATTCTCCAGGCTTGTTATCTTTCGATCCATTATCTGTTCGCAAGCCAAACCGCTCACGCAGGAGCTCTCTATACGGCCTTCTTGGCCATGCATATCGCAGCTGGAGTCCCTGGGGTTTTAGCAGCGCTTTGCTTGGCTTTCAATAACAATCTCTCTGCTGCTATGGCACATTATAGTAGTGGACCAGCTGCTTTATACTATGGAGGTAATCTTCATTTTCTTCTTCATATGCTTAGTTATCGAATTAATCGACCATTTACCCTTTTTTTTAATTAACATTATTTTTTTGGATTGTCTGAATCTGCAGCTGGATATGTTGATCTCAAGGATATGTTTAGGCTCGGGTTCGTCATGGCATTTGTACAGGCACTCATTTGGGGATTTGTGGGATCTTTCTGGTGGAAATTCTTGGGTCTCTACTGAAAATGGTCTAGACATGTTACACTACACAAACCAATCCAAAATCCGAAATCGAAAGTTTGATTTAACTTGTACCGATTTCATCTTGTTTTCTTTGATTTAAAATAAACTAAAATTTAGCACTTAAATAACTGAACTGAGTATTGAATTCGGTCCAATTTCACTCGAATTTCTTCTGGACAGGCAACACAACCAACTATAACCCCAAAAACTCTGGACAAAGACAAACAACCAACTACAAAATTCGTAATGTTTAAGGCCAAAGATTATGTTCATTTCGTGGGTTGCAGCTTCTACGTTATACTCCATCAAAAGGCACCACAACGTCATGAATCCTAGAAGCCAATAAAAATGTATAAATACCAAAGCGTGAAAGAAAAATAAAGACTTTAAGCTCTGGGTATTTCGAGCCTCGAAGTATATACGATAATTCCTGAGCCTGCAGCAGCTGTTTGAAAATGAATATAAACAAGTCAATAAGGACACCAAAACGTAAACATAGAGGTTTGAAAATAGAAAGATGCGTTTGTTTCCGTGTTCAGAAGTTTATACAAAGCAAACCCTTGGCGCAATTACCAAACAAAACAGAAGAAGAAGACTAATAATAAGGTGTTAAAAGAGTACGACGTCTTATCTTTCCCTTCACACAAACATGGTCAACTCTGGCCGGCTAAAGACATTGTTCTGCTCATCCTCCAGGAGCGGGTATGCAGCAACAAGCGTGTCCTGAGCACCAATGTATAGCGAGTTGTAAATCTTCCAATACACTTCACGGACCTTGCGAGCCGGATGAAACAAACCCTGCAGACAGTAGTTCAGAATCACCGCTGGTCCTAACGCAACTCTCATCCCTTCAATCGCTTCCATCACAGCGTTGATCACGTGCGGAGATGTTTCGAAAATGTTGGGCCAGATATAGTTTAGCAAGTGAACCAGAGCGTCTTCGCAACCCAAACCAGCTACACCCAGTGCCATGTGTTTCACCGCTGAAGCAGCGGTTTGTCTGTGAACCAGATCTCTGTCCATGAGCGCATCTTCCAGCAACGGCGTGACTGCGTATATGTAATCCTTGCCCATTTCTCCAATGTACTCGAAGAGGAAAGAGAGCGATTTCAATACACCGTTTTGGACGTTGAGCTCTGGGACACGGTACTCGTTTATCAAAGCAGGCAAGACGGTGAAGGGAGAGCATGTTTCAGCGACAATGGCAATTGCGACTGTGGTGCAAACACGGTTCTGACGTTCTTGGACTTTGAGATTGTTCAGTAACGTGGCTAGAACGTCTTGTGGTCCAATTGCTTTCGCTATGTACCCAAAAGTGTTGACAGTGGCACGACGAATACCTTTCTTGTGAGCCTTGAGCATTTCGAGAAGCTCAAAACAGATTCTCATCCATTCTCTGGCCGGAACAAACTCCGCACCGCGATCAGCAATCCTACCAACAAGGTCGATACAATTCTCTTGCACTTTCTCGTGCCTGTTCTTCAAAATCGGAGTCAGTCTTGGTAGCAGATCCTTAATAGGAGGAGTCATCTTTGTCATACCAATCACGTTGACGATAGCTTTAAGAGCTCCAAGAATTGATCCCAAGACTTCTGGGTACTCTTCTCCAAGATACTCGTACAAGACGACACCAAGATGCCCCATCAACTGCTCTTCTCCACACTGCTTCATCACAACAGCAATTCTAGAAATAAGATCAGCGGCTTGCTGTCTTACCTTTGCGCTCTTGTTGTTTAGTCGCCACTTGATGGTACCACAAATCTGGGGAAGGTAAGGCTTCACTCGTTGACCAAGAGCATTCACTACTGCACCGAAACCATTAAGCATCACATTGGCATCGTCATTAGTCTGTTCTTGGAAAGCATAAAGAATCCCATCTATGAGAAGTTCCTCCAATCTCAAATCAATATCAGATGCCCCTAGGTTTGTGACAACCTTGTCAATGGTTTCCATAACCATACGTCGATATGGTTCACTATCCTCTTTAAGACCCTCTCCAGCAAGTTTCCCCACGATATCTGCAACACCAACCTTGTTTGCAATCTCCACAGTAGTTTCAACAAGCTGCTTATAGTTTCTCTTCTCCAGGGCCATTCTCTTAACCCAGAAGTGCTTGAAAAAGTCTGGCAGGATATGGACGCGAATGTAATCGGCTTCGACACCCTCTGTACTTACACACTGTTTCACCACCTTGAGGACAATCTTCTTCATTTCTTCATCAGGTGACTGGAACTCACGAATCAAGACAACCATCACTTCTTTAGTGTAGTAGCTCGCATATATCGAATCCATCAAGGGGATGATGAAACCAATCGCCTTCAAGAACGCAGCCAACACTTTACCACGGTGAGACCTAATCCCTTTCCACAAAGGCTTCAGAACAGAATCAAAGCTCTCAATACCATAAGGAGCAGCAGCCTCGGCAAGAGCAGCCAGTGACAAGGCGGTAATAGTCCTAACCTTCTGGTTTTCATCACTGAGTCCATGTTCGATAATTTCTACAAGAGACCTCAAGTAGGGAAGGACGGCACAGCCAATTAGGATGGCAATCTGCTGAACAATTTTAATTCCAGTGTGCCGTGCCTGCCACGATTTCTTACTCTGGCACACGGCCTTAAGGAACGGCAAGAGTGCAGGGATACCAAGAGCTGAAGCCACCACACTGAAAGCCCTCGCTGTTGTGTTCCTCACATATTCATCCGCGTTGTCAATATCAGGACGCATAGCTGCAATCATAGTGGCTAAACCAGCTGCTTTGCTAAGGTTAGAAATAATCTCTCTACCTTCTACACGAGCATAGTAATCTTCATCAATCAACAGTGGCTCTATAACAACAAGAACTTTGTGGACAAAAGGCCTTACCAGCTCATCAAGCCTGTACAGAATTCTCTCAATAACTTTGACCAAAAGATGCCTCTCTTGATCCTCCAAAGTGTGTTGCATGAGCAGTGGCAAAATCTTATTAAACAAAGGACCAGCACCAAGCTCACGAGCCTTATCAGTAAGCTGCCTTAGAGCTGTTTTCCTCTGGGCAGGCGTTCCATTTTTAACCTTCAACAACAACTTCATTATCTTGCGTTCTTTCTGCTCATCAGGAGACAGCTCTTCTTCGTTCTCTTCATTCAATAGCGCTCCGAAATACTGATAGTCCTCTGGTTTCATATGCGGCAACCCACCAGGAAGTTCCGGGGGCACATCATACTGCTGCCCACGGTTTTCCTCAGGAATATTGTAGCCAGGAGTTGCATACGGTGTCGGGGTTGCCATTAGTTTCCTCGCAGGGGTTCTGATGGGAACATAAGAAGCAGGCGGTTCCAAAACCTTGTATCCCTCTAGAGGAAACATGGCGTCAAGCTCTTCATCAGACAATGGTCTGTTTCTCTCTTCAATATCCTTCTCCCACCTTGCCATGTTGTACTGCTCGGCCGTCATACCAGCACCATTCAGATTGAGCTGACCCGGAGTTGGAGTAAGCAAACCATCCCCACCGAGGGGAGTGACACCAGGCGTGTAGAATGCTGCAGGAGTCGCTCCACCCGGTGTAGCACTTCCCATAGTGGCTGGTGTCTCGTCCCACCTTGAACGTTGACGCTTTGGGGTAGGCGTTGCCAGCCCTTTCGGAGTCGCGTCCCAAGTATTACCTGAAGGAGTTGACCCGGGGGTGACACCACCACCGCCTGGTGTTGCATCGGAATCAGTCACACGGCCTGGAGTAGGAGTCTCGTCCCACCTGTTCCTTCGTCCAACAGATGGTGTGGCATCAGAGACTCTCCCTGGAGTTGCTTCCCATCGTCCACTCCCTGGAGCTACATCAGGCATATCCCAATCCGAAGTTGATGCTTTAGCTTTCTTTGCGGCGGCAACATCATCACCGGCTTCTCCCCACCTGTTCCTTCTCTTGGAGGATGAAGGAAGAGGAGCCGAATCCTTCTGTTTCTTCGCATCTTCTTCTTCATCTTTCAATTTCTGACCAATGAGTCTCTTAGTTTCCTCCAACTCCCTCTTAGTAGCCGTCTCCCTCATGTGGTCATTGTAAGTCCGAACACTCGGATCCGGCGTCTTATCGCCCATAGCAAACGGATCAACTCTTTCCGGAGAGAGAACTCGATTGAGTCTCCTGTTCCTATATTCACCCTCGCGCTCAGCGATAGTCTCCCTAGGCTTGAATCCCCCAACGTCATCTTCGCTGTGAGGGCGAGCCACGTCGTTGAGAATCGACCTAGGAGCGGTGTAGGACGCAAGCCGCTGAGCCACAAGAGACCCAGTGGTGTCCAGATTCGGATCCTCCTCATCGTTGGGTGCGATAGAAGTCAAGTAGGAATCACGGTCGTTATCACCATACAGATGGCGATCGAATTTCAGAGAAGCGAGCTCTGCTTCCTTCTGCCGTTTCTCCTCTTGAGTTTTAGCGATCTCGGCATCTAGATCCCGATCCGCCATTATCGATACCCAACGAAGCTTTCTCCAACAACAGATATAAAGTAACTGGAAAATTGAGAAAAGAAAATCAGTAAATCAGAACAGGAATCGAAATAGAATACAATCAGATCAAGGACGAAGTGATTAAGATGGCAAAAAATAACTCACCGGTTATTGGGACTCGCCTGCGAGTGTGTGGGGAACGAAGAACGCGAGAAGAAAGAGAATTAGGGTTTATACAGATAAAGCAAAGAAAATTTTTAATAAATAGGAGTAATTGAAACCGACCAATCGAGCGAGTCGGTTCTTACGTTTGGGTTTTGGGTATATGAAACCGACCAATTAGGCCTCTTATACTTTTTTCTCTAGCTGGGTTCACCCAAAGAAAGCCCAAAGGCCGGATTTGAAGGAAACAACAAAAACGTTTGTATTTTGTGTAAATCACTAAATCTTAATGATTACCTTGAGTTAATAATAATATTATACAATTACGAGAACGTCCTTATTTCAAACCCGTCTGCAGAAGAAGCAGCCGGTTTTTGTTTCGACAAATTTTTGAGGTGAAGTTTGGTTTTCAAGAGCGGCCAAGTTTTTGGACTCATATTAGTCCAATGACGCATTTAAACTTTGTGCTGGATTCGCTGCCATCTTATCTTAGGAACCTCTATGCTTGTGGTTGTTTGCTTGAGTTAAAAGCGGCTGGTATATTCCCTCTCTTTCTATGTTACTGTTAAGGTTTAATCTATTGAATCAAAGCTTGAACAAAAAAAAAAACAACAATCACGAGAACATTCAAAATTTAGTTCCATACAAGCAAAATGTATAATGTGAGATTAGTTTAATTGTCTTGTATAAATAACTTGTTATGTGTCGTAAGCCTATAATAAAGAGATTTTAGTTATAAGCATTATCCTCACTAGCATCTTCGCTTTTTTAAATTACTGGTATAGCCGAAAGTCGGGATCCACTTCTGCTTAATCAAGTTTAGTATTACATTCGGGAATTACTTATTGGTAATGGATATGGGAATGGCATCCAAATATATATATACACACCTATACATTAATACGAAATGTTACAAAGTTCTCTTTCGCATAAAGAAAGGAAGCACTGGATTACTTCACCAAACCCACTGAACATGTTCAGGAAATACTGAATAACAAAATTTACTATAATTGGAATTTGTAGCAAATTAAAGAACTAATTCAATCGATTACTCTTTGCCGTTGGTAAAGAAAGTTTTGTTTTACTTTATTTCATAACTTACCTAACGTTTTAACTCAAAATATCATTTTATAATCATTGCTAATAAGAAACGAGTACTTACAAAGTAATCAATTTGGTCTCCTAGGCCCCAACATCACTTAAAAATTAAAATGCCTGCTTTAGACTCCCAACTTGCTTTGTATTGTTATCCACTTCATTATCGAATTAACTACATCAAATATCATTATTATCTTCTGCCCACTACTATAAAAGTCAGATAGCTTTAATAAGCTTCGATCATTATGTTAACTGAGTGCCTTTTTTGGCGCAAAAGCTGAGTGCCTTAAATTTAACAAAGTAGAGAAACATAATGACTTTATTTTTTATATATTCACATTCCCGAAAACATAATTTACACATCACAGCAAAACGACAAAAGCAAAAGAGCCCTATCCACAATCCGAACCCGAAAGATTGTATCTACACGCGCTCGTGCAACTTGTTCTACTACAGATGTCGTCTAGATCTCGTCATCACTCTCGATACGATGCCACGTGTCTTACTCACGTTCATTGGATCAAACCAGTGTTCTGCACGTTGAGGTCTGTGGATCCCACATCGCCGGCAAGAGATATTTCCTACCGGCGAGTCCATGGGCGTTGAAGCTAGACCCGGTTGTCTTGTCGACGAGGACTTGACCCGCGTAACCCGGATAAGAACCCGACCCGAAGATGCCAGTACAAGCGGAGACAGCTTCAAGCGGCGCAGTTGGTGGGCCCTGGTAATATCCATTTTTAAACGGATTCGTGACGGTGTTAGCGAGGAGTGTAGCGAGGTTTATAATCATTCCGTCAACTCCGACGTCACCGTTAGGAGAAACTAACGGCGGCGTTTGCGGTCCGTAAATCGGCTGGTGAAACGGCCACGCGCAGTATCCCGGGCACAGCGTCTCGGAGTTCCCGACCCAGACGTAGGCGGCGCCGTTAGCCGCGCGACGCGATTTCGAGCCGGAGGATCCGTGAGACCCGCATCGGTTCATACATAAACCTTCGACGTTGACGTCTTTCGCCGTTAAGACGACGGTGATGGAACGGAGACCGCCGTTGAGCTTGGTGGATAGAGCACGGAGGTGAGGATTTTTGAGGGATTTTCCGAGAGGATAGTTCTCGAGGAGAAGCTGTTTCCCGACGACAAGGGTTGATGAGCCGCCTTTGTATTTCTCCGTCGTCTTCCACCACGACGCGACGGAAGGAACGGTGGCGTCTTTGGAGTTGAGCGAGCGGATGAAATCGACGATCACGGACCGTTGGATGGGTGTGAATTTTCCGTACCAAACGAGATTGACGGTGATGTTTCCTTTCAAGAGAGCGCCGTTGTGGTATTTCAGAACCAGCGGCTGCTCCTTGACCAAAGCGGCGGCGGAAAGACCGGCGGCGGCGAAGAGGAAAGTGAGGAAGATGGCGAAACGGTAATTGTATGCCATTGAGAGAAGGCAAATAAGATATTGAAGAGATAGAAAAGGTTTTGTTTTGGGTTTATAGGATGTAGAGTGTGTTACAGAGTTATTTATATACCAGAGATTTTTTGAAATGGGAGAGATGAGTGAGACAGCTGTAGTAGCAAAGGTGTCAATGTCAAAGAGTGCCACGTGGGAGGATTTGAATGGGTAGAGAAGGGTATTTGACAGCCTGTAAGGTTCTTCAAATGTGACGTGGTAGTCTCCATTACGTGTATTAAATTTAAGTGATGCTTAGCCGATAGATTTGTTATTAGTTTGGTTATTAAATGAAAAAGTTGTTTTTAGGCCACACGTAGAGAGTCAGACAGCATGCTCTTCCATGCGCAATTGTTTAAGATTTGTAATACATTTAGTTATGAAGGAAATTTTATTTTATCAAGATATGTATATGAAGTTTGGGAAAAAAAATGAATTGTGGGAATAGTTTTTCGTACATGTCATTGTTTTAAAAAAGTTTCTCTATTCGAGCTGCCATAAGCCATAACTACTAAAACTTTTAAAGTTGTATTTAAAGCGAGTAAAGTTTGAATGCCAAAACCCACTCTAAATTTAAATGCAATAGATACAGTGAACAAGTCTTTATTAAACAAATAAAGTAGTGCTTGTATATAGTCAAAGACGTATATAGTCAAAGACCAGCTTTCATTCAGTTTTAGAAGATGGATAGAAAACCATTTTTTTAATGTCCATACTCATTGTTTTGCTTAGACAATTTGAAATTCAACATCAATAACTCCAAATTGGATTAGTATAAGCACAGATCTCATATAGTCGTTTAATTCTGAAAAAGTATATAGTCTGTTTGCTTATGTTTCTTTTCGTTAAGGAGAAACTAGTAATTAAATTATCTTAATTTTTAATAGCATCACTTTAAGAAGCTTTCTTTAACTCTTTCTCTGACTCCTCACATCATGAGCCTCGACCATGAACCATAATAATTTGTACATACTCTGTAACCAAATACATTGTTTGGCCGTACTAGAAGAAGTCATCAAGTCACTACGCGTTTCAATATTTGATTCAAAAATAGTTCTAAGAGAAACCAAAAAAAAAAGTTACAATTAGGAATTATTTAGGGGAGGTTCATTGGAATTTCATTTTTTTCAAAGGCATGCCACTGATTTTGAGGAAGGGTACACAAGAAGGAACCTGATCGTTTTACTTGGGGAAGGTCCCTCTGGCCCTTTACCTTTGGCTTCTGTGGGGACCACAAAGCCATACGTATTTACTTACGCACAGTGTGTGTATGTACAAAGTACAATTACCGACTTATAGTTATAGATATCGTTTTAGGTGTATGTATAGAAATATACGGTGCACTTAAGTAGTCAGCAGTAGGAGCTAGGCAAGATACGCCACTACGATGCGTACGAACCACGCCCTTACAGTCAATTATTGTCTTTTGACATATGTAGGACCCAGTTTTCCCTTGTCTTTTTCCCCTTTGCCTTTTACTTTATTTTGAAAAACTGTCTTTAATGTGCTTATCAAAAAGCTAAAAGAACTGAAATTTAAATATTTTTGTGTGTTAAAGAATACTCCAGAATATATAAGTGGGTGGAATGTAAAAACTATATATATATTGGGCACACCAGAAAACACGTTTAAATTTTATTGCAATCTTTTTGGCATAGAAGAAGAATTTCCTATAGTGGAGCTCAAAATACACTGTTTATCCGATTCAAAGAACTATGTTAAATTAGATTTCAAAACGAGGGTAAACTCACAGCCGTTAGATCCTGATATTTTGCTAAACGTGAACCATATGATGTAGCTGAATTTTATGGGGTCCAGTTTTATTAAAACTAAAAATACATTGAAGAAAAAAGGCTACGTCACGTGTCAGAAGTACTCCAGAGTAATACTAGCCTAATAGGATTCGAAGCAATCCACTTTAGCTTCTACGAGTTATTTTCACACGCGAGTTCCAGTCATGTGAAAAAAATGAATAGTAAACTGTAAAAGCAATAAATAAAATTCCAGAGTGACACATGAGTTAAATTTACTTTGTCGTATATATTGGTAGATGCATCGGTCACTATTGGTAGGCACATCTAAGAAGTAAGAACATTATATTTTTAAATTCATAGTAACTACTTGGTGTAGCGATTCATATCATATCAATGGGGTCTTGTTTCTTATCACCATAAACAAAAAGTTTAGCTGAATATGACATATTCAAAAGACATTTGGGCGAGGGTCTAATTTCACAAGGACTGTACATTTCTTGTACCCATCATCTCAACCTTTTCGGTTTATGTCACTGGATAAGATAAATACATACAACCAATACAATTGATTATCAGTGTCACGAGTATTAGTAGTATACTTTTAAATATGCTTTAGGAGAAATTAGTGAATTCATACTCGCGACAAAACTACAAATAGAAAGGTATCTAATCAATCAAGTCGTAGAAATAATGAAAAAGTATAAGAGAGGAAAACTAATAAAAAATGGAGTGAAAGAGACGGCAAAAGGAGTCTCACGTGCGGCTGAGAAATTGCGTAGTCGGCACAGAAAGCTACAAGAAACATTGGTGAAACTTGAGAGTGGAAACCACGCGCTGCTCGTACTAGCTAGTCTTTTATCCACGATTGTCCTTTAATATCATGCCACGTCATGTTTTTTTTTTAACACGATTCGTGTTGTACGTGTACTGTTTTCCGAGACATCGATGTTGTCCAAATTATTTGTTTAGTGACATTTTGTGAGACATCTCTCAGTAGGCCGTTCTCAATTCTATACGTGACCTAATAACCTACTCACTCATTTACTGCAATTGCCATTATCAGATCTAAAATTTAAAAGACTTCTAATTTCATGCATTTTGAAAATAATTGGACCCAATTGCATCTTGCATGGTATGCTAGGTACTTTGATTTGACCCGGAACTTAGTCTACTTGCTAGATTATTAATATACTGTTTTGATGATCGATAGTGATTAATGTTTCTTGCTGTATGTAATAGTACTTTTCCATATCAATAATGTGGTACATATAAGCAAAGAGCATTTGAAATTTTTGAAGGGACCATTCATACATAGCGATTATAACATTTTCCTTATATATGGGGAATTAGTCAACAAAGCTGGCCGACTAAATCTGTAAATTTTATTTGTTTAGAATAATTGTGCAGATATTTACGAATGTTATTACAACGCACATTCCCCTCCAACTCCTAACTTTTGACTTTAGGCGATGGACTTTGTAGGTCGACCGACCCACTTTGGCTCGTCCTGAATATCATATATCTCAATTCTCATTAGAAAATCCACTGGGAACAAGACTAGTAGATATGAAATCCAAACATATCAACGCATGTATAACACAATTTATGGTGCTTTCAACAAATAGAAGAATATCCTGAAATGACCATGAACTAATTAGCTTTTTTTTTTTTTGTAAAGATTAAAAAGTTCAGCGCATATGATAACATCCAGCATGTTCTTTGACACATACAAAAAACATCCAGTACGCAGCAAGGAATCGATAAGCAGGTTAGAAACAGGCTGACTTCTATTCGCAGTATGGGAGACGAGAGATACGAGAATGGAATGTAGTCTTGGTTTGCAAGCTTTTAAATTATCTGTGTAACATTTAGATTTTTGTATTAGCTCCTCTTTATACCCTCAGAGGATGCATCATTTATTGTAACAAAGCCTTTTTTTGTTTGAATATAATTTGACATTCAATTAAAAAAAAAAAAACAAACATCCAGTACATTGCTCAAAAACATCTATTTTAACGACATACGAATTATGATGTATATTGTTAACGAGATGCGCAAACCAAAAATCTACAACTTCACGGTTTTAAAAAACAGAACATACAAATTGTTTGTGCATGCGTTAAAAAACCATGACAACTTTGAAAAACCACGGCAACAGGACGCTTAATACTCAATGGTGAAAATGACAAAGCAATAATTAAGCTAATAAGTTTGAAACTGAATTTGGATTTATATTAAACAATTTTAAAAGAAAAAGGTTTTTTCTTGTCATCCACATCACGCGACGTATAAACTATAAAGACATGATAATGATAGTTTTCGTAAATAATTATTATAAATTATACATGTTGAGGCAGACGTTAACTTTGCTAAAACTATGATTTGTTTTCCTAAACTTAGAAAGGAGATATGAAGAAGACATTATTAGTTTCTTTGACGACAATTCGTAAACAGAAAAAGACACATAAATATAATATCGAAATCCAAATTTTGTATACTATCAATTATGTAGAGACAGCAGAATAGAGGAATAAAAAGCTGTAAAACACTTCGCTTAATATCATTTGATTTAAATGGTGGTTACATGTTTAGTGGATGTTTACAATGTTGTGGATATATTAGTTTTTTAATCATGGATTAGTTAGCTTTCATTAATCAATCAAAAACGGTGACGAACTTCGAGGTTATCGTGCTGTGGATCGACCGACCAGTCTTTCATGTTGATTTGGTCACAAGACCTAAGAGAGTCCGCTTTCTTCGAATCTTCCGGGTTTACAAAAATTAGACAATAATCAATGAAAAAAATTCAATGTCTAGATATCAAAGAGTGACTTTTTTTTTTGTTTACTATGGTTTTCATTACAACATGCCCATTTATGTCCGGTACAATTGGGTTCTATTGAGTTATTGAATTTAAGAACCAAAGCTATCTGAGCAACATAATGGGCCTTTTTAATTTAGCCCATGAACTTGATTAAAAAGCCCAGTATGGTTTAGTTTCGCAACGATGTCATTTGAGAAGCACTTCAGTTATCTGACAAAATTGGAAGAGACTCGATCGTTTCCAGGAAGAATTGTTCGATAATCATCTCTTAGATACTGAATTGCAGATGATTTTTGTTTTGACTGAGTTAGAGAAAATCAAGCGCACGAGACGAACAATGCCAAATTGATGTAGTAGTTGGCTCCAGAACTGAATCGAGTAATGGCATCAGATTAAGATTCCAGAAATCATGATGTAGTATGTGACGAAAGCTTCGCCATAAATAATTAAAACAATCGAGAAGAAGACGAAGGAAATTTCGATTACGACTCTGTGGGGGGGGGTTTGCGTTATATAAGACTTTTCTATTTCTGGGGGAGACGAAGATAAGAAAGAACACATCGAGAGATAAAGCAGAGGAAGTGAAAATTATGAGTTTGAAGGGGATTCTAGGCTTCGAATACGGAATAGTTCAGGCGCCATTAGGGCCAGACATCTCCGGACCGGAGCTTGTAGCCGCCGTCGCTAATGCCGGAGGGATCGGTCTTCTCAGATGTCCTGATTGGGTAATTTCAACTTTTTATTTTTTATCTTCTATAACTTTTTCTTTGAATGTTGTTGATGATATTGATGATGATGTGAAACAATTCGATCAGGAGTGTCCTGATTACTTGAGAGAGCTGATAAGGAAGACAAAGACATTGACAGAGAAACCGTTCGGGATCGGTGTTGTGCTTGCGTTTCCTCACGAGTTAAACATAAAGACAATCTTGGAAGAGAAGGTTGCTGTGTTGCAGCTTTATTGGGGTCAATGTTCAAAGGAGCTTGTGGATGATGCTCACCGTGCCGGTGTCAAAGTTGTTCCTCAGGTAAGAAAAACTATAACCAACCAAATCCCACTGATCATGTCTTTTTCTCCACAATCAGGAATTTGTCTGATTTGTTAGTTAATTTTCCTAAGGTTGGGAATGTGGAAGAAGCTAGAAAGGCAGTTGCTGTAGGAGTAGATGCGATTATAGTGCAAGGGCATGAAGCAGGAGGGCATGTGATTGGGAAGGATGCTCTGTTTTCATTGTTGCCAAGAGTTGTGGATGTGGTCGGGGAACGCGACATTCCGGTGATCGCTGCTGGAGGAATTGTGGACGCACGCGGTTACGTCGCAGCCTTGTCGCTTGGTGCTCAAGCGGTGTGTCTAGGGACAAGGTTGGTTGGTTCTGCTCTTCTTCTTCTTCTTCTTGAAAATGAGTAAAGAAGAAGCTTTTGTTTTGTTTTGTTTTGTTTTTTTCAGGTTTGTGGCAACTCACGAGAGCTACGCACACCCAATATACAAAAGGAAGTTGGTTGAATATGAAAACACCGAATACACAGATGTGTTTGGAAGAGCAAGGTGGCCTAATGCGCCGCAACGCGTTCTGCAGACACCCTTCTTCGATGACTGGAGATCTCTTCCGGCTGATGAGAATGAAGTTAACCAGCCGGTTATTGGACGTTCCACCATACATGGCGTCGTAAGATTTCTTTTTTCTTCCTCCAGATATATGGTTTTTGGCATGATGATGAATGAAATGAATTTCTCACGACAGGAAAAAGAGATAAGAAGATTTGCAGGAACTGTACCAAACATGACAACAACGGGAGACTTAGAGAGTATGGCCATGTATGCAGGCCAAAGCGTAGGCCTCATCAAAGAGATTTTACCGGCTGGAGAGGTAGTTAAAACTCTTGTGGAAGAAGCTCAGCTTCTGATCCTCAAAATGTCCAACAATGCTACATGATGGTCTCAAATCATGAGAATGAAACAAAAGAACAAAAACTCTACTGCTTTTGATATCGGATGAGAATTAGCCTCACTCTCATGTAATATAGCATCTTGTGTAAAAGTTGTGGTATTGAATCAAGTATAGCTATTACGGTTTTATTCCATACATAATCTTTTAGCTTTATTTATCAAAAAAAGGAGAGACTTTGTTGCAGCTTTCACACATGTTTGCTGCAAAAGTAGAACTTTTGTATGGGTAAAACGTTTCCGAGTTATTTGGGATTGTATTTGTATTGTATGCATCCATCATTCAGAGTAAGAACTTTGTTGCGTAGACGTCGAATTCCTCAGACGATGTTAGCAGTGGCAACTGCAAGCAAATCAAGAAGAAGAAGAAGAAGAAAATGTTCAAACCATTCATACCCTCTGAGTAATGCAGGTTTTTAAGGGTATCACTACAGAGTTTAATAAACATACCGCAGAGGCATCAGAGCTTGCGTAGTCCCCAAGGCGAGACTGGGCCTCGCGTATCGCAGAGCACATAAGGTTAAGCAGGTGACCGTACGTCGGTGCAGGTCCAGCTGTCTTCACCGCTTTGATGAAGCTATAAGTCATGGCTCCTGCGTTCTTTCCCGTGAACACCTGCCACAACATCGCAATGATATATATATATATACAGAGAGAGTGGTGTTGACGTGTTGTCGTACTATGAAGTAATGATGATGGAGTGTGATGCAAGTTTTCTTTGTGAAACGTACAGGAGTGTAACCACTGGCTTCATGATCATCACAAGCACTGAAACAGAAAGCTGCTCCACCGTCTGTTCCTTTGTAAGCTCTCACTGATCTATGATCTTCCCATTCATAATAAGACCCATTCCTGAATTTTTTGTTTTTTTTACACACACAAACACAAACCCAAAAGCTTGTTTTGTTTCTCTGTTCTGAGTGAAAAGCAGAATTGATTAGGTTTATTTTTAGTTTTTTTACCTCTCCATCCTGCAAACGAAGGGTAAATCAAGGACAGTGCCGCTGTTACAGGCGTCGATGACGGCGTGAAGCTTAGCGCCATGGACGAGTGGCCTCACGAGTGTTCTGTTAATCTCGTCGTCGATGATTTTACCTTCTGTTTCATGGTCTAAAGGGCACAAGGCTTCATCTTGACCATCCATCTCGTCTCCGTTGTAGTCCTTCTGCTGAGATCCATGGCCGGAGAAATGGAACACGAGCGAGTCTCTTGCTCTGTTTCCTTCGACTAGCCATCTCATCGCCTTCCTAATGTTTCTCTTCGTCGGTAGTCTCTGTGGACTGCCTTCGTCTTCGGTGAGCATGAGAACAGAGTCAAGAGGGAAACCCATTTGTTGAACCAAGAAAGATCTCATGGATTTTGCGTCGCTGATGCAACCTTTCAAGCTGTAGCTTTTTCCCTTGTAGTTCACGCCACATAAAACCGCTCTCTTCTTCCCAAACGCCGAGGGAAGAGCCTCCAGCAGCCGCGGCGGTGGTTGAGCCATCATTTGTTGTTCTTGTTCTTGTTCATGATGCTGTTGTCGTCTACGTAGCTGTTGAAACCCATGAATCAAGCGGTTTGCGCCGCGAGCTATGTCCGCGAGCGAGTAGAGCTGCGTGACCGTATGGCAGGTTGAGCATTGGACGGCACGGACCTCGGGTTGAGCCCACATCCATCTACCGCAACGGTGGCAACGTACTTCTCTCCGGCTAGCCATGAATATGGTTTGAAGGGGTTTTTTTTTTTTGTGTTTTCTTTTTTCTCTTTTGCTGTACATGAAATGCGTTTGAGGTGATGAGTTTTATATGTATAGGATTTTATTTGATAGCTTCTTCTTCTTGTATATATTCGTTGTTATCCCATTGAAAAGAAGAAATGTGGGGAATGTGGATTTGTTCCACGCAATTAGATCAATTACGCTACCATATATGTGAATCAATTCGGGAACAGTATTTCAAAAAAATTATTACGGAATGTGATTCTGCAAAAGAAATTTATATTTTTTTTTATTCCATTTTCTTGTAAACTTGCAACCTGTTTTTACCTTTTCCTTTCAGTTCGTACAGTTTCATCTATGATTTTAAGTTTTTAACCATATTGTGTGTTTTTTTTATTTATTAAAACTACATAGACTAATGAGCACGAATCGTTGGCCGTAGTAGTTTGTATTGTGTAACTTGGGGACATACGTACATACTCGGTAAGGTGTATAATAACAACTCCCACTTATAGAGACATACATACTCGGTAAGGTCTCTATCCTGTATCTAATCATAGACACGATCGATGTTCTGTCATCTATATAAAGGAAAAAAGTTGTGGTAGTGATGTATATATTCACTACAATTACTTGCAGCGATTGAATTGTAGGAGGAAAAAAAGAGCACGTATACTTAGCATGAGGACCAGCACAAATAAAGAAAACTCTCTATACTATTGATAGTAAGTCTCATTCCTATATAAACATACTCCCTCCGATTCAAATTAGTTGTCGTTTTGGGAAAATGTATCTGCCATTATCTGGATGTATCTGTAATGCAAAATATGTCCAGATACATCCAAATATTTACAGATACATTTTGCCAAAACGACAACTAATTTGAAACGGAGGAAGTAGTAGTTTGTAACTTGTAAGAAAATAAAATTAAAAAAAAAACCAAAAAATTACCGAAAAGACAAAAAAAGGGGGGTTGTGATTAATCTATTGTGTTGATTTAGACAAGATGAGTAATGGATGGAGAGGAAATGCAGTATGGTGTCTCTTAATAATCTTTGTCTTATCCACTTTCTTTATCAGAATCGACTCGTCTAGAGAAGCGCCTTCGGTAACTATTAATTATAAATGCCCTTCTATGAATACTGCTAGGAGTAATATCAGCGGCCTCAAATGCTAGGCCGATGCCGGAAACAACGGAATGGAGACGGTGAAGAAATATGACATAGACGATGTCAGCTTATAGTAATTAATTAGTAATGTTAACTAAATAAATGGCTAAATGCTACAAAGAAACTTAATACTATCTTTGTTTCGAGAAGACGAATGTCCGTATGTTCTTCTTTTATATTTCCTAAAAAAATGTTCTCCGAGCAACTCTACATGATACAATTTTAAAATTAAATCAGACTTTCTACTACGGCTTATAGTTTATTACCCGTTTTGTGTGTTATAAGCATTGAAATAAAAATCGGTAAATATATACATACGTGTTATTGCTTATGGTATTTGATGAACCGCCTATAATTATTGTTAACTAATGCTCCCAACTAGCGATTCGCTGTTAAACCGGCAATCGAACTAAATGTGACAACCAGAACGTGAAGGAGTACTCTAAAAACATATTTAAACTACTGCCAAATTATATGGAAATTTATTTTCGGTTCTTTTAAAATCCTATATCTTAAGTTAATTTTCGCTTATCTATGTTTATAGCTAGAGAGAGCTAGTCATGTGCAGTGCTTAAAGAAAACATGCTTACTAGAGCCATATGCGCTGTTTAAAAGGCATGGATATGCCATGATGCATGTCAAAATTTGACTAATTTAGTACGTACTTGATGGCTTTGAAACTTGGGTAGAGTACGTGGCTTTATTTTATATAGCCTCTCACTGGTTTGATATTTTTTTTTTGTTATTATCAGTTGTATTCGTTCGAACAATACAGAGAGAAAATAAAAGATGAGGAGGTCTTTCATGTTATTTATCGCGTGGCAGATGTTTAGAATAATCGTTCTCGTCAAATCCCAATCTCAAACCGGTGCGTATCCAATAATGTATTGATTGTTTTTTATATCTCTGTCTAACTGTTGCGAAGCATATATTATATCAGAAAACCAAATCTTGTCTAAGTAATGGGGTTTTTTTTGTTTGTGTCTCACTATAGACTTCATCAGCTTGGATTGTGGTTTGCCCCGACACGAATCTCCTTACACAGATATCCTGACTAGTTTGACATATACGACGGACGCGGATCTGGTACAAAGTACGGACTCGGTAACGGGTAAAGTCGACAAGACAATCGAGACGATGTACCCTAAGCCGTGTTGGAACTTGAGAAGCTTTCCAAAGGGAGAGCGAAACTGCTACAATATAAAAGTGAAGCCAGACACCAAGTATCTGATCAGGGCCACATTCGTATATGGAAACTACGACGGGCTTAATGCGGTTCCGAGCTTCGACCTCTACCTGGGTCCCAATATGTGGACAAGGGTGGTGCATGCTAATGACACTAATAAGGAGGTCATCCACGTCACGGCGGGATCCCAATCTTTGCTGCAGATATGTCTAGTCAACACAAGAACAGGCACACCGTTCATAAACGTCTTAGAGCTACGACCGCTAGATCCAAAGGCCTACGGTAATCCAAGTGGTTCGCTCAAGAACTTGTTCCGGTGGTATCTTGGCCCTTCAGAAGTTCCCAAGATTCGGTAAGAACCAATTGATAATACTTGACGCTACCCTTACGTATATATATATATATATAGACTTTGATGTGCTATTAATTGTGGTCGCATACACGATCGTCGTGGCAGGTACCCGGATGATGTCTACGATCGTTTATGGTACCCAAGAAAATTCCCGGAGAAGCTCTGGATGCCAGTAGCTACGCATCTCCGCGTAAACACTAACAACATGTATAATCCGCCAGAAATAGTAATGATGACAGCAGCAACGCTCCTGAACGCCAACGCGACGACGTTGGATGTTGACTGGATTCTAGAGCCTCCCACTGCACAGTGTTACCCCTACACTTACTTTTCAGAGCTTCAGACTCTAGGGGAAAACGATACAAGGGAATTCTCTGTGTTTCTGAATGGAGCACTTGTCTATGGACCTTTAACCCCCGAACCACTACGCGCCAATACCGTGTTTATCGCGTTGCCAAAACAATGCACCGATGGGAAATGTGTTTTGCAGATTACCAAGACATCAAGATCAACTCTTCCTCCTGTACTCAGCGCAGTTGAGGTGTACACCGTGATGGATAACCCACAGCTTGGAACAAATGGAAGCGACGGTACATTACATTACATTAACTTGTTTCATAACCTGCATGCATGCATGTGTGCATATGTTTATGTTTTTTCTTTTCTTTTTCTAGTTACTGGTATCACGGATGTTCAGAGGACCTATGATTTGACAAGACTTAGTTGGCAAGGCGACCCCTGTGTCCCCAAACAATTTCTGTGGGAAGGTCTAACCTGCAACCACTCGGACAATTCTACGCCGCCAACCATCATTTCTCTGTAAATTTACCGCGCCAATAACTTTTTTTTTTTTAAGCTGTTATTATTGTTATACCAAATCTACTTATAACATGCATCGTCGTATACGTCTCCAGGGACTTATCTTCAAGTGGTTTATCGGGGGTCATCCCGGAAGTCATCCAAAAACTACCTCACCTACAACAACTGTAATTAGTACTAATTAATTGATGAATCTATCTGGTTTGGTTAATTTTTACGTAACTTTTGCTTTCGTTAATTATTTCTTATATGTTAGGGACTTGTCAAACAACTCTTTGGGCGGAGCAGTACCTGAGTTTTTGGCCAACATGAACTCACTCCTGCTCATGTAATTTTCCTTCTTCTTTTTGCTAACTTTCTCTTTAACATGCATGCATGCGCATGTGTGTGCTTATATACTATGTTTTGACTATTATATATTATACTTATTCAAAACAGAAACTTAAGTGGTAATAATCTCAGCGGTTCGGTTCCTCACATATTTGCCCAGAAAAAAGGAATGAGGTTAAAGTAAGACAGAGAGACTTATAATTATCATTATATATAATTATATTACATTTTTCCGGTTGATGATACATTTATAGATGTATAACAATGCCTGACATTCCGCAGTGTTGAAGGCAACCCACTTGTGATTTGCACAATCGGGTCTTGTGTGGATAAAAACGGAAAAGGAGATCGCACAAAGGATGTCGTAGTACCTGTCACTATAGCCGTGGTGGTTGCTTCTCTTGCTCTAATCATCTGCGCCCTTCTTCTCTTCTTCCATTTCCGACGCAAAAGATCTCCGGGTGTTGTTGAACTTGAAGGTACAGTATATCCTTAAATTTAGACATACATATTTTAACAAATATTTATTACATTACAAGACAAGACACAATACACGTCAAAGCTGACGATCGACTAATTCATATTTATTTTGACTTGTCATCTCTCAGGGCCACCACCATCAAATATGCAAGACCCGGATGATGCTCTTTTTTTCCCGATTCACTCGGAGTCGGAGATTTCTCTTTAAAACCCTCCTTTTACTATTTTTTATCTATTTTCTCTTTAATATTTGACAAATCATTACATTACCTTATCGTTTGTGTTTAAAAGACATTTTTGTTTTCGCTTTCGTTTCCTTGGAACCTTGAGAGAAAACTCCATATGACATAATATATAATTAAATTTAATTAGGCTTTGTTTTTGGGATCACAATGCAAGCGCAGAAGAGTCGCACCAACGAACATAAGAGCCGTTGAGGTCAGGCCAGTCAGAGGAAGAGCAGCTTGTGTAATGGTGAAGCCAAAGTGAGAGAACCTGTTCGTGTTCCTCTTCTTTTTAGTTCTGATATCATCTTCTCCAACACTTTCTCTAGCTCGGCTCGTTCGCCGCTTCTCAACACCGGTTTCTCCGCTCCGTTGCTGGCCCGACATAGCAACGGAATCTACGATATAAGCATCTTCTTCTTCATCTCTCTCCATCTCTCTTCTTTGTTGGAGGTGGGCTTAGCACCCCTCCATATGGGCCGGCCCAAATCAAGAGGCCCACTGATCGTCCAGGACCGCTGGTCCGAGCGCCTAAGGACCGCTGGTCCGAACGTCCCCTCAAGCTATAAATAGCACAGTAAATGCCTATTGACGGGACAGTTGAAGAAGAGAGCTAGAGAGAGAAAGCTTAGCATTTAACACACTAAAATCTGCCGAACTCTGTCTATTTGCCGAGCTCTGTCTTTTGCCGAGCTCTGTCTTATTTTAAAAGAGATCGTCTTTTGACCGATCTCTGTTTGTAATTGCCGATCCCGCTTACTTTTAATACGAAAGTCTCGACCCACATCCCCTCATTACTTGTTTTGCCGAACCGAACCATCTCAACTCTTACAATTGGCGCCCACCGTGGGGCATCGAGCATTTCTCTACGCAAAGCGGATCGGCATCAATCGGTAGTCGAAAACCGATCTCTCCCATCTAGCTGCAGCATGACAGCCCGGCAGCACGAAACATTCATCGGCCCCCGCCGACCAGAGGACCAGAACGAGCCGATCTCGGCACATAATTTCATCGGGCCGACCAACCGCCCACCTGACAACGCCTCGGCACAAGAGCATCCTAGCTCTTCTCAGCAAAATCCTGCCGAACGCAACGAGATACCAGAACCAACAAGCAACGCAACAAACAGAAGGAAGCCGGCACCGCGCTACTCTTACGAACCTTGCTATCACGGCTCATACGCCTGGAATCACCGACGGGCGAAATTCTCGAACAATCGTTCCGCCTGGCATTCCCGGCATCAAACAACAAAGCTGAGTACGAGGCCCTCATCGTTGAGATGCGCCTGGCGAAGGAGATCGGCGCCAAAAAGCTGCAAGCGTACTGTGACTCCCAGCTCGTCGCCAACCAGTTCAGCGGAGAATACGTCGCGAAAAACGATAGGATGGACGCCTATCTCAAAGTGGTTCAAGTCTTGGCTCGAGAGTTCGACACTTTTGCCTTGACGAAAATCCCCCGAAGCGATAACTCCTCTGCCGATGCGCTCGCCGCTCTCGCCTCCACCTCAGACCCCGATCTACGCAGAGTGATACCTGTGGAAAGCATCGGCACGCCGAACATCGACATAGGCGAAACAAGCATGGCCATCGTCACGCTCGAACCCGGGGTCGATGATGCCGAGGAGATGAACGAACCGATGGATCCCGAGCAGGTCCTGCTACCCGACGACTGGCGAGAAGAGATACGAGACTACATTCACGACGGCAAAGTGCCGACCGATCGATGGGCCGCTCGGCGTCTCAAAGCGAAAAGCGCTCACTACATGGTCTTGGACGGCAATCTCTTCAGGCGAAGCGCCTCCGGTCCCCTCATGATTTGCGTCTCCGGTTCTGAATCCCGCCTCGTCATGGAAGAAACCCACTCGGGTGCAGGAGGAAACCACTCGGTCGGCCGAGCCCTAGCCATGAAGATCAAGAAGAACGGCCATTTTTGGCCGACTATGATAGCCGATTGCGAAGCCTTCGCCAGCAAGTGCGAACCCTGCCAGTGACATGCGCCGATCATATCCCGACCGACCGAGGAACTGACCACGTCCACGGCGCCTTACCCCTTCATGCGATGGGCTATGGACATCGTCGGACCGCTCACGAGATCCCGCCAGAAACGTTTCATCCTGATCGTCACAGATTACTTCACCAAGTGGGTCGAAGCCGAATCATACGCCGACATCAAGGCCGTAGACGTTGAGAAATTCGTCTGGAAGAATATCATCTGTCGGCACGGCCTCCCCTACGAGATCGTCACGGACAATGGTCCCCAGTTCATATCGGCAACGTTCGAGAAATTCTGCGCAAGTTGGAACATCCGCCTCAGCAAGTCGACTCCCCGATACCCACAAGGGAACGGCCAAGCCGAAGCCACGAACAAAACGATCCTCGCCGGAATCAAGAAACGGCTCGAGGATAAAAAAGGAGTTTGGGCCGACGAGTTAGATGGAGTACTATGGTCCCATCGAACGACGCCGCGCCGATCGACGAACCAGACGCCTTTCTCTCTCTCTCACGGAATCGAGGCTATGTCTCCAGCCGAAGCGACGATACTGGGCCTCCGCCGAACCCATCTCCCGAACGACGCCCGACTAAACAGCAGCATGATCAAGGACTCGCTCGACTTCGCCGAAGAGCACCTAGACCAGGCCCTCCTCCGGATCCAGAACTACTAGCAGTTGGCAGCAAAGTACTACAACAAGAGAACGTTCGGTAGATCTTTCGCCGACGGCGACCTCGTGCTGCGCAAAGTATTTGAGAAACCTAGAGAAGTCAACGCAGGGAAGCTCGGCGCTAACTGGGAAGGCCCCTACATCATAACCATGATCATCAAACCAGGAGTCTACAGGCTCGCAGCGATGGACGGGACCAAAATCCCAAGGTCTTGGAATTCGATGAATCTCAAGCGTTTCTACTACTAGTCCGCAACTGCACGACCGCCGAACCCAAGGAAACAACGAACAGCCCCACCGAAAAATCCAAAGGAAAAGGCACCCCGTCAAGGCGCGACAAAAAAAAAAAAAAAAAAAGAAAAAAAAAATTGTACACTAAGAACTACGGTCGGCTTGATCCCTAATGGGTACGTAGGCAACCTTGTGCAAAAACACAAGGCTCAGTTGTGATTCTAATAAAAAAAAAAAATTTATTATTTCGCGTTCGGCAAGAACCAATACCAAAAAGCCGAGCAACGACCTCGCAAGCAACGTTCCCCACGAACTTACACGGATTGACCATCCGCTCCTCCGCACTAAGACTAAAAATCGAAGTGCCGAGGAACCTCCTAAAAGCTGAGCGCCGACCTCGCAAGCAACGTTCCCCACGAACAAAACGGACTAACCGTCCACTCTTCGGTACTAAGATTAAAAATCGAAGTGCCGAGGAACCTCTTGAAAGCCGAGCGCCAACCTCGCAAGTGACGTTCCCCACGAACAAAACGGACCAACCGTCCGCTCCTCGGCACTAAGACTAAAAATCTAAGTACCAAGGAACCGCCAAAAGCCGAGCGCAGACCTCGCCAGACACACTCCCCAAGAACAAACGAAGTAAAGAAAGGATAAGCTCGGCACGACAACAAACTTTCGTTCAGGAGGCATCGAAAGAAACAAAAACGATAATTTCCATTGAGATATGATTACAAAGCTCGAACTTAAAAGCAGTACAAAAGAAAAGGAAAAACAGAAAGAAGAGCTCGGCACGACAGAAAATCCACGATCGGCCCATTACTCGGACGGCACGAATTGACAAGCAGTGCCAGCGTCCAGCTTAGCAACCTCATCCGCCAAGGGGCCGAACTCCAACTCAAGCTCGTCCGCCGTTACCACCTCCTCCTGACCAATCTCCGCCTCGAGCTGCTCCACGTCAGCCCGGCACTTCTCGACCCAATCATACGGAAGACGACACCGGCATTCGTAAGTGCCTCGTAAGAGTCACGAACGGCAACCGCTTGATTCAACGTCAGAATGCGAGGATTCATCCGGTCCTGATCGGCAAGGAAGCTTCAAACGAGGCCAGAAGATATCGACCGTCTCCCTCTTCACCTGACGAACTTCTTGGTCCAGAGCGACTCCGTCCTCTTGGCTTCATCCGCCGATCGCCTTTCAAGCTCGGCAATCTTCGACTTCAGCCTCTCATTCTCAGCACCACGAGAGTCGGCATCCAAACGAGCCAAGGCAAGGTCGGCTTCACTCCGCTCAAGGCCACTCTCCTTAAGAGCAAGAATGCCCTTGAGCTCGGCGACCTGGGACTCCAGCTCGGCGTTCCTCTCCTTCACCTCAACCAAATCTGCACGACCCTTTGCCGACCTAGCAGACATCTACCGGCGGTAGTAATCGATCAAAGCATTATTACTTGCGACTGATTGGAAGGTATGACGGGCCATCTCCGAAAAGACGCTTCTCCTCTAATGACACTGGAGGACGCGGTTCCGAGATACAGTCCGGCTGGAGATTGTAGTACAGATCGCCCAAGCCACGTTGTTGCTCAAGAAAGGATGACGCCCTCGTAGTGAAAGTCGAAGACTTCCATAGCCCCCTCAGGCTTCACGTCCATGTCAGCATTGAGCTCGGCGGCTCCGCCCGCCTCATTGCCCGCCTCGGCATCCATTCCCTCTCCCTCGACGGCCCCACGTCAGCAGGTCCTCATGCTCGGCAGAAGATGCCCGCTTCCTCTTTCTGGACCCCCGAAGACCCCGGAACACTCGTCTCGCCACCGAGCTCGGTAAAAGGGAAGACCGGCGCTTCCTGCGACGCAACAGGAGATCGTCCGAAGTTCGTCCTCGCCAAACGGTTCGTAGGTGGGAGTGATGGGCTCCCTCAGACCCGTCTCCGGATTCTACCCGAGTAACGGGTGTTCGGCATACCAAGGATCTGCCCGCTCGGCGGCCACGCGATCGCCGATCGTCACCACGGTCTTAGATGAAGACCCGGATGCCGTTTTCTCCTTCTTCCTCTCCGCCTGCTTCCCGGCCGACGCGCTCTTCCTCTTCTTCTTCTCCAAACTGACCATCGGCCGTCACCTCTTCACCGAGGTCGGCACCTCCTGACCATAGCGAGGCAAGTTCAGACTAAGCTTCCCATCGGCCTCTGTTCCCTCAAACGCCAAGAAGCTGAGGAAAAGAAACATGGCAGATCAGCATCACAAAAACGGATCGGCTGACGATGATAAATGTTCACCTGATGCGATGCGAGCCCACTGAGCTTTGATCCGCGCCTCGGCGATGTCTTCCCACTTCCTCTTCCCGTGCTCAGAAAGCCGCCGAACGTCGTCGAAGAAATTAACTGGAGGAGTACGCCAAAAATCAGGCCGAACTGAAAAAGAAAAAGAAAAAGATTGTTATCCAAAGACCAGGCAGATCGGCAAACAAAGAAAGAAAAGCGTTAAGGCATCCTAAAAGGCTTGGCCGAGCTCTCTACCAAAGATAGGACTCCACTCGCTTCGGTACCGCCTGTCCAGATCAGGAACAGAGGCTTTGTTCACACGGATAAAGAAATACTCGTTGATCCAGTTCCTCGTCTTACTAGGATGGCCGGTTATCATCCCATACTTCGGCTTTATGCTGACATACAAGGTCCCGGGAGTGCCCTGATTGACAGCGATGGACGACATCGCCTCATAAAAATCGAGGTAAGCTCCATCCCCAGCTCGGCAGCCAGAACCAGCGTGCCCGTAATATTGCGAACACCCGCCGGACAAAGCTGAGAAAAAGCGATCCGACGTTCCTCACAGTACGCGACGAACAGCTTCGGAAGCGGGAAGAACATATGCGATTCCTTGAACCAAAATTTGTAGGCTGTGAACCAGCCCGGCGGCGCCTTCCACAGACGCTCGTGCTCTTCAGGGAGGCGCATTTCCAGACCAGACACGCTGGCATGATCACGACGAACCATCAAGAGATCGTCGATCGTACAATGACTCTTTCCCAGCTTCCTCAGATCCGTCGGCTCCCTCTTCTTCTCGGCTGTTTCGGCTCGGCTTCGACTTCCCCCTGACCACCGGGGTTGGCCTTTTCTCCGCCGAACCGCGGCCCGTTCAGCAGCCCTTTTTCCCCTTGGCTATCGAAGCCTTCCTCTCCTCGGCAATCGCATCCTTTGGCGATCTCGGCTTCTTTCTTCTTCCTGGCGACCTCGGCTGCCTCCTCGTCTCGAGCAGACATCTTCCTCTTCCCTTCGGCAATCTCAGCCGCCCTCTTCCTCTCGGCGATCCCAGCTTTCCTGGATGCTGCCGAACGAGCCCGGGCCTCCTCGACCGTTTCCATCTGCACGGCCGTGGGGACAGACGCGGCCGAGCATCGAGCACGCGTATCCTCTAAACGCGTCAAGAGCGGCAAGTCGTCCAAAACATCCTCATCTCGAAGACTCGGAGTAACGATCGGGGACCGCGCCGATCTCGTTTCGACATTTCAAGGGTCGGTGAACCCTCAAGTCTGCTCGGCGTAGCAGAGGCCTCAGTCGTCCGTTCAGGAGTCTGATCGCTCCGATTCACGCTAGAAGAATCGGCATCTGACCTGGTCGGCGATTCAGCGCTAGATCCCGTGATATAAGTCTCCTCTGCCGAAGCGGATTCCGTGTCGAATCGATCCTCATCACAACAAACGGATAGAGATCGGCGAATTGAGAAGCTCGGCGAAGTCGAGAAAAGAAAATGGGAGAGCTCGGCAAAACCACAAAACTAGAGAGAAGCGAGAGAGAATTCTAGAGAGAGAAAGTATTACCTCTTATGGAGCGAACGAACGAAAATTCCGGGCGACATACTTCTCCTTTTATAGACCGAAAGGGAAATCCGAAGCGACGCAATGATTACCGAGGAGAAAGTACCCGGTGGCCCACGCCTTTCACTGCATGCACGACACGTGGCAGCTCTTGATTCACGCCAACCCACCTCGCGCCGAAACGACGCCTCGAGATCGACACCTTGAACATACGCCGACTTGGGGGGGGGGCTATTGTTGGAGGTGGGCTTAGCACCCCTCCATATGGGCCGGCCCAAATCAAGAGGCCCATTGATTGTCCAGGACCGCTGGTCCGAGCGCCTACGGACCGCTGGACCGAACGTCCCCTCAAGCTATAAATATCACAGTAAATGCCTATTGACGGGACAGTTGAATCGAAGAGAAAGAGCTAGAGAAAGAAAGCGCTTAGCATTTAACACACTAAAATCTGCCGAACTCTGTCTATTTGCCGAGCTCTGTCTTATCTGCCGAGCTCTATCTTATTTTCGAGAGATCGTCTTTTGACCGATCTCTGTTTGTAATTGCCGATCCCGCTTACTTTTAATACGAAAGTCTCGACCCACATCCCCTCATTACTTGTTTTGCCGAACCGAACCATCTCAACTCTTACATTCTTCTCCTCTTCTTCCAATGTCCTTGGCTTCTTTGAACAACAAGGCTTCACACACAAAGAACGAAACTAAAAAGTAAAAACAGAAAAAAATAAGTTTCGTTCATAACGTTACGTACCAAACCATCTTAGTCAGCATTACAAAATCTTAAACCAAATTGAGTGGCAGCACCAAATAACTTATATACATCTGGTAAAACTAATTATGTAAAAAAGTGGCTAATTCCAGCATTAAAACTATACATAGACTAATGAGTACGTAATCGTTGGCCGTATTTGTTTGTATCGTGTAACTCGGGGACATACGTACATACTCGGTAAGGTGTATAAACAACTCCCATTTATAGAGACATGCATACTCGGTAAGGTCTCTACTGTATCTAATCACAGACACGATGTTCTATCATCTATATAGAGGAAAAAGTGGTCGTGGTGATGTATATATTCACTACAATTACTTTCAGAGGTAATTAAGTATGTAAATATGTAATGTATAGGTGCTAACGATTGAATTGTAAATTACTTATATTTACATATTCGAAAACATTTTTACGATTAATTCGGAGGAAAAAATGAGCACCGTATACTTAGCATGAGGACCAGCACAAAGAAAGAAAACTCTCTATACTATTAATAGTAAGTCTCATTCCTATATAAACATACAGTAGTTTGTAACTTGTAAGAAAAAAGAAAAAAAAAACAAAAATTACCGGAAAGACAAAAAAGGGGGGGTTGTGATTAATCTATTGTGTTGATTTAGACAAGATGAGTAATGGATGGAGAGGAAATGCAGTATGGTGTCTCTTAATAATCTTTGTCTTATCCACTTTCTTTATCAGAATCGACTCGTCTAGAGAAGCGCCTTCGGTAAGTTCTAATAGATGCGCTAATGAACGTAGTAATAAGATTAATGCCACCGGATGCTAGGCCGAGGCCGGAAATAACGGAATGGAGTACGTACGTTGAAGAAATATGACATAGACGATGTCAGCTTATAGTAATTAATTAGTAATATTAACTAAATAAATGGCTACATGCTACAAAGAAACTTAATACTATCTTTGTTTCGAGAAGACGAATGTCTGTATGTTTTTCTTTTATATTTCATAATAAAATTGTTCCCCGAGTACATCTATATGATACAGTTTTAGTCAATTTTGGGAATTAAAAACTTATGAGACTTCTTTGGGTCATTTGAAAGGTTTTTTTTTATATGCCATGTTAGTCGTTTCCTTTTTTTAAAAAATATAAGTTGCAGGAAAGTCCACTAATATATATATATATATATATATATATATAGCTTACAAGTTAAAAGTTGTATCGATCTTTTACGTGTCCATTGATTTATAAAGGGTTGGCATTGCATATACAAGCTAGCGAACAAAATCTTTTAGCACGTCTAAGTCGTTTCTTTATGCATAAAACCTACAAATAGATGGAGAGACAACCTCCAAAACGAATTTCTAAACTAGTAAGGAAAAAAACGAGACTCCTAGTCCTTAGAAGAGAGACAGTTTCATTGACAAAACATTTACATTACCTTATCGTTCGTGTCGTGTGTTTAAAACACATTTTTGTTTTCATTTTCGTTTCCTTGGAATCTTGAGAGAAAACTCCATATGACATAATATATAAATTCAATTAGGCTTTGTTTTTGGGATCACAATGCAAGCGCAAAAGCTGGCGAGAAGAATCGCACCAACGAACATAAGAGCCGTTGAGGTCAGGCCAGTCAGAGGAAGCGCAGCTTGTGTAATGGTGAAGCCAAAGTGAGAGAACATCTTCTTGTTCCTCTTCTTTCAGTTCTGATATCATCTGCTCCAACACTTTCTCTAGCTCGGCTCGTTCGCCGCTTCTCAACACCGGTTTCTCCGCTCCGTTGCTGGCCCGACACAGCAACGGAATCCACGATGTAAGCATCTTCTTCTTTATCTCTCTCCATTTCTCCCCCTCTTCTTCTTCTTCTTCTCCTCTTTTTCCAATGTCCTTGGCTTCTTTGAACAACAAGGCTTCACACACAGAAAGAAAGAAAGAAAGAAACCAAAAACAAAACGTAAGTTTCGTTCACAATATTAATTACATACCAAACCATCTTAGTTAGCCTTACAAAATCTTAAACCAATTACAAAAAAAATGGATTGCACGTATAGACATCTGCTAAAACTAATTATGTAAAGTGGTTTTATGTGAAAACTAATCTGTTTCTGAAAAGTCAAATATTTGACCGGAGCATAGAAGAATATTCTGAACAGAAAAGTCAGTTATTTTGTTTCTTTTTCCTTCTTTCCAAATGCGGAAGATATTTCCTTCTATTTACCATATTTACGGAAAAAAAAACAAATCAGATCACGAAAACTGAAAGTAATTCGGATTTTTCAGACAGCGAAATTAAGAAAATAATAATAAGTTAGCAAATATTACCAGAAATTTGGACCATGGAACACTGAAGCCTCGGTTCAGACCAAAGAGCGAGCCAAGCCATGTTAGAAGCCGAGGCCCATTTCTCAACGGCTTCATCGACGAATCCATATTCCGCCATCTTCTCCGCCAACCAAAGCAGCTCCGCCGCCAGTTTCTCCGCCGTTTCCGCTGACTGATCCGCCGCCTCTTCTCCACCCCAACCGGCGAATCCATCTCCAACGGCTCTAACCGCAGCTCTCACCACCCGGTTTAATCCACGACGTACCGGTTCACCTGTATCTTTCCGGTTACGCTCAACCGCCGCCTCTAACCGGCTTAGCGTTCTACGAAACGACGCGTTCAAAACCCTGCGATTCAAATCGAACAAGGCGGTTGAGTTTTCTCCGTGATTCTCGTCGATTAGTCTCTCCGCCAACGACCGAACGACTTCGTACTTTCTAGAATTCACCGGGATTTCATTCATAGTCGACAGTAACTGCCAGATCGCTCGACCGATTCCCGATTCCGACGCGCAATCGCTGATCTCGAGCTTCTTCTCCGCCGTGAATTTGAAGCCTCTCGTCGTGGTAGGGTTTGCGAAGGGGACAACTGAAGGAAGCGAGCGTAAAAAGAAGAGAAAACAGGCGACGAGAAATAGACGGAGTTTCTCGAGGAGCTTCGAATTCCCGGAGAATTGGAGGAGAGATTCGTCGGCGAAAACGACGACGGCGATAATGATGTTGCGGAGGAGCTGAGGAACAACGGCAGCTGATGACAGCTTCTCCATTCTTCTCTTTGTGGTTACAAACTTACAATTGGCAAGCTCTCTATCGTTTTTAGTTGGTTATAAATGATCGACAGCTCTTTACATATGAATTTCTATTTCTATTTTCATTTATTTTATTTAACTATCTCCATTTCTTTTTACGCGTTTTTCTATTTTATTTTTTTTATGAAAAAAAATATTTCTGTTCTAGTTCTAGTTGCATTTTTGTTGCATTTCACACGATGGCCTAAATTGAATTTTCTTGTTTCAATGCCGCTGTGAGATATTCAAACTAGAGCTTTTTTTTACTGGTAGAATCGAAGCTGTTACTAGACTTTGTTTTATAATCAAAAATTAATTTGGTTTTAAAAGTTTAGTTTGAGATTGATCACTCCTCCTCCTACTCCTATCTATGTAATCTTTTGGATTGTAACATTAAAATTCACTGAAAGTCTGAAATCAAGAATGGAATGCCTTGAGCCGGAAGAAACAGATAGTCTTCTTGTCTGTTATCTGCCACAGAAGAAGATAACGTACACACAAGTGACTGTAAAGTGATATTTTGTGGTTGTTTAACTCACATTTTAAAATTTGTCACTCAAAAGTCAACGACAGTAATATAAGAACATTTCTGCAAACCGATCTCAAAAACAACCATATTATGTATACAGTAAGAAGAAGAAAAAAAAAAATTAACCCCTAGAGACCAATCACCATGTAAACTGTAAAAACCAACCATTTTGTGTACAAAAGCATTGCGCATTTTTAAACTACCTAGAAGACATAAAATCTATGGGTACATACAACTGAAAAGAACATGTCTCTATATCCAACCTGGACCCAAACCCAAAACTAATTCAATCAAATCTAAATGCAGAGAGATTTTCTGTCTCACCTGTATTTTATTATTTACACTGGAAAACCTAAATGAAGTTAGAAACGCATTGTGATGACGACTGATACTAGATGGGTCTCCCTCTCTCTTTATGTATGGGTTTTCTCAGATCCAACTGATTCTCATTCAAATGCAAGAGACATGAAAGTGTCATTATCTAAAAGAGAATCAATGTCGATTAGATCGTCTTCCTCGTTGTAATTCGCAGCTTCCTCTGTATTTTTATTGTTGTTCATAGCTGAGCTAGAAGAGGCCTGCTCAGGAATTCACACTATATGTCAGTTTCTACCGATGATAAGTTGTGTTAAAGGAGACTTGAAAATACCACAACTTTTACCTCGTTCTCGCGGAAGCCCTCAACGACAGTCAATAGCCTACGGTATTGAGCCCGTGCTTCTGGATATTGAGCCATAGACTTCACTCGGGTGAGAGCCTTTTGAAGCCTTTCCTCGGTTTGCTTCCTTCCTTCCTTGAGAAAATCATAGTCATCTTCTTGTGGGGGAGCACTTACAGGTTCCGGTGCCTTGACGACTGCATCGCGTTTGAAACCGCGTAGGCCACTGCCTTTACGCCTCCAACGCAGGATGATTTTCTCGAGTAACCCTACCGACCAAATAATGGCTCGGTATTGTTTCCGGACTTGATGTCCTCTCACATGAGCCTGAAAGGTTACCGATCAAATCCAGCGATGAGTCAGAAGCAAAATAAAACTAAGCTTTAACACCTTCAACTGGTTTTGAAAGAACTTTTTCAAACCTGGATCTTGACGATTCTTTGTCGGATCAAAAGGAACTCTTTTCTCTTCTTCCAACCACGATATTTTTTCTGAATGTGAACTGCAGCGGCGTGAACAGCACCATTATTGTGTCCTGGCTTCTTAGTCTTTGCAGCTGCGAAAGAAACAGCTAACTCGTCGGATATACCAAACTCGTTGTTGTCACCGAACTCAGATAGCTGTTTCCGCTGGAATGACTGCATCCTGAACACTTGGTGAAGACGATCAGCTGCTTGTGTGGCATTTAAGACAGCAGTGAGTGAATCCTTCATCGACAGTGTTTCTGGCACATCCCCATAACTCATAGGAGTAGCGGTACGCTCAGCTACTGTTTGGACAGCTTTTGCTCTAGAGGAGTCCACGGAGCTGTTTTCCTTGGCGTCCACTGTTAGCTTCTCGAGGTAGCTAGTGAGCGAAGACTCTGCAAGGAAACCGGAAATTCCCCTGTGTCCATTTCCATAAGCCAAATCCGCAGCTGTTTTACCCAAAGGAAGCTCTGGCGATGGGTCCGTCAATGCTCCAGCATCAGCACCCAGAGAGACAAGTACAGCAACAGTATCCTCCCTGAAATTTAACAGTGCACAGAGAGACGAAACAACTGTCAAGAGTTTACGATGAATCGATTTAAGAATTTCAAGAGGAATGAATAAGAGAGCTGCATCTCAGATATAAAAACTGAGATCCTTCAAAACCAAGATAAATGCTAAAGAAGTTTTACGGAAAAAAAAGCAACTGAAGGAAGATAAAGTCTGAGGTTCCTTGCCTGCCACTGAATGCAGCCCAATGAAGAGCAGACCACCCATTTGCATCGCGGAAGTTGATGCTAACTCCTGCTGCCAAAGTTGGTTTTATAGCCCAATCATACCCAAGCGCTGCAGCAAGGTGTAGAATACCCTGTCCTTCTTCATCTAGTATATTTGGACCCTTGCCCTCTTCAGTCACCTTATGTATAAGCCATGCATATAATTTATCTTCAAACTCTTCCCTAATAAGTCGCTCTTTTTCTTCAAGCTCCGTCAAATCTTTCTCACTTGTCCCTGGGAGGAGCGACTCCTTTTCATCTTTTAGCAACATTATCCTACTGATTTTTCTTCGTTTCTCCCCAACATCTTCAAATATATGATGTTCCTGAACAGGAGATATGCGAGCCAGCAGATTTTCAAACCTCAAATGAAGTGCTGCTTCACTTGTAAAGGCACCGTATATGTCCGCAGTATTCAACTTTTTGGTAGACCCAGGAAGGAAATCAAACTCTCGTACTTCGCTGCAAGAAAATCTGTCGGAACATGTAACATAGAACGGGACTTGACCGACTTCATGCGGCGGAGCATGACAGCAAAGAACACCATCTACTAAAATCTCAGCAGGAACCTCCACTTCTCCAAACATGCATGACCAGCTATAGCTAGTTACTTCCTTAGGACTCAAAAGAAATGTGCCAATAACCATGACCTGTTCGGCAATTAAAAGGGTAGGTGAGTAATGAATTATCTCCAAACAAACCTTAAAAAGAAAAGGATCTACAAGGATCTACAAGGATAATACCAGTTCATCAACTATACAGAAAACAGAACAGCAGAATAAAACTGCTGCTCCAAATCATACTTTGAAAATACGCACTTGCTAGAAGACTGGATTCTTGCGCAGAAACATCGTTCGACGAAAAAGGATTTGAAGTTCTTACCAGAGAAAGAGAAAAACAAAACCACGTTTTTACAAAAATAACTTTCCAAACTTCATTTCACCAAAAAAACCATAACTTAATGCTACACCACAAAACCATTTTGACCATATAATATAAAAGTTACCGTAATTTCTGAGTCTGTCTGAGTCCATTTGGGCCAAAAGTCGATTATGGTGAAGCGCTGATCCTCGGATAGGGAAGGGCTTAAGGAAGATGCAGCTGCTGCAGTTTCAACAGTGGTCCACGCAATACCTCCAGATGAAGACTGCATCTGCAAGTCCTCCATCTCGCTAAGTTCGTTACTAACCCATCGAGAAAAACTGTCAACCTTTTTCAAACTATCCTCTTTCTTTAACAATGATTTCCTTAGAGGTAGTGTTTGGTTTGCACTTGCTTCATATATCAGATCCTCAGGGCCTAATTTAGGTATATATGCTGCTTCAATACTTGCAAAGGGAGCTTGAAAACTACCCTCAATAGGCTGCTGGTTTTGACTGCCAAGAAGACTGGAAAATGTCCCAAAATTTTCATGTGCTCTTTTCCCAAGTAAGTCCAGATCAGTACCATCAGTAATTCCAGAATGAGAATCCATGGGCCATTTTTGCAATGGCAAGCTTTCCTGAACTGGAATCTACAGAGACGATAATCTTTCTGTCAAAAAAAAATATTGACCCTGTCTCACATTGGTAGCTTGGCCAACAGAAAAATGTAAAAAAACATATAGACAATTGATACTGAGCCAAGGTTATGATTTGCAATGAATTTTATCACGAACTTTTGTAAAATTCGCAAGATTTATCCCTTTCTGCACTTTTGCGCATTTTTTCCCTCACACAAAATCGATTTTAGATGACTAGCTTAGATACAATACCTGCCAATTTACTTGGTTTTGAAGAGGATTTCTGAGATGCTCTGCTGTTAGCAGAGAACCTTTCGCTGTATTCCCTACCACGGGCATTAATCCAGGACCAGAAGGCTGTGTCTGAGTCAACTGAGAATTATAAGGTACATTCTGGTATCTTGCAAATGAATTCCCAAAGGAAGCATCCCATGCTGGGACATCAACTGATCTTTGGGAGTCACTTTCTTTTACTCTATTCCCATGAATCTGCGAAACAATTCCAATGCCAGGAGCTGGTGTCCAACTATCTCGATTTCCTAGAAAGTGAAGACATTCTCAGCGAACATGCAAAATTTTGCTAAGGCAAGGGAGCAAGCAGAAAGCAAATATAGTACCCAAAATAGTGGTTGGATTACAAGAATTTATTGTGCTAGCATTCTGCTGATGTCTTATCTGAGGAGAAACAGTTTGAGGTTCAGAATTAGCTTGCAAACTGGACCTTGCTTGACGACTATCCCCTGTATCAAAACTGATATAAGTCTGTGTTGAAAATTACATGCAAAACCAAGAGCAGGAATAAAATCAATCACAGAGACGCATCCATATAACAGAACTATATTCCTAAACAGAAGATACCAAAGCATAAAAGAGAATTATATACCAGAATCAGCATCTTCACATAGTGGTGAAAATGTGTTGGATGGGGTTGCTGTTGAATCTTTATTCACAGAAGTGGTGCCACTTAGAGAATTTGAATTGTTTTCTTTAATTCCACCGGAACTCATCCGGTTACCCTGTATAAATAGCATGACTTACAACATAAGATGACTATCACTCTATCAGAACCACCACAGAAAAAGTGTATCTACTTAAAAAGAACAATACAACGTTGACTTGATGGAGTTCATATTCTAAGAATATAGTACCGAAAGAAAAGCTTTACCTTAACCTCCAAGTAGTGAACGAAAACAATATGCATCAGATCACTGTACCCATGCAAAGAGAGGATATTAGCACTAAAACTGAAACGTAACACAAAAAATTACTAACAAGCACATTTCATTCCACTAAATTAGGATTTTTGAGATTAATGATCCTGACGTTCCACAGCTAATCCTTTGGTTCTTGGATGACCAGGCTCAATTTAACCTCACAAGCCGAGTTGATGTTTGTATAGCAGGATCACAAATAAAAAATCACTACACATTTCTTCCCTTTCTATTGCTCGTGTTCTGCTAATTCATTTATAAGGACGCACCCAGGACACTAGCAAGTTACCAGACTAAAAAAAAATGCAGTGTGACCAGTGAACAGAGCACTGAATGCTGAGAAGTATCATTTACGGTATAATAAACAGAACAAAAAAAAAAGAAATATGGACAAATATAGACTCACTGTTCAAGCATCCAGTAGCAACGCCTCTGGAAATTCTCGTTATCTTCCCCATGTGCATAGTAACAATGTAACACATCAATGCTTCCAACCTATATATGCCAAAACAATGTCAGTCTCCAACATTTTAAAATACTACAGAAACTTGGTGAGGAAACATCAATGGGAAAGATTAACCTTCAGCTTTTCGTGAGCCTCTTTCACCGTTTTACCATCTTTCTTCTTCCTCCAGCTGTGCCCATCTTTCCTAAAATATCTGAGCACCTTCCTATCAAAGAGAAAGAGCGAACCACCTAGAAAGAGCACAAGATTTCTAAATTGTTGTCAGTTTACAGAAAACAAAAGAAAAACAGTATTAAATTGTTGTCAATATCCTATTAAAGGTATGCTATAATAGCCTATTCAATATCCTAGTCATTTCTTATTCATAACTTAGATAACATTTTGCAACCAAAACTGAAGAAAGTCAGCAGAAAACATTACTGGGTGGTCGGTTGGGAGGCTCTGACGCAATATGAAACTTCTGATGGTTCCGAAGAATCTCACAGATCTCAGCAGGCCTCAGCCACCTGTGTTGTGCTTCTGATAGCAACTGCTCGATATCTACAAGTTCACAAAGGGATAAGAACACACATTAATGCTATATAGTTGAATCTAAAACATCGGCGTAACACTCTCTTGCACTATCCAATATCAATATGCAAAAATGCAACACAGCAATTCAACTAATTTCATTTCGACTAAGAAAACAAAGGAAATGTTATAGTTCCTCGCAATTCAGATCAAGTAAAGAACCATTCTCTGTAAAAGAGGTGATAACACAAGCTGGAATCACAAAAATGTCGCAGCAGAAAAACAAACGACTAATAATGATCAGATCCAAACTACCAAAGGAGTTAACAAAAAAAAGCACGGAAATGGGAGAAACAAAACCCCCAGATGGAGAGATTAGAGACCTAATCGAGGGGCAAATCCGAAAGATCCGCGATCCGCCATGGAACATAAACCCAAAATCCACGAGAGAGATCTCCAATCACAGAGAATCAAAGAACCCTAAAATCGATCTGGGTATGTATGAAACTGAGCTAGCTCTTATAAATATTTCCCCCCTTTTCAAGCTTTCCCGAAGGTGTGAAAGCAAATCGACTTTTCCTTTCTCTGTTTTCTTTATTCTTTTTTGGGAGCGACTCGAAGGAAATCGGAAGGAAAGCGCCGGTATGGGGAGGTTTGTATTTGTTTATAGAACCGTGAAGGGAAACACTGTCGTCCAATCAGAATCTTACACGTGGTGACATGGATGAAATTTGTGCATGTGTTGTTCTTTTGTTCAACACCATCGTCGATGTAAATTAATTCTCATTTTACAGTAGTATGAATGAAACTCAACGGTGAAAAAAAAATAGTTCGAGATACAGACCAGAAGTGTCTAAATAAGATAAAAATTATTATTACACTTATTAACAAAGACAATAATTAGTTAATTACGTAATTGTGAAATGTTTCCATCTCAGGGACTTGTAATAAAAACATTGTACTCCACTAAACAAATATTGTATTCGAGAAAGGGGACCAAAAACATATAACTTCCTCCTTTTTCCCTCCTCAATTGAGTAACTTCCTTTTAGAGACTTTCATACGACTCTTTTAAAGAAAATCAAATGTATTCAAGCTGAATTTAACCAAACCACCACATATAGCGCCGGATGATTCACGTGCTTCTGAATGTCACGTCAAGATTCCGACAAGCACAAAATCAGTACTCCTCAAATCATTACCGTGAAAAGTTTACTTAATCCGAAAGCAACGGTTAGATTTGAACCACGTGTATCTAGCAGCATTTGCCGCGAAACAACTGACCTCACCTTTTCGGGAAAATTCGTTTTTAAAAAAATTTACTTACACTCTTTTTTTTTCAACTTGAAACAGAGTTCGATCATTTTCTGCAATTACAGCCACGGAAGACTGGAAACCTGAGAAGTATCTAAAATCACCGGAACATAGGAAGTAATCGGACACGAAATTGTATCGTGACATGAGTCAACAAGTTGCGACGACAGCTTTACGAGCTCTGTTTGTCCGCGGCGGAGGAAACTGTAACATGGCCGTCAGGTCAGTTTCCGCCGCCTCCGTGTTTACAAATCTCGAGATGAGGAACCTTGTTTCAGGTCAGAGGAACCTTGAATCGACAAGCTTAAAATTACTTTTCAAAAATTACTTGACATATACAATTAGGATTTATATATTCAAATATTTGAACAGTGCCTTTGATATGGAATTTCGACTCGAAGTGGAGGATGATGAGTTCTGCGACGGCGATGGAGAAGAATGATGAGAAGAAAGATGAAAATCCGACGGTAGAGTCGGTGAAGAAAGATCAAAACGGCGGTGGATCGGTGGCAGTTCCGAGTTATTGGGGAATAGAGACAGCGAAGATGAAAATTACTAGGAGAGATGGATCCAACTGGCCTTGGAACTGCTTTATGGTAAGTTTTGTAGCATATCTTGAGTTTTCAAAGACAAATTAAGCATCTACATATATAAAAGTTATATGAATATTTTTGAACAGCCATGGGAAACATATCAAGCAGACTTGTCGATCGATTTGAAGAAGCACCACGTTCCCAAGAATATCGCCGATAAAATCGCTTACGGAACAGTCAAGCTCCTCCGTATTCCCACCGATATATTCTTTCAGGCATTATCCTCCGCTAGTTTCATATTTTTTTAATTCCTAAACTGTTCAATGGCTGTCTTTTCTATGGTTCGGTTGTTTTCAGTTTATTCTGTTACTAATGTTCTAAATAAATAAATTGGAATAATTCGGTTTGGTGTTGTTTTAATAAGTTTACCTCGTTGATCTGGTTCGAGGCGGTTAGCTTTGGTTTACATACGCTTATTGTCCAACAAAAATTCATACTCCATACTTAACACTAGTACCAAAAAAAAATATAACTACATATTTTTGGTCGGCGGAGACGATACGGATGCAGAGCAATGATGCTAGAGACAGTAGCTGCAGTACCGGGAATTGTCGGAGGAATGCTCCTCCACCTAAGATCAATCCGTAGATTCGAGCATAGCGGCGGCTGGATCAAGGCGTTGCTCGAAGAAGCTGAGAACGAGAGGATGCATCTAATGACAATGATGGAGTTGGTCAAACCGAAATGGTACGAGCGTCTTCTAGTGATGCTTGTCCAAGGGATTTTCTTCAACTCTTTTTTCCTTTGTTACGTGGTTTCGCCGCGAGTGGCTCATCGGATCGTCGGGTATCTAGAAGAAGAAGCTATACATTCTTACACCGAGTTTCTTAAAGATATTGATGATGGAAAGATCGAGAATGTTGCGGCGCCGGCGATTGCGATTGATTATTGGAGATTGCCTAAAGATGCTACGTTGAAAGATGTTGTTACTGTGATTCGTGCTGATGAAGCTCACCACCGAGATGTCAACCATTTTGCTTCCGTAAGTGCCATTCTCTAGAATGTGTTGACGAATTTGTCTTCAAGTCAAGTGGTTTTTTGTTTGTTTTAATAACTATGGTTTATCTCAAGGGTAATGTGTGATTTTTCTATCTATGTTGTTCTTGTGAATTGTGAAATATTTGTGTGTTTTGGGTTATTTGCAGGACATTCGCAATCAAGGAAAGGAATTGCGAGAAGCAGCAGCTCCGATTGGTTATCACTAGCAAAGTTTCAAAAAGCTATCTACTCAAGTTTTCTTATAATGAATCTGTATAAGTTAAAGGAGTTAGTATAAATATCCATCCTTGAATTTTATAAGATCTTATTTATTCGGTTGAGTTTTGAATTATTTCGAAAAATGTCGCGTTTATAAGTAAAAACACGTCTCAAACGTAACGACTTTAAACGTCTCAAACCGCGTTTATAGTTCGGTTAGATTGTGTTTTCCTTTTTTTTCAGTCTTTACCGCTCATTTTTTTGTTTCCCGCGGAAGGGCATAAGTTTAATTAGCGATAAATGAAAGGGCCAAATCGAAAATCCTCGTATCTTTTAGATTGGAGGAGATTCGTCTGCTTCACAGACCACAGCTTAACCTAATTTCTCCTCCTCTCTTCCTCTCTCCCTCCATCTTTCTCCGCCGGCGGGAAAACCATGTCGCACTTCGGAAGGTCAGGTCCGCCGGATATCAGTGACACCTACTCTCTTCTCGTCCTCAACATCACCTTCCGTATAATCTCTCTCTCTCTCTCTCTCTCTCAACCTCGTTGTAATACTGGTCACGGTTATCGTGGTGCTGAGAGATTTAGGTTTTTTTCTGTGTAGGTACGACTGCTGATGACCTCTATCCACTATTCGCAAAGTATGGCAAGGTCGTGGATGTCTTTATTCCCAGAGATCGAAGGTCCAATTTCGTCTTCTCCCGATTCTACTATTTTGCTCTAGCCTCTGTTATCTCTTAAAGTCCTAGTGAGAAATTAGGGTTTCTCTGTGGTCTTTCTGTGATTGAATAAGTTTCTATTTTCCTTAATGCGTATTGTTCTGCAATTTAGGACTGGTGATTCGCGTGGTTTTGCATTTGTTCGCTACAAGTATAAAGATGAAGCTCACAAAGCAGTGGAAAGGCTTGATGGTAAAACTTATCCAGATTCTTCTTCTTTTTGTACTATTGGTCTGTTATATCAGTTTATGAACACTTGGTTACTGGATTTAACACGAAGCGCCTCTATTCGTTTCAGGAAGAGTTGTTGATGGCAGAGAAATCACTGTTCAGTTTGCAAAATATGGCCCAAATGCTGAAAAAATGTGAGTTTCTTTCGTTCTTATTGATAGTTAATTGCCATTGGTTTCGTTATATTCACAATTCGCTGTTATTGGACTGCCAAACTCATTTCATTGATTTATCGTGTATTGCTACTTTCTCTTGCTTCGTATGAATGGTTCAACGGAAGGTGCTTCTGTAGTTGTATTTTGATTAGTTTGTAATTCTCATGTCTCAGTTCAAAAGGAAGAGTTGTGGAACCATCTCCAAAGTCACGGAGGTCAAGAAGCCGTAGTCCTCGAAGGAGCGTTAGTCCGTCGTATAGAAGCCGCCGTAGTCCTAGGAGAAGCCGCAGTCCCCGCAGGAGGTGAGTTTCTTCTTCCCTAATCTCTTTTTTTTATTATGATGGTGAGGAGGGGAATTGCATGGAATCCATGGTTGTTTTATTTATACTATTACTCAATTAGCTTTTGTTACTTGATTCATCAAAGAAAGAACAGTATACGTCTGAATGGTTCTAACCGAGTTAGGTAAATTTTAGGTCGCGAGATGATTACAGGGAAAGAGACTACAGGAAGCGGAGCAGAAGCAGGAGCAGAAGTAGAAGCTATGAGAGGCGTGAAAGGCATGAGGAGAAGGATAGAGGTCATCGTCGGCGCAGTAGGTCTCGTAGTGCAAGCCCAGACGACAGACGCAGAGTCAGAGGCCGCTATGATGACGAGAGCCGCAGTCGCAGCCGCTCCTTGAGGTATCTTCCATTGTGAAACCTGTTTTTTCCTTCTTCCATTTTGTCTTTTCACAGTATATGAAATTAATCCTGATTCCATCTTTTTTTGTCACATGTAGTGCATCTCCTGCTCGACGCAGCCTCAGCCCTAGAAGTGCCTCCCCACAAAAAGCCTCTCCTGTTAGAGAAGTCTCTCCTGCTCGCCGCAGCCGTAGCCCAAGAAGAAGTCCTTCCCTGCAAAAGCACTCTCCTCCAGCTAAGGAGTTGTCTCCTGAGAGGAAGAGCAATGATAGGCTCCCATCTCCTGGTAACCGCTCTCCCCGGGACAAAGCTCGTAGTCAATCTCCTTATGCTGAGGTGGGCTAAAGGCACATGGCTTTATATATATATAATCAGCAATAAAAATTAATATCTGAATTGTGTTTTTGTTTATTTGTCTAATGTATATATCTTGCAGGAATGACCGCATACTATTGAACGGAGACCATGTTGTATCAAAACATGTTTCATCTTCAAGCACTGGAACTTCTCTACCCTCTGTAGTATTGCTTGCTTTTCCGTAGGTGCCCTAAACTACTACTGTATGTTTGTTTCCTGCGACCTTTACAATTTGGTATCTTGGGACTTCTTTAGTTGTTTATGTGCAATGAATTATCATGTTTGAGAATAGACTGTGGTGAGTATTGAATCTTCTGTGTGTTTATGGTTTGGAATCCATAGGATGCTAATCTCTAGTCTGGTTGTCTTGTCTTGGATTTTTCTAGTATGGTTCGAGAAAAGAATTGACTTGGGAAGATGGCACAACCATGTTGAGATTGTAGCTGTTGTTGCTGTTTATGAATCCAAACCGTAGATATGATGATGGATGATGCTGTTTATGAATCCGTAGATATGATGATTGATGATGATAGATGACGTTCGCAGCAATCTGCTGAATCTCCCCTACGATACGTAGCAGCATCTTTGCCCCTAAATTTGGATTTGTTGTCAAAACTAACAAAGGCTTTGGTTCGTTGGTTTTTGAATCCAATTTCATTTTTCTACTATCCAAATTTATTTGAGTCTCACTTATGTCTCTCATTTGCTTTAAGTTCCCAATTTTTTTACTAATACAAAGATGAGTTCACAAAGAAGTAATTTATAACATTGTATCGGTTTTTTGGTTAAGCGATGGTGATATGAAGAAGCTGTGTAAACTCGAGTTTTCGAGTCTCATGGTAAAAAGTCTTGTACTTATTTGGCCAATAAGTCAACCAAATAGAGCCTTTAATCTCCCACTCCATTTTTCTCCCCATTGCTCCTTTCCCAATCTTCCACACCACACTCTCTCCATACTCATCCCCTGCAAATATCACTCCTCCTCTCCTCGTAAAAGACCGATATGCGCTCGCGTACCGGTCCTTGAACCAAGACCTCGGGCTCATGATCGAAAACCGTGACGGCTTTGTCGAGAAAACCTCTCTTCCTCCGACGCTGCTGTCGTACAAGATCCAGTTTAGGTTGACCGTGTAGCCGAGCACGGACTGCTCGAACTTCCACGGGGTCATTGTCATGGTGGAGGCTTCTCGTCCCGCGACTCTTAGGCCTAGCGAGTTTGGTGGGTCGAAGGAGCCTTCTATAGATCTCTCGACCCCGAACTCTCGTCCCGGGTTGTTTGATGATTTGCTAACCGAAACGCTTATGAAATCGGTTTGGAGAGTTGGGGTTAGTTGCAGAGCGATCCTTGATGGGAAATGCTTCTCGTGTTCTCCTGCTCCTTTTCTTGACATTAGTCTCTCATTTACAAGCTTTATTACATCGTATCTGTATATGTTTACAAGACAAGTTAAAAGTAAAACCAACCAGAAGTTATGTATTTTATTGTTCTTACAAAGGAAATAAAAGTATGTACCTGATGTTGTCTATCTTTACGATCACATCGATCCACTTGTCTCTGACTACAACTCTGTGATTGAATTGCATGACACCTTCGAGCTGATTAAACTTGAGAGAGAACAACAATCTCGAATCAGCCATTGGGTTGCTCGATCTCTCCACTTCCATGGCTTCAACGGGACAATACAGTTGCACTTTCCACAATCCATAAGCAGAGACAGCGTAAGAAAACAAAGGAGTTGCTGTCGTCTTGTTGGACTGACAACGACCACGCTCAATGATCCAGTTTGTGATCGCTAGATTCACAGATCTCATCCACTGTTCCTCCAGATTAGACCCTAGAAGTTTCATCAGAGACACCGTTGCTTCCCTTGCTTTACAAGTAACCAAATGATTCTTGAGGGTATTGAGGCAGCTTTCCCGGAGATACAAGGGAGCTTCGTAGACGCAGACAACGAACGAGAGAGTGAGGATCACGGTGTTGAATATGTCTTTAAGACCGTCAATCATCGATGAGTTGGGTTTAGGGGTTTTGATGGTTGAGTAATTGGAACTACTAGAGGTATAGGTTAAGATAGATTCGACGATACTGAAGAGGAGAGAGACGATTGTTTGTTCATCGAAAGGGTTTGGTGAGTTTGGGTTGATGTTGAGTTCTTGTTTAGAGGTCCATAGATACAAAGGAGGATGATTGTTTGATTGGACGACGATGGAGAATATGGGGATCGTAGGGTTATGGTTTCTTTGTGCTATGAGATTTAGGGTTGAGTTTGGGAAATCAGAAGCTGAGGGGCAAATACAAAAGGAAAAGGAAGGTGTGTTCCATGTTGTGACTTGTGGAATGTTTTGTATCCAAGTGAACACATCAGGGAACTTCTCGGACATCATTTTTCGTGGTGTTAAGTTGTTGTGTTTTGAGTTTTGCTTGCATACAGACGCATAAATATATAGATGCACGTTAAAAGGAGGTCATGAAGAAAATGGAATCACGTGCAATATTCTGCAAAAAGAACATGAAGTGATAAGCTTAAAGATTTGATAAAAGTGGAATAATAGTATTTCGTAGGAATATTTCATCAATGGAGGGTTTGGATCAAAACTATCACTTCAAAGGAAATGCTGATTAGATTTCAGACTTTTTATTTTATTAATAATTGCTAATTTTAATGAGAACTGAATTTCCTATTTGAAAAATACAGAAAGTAACCTTCTACAGTAATTTTTTCTCACAAAGAGTTGCATGATTAATATTTCTTTTTTTTTTGAATATCGGAGTTTTGATTGAGTTTATCTTTCTAAATATAGGATAGAGATGGTTACTGTGCTATGATATGCATGACAAGAGTTGACTAGTAGCCAGAAAATGAAATTCAGATTCTTTGTAAGAAATTCAATAATTATAAGGAATTTAACCACTTTCACAGCGTGAAGTAAACAACAATGCCTTTTGCATGAATTTAGTTTACGTATTCCTTTGGTTCACCCTCTGCCCCATCTACTCAGTTACAATCCCATTTTTTATTTATCGAGCCTTGAAAGAAGAATATTTTTTCTTTTGAGGCAAGAATATGTACATATCAAAATAAGATCATAAAAGTACCCAAACCTACCTTCATTGGTATTTTCTGTTTACTGGATTTAGCAAAAGACCTGATATTAGATAATCTATGAGTTTCTACAAAATTAGATAATCTTTCTACCAAAAAAATAGATAATCTAGAGAGACACAGCCACACGCTAAAGCCATCACTGCTTCTTATTCCTCTGTCGTTTCCTTTATTCTCCTTTTGGGAAATTAGATAAGAAATTAGCTCTTCATCTGTCAAAAACTATCGCAGTTTCTTGCTCCACACGGCTGGAGATGCCAGTTCCTGAATATGGCACCGGAGCACTATCTGCACACGTGTGTGATGTGGGCTTATGAGGCCAGATATGAATCAAAAGCATCAGGCCCATGTAAAATTCCCTTTTTTGGTAAAACGGCAAGATCGTAACAATAGACAAAAGTTACATTTTTATCATCAGAGAGGAGTCTTATGTGTATGATACAGAAACTGTTTTCACAAACTCTACAAGTGAAAGAAACGTATCATCATCATCCATTCAAACCGCTTTTTCCCAACCGTTCTTTTCCGCCGAGCGTTTGGATTATAGCTTCCAAGAGTTTGATCTCGTTATCGCGTTTCGAGATCTGTTCCTGCATCCCTCGGAGCTCTTCCATATGCAGCTTGAAAACCTCTGCAACAAAAGAGTTCCAAAACAAACATTCTATGAATATGAAAACCGGAATTGGGGCATCGACCAAGAACCGGATCGATCAAAAAGAGTTGCAAGTGAATTGTAAAGTATGTACGTACTTGTGGTGTTTTCGAGCTCTTTGGTAACCTCATGGGCACGTGATTCAGCAGCTTTTTGAGAGGACTCAGCTTGACGTTTCTCTGACCGAGCATGAGCAGCAGCTGTAATTGCAGCATCTAGCTCTCTTTCCAGTGTTTGTACCCTTTGCTCAAGAACCTAAAACAAACATCCAAAAAGAGAAAAAAGAACATCTGAAACTATCACTTATCTCAAACTATGGTCTAATGCAAAGGCAAACATTATCGCACTTCGATTGTGAAACCTCAAAGATCCATCCTTTTAGGATTTGGTGATCATTTCCATCATCAATAGATGACAAAACTACAGAATCTCAATTTGCTATCCAAAATGGTGTTTAAGGCACAAAGATTCAAACTTCTGAGCTCCTGTTTTAGCCAGACAACGCAATGAAACTATAAATTTCCAAATTCGCCATCTTTTTCCGTTTCCCAGATTCACACTAATACCAGGAGCTAGAGTAATACTCAACCTAATCAAATCCACAGATCACAAAGGCGATCATGACCAACCAGATCCATAGCTGACAAGAGGCGATCATCAAAATTCCACCCAAATAAATAAAAATTCCATCCTATTAACTTCGAAAGAGATCACCGGAAAACCACTTTAACGGACCTTGATTGTTCGGGCTTGGTCGGAGACGAGAGAGGCTCTAGCGAAAGTGTCTTCTTCAACGAAGACTGCTTTCTTCAGGAGTAGCTTCTGAAGAGAATCGAGATTCGATGCCATCTCCGTTATGTTCTCTAATGATCCCTTCCATCGGTCCTCGCTCCCTCCGATCTGTTCCTCCATCGGAAGATCAAAGGATCTCCCTCTCTCCTCCTCCCGGAGAACTTTTTGTCCGGCGATCAAATTGACTCTCAAATCAATTAAAAGATTCTTTGGGCTTTCTTCTGCTTACAGAACTTCGGCCCATATCTTCTATAGTTTAATATAAACTTTTACTGTTATAGTGAAAATGTTACCGCTTGACGGCTTGAGCATTCGCACGCAGTAAATGAAAAAGGAACAGTACAAAATCAGCCAATAAGACGAAAGCACGAGTCCAGGTTCGAGAACCTACTAATGACGTGTACCAATAATATCACTGGAACTGATAGGATCTCACGCTGCTCTCTCGTCCACGAGTTCTGATATTAAACTCAGCCCGTTGAACCTTTTGATTGCGTCGCCACGTGTCGAAATCATGGTCACTTGTCTTTTGATTCTCCCGAAACAAAAACAAAAATGTTAATTAAAAATATTTGTAAAAAAAAAAAATTAGGAAACCTTCATCGTCTACTGCCGAACATCTCTAGAAAGTCCTACAAAGTTTGTTTTTAGTTTTCCGATCTACCTTCCATGAATCGGTACCATCGCTAGGAATCTGGCTCTTTCATTTGCTCTGGTGAATTAATTGATCGGTGAAGTTTTCTGGAGTTGCTAGCGGAAGCATCTATCTGACAGGTGAGTGTGTATTTGGTTGAGACTCTAGAGCTTTGATTCTTCTTACGTTTCGTGGAATCTGTTTCGATTGAATTTCGCGGTTATTTTTCTCAATGATTGAATAGCAGCAGCAGCTCAGAATTTCTCAGATTTGACTGTTTATATTTCTTCATTTAATGCTCCATTTAACTGGGTTTTAGTTGTTTTATCTTCCCATCTTTCAATTGCAATGATGATTTTGCTAGAAATGAATGGGTTTTGAGTATAGCTTTTGGAATCATGAATACTTGGAAAGGATAGGTGGAATTTAGGGGTTTGGATTACATTCATTTCAGGCTTCGTGGGTTTTGAGTCTGGATAAGGAAGATTAAGTTTTCTCTATCATTGGAACCTTCTCCAGCTGTTTAATATCTTAACGTTTCTTATCCAGAACCAGAACTAGTTGTTGGAGTTACATGTATTGCAATAGAGATGGTAAATCGGGATAATGTGCATGTGTTTAGTGGTGATTAAAGAGTCTTGAAGTTGGGAGGAATGTCGGGCTTTTGCATTGATGAGGTGAGTTGAGTCACAATCGTTTTATTTGCATATTTGTTCTTTAGATTCATCTTAGTCTTGTTGATATTGCCAAGGGGTCAATGCCTGTACTTGAGATGAGACGTTCTGTGTAGCACTCTATTCTTATTCAAGGTGTTTTGATGGACTAAGTAAAAGTAATTGTTAATTGGTAGCTGAAGTTTTTTCCTTTTTTTTCAGCTGGATGATAATTTTCCAGACGAGTTTCATGAGAACGATGATGGTATAGTGCCTGATTCAACGTATGAGGATGATGGTCAGTTTTCAGTTCTAATTAGTAGCAGGAAGAAACGAAGACATGGAGATATGGGGAGCGGAACAAACCATTTAAAGAGTAATACTTTTATCAAGAGGGAGGGCGATATGTTGGGAAGAAATCCTTGGCCTGAGAAAGATAGTGGTGGCTCTCAGGTTTCTCGTGATGCGGGATCAGGCAAAGATGTTCAGAGTACGACACTGGAGGATACAAAGATTGCAAATCATGGTTTTAACAGTGGCCAAGTAGGTGTAGCTGAGAATTTCTGTACTGAGGATCCCATGTTGTGTGACAGTTCAGCTGCAACACATGATGGCGTGTATAATTATTCCGTCAACAACAATCCAAATGCTGAAAATAATCTGAGTTTTTTGAATAATGGAGATAAAGAAAGCAATGATCTCTTCTATGGCTGGGGTGACATGGGAAACTTTGAGGATGTTGACAATATGCTTAGGTAACATTTAGATTGGAGGAAATTTTTTAGTACATTAGGATAAACATAATAACATTGTACGCAGCTTACACTTGTTTTTTGGACGTTACAGGAGTTGCGATTCAACTTTCGGCTTGGATAGTCTTAATAATGAAGATGACATGTCGTGGTTCTCTTCTGCTCAGCCAAATGAGGATACAGAAGCGGCGATGACAGATGATATAAAACCAGATATACTGTTGGAAAATCAGAGAATCGCTATGTTGCAGGTTGAAGACTTTTTGAACAACAGTGAGTCCGACCTTGCTGTTGAAGATGAATATGGATCTACCATTGTGGGTGGTTCAGCTCAGGAAAAATCGGTAGCAAATGTATCTGATACAAGTTCGCAAAAGACGGATATACTGATGCTGGATCAAGAGGTTAGTCAGTATTTTATTTCAGAATCTTTGTGGCGTCCAAGGCACATGCCACCACTGATTACATTGAATGTTGACTCTGGCTACGTGCTCTATGTTTGGCATATATTGCATGATTTTCTCTGTTAAAGTGTTAATCATTTAAATATGACGCTGTCAATGGTTGTTTATGGTTTTTGTTAGGGCTAGTGGATGTTCTGTTAGAAAAATATTTTTAATGCTGAAGTCTTGATACACTGTTTTCAGCAATTTCATTTATGTGTACCTTTTTGTTCTGTTTTCCAGGCTAATCTTGAAAAGAAGAAGACTGATAATTTTCATCATCTGGATGGGAAAAGTGATGGGTCTTCGCAGAACAGTTTTACTTTACAAAATAGTGGAATTTCCATGGAAGTAATGGATACAAACCAGTATTTTCCTCCCTCCACATTCCAACAGCCAGGTGTTCCATACTCACATTTCAACTTTGAGCAACCTTCAGCACAAGTATCAGCAAGTGAAACTAAATCTGCTATGACATCTGAGAACAAACCCAATCCTTCCTCTGCTTCAAATGAGTCATACACATCAAGTCAGGCACAATCTGTCGAGAGCTTCCAAGGTCAAACCGTTGATGATCGGTGTAGGAAGGGACTTGAAACGAGAGTTAACCTGCAGCCCGGAAAAGATATGCCTCCTTCTTTTGCCACAAGTACCAAGAAGAGTAGCAAGACAAACCCTATGTTGTTTCCTGATGCTGCTCCTTTCCAAAAGACCGGGCTTGAGAATGAGCACATAAAAGCTGCAGCTGAAATGGAAACATCAAACATGCAGGAAAGTTCTTGTGTAAGCTCTGTTGTGGATGACATTTCACTTGAAGCAACAAGTTTTCGACAGCTTCAACAAGTTATAGAACAGGTACAGCAACAATAATTTCCTGCGAGTGCTGAAGTGATTTGTAAAGTTTTCTCATTATTACGTGTACATTTGTTCACTTGATTGATGTGCACTTGCTTGATCCAGTTGGATGTTAGGACAAAGCTTTGCATAAGAGACAGCTTGTACCGATTGGCAAAAAGCGCGGAGCAGAGACATAACTATATGAATCCAAATGGTGGAAACAGACAGGAGAAAGGTGCAGGCTCGCAACTCGAGACTGATGGAACAGAAAAGTAAGCACCAACTGCATACTTCTCCAATATGTTCATCCTTGATCTCCCTATAGACTAATCTTTCAATTTGTGTAGATTCTATCTTTAATATCTGAATTTGGTTTTTATACAGGTACGTTGGATTCATGGATATAGAAACTGATACAAACCCGATAGACCGGTCCATAGCTCATTTACTGTTTCACAGGCCCTCAGACTCATCTCTTTCATCAGATAACGATGTTCTCTCTTATAAATCTCATCCGATGGTAAGTTAAACAAACCCTTACTTCTCACACACAGTCATTTAGTAACTTGCAAGCTGTGTCGCACAGTGCCTCATTTTAACCATCATACTCTCCACAGATTCCTCAACCCAATAGTAGTCCGAGCCTGAGGATAGAGAAACAAGAGGAAACTCCAGAACCCAGAACCGAAACAGAAGGTGTAAACAAGTGACAACAAATAAATAATGTCAACAAAAAAAACTGGCTTTTTCAGTGCTGAAGCCTTCGAGATATGGTTACTAACTCTAATCTTGACTTTTGGCTGACTGAAATTGCTGGAGTTAGTTACCAAAATCCTGACTGTTTCTTTCATTAGAATCCTGGATTTTGAACACTGTTGGGTAATTCTTCTGGTTTAGATTTCGGTTCGAGTCTGATTGTACACTTGGTCGTTCGAACCGGGTCTCGAGACATGTTGCCGTTGTATTATGTTAAAGTTGTCAAGTAGAGGACGGAGTAGAGACGCAGCCATTTTGTAGATAATGATGTTCGTTTTTTCTGAAATGCCATAAACCATCTGTTGTGCATTTGCTGCTCTTCCAATAATGGTTTTCTGTTTCGTCAACTTCTTAGTGATCCCACAAATATATTTCAGTCTTTGACGAACATGGACGGACATTCCTTACAAATTATGGTAATTGTAGATGAAGTCACAAGCTGCGTCACAATGTAGTAAAAGGAGAGAAAGTTTTGAAACATTTTAATCGAAAGTTTGCCTAAGTTGCATCTCGGTTTCACTTTTCCAAGAAGCGTGAGAGGATTGTCCTCTCATTCGTTTGCTCTTCTCTTTATCTTTGATCGTAGAGCCTTTCTTCTTCCCGTCTGAGTCTGGTAATGGCCGGTCACCACAAACCGGGCATACCATTCCTCTCGCGCTTGTATATGTTTTGGGTACTCCGCATTGCAGGCACATCCTAAACTTATCAAAGAAACACTAATCAATCTCGGATTGTGTGCAACGTAGATTTACCAAAACAACGATTAAGAGACAAGGACTATTCATACCTCAAGAGATCTGCAGCTTCTTCTGCATTTGGATTGGTTGCAGTCGATATCCGCTTCTCACCACTCTCTGAAGGCGGTGGTGCATCGATATCGCTTCTTACTCTCTCATGGATTCCTACTAGCTGAGGTTTTGCTTCCATGACAACACCTACATGGTCAATATTCCGAAACCATCAGTGTTTGAATCGAGAGATACCAATGCCTACTGGTTATGCTATTTCACAATGTTTTATGCTCATAGTATCAAACAAGCTTCTAAAGCAAGATCCACATTTCACAACTATTTTTCAATTTACCAATCTAGAATCTGGTTACTCGTAAACCTCCAAATAAGAATGTGAACCTTTTCAAATTCGAAATGACCAAAACGAGAAAGAAGCAAACAAGTTGCAGCTACCTTTTGGTTTTACTTTCTTCCTTTTGCGACTAATACGATCTGCATGCTCTGCATCTCTAGCTGAAGCTTCTTCATCCGCTTCTGTGTGGTTGTTTAGAAACTCCGGTGGACCTGAAATCTGCAAAATTCAATAGAAGCAAAGCATCATTGAGTATAACCTTTTCCAGCAACCAACAAGTTTTTTCACTATCAGAAGATTTCTCTAACGTTCAAACCCGAAACATACACTTAGATCCAAAAAATAGTCGTTTTCTGCGGAAAATCCCTAAATTTCAATCACATGAAATCTACAGATCCAGGAAACTTTCAATTTTCCCATCCTCCCTTCTACTACTACTACTAATAACCATTCAATTTCGTTAAATTCGATAAATTCTGGGATACGAAAATCAAATAGAGTGAATACCTGAGAGAAAACGTCGTTAGCGGAAGGAAGGCCAGAGTCTTTAGCGGAGTGAGATGCAGTGAAATCGAAGACAGACGAAGATCCGTATCTCTGAACGCCGTGATCTCCATCTTCGTCGGAGTTCTCGTAATCTCCAATAGTTCTCTCCTCTGCATCATCTTCTTCTGCAGAGGAATAGCCTTGAAGCAGCGTCAAGCTCATGTTTGCTCTGTCGTCTCCAAAGAGCCGCAAACGAAATTAAGAAGAACGTTTTCTGGATTTATGTTTTAACCCCTACATTACTTGAAATCGTATTTCAATCCTCGATCTCGGCTCCAAAACCGGCTGAAACCAAACCGGATTAGTATTGGTTCAAATAGCTGGTTTAGTAGGAAATATTTATAAACCGAGATTTGGTCTGTTTGGTGCGGCAAAAACCTTGAAATGATAAGAATCTTCCCAAGCCTCCGGTTTACGTCTTTGCTCTCTGCCGCTAAACCTCTTTGCTCCGTCGCCTGCTCATCTTCGCCGGTGAGAGAGCCACCGCAGCGTGCGTCGTTTGCAGAGGCAAAATCTGCTCCGGCGTCAAACTCTCTCAGTATTACTCCCAAGTCTCCGCTCTTCCTTAGAACGCCGTCGCACGCAACTCCTTTGTCGGAGGTTTGGAAATGGCACGACTGGGCGAAAGATCTGGCTTCCTCCGTAGAGGTATCGTCGAGCAATTCTGAATACAGCCTTGACTCTGCAATTCTCCTCCGTGAGCTAAAATGGCTGATCGAAGACTCGATCGTAGACGATCAATTGGTGATTCACAAAAGGGAGATCGCGAACGACAGCGAGAGTGTGAAATTGAGAGCGTCTTTAGAGGAGCTTTACGATTTATGGCGGCAGAGGATCGAGAAGCGACGGCCGTTTCAGTACGTCGTCGGATGCGAACACTGGAGAGATTTGGTGTTGTGCGTCGAGGAAGGAGTTCTTATACCGAGGCCGGAGACGGAACTGATCGTCGATATGGTGGAGGAGCTCGTAACGAGAGATGATTGGTTTAAGAATGGTGTTTGGGCCGATCTAGGGACAGGAAGCGGCGCAATTGCGATCGGCGTTGCTAAAGTATTGGGTGGCCGTGGGAGAGTTATAGCCACAGATCTCAGTCCGGTAGCAATCGCCGTCGCCGGAAACAATGTTCAGAGATATAGCCTTCAGGTCAGTAGATTTTTCATGTAAAACCAAATTGCTCTTGAAATGGAATGAGAATTTAGCAACATGACATCTAGGAGCTGATTAGTTTAAGGGAATGATCATGGATTTAAGGCCTTTAAGAGATTCTGAAACATTCATCAGATTTCGTTTCTTTTCACCAATGTGAGCTATAATATCCAGGGGATGATTGAGGTGAGAGAAGGATCTTGGTTTGAGCCATTGAAAGATGTTGAAGGAAAGCTTGTGGGGCTTGTGAGTAATCCACCGTACATACCAAGCGATGACATTCCGGGGCTACAAGCTGAAGTTGGTAGACACGAACCGAAACTTGCATTGGACGGTGGTATCGACGGGACTGATAGTCTCATCCAGCTCTGTCACGGGGCTTCTCGGATGCTTAAACGCGGTGGCTTCTTCGCTTTCGAGGTACCTATTTTCTTGTCACTCTCATTTGGTTTGAAGATCTTTGCGTATGCACTAACAATCTCATTAACCGTGAATGATGAATCTTATGGGATTATGATGATGCAGACCAATGGAGAGAAGCAAAGCAAGATGATCGTTGATTACATGACCAGTGATCACCAAAACAGTTTCTCTGATTTGAAGATAGTTTCTGATTTTGCTGGAATCGGTCGGTTCGTGACTGGTTTTCGTCTCTGAGAGCAGAGCATATGTTATCATGTGATCACTATCGCTTTGTTATTTTGCGTCACCCTCAGTTTGTATGATTACATTCCACGAATGTGGGAAGAAAAAGTTTGGTTCAAGAGAAAGATTTGCAACAAAACAAGAGGCGTGCTAAATAATTAGTAGACATAGTTGCGACACGACATTAACAAGAATCTATGACTCTTGGGGAAACAGAACTTGGGAATGTTCTCCGGAGACGTGAGACTCACTGTGATTTGGAAACCAATGGACATGTGTTCAAATCAGGTATAAATCTGAAATAGTAATAAACATCATAAACACAAACAAATCCAACATAAACTTAAAAATATCCATAAAAGCATAGTACGTAGTCGATGAGAGACTAAATAAACATAAGTCAATAGTACTTAGTCGATGAGAGACTAAACAACCATAACTTGAGATAGTACTGAAAGCATAACGCATAAATCAGGTATAAAACATAAAACATAATAAGTCAATAGTACTTAGTCGATGAGGACTAAATAAACATAAGTTAATAGTACTTAGTCAATGAGAGACTAAACAAGCATAACTTGAGATAATACTGAAAACATAACGCAGAGATCGTAGTCGATCATAATAAACTAAATTAAAACATAACTTGAGAACACCTTGTCCTCTTCTCGTGAACAACATCAGCTGTCGGATCACTCATTGATCCTGTCAAGGAAAACAAAAGAGATCCATGTTACATGTGGATTAGAAATTAAATTTAGAGAAGAACAAAATAAGATAGCAAGCACCTACATGTCAAAGTCCTGGCTTATCTCCACTGAGATCAATTCTAACAATTTTGCTTCGTTTGAAAACAAAACTCGGCTTCCTCTCCTAGATTGACCTTGTGAGTATGCTTCACGTACTCATCAAACTACCAAATAATCAAGTCAACAACAAAAACAGTTAATACATGACGTCAACAAATCTATGATATGCACCCGATTTGCACAATGGTAGTTGTTGGAACACCTTTATTTAATTATTTCCAAATCCATCACATACGTCATATGTTGGAAAGTCCAAAGCATGAGCGCCAAACTCCATGTCTACAGTTTCTTCTTCCCATTTGAACTTATGTCAATATATATCTTCAATGTATCTTCTATTTTCTTAACCTCCTATAAATTCACGTGCTTTAGACTGTTTGATTATCATAATTACCAAATTAACCCTGTCGCCGCGTATCTCCTTATTTGGTTTCTTTATCCTAATCATCATTCATCATCTATCTCTCTTTGTCTGTCTCCCACACATCTTCATATTTCAATTTTAAGATCTCTCTTTGTCAACAACAACAGAGAGAGAGACAGCCACGGCAAATCCTTCTGGTGAGCCGAATCTCGATCTCATTTCTTCTTCTTATCTCGATGATCTTTGATTGATATTACGTGATTCTCTACATCGTTATGTCATTTTACAATTTCGCGAACGTAGAAACCTAAATGGTTATGGCTAGCTCTGAATTGAAATTGATTTTTGATCGGATTTGATTGTATCTGATTCGCCGTCGGTTTATGTGATCTGATCCTATTGGCTTCGTTTAGTTGAAATTCTGGGTTTATACAATCATTTGTCTGTTATTGCATTGTGGAGATCTGACTCACATGGTTGGTTGATTTTGATTTCAATCCGGAGATGAATCTAAACTAAACGTAGAATTTCAACTCTAAAGCTTCTCCTACTCTCATATATCTGATCCCTGTGGAAATTCTGAATCCTATAATGTACAAGTCTTCTGTGCTTTGATTAAGAAACCCATCTAGATTATAGAGTAGGTGATTTAAGCTTAGTATCAAATAGGAAGCATATCTTTTGATCAAAATGACCAATTCCGTTTGGAAACTCCACTTATTAGGTCTCTTTTATCGATATTTGTTGTTCCTGGATCAACCCTCGATTCTGCTTTTCCTTATTGGTTCTGGAGTTGTGTATGTTTGTAGTTAAGTAATGTTGCACATTTATGCAGCATTTGTTTTGGTTTTCGTGGCGTTGAGGCATCATAATGTCTAGCGTAGAGGATTTGAAAGAGAAACCAGTAGAAGGAAACCTCACCAATGAGGCAGAGAACTCTATGCCGTCATCACAACAGGAGGTTTTGCATCTTATTCTCAAACACTAGACAATGATCAAATACCATATAATTAATATTATGATACCATGATCTAAGTCTTTCTCTAATTGCATTGTGTAGGAGGCTGCTGTAAAGAGCAAGTATGGAGGGCTCATGCCAAAGAAACCACCTCTCATTTCCAAGGTAGGTTTATATTTATCTGTTCTAATGAGACTTTTGAGGTTTTCATTCAGTATTCCTGAGGTGTGGTTTTATATCAGGATCATGAGCGAGCGTACTTTGACTCAGCTGATTGGGCTCTTGGAAAGGTAAATGTTGTTTCTTTTGGGGTTTTGCAAATATAAGCTCTTGCCAATGGTTCCACTCTCATGGTGTTCATTGTCTTAAACAGCAAGGTGTTGCGAAGCCAAAGGGACCCCTGGAAGCTCTTCGTCCCAAGTTACAGGTAAATGAAGTTTGAACCTCGTTTCAGCTTGTCTTTTTCTAGCTGTTTGATTCCTATCTTAAGATCTTGTCCCGCTTTTGCAGCCAACGCAGCAACAGACGCGTTACAGGAAGTCTCCATGTGCTCCATCTGAAGGCGGTGAAGGTAATTTTCTTCATCATATCATCATCCCATCATCTCAAAGCAGTTTAAGGACTTCACTGATCCATCTCTTTGTTCTGGTATTGTTACAGATGGAGGAGCTGCTCAGGCCGATGGAGTTCCCGGCAACCAGGAGTAGAAAGAGAGACAGACAGAGAGTGAGAGAGATGGGGAGAGAGATATGGAAATCTTTGTGTTAGAACTCTGTTATAATCGGATAATTTCTGTGCATTTGAAACAACAGATATGGGTTTCATTAAATCTTTAACTTGATCTCATAGCGGCTCCAAGTTCCAGAAATTATCCAGTCTAGCCTTTCGTTGAGAAAAGAAACCTTTACCAAGAGGTTTATATCTGACAGATATATAGTGATATGTAGCTAGCTAAACTTTCATCGGACTGGGTTAATACTCACTTTGTTTATAAGCGCTATTGTGTATCTTCTTTGAAAAATGAATCTAAAAAGGGTTAATTTGCAAAGTAGGCAGTTTTTAAGAAGTGTCCACTTTCCCAATTTTTGACAATTACAAACTTAAAAAGTGCCCACTTTCCCAATTTTTCCTTTTAAAAATGTCATGACAATTGAGTGAGAGCGCCAACTAGTAGACTTCTCTCAAATAGTAATAGTCAGAAAACTATCTTAATAATCATACTATGTTCTTTTTCAGTAAATGAGATAGGTCAGCGAGCTATTTGGTGCTCTGGTATCTTATGCGGATCAAGTAAAAAGGTCGGCTATTACCGGATTATGTATATTAAATCAAGTAAAAGGAAAAAAAATGGTCAGCTATTTCATCACTTTTGTTGATAGATTGGCTGAAGGAAAGCCTTAAACTTTTTGCTTTTTCCCGCACAAAAACAAAGTCAAACTTAACATGTACGTTAACCAATACATGCAATTATGCATAGACAATTGTTCACAGATATTAGAAGAAAAAAAAAAAGATAGATTAAAGAAATTTGTAGTTCCAAAATTTACGTACATACATCCATGCACAAATTGTGTGTTCATTGGAACTTCAAACACATGACATCAGAAAAGCGAAAAATGGAAACCGGAAGATAAGGAAGATTTGGTTGGATATGAAAGTCGGAGAAGTTTAACCGGAAGATACTTCCAAAACTATCCCACTAATTGCTGGATTCAGCAGTCAGTTTCCGACTCATCTCATATGACTTTGCTAAAAGTCAGCTTCCATACGTTATCACTTTCAATTTCTACTCTTAATTATCAAGCCTTTAAGTCTTCTCTCGTCGGTAAAACTTTACGGTCACCCCCAAGCCCAGATTATCCGGAAAGATAGATAAGTCAAATTGTTTTTTTGTTTAAGCATATTTCTGTTTGCATTCAACATTTAGATGATAATTATAATTTAAGACGAAAATACAAACGTCAAACAATCATAGTTTGAAAGTATCATGGCCATGATCTCGATCATATAATTTCTTTGGTTGGACAAATAATATAGTATACATCGAGTATGGCCGACCACATAAAGATCAAAATTCAGAGGAGAATAGACAACAAAAAAAGCTCATGAGTTGATATATGATATTATTTTATAAGGTGGGCGGTCAATAGTTCTAAATGGGTTTGATACCAAAAAATATATTTTCGACCTATCCTAATTAGCTTATCAAAACTTTCGTGTAATCCTATTTTATTAGTAAACTCGAGTAATACTTGAAGAAGTGTGATTATTCTTTGGAGACATAATGTGATAATTAGTTTTTTTTCAACAAGAAAGTTCGCATAATCATTTCCCTCCAGCAGAAATCCGAACTTGGAAGCAAAGATTCAAAATTAATGGGGTTTTGTCTCCAAAATAGGTTTTTATGGATTGCATGGACAAACAACACAAAGACAGTTCTATATAAGGGTTAACAATCAGTAAGAAATCCACCTTATACTGCCTCCCTACAAATTACTTGTCAATTTTCTTCTTAATGAAGATGATTTGCGTTGTTCATTAATCATTTCTTTGAGTGTTGCAAAAATCAAAATATTAATAGCTTAATAGCTAGCTAGAAGATCAGGTCATAAATTATTTCACTATAAGATTATACGATATGAAAATTAAGTTATTTCAGTGTAGAACGAATAAGGTCATAATTAAAATATTTCACTTATAAATGGAATCTTAAAAACCGTTAGATATTTCGTATTGAACTCCACTTGGCATGCTAGTCGTCCACTTTGCTAAGAAATACGGTGTTCGTTCTAATCCTCTAATTGATAATTTTCACCTACTAAAAATGGAAGTATTCTAAAATTCTACACTAAAAAACAATTGTCCCCATTTCTAGAATACATATTTATATCATGACAAATCAATTAGGCTGAAACCAAAATTCAAAACTCCTACGTAAACAATATTTCTACCACTACATATTCAATCAATCAAGTTTTAGAATAAAACGAACAAATCCAAAAGATAAATACTTTTGAAGTCAACGAGCAGACCAGCTCACACCGCACAGACCAAACAGCACGCGCTTTCGGAGTTTTGAATCTCCTACAAACGATGTCGTTTTTTATCTAATCCCCACAAAACACTATAACAGCCGGTTTCATTGACTCACACGTCATTCTTTGACTTGTCAATCCCCCTATAAATAGTACTCTAAAACGAACTAACTCTACTCACTCAAACTAAAACAGACACTTGATCTTCTCTAAAACCCTAAAATATAAATACAAGATGGGTTTGTTTAGATCATCATGCTTATTCATCACCTTCCTCAGTTGCCTAGTCATCTCGGTCCATGGACAAGCCACAGCTAGGCCGCCCGGTTTTGGTGTTGGCCCGAGGCTCGGGTTTTACTCGACCACGTGTCCTAACGTCGAAACCATTGTCCGAAACGCCGTGACAGCTGGCTTCAACGCTAACCCGAGAATCGCACCCGGGATACTAAGAATGCTTTTCCACGACTGCTTCGTCCTAGGTTGTGACGCCTCGATCCTTATATCCGGAACTAACACTGAGAGAACCGCCGGTCCAAACCTCAACCTCCGTGGATTTGAAGTCATCGACAACGCCAAAACTCAGCTCGAAGCTGCGTGCCCTGGAGTCGTCTCTTGTGCTGATATTTTAGCTTTAGCCGCTCGTGACTCCGTCGTCCTCGTAAGTCCGAATATTGATTTAGTTATGCGTATTAATGTATTATCCATTTATAATTTTATATTATTTGTAAGTAACCTTTTTACGTGCATGGCATGCAGACGAGAGGAATAAGCTGGCAGGTACCAACTGGACGTAGAGATGGTCGAGTTTCTTTGGCTTCGAACGCTAACAATCTCCCTGGTCCCGGTGACTCAGTTGCCATTCAACAGCAGAAATTCACCGCTGTGGGACTCAGTACCCGCGAACTCGTCGTGCTCGCCGGTCAGTAGTTTACTCATATACTTTACACAACCAAAGACAGACTTATATATATATAATTACCAGTAAAAAATAATTCGAAAAATTTAACGTTAAGAAACTCCTCATGCGTTTGGTTGACGTTTGAAAACCTTTTATAAAAACGTATTTTTTTTTACTTAAACCGATCAAAATGACAACGTTAAATTCTCCACTTTTTTCCCAACTAATTAAAAACACATTTTTGGAATTTCAGGATATTTGGATATTTAATATAACAATATAAACTAACTCAATTATATAATTTAACAGGGGCACACACAATCGGAACAGCAGGATGCGGTACATTCAGCAACAGGCTATTCAATAGCACGGGAGGCGCGGATCCAACCATCGACCCGACATTTTTGCCGCAGCTTCGGACACAGTGTCCCCAAAACGGCGATGCTTCGGTGCGCGTTGATCTTGACAACGGAAGCGGAACTACTTTCGACAATTCCTACTTCATCAACCTAAGCCGTGGCCGTGGAGTTCTACAATCCGATCAGATCCTTTGGACCGATCCAGCCACTAGACCCATCGTGCAACAGTTGATGAGTCCTAGAAGCACCTTCAACGCCGAGTTTGCGAGGGCTATGAACAGGATGAGTACTATCGGCTTGCTTACGGGGACTAGTGGGGAAATTCGTAGGGTTTGCTCTGCGATTAATTAATTAATCGATTAAAATATGTGGTTAGCATGAGGGTAAACTTTCATGGCTAGCTAAGTACTTATTTTCCAGTGTGATGTTAGTTGCAATAATAGTTAAACCAATAGAATACAACATACGAAAAACCTAAAAGTGGGTTGAAAAAATGTGTATCTATAAGGTGTTTGTATTCGATCTCTTTTGGTTTTACTTGGTTAATTAATCAATAAAATGCTATGCCTTCACACATACTATGAGTTTGGTCCTATTTTGGTTTAGTATTTTATATTTTCGTGATACTGTAATTTTGAAATCCCAATTATTTGTTTTTGAAATCCCAATAATTTTGAAATCCCAATTATTTGTTGCATCTTCGAAATTTGATATAGTCTTAGTATGTTATCTATCTCAAGCATAGTATCTACACATCGATTGCATTTGATGACTTTGCTCCCAGTATACAAACTACATTAATTTCACATCGATTGCCGGTTAGCCTTTGATACAATTAGTTGCACGACCGTTATACAAAAAGAGAGATATATACTCGAATCATATATTTAGTGACACAAGAAATTTAATTTTACGAAAACATAACAAGTCAAAATACTGTCATTTTCAGCTTATCACTGTCATTTTTTCAGCTTATCTTCAGCTTCTCACTGTCATTTTTTTCACATGCAAATATTTCAATAAACTTTGGCAGTCCTATAATGGCTATTATAGTTTATATGGTGTAAGCGTATTATAAGTTTGATTTTGTTAGATATTAAGTGGAATGTATTAGCTGTATATTGATTAAGAACGAGTAAATCATTCGTTTCACACTTCAAGAAACTAACTTATTAGATTTTGAACTGATGCCTCCCAAGTCACAACATATTAATAATCGAGTTGGATAAGAAACGGGATTAGTAATAGCTATAATTACATTTTCAAGCCAAAAATGGCCAGACTGTAAATCATTAACTGACTAAAGCAAAAAATAACATGGTTTTTTCCTTGATCAACAATCTGATTGAACTGACTAAAGAAAGAATATGGTCGGATTTTGCAAATACTGTGATACTGGATCAAATTAAGCTAAAAATAATAGATTATATAACAGTTGGCATTTATAAATATGTAAAAAAAAATTGACATAAATAATAGTGAAAATTACCTAATATAACCTCTTTTTTATAAGAAATAGCTATAATAACCTATTTATATTTTTATTACTCATATAACCTATTAATCATTTAAGCAGTGATGTATAATTCCAGTTTTATCCTTTTAACTATAATTATTTCTTTAATTTCGTTTTTGTAAATTACACATAACTATTCATTTAATTTGAACAATAACAAATTAGTTTTAGTTAATAAATAAATAAAAGAAAAATAAAATAAGAAATAAATAACTTTTAATTTCAAATCAATTGATTATTTTTATTTTATCAAATTTCATGGCAATGTATATTTGGTCTAACAGCAATTTTTTTTGTCGAACTCAATTTTTTCATTTATGGTATTTATCATTGAAATTGATTCTCTATCCATTCTACTTCTTTTCATTTTTGTTTCTTTTGCACATTTATAAAATGTTTGACTATATGAGATTTCAGTTTGTAACTTTTTCTGAATTTTGCGAGAAAATATTTCATCAACTAAAATCCAATATTAACAAAACAACACAGAAAAATATCATATTAGAAGATTAAAATTCAATTATAGTGATAATTTTAGAAGACTATGGTGTAGTTTGCCAAAACTCATAGTCTTAAAAAATATGTAAAATCTATCAAAAATATATTGAATATGCTAATAAAATAGCAAACTAACAGTGTAAAATTCAAGTCTATCAAAAATATGTAGTATTCATAAAAAAATTAGAAGATTAGCATATTGAAATTTGAATATGCTAGTAAATTTGAAAGACTTTGATGTAATCTGCCAAATCTCAACAATGTCTACAAAAAATTATGCAGAGTCTACCAAATACATGTTGAGTCTGCTAATTAAATAGCAGATTAGCAGAGTAAAAGTCAAATTTACCAAAAATATGCAGAATCCACCAAAAAGTAGAAGATTCGCAGATTAAAATCCAAGTCTGCTAATATATTTGGAAGACTTTAATGTAATTTGTCAAAACTCGACAAAGTCTACAAAGAATATGTAGAGTCTGCCAATAAAATAGCAGACTAGCAAAGTAAAATTTAAGTCTACCAAAAATACGCATAATCCACCAAAAAAATGGAAGACTAGCAGTTTAAAATTCAAGTCTGCGAGTAAATTTGGAAGACTTTGACGTAGTCTGCCAAAACCTCAACAAAGTCTACAAAGAATACGTAGAGTCTGCCAATAAAATAGTAGACTAGCAAAGTAAAATTTAAATCTACCAAAAATATGCAGAATCCACCAAAAAAATGGAAGACTAGCAGTTTAAAATTCAAGTCTGCCAGTAAATTTGGAAGACTTTGACGTAGTCTGCCAAAACCTCAACAAAGTCTACAAAGAATACGTAGAGTCTGCCAATAAAATAGTAGACTAGCAAAGTAAAATTTAAATCTACCAAAAATACGCAGAATCCACCAAAAAAATGGAAGACTAGCAATTTAAAATCCGAGTCTGCTAGTAAATTTTGGAAGACTTTGGTATACTCTACCAAACCTTGACAGAGTCTACAAAAAAGACGCAGAATCTACCAAAAATATGTAGTGTCTGCTAACAAAATAACAGATTAGCAGACTGAAATTTAAATCTACTAAAAATATGCAGAATCCACAAAAAAATGGAAGATCAGCAGAATAAAATCCGAGTCTGCTAGTAAATTTGGAAGATTTTGGTATAGTTTGTCAAAGCTTGACAGAGTCTACGAAAAAATATATAGAGTCTACCAAAAATACGTTGAGTCTGCCAAAAAAATAGCAGACTAGCAAAAGAAAATCCGAGTCTGCGAGTAAGTTTGGAAGACTTTAAAAGGATAATTGTGTAAAAATTTTTTTATAAAATCTTCAAAATTCTTGATAGGCTATTTTGGCTATTTACAATATTTTGTGGGTTATTATAGCAAATCACCCTAAATAATAATTAAAGTATAATAGTTGACATATTTAATTAGCGACTGTCATTGTATACGCCTGAAATTGTATATAACTGTAAATTATTTACATTAGTATAGATTTTAGTCCAAAACTTTTCTGGTAAAAGAACGGTGCCTCACGACGCGTCTTGAGACTCTTGACAATATTTTGATCCGAAGCTAAAACCCAAAATATTTTGAGTAGAAGACAACGCGTCTTGACAATATTTTGATCCGAAGCTAAAACTCCAAAACATTTTGAGTAGAAGACACCATCCGTGTAAAAGGTCTATTATTTCAAAGATTCCACTTATTTCTATAGTTTTCTATTTCAGTCCAATAATTGAGAATGATATAGAAACGCTACAATCCAATCGAGCCATTGACCATCAAAGTTGCATGAATATATCCCCACACCACCACTAAAAACATTGATTTTCTTTAACAAAAAAATAAAAACATTGATTTCTAATATTCAATTAGTAGTATTTTAGACCTATAATTTATCATAAAACGTTGGAAATTCCTTTCTAATTTTGACTCTGTGTTTTTTTTTCCAATTTCTTTGTTAAATTTTTACTCGTGCCTTCATTTAGTAACATGTTCAAATTTTTTATAGAAAGGTTAAGTTACACTAAGTACGCTAACACATTTTAAATACGTTATTAATTTATAATATAGTGTTTTACAATGATTATTTAAAAAGAGAAAGAGAAGAAGATATGTAATTATGTATGTGTTTCAGCAATACAAGTATGTTAAAAAAAAAGTAATATGTAAATTAATAATTGATGTGAGGACAGTGATACTCGTGCCTTCATGCAAAGAAAAATGCTTGAAAATAACAAGACATTAATAAGTTTGTTTTCAAGTAATTACCAGAGAAAATGACTGAAAATCTGTCTTATTCGATAGTTTCAAAATTCGTAATCTAATGGATTCCAATTTTATGAAGTCGGTATGTAACTTAAAATCTCGTTACAAAGTTTATATAAATTCCAGCTAATAATTTGATGTAAACGGTGTTCTGAATTAATTGGTGAACGGGACAGTATCTCTACACGTTAATTTGTTAATTTCAAGCTTTTTTGTCCCGTGACGACATTCAATATTTTGGTACTTGATCGACTAGTTGCATCATAGAAATACACAAACAATCCATCTTTCTTAAGTTTCTTTATTATCTTCTTTGTCAACGCATACATATCTTCTTTTCTTCTCTCTCTTAGAGTTTACCAAAAATCAAGTATATCTTCTTTTTCTTTTGTTTGTTCCGTCAACACTACATGCACACATACAACATTTTACAATGAATCAGTGATATCAGTTTCGTGTTTTACACTCACCCACAACTTATTTTGGAGAAGAGAAAGTTAAACCATTTCATTTCTTATTGTAAGAATTACAAATATAAACCCAACCAAAAGTAGGGATAACGATAACAAATTTTAAAAACGTGTTATTTTAATGACAAGACGTAAAAATACGTTACTATTATTCTAGAGACAAACATGCATTTGCGTTCAAAACAAAATAATTGTGTTAGTGACTATGAAGCACATTATTGTACCTTTCTCAAAAAGAAAATAATTTAAGCAATGTACATCACAGATCTTTAATGGACGACGATTATGGTACTATTGTATATCTTTTTTTCTTACGTCTTATATGATTCTATATATGTATTTATGTGCATCAACTACACAAAAGGTGATAATTATATATGATCCACATGTTTAGTTTTGTGGGATCAAAATATTATGATTTTTGTTTTTGTCGTATAATATCTTAAAGGTTGTTTAAGTGATTTTTAACCAATAAAAAAGGTTTTTTAAGTGAATAGATCTTTAACAACGTCTCTTATTCCTGTTTTTAAAAAAAAATAATAATTATCAACTCTTTTTTGAGGCTCAATACTAGTGTTTTCTCAAATTATACATCTATAAAGTCAATAGCCAAAAACAAAAACTAGGTAAAACAAAAAGATGGAAAATCACAATCTACATGTAGATAGTTAGGTACATACATGGACCATATTCATATGCTTAATTACGATATATTAAGAAAACAGATATATAATACAAAAGTTAATTACGACTATAATATATAATACTGGTAAAACGTACGTAGCTCCAGTTAGTTAATGTGTAGCCCGGCATTGCTTAGTGCTTACTCAATTAACACCCCGGTCGAATCTTTTACTCTTCTCTACTATAAATACACACGCAGAAAACTCAAATTGTAAATCCCAAAATATTTAAAAGCAGTAATACGAAAGATATTTACATACATGCACAGTCCTTCAGTTAAAAACTAAGAAAATCTCTAAAATGGGAAGAGTTACTAATTCTAACCATCGGTGCGTTCTCTTACCGTTATTCATTGTCCTTTCAGCGACCGCAACTGCACAGGCAAACCTATTCCTCCAGAGGCCACGGATCGGGTACTACGGCAGTGCATGCTGGAATGTAGAGTCGATAGTGCGGTCCGTGGTCCGGTCTAGCTATTTTGCAAATCCAGCCAATGCTCCGGGCATTTTGCGTATGCATTTTCACGATTGTTTCGTCCGTGGCTGCGACGGGTCCGTTCTCCTGGACGGACCTAACTCTGAGAGAACCGCTATCCCTAACCTATCGTTGAGAGGGTTTAATGTCATCGAAGAAGCCAAGACTCAGCTTGAGATCGCTTGTCCTCGAACAGTCTCTTGTGCTGATATTCTCGCACTAGCTGCACGTGACTTCGTCGTTTTGGTATAAGTAACTTACTTAATTTTATATATATTTATATTGATTATTAGTTTATTTAAATGGAGGTTTCGTATGTATGTGTAGACCGGTGGACCATGGTGGCCAGTTCCTTTGGGACGACTCGATGGCCGGGTTTCGCTAGCCTCGGATGTTGATTTGCCAGGACCTACGGACTCTGTTGCGGTGCAGAAGCAGAGTTTCGCTGCGAAAAATCTCAACACCCAAGATCTCGTTGTTCTTGCTGGTACGTAAATCATTTTTGACCTAGGTCTCGATTGTTTTACGTTTTCGATAATTTTGTTTATATGCAGTTTTTTTTTTTGGTTATTTTTTACAAGTATTTTTTTCTAAATACAAACATAAACATGAAACGCAACATAAATAAAAAGTTTATAGTTGTGGATTCATTTTTTTTCAAAGTTTCTTGCATCGTACGTTAGGTCGCATTCAAGTGAAGATACTTTATTTTTTATTATAAAAATTTCGTATTTCGAAATCATCCCAAGATATACATATTCTAATTCACATAGAGGGTTTTGGTCTATAACAGCCGGACACACGATAGGAACGGCTGGGTGTGGTGTGTTTAGGAACAGGTTCTTCGACAACAACAACACAGGAAGCCCCGACCCAACCATAAACCCAAGTTTCGTCCCTCAGATCCAGGCTCAGTGTCCTCTTAACGGCAACGCCGCGGCTCGTGTCGCGCTGGACACGGGAAGTGAAGGCCAATTCGACACTTCGTACCTGAACAACTTGAGGTTTGGTCGAGGTGTCCTCGAGTCTGATCAGGTCCTATGGACTAATCCCGAGACTAGAGCCATCGTTGAACGGTTGTTAGGACTGCAATTTCCGTTTTTGCTGTTCAGACCCGAGTTTGCTAGGTCGATGTCTAAGATGAGTCTGATTGAGGTCAAGACGGGTTTGGATGGTGAGATTCGTAGGGTTTGTTCTGCGGTTAACTGATAAAGTATAAATTAACCATTATCATGAAGAGACAAAAGTAATGAATAAAAAATATGGATTATTAAGTTCAATAGACTCTCCATCTTTCTAAGGATAACTTAAACAAGTAAATCGGGTTAACGTGTTATGTACATGGTGTTTCGGTTTTATGGCTGTACGATTATAAGTGTTTGAGTTTGAATCATGCATAAGAAAACTATGTAATTGTGACTCTAAGAAATGGAAACCAAGCTATATATTTATGTGTTGTTATTCTCTTTGCTTGTAAGAGTTGAAACATAATTTTTTTCTCTTGTTACATGAAAATAAAGTTGAATATAAATTACAAAAATAAATATAAATCTGTGAAGTCAATAGAGGTTTTGAATGAATCAGTTTGAATTCACTGTGCGGAAATGAATCTAATCATTGGTGGAAAATGATTTAAGGAATAATAATTTCATAGTGGTTGACTTTGACAATAAAGAAATAAAAAAACGCGAGTCAATGATATCTTGGCACTGAAATGGTCTCTCGGTGGTTTCATTCAACAAGACATCCTCGGTCAATTATATGCTTTTCTCTAACTAATTATGGATATGCTTTACTTCTTCTACCGGCTAGAAAGATACCTCTTTTCCAATTAATATTGCTATCTATTTTCAATATGTTTTTTTTTTTTAACTTCTTCTTAAACTTCAGTTTTAATTGTTACGTATATAATGTTGTAAAAGAAAAATGCACATATGTATATATTATAAATAGAAAATTAAAAATTTGGGAGTCCGAAGGTTCCGCATATAATCCAAATGCGGTTAGTTTGATTGATTAAAATATTCCGACATTATAATATTCAAACTCAAGTTAATTATAATCTTTGATCCGATGAAAATATAAAAGCAAAAGACCCACAACTACAAGTCTTTAAGCTGAAAAATAAAAAGTAATTACATATGCATGCAAGTTGTTATTTAACGGCCTCACACGTTTTTTCGTCATCAGAAAGTTTACACTTACGTATGCCAGCTGTGAGTATATAGTATAATGATATATGTTGTTACTCGTTAATTACTTTGGATCAGGGAAGTGACTAACTAAAAGTCATCATCATCCCTATTCTCTTTTTTCATTATACCTCCCCATGCACATCTAAACTCTTGTCCGAATGTTCAAAGATTCCATGGCGGTGAATACTTTCAAATTCTTAATTCTTCAGAGGATTAATATTACTAATCCATAACAATAGAGAGAGACAATTAATCATTTAAAAAGTCAACTATGCCAATACAATTTCATTATCCGTAAATTATAGTAATGTTCTGACAAAAAAGATTTGAAAGAATATTATCGCCACGCAATTGATCGAGCTGATCAACGTAGCAATATTTGACCCAAATAAAACATCACTGTTGTGGTTGCCAACTGGTATTAGAGATTTGCTCATTAAGCCAATAAGTTGAAAAACAGATTGCGTTATTATTTTTCCCTATTCTTAACAGCTTTGCGTTGTAAATAAAAGATAAAAATCACATTTTAGTTAGCTTGAAAAGAGTTGAAAGAAAACAACCATCATAATCCTTTTAATGGATCTTTTGTATCTTCAACACGTTTTAACTCTACATCTCAAGTCAACTACCTTCTGCGAGTCTAGCTAAATGTAACGATTTGAAATTTGTAGCTTATACCATGCTATATGGATTAAATGTTAATATCCCTTTTCAATGAGAAACTACTGGTCCATAATATTATTCTAGGTGCGAATTGATCAAACTTTGATTCTCTGACCAATCATCTACAGCTTAAAACGAAGATAGCTTCGGTCACAAGGAAAAAGAAACAATAACAATACGTATGATACATATGCTTAATGGACCGACTCGTCTACACAAATGCAAAACGAATTATTATTTTAATGATTAACTTTACCAACTTACAATAATAATAACATTCCCATGAATTTCGGCGTCGTGTGCCGAACTTCCTCGTCTATGACTTTCTTCTGCCTATATATACAAACCCTTTAACACCAAACTCAAAACACACAACAAATCATAAACAACTTTCACAAACTCAAACATTTCTTATATACTAATCAAAAACACAAAATGGGTCGAGGTTTTACTTTACTACTCGTTCTTATCACATTTTCAGTGATGTTTGCAGCGGTAGCCGCCCAAGGAAACCGTGTCTCAAGCCGCGGTGGTGGTCGAAGACCAAGGGTTGGGTTTTATGGAAACAGATGCCGAAACGTAGAGTCTATTGTGAGATCAGTGGTTCGATCTCATGTACAGTCTAACCCGGCTAATGCACCGGGGATTTTGCGTATGCATTTTCACGATTGCTTTGTTCATGGCTGCGATGGCTCGGTTCTCCTCGCTGGTAACACCTCGGAGAGAACCGCTGGTCCGAACCGTTCGTTGAGAGGGTTTGAAGTTATTGAAGAGGCTAAGGCTCGACTTGAGGTTGAATGTCCTCGAACCGTTTCTTGTGCTGATATTCTCACCCTTGCAGCTCGAGACGCCGTCGTTTTGGTAATATATCTTAAATTATTTTAGTACATATTCAAATTATTGCAAGCATTCTCATTTAACGGTAAACTAAGATTTGTTGATGCAGACCGGTGGACAAAGTTGGCAAGTCCCATTGGGACGTCTCGACGGCCGAATCTCGCAAGCCTCAGACGTGAACTTGCCCGGACCAAGCGACCCAGTCGACAAGCAGAAGCGAGACTTTGCTGATAAATCTCTAAACACATTAGACCTCGTAACTCTTGTTGGTACGTTGTAATTATTGCATATGTATATACTAATCATTATTAGAAAAATCATTAGCCTAAGTAGTAGAAGAGTTATTCGATCTTGGATTATAATTTTCAGCTTCTTGGACTATCTTCTCAGTAATTGTTTTTTGGTTTTGACCAGGCGGACACACAATTGGAACTGCTGGTTGTGGTCTGGTAAGGGGAAGGTTCTTTAACTTCAACGGCACAGGACAACCAGACCCATCGATCGACCCGAGTTTCGTTCCGGTGATTCAGGCTCGGTGTCCTCAAAACGGAGGCACCCGAGTCGAGTTAGACGCGGGAAGTGTGGACAGGTTCGACACATCATTTCTAAGGAATGTGAGGTCAAGCCGCGTGGTTCTACAATCTGATCTAGTTCTATGGCAGGACCGCGAGACCCGAGTCTTCATAGAACGGTTATTAGGGTTACGCCGACCGTTCTTGAGGTTCGGATCAGAGTTTGGGAAGTCCATGACCAAGATGAGTCTCATTGATGTCAAGACTGGATCAGATGGGGAGATTCGTAGGGTTTGCTCTGCGATCCTTTAATAATATGAAAACACAAAAAGTGTGGTTTGATATTGATTTAAGGTTTTATATTATGTAATAATAATAAGCTTGTTATTATAGCATTTTGTGGTTGATGGAGACGTTTAGCTTTTTTCAAGTGTAAAATTGTACTTGTAACAAAAAAAAATGTATTATATATAATTGTCATTTGTTTATTCTCTCGTGTACGGAGGGAGGGTATTTACATGAACGAAGTATTCAAGGAAGAAAGTGTTTTGATCACGTTAAACTAATAGAAGCTCTCATCAGTAATCTCTCCATCAGTAATGATAATCAAATGGTGATTAATTTTTAGCTTAATTAGCCCAGACAAATGAAACATTTGGGCTTTGAATTAGTTGTTGGGCTTTTTATAGACTTGGGCTCCTAAATTATAAATGTGTAGTAGCTTCTTCTCATGGTCGAGAGGGAAGCGAAGGGACAGACAAGCCCGCCCTGAAGAGTGAAGAATATGAACAGACATGACAAACGTTGATATCAGTGACGACGCGAATTGGAAACTGATGGTATTGCAACTCCCGAGAGAGAGCGAGAGCGCCGATTAAAGGAGGGGAGAGAGAGAGAGAGAGAGTTGGTCCTCTTCTACATTGTAGAGAGATAACCATTTTTCCGGCTAAGGACATTCCATTTCGTCCTCTTCTTCTTGCTTTTCAAATTTTTTGTAATCCAGATTTGGTTGTACTGGGGAACCATGGCTGGTAGAGGGAAATCGAAACGGTGTCGTTCCAAAAAGTCGCGTCAGAGGCTGAAGGAATTAGATAGGATAAGCGAATTACCCGATCCTCTGATTTGTCAGATTCTTTCCCATCTTGCCTGGGCAAAGGAAGTTGTAAAGACAAGTGTTTTGTCCTCCAGATGGAGGAGTCTCTGGCTTGAAGTTCCTAATTTCAAACTGAGCTCCGTAGTTTTCCCAGATTTCCGTGTCTTGAAGAGTATTGGTGACACATTTTTCGATTCCAATAGGATTTCATGCATACAGAAGCTCAAGTTACATATTTTCGAAGATGATGATGAAGAATACAGAGTGGGTGCTGAATCTTATCCCACGTCTTGGATTGATGCTGCAGCCAAGCGTAAGCTCCAACGTCTATATGTGTTTATGCTTCCGGATTATCAGAGTGAGATCCCGATAAGCCTTTATACCTGTAAGACACTGGTATCTCTGAAACTCTACGGCATGGTCTTGCCTGGTGCTGGTTTTGTCTCTTTACCTTGTCTAAAGCTTATGAAATTGAGAAATGTGCGGTGTCCCGATGAGGCCACTTTCGAGAGACTCGTCTCCTGCTCTCCTGTCTTGCAAGTGTTGAAGATTGCCGGACATGAGGATTTTCATAGAGCCTTCCCGGTGCACTCTTTGTCACTCAAGAAGCTCCAAGCAAAACTAGAAAGGGGTCACGTTGTGATCGACGCTCCTCTACTAGGGGTTTTGAAGATCGAAGATACCTCCGTTGAGAATTATGTGATAAGGAACTTGGCTTCCAGTTTCAAGTTAGATCTTACTCTCTTGTGTGGGAAATTGGTTTATGAATCAGCAAAGAGAAATAGCTTCCGCGTGTTCCTTTCCGGGATTTCAAACGTTGGGGAAATGGTCATGTCTGAAAAAACTTTCAAGGTAATTGGTTTACACTTTACTGTTACATAGTACATGTTTTCTATATCCCCGGCAACACATTTTCTGTCTGGTTTCAGGTCTTTCATCTCTATTCCATATTTGAACCAATGCCTCAATTTCTTTACTTGTCTCGCCTGGATGCTACAATCTGTCCTACCGATTTGAAATGGTTACCAGCTTTTCTCGGGTGCTGCCCAAATCTTAAATCCCTCGTAATGGTGATGATCATACTATTTTTTTCTGATTTCTATGAAGATTCCGTGTATCTTCTTCTCATTGAGATTTTAATCCTCTCTGTTTTTTTTCTCAGGGCTTGTTTTATACTGATGAACTGAGGTTCCTTTTTGAGCAAGCAAATCAATTCAGTTTTTCATCTGTGCCAGAGTGTTCACTATCGTCGCTCGAGTCTGTTGATATCGACGGCATCTGCGGAAATGCTGCAGACGTGAAGCTAGTGAGGTACATACTAGAGAATTCCATAATTCTCAAGAAACTGACTCTAGATTTGAGATACTGTCATAATGAAAATGCCATCTTGAAGAAACTCCTGGGAATCCCAAGACGCTCTATCACATGCCAAGTCCTCCTACGAGAGAGCGAATGTTAAGCTTTAGCTTTTGACACAAGTAATGAAGGTGTAGGCTTTTGTTTATGTTTTTTTTTTGCAAAACTGCATGTCAATCGTAGTCCATCTGGAGACACTGTTAAGGTTGCTTACAAACAAGTTAGGCAATGAAGTGCGTCAAGTATGTTATTTTGTTATGTTCCTTTGTGCTACTATTATCTTCTTTTTTTGTTTTGTTGCAAATTGAGAAGTAGGGAAATCTTATTAAGGGATCAAAGGAAAAGATTCATAAGAACATTTCTGCAACTTTGTTCTCTTCAAGGCGGATGTGTCTCAGCCTCACCCTCAAAGCATTTCTATCTTTCGTCTCCAAAACTCAATATTATGCAACAAAGTCTTTAAACGAAGGGACCTCTTTAAACAACCTTAAATGGTGATTTGTGTGGTTATAAAAAAGTTAGACCGCAAAAGCTATGTAATTATTGGGCTCTTGGGCATTATCAAAAGAAAGATATGTTGATGTATAGCCCAAACCCGAGGCGAAAATTGGGGTTTTGAAGAAACACCAAACACGACTTTTGTTTTTCTAACTATTAGAGTGACACAAGTCGCCAGTCACTGATTCCTTTCCGCCGGCGAAATTACGAACTACCGTGCCAGCCAGACAAACATAGAAACCAACCCGAAAACGAACGGTGAATTCAGATATTGATCGGTGAGAAGCTAAGGACATCATGGCGACTAACACAAGAATAAAATATACAAATACATGAAAGAATCGAAGACAATTTGCCAAGAGAGTTGAATCAAGATCATACAAGTACAACACTAAGATCATCCACCAAACGCAACTTCCTGCGTTTTCTCAATCTACTCACAAACCCAAACCAAAGTCTTAAACCAACTCAAGCATCATAACAATGTAAAACCACAAAGATTCTACATCAATCTGCAATTCGTGTGTCCTCTCACCGGTCTCAAATTCAACAGCTCTATACATGAACTACACAAACCAAAACAAAAACACTCACTTTGATGACAGAAGAATTTCGGGCTTTTTCGACTTGCTGGGAGTGTTAACATTCGAGGAGCCATTAACAGTCCCTGCACTTGCATTCTTGGCAGAGGTTCGTGCACTTGTATCGAGGTTAACTAGACTCCGTGTAGCTAAAATCGCCTGTGGATTCAAATCATGAGAGGCTCTTGCGTACAATGATCTCACTGCATTGGAAGCTTCATCTTTAACATCTACAGTATTCAATGGACTGAGCAAGCAATGACCAAGAATCCGTAGTGTGGGCTGAAACAGCTCCCATGGAAGTGGAATCCTCACGCCTCCTCCTCCTCCGATGCCATTAGAGCTAAGCTGTTCTTCGTTCTCTCTGATTGCTAATCTATCGAAATCATCCTCGATCTCACTGTTTCCATTGAAAGAAGGGGAATCTGCGAAACCGTTGGTTAGGGCTAGGACTTTATCTTCATCTCCGTCAATCTTCTCCTTGCAATCGCAGTCCTGACCAGCCCAACTAGCAGATAATTTACAGAATTCGAGCTTAGACCAAGCCGGCATCTGTGAGATCTCCTTGAAATAGCATTGTAGCCCGACGCCGACGATGCTGGCTCGTTTCGTTGACTTGACCGCGATCTGAGGCTCGAGCTGCGGAGACAATACTCCGACGGAGGCGGTGGGATTGGAGTCACGCGATTTGTCAACGCCGTTTAGCGGCGTGTGGTAGAGAGATGGCTGGGCGAGATCCGGGATGTGTACGAGTATAGGTTTCCCGGCGCGTGCCTTGACCTCTGCAGCGTAGATTGCGAGAAGCACGGCCTCGAATCCGGAGAGAGAAGGGAGAGACGACGAATCGGAGGAATGAATTCGAGATAAGTACATTCCGACGAGTAATGGGAGGAACGAGAGGACGACGAGGCGAAGGGGTGGATCGGAGGAGAGGTAGGTTTCGTATAGCCACTGACAGAGCGGGTCAGATCCGGAACCGGAAGCCGGATTGCGAAGGGAAGACGAGATCAGGGAGTAAGCAGCGCGGGATGAAAGTAACGACAGTGCCGGCCGATCGGAATCTGCTAGAGAAGAGATCGGACTTCCTTCGACGTCTTCCGAATGAGAGTCGCCGGAGAGTAGAGAAGACAGAGAGAGGATGCGAGAGCGCTGCTTGGAGACTGATTCCCACCAAGAATGCATCGGATCTCGGTCGGAGGAGATTCCTGAGACAGCGGCAGCAGTAGCGGTAGGTGTACCGGCGGATTTCAACCGGTGAGGAGTAGAGGAAGACGTGGAAGACGACGGAGAAGGTGAGCCGCCGGCAGGTTTGACGGAGAAGTCCATGGGAATGGGTCTGAGTTGACACAAAGGGAAAGTTTCGCTGGATTATAGGAACACCGAAAATGAAGGAGATTGAAATTATTTCTTTCTGTTTGAGGACTGGTCGATACAATTTGTTTCTTATGGGTCAATTCGGTAATATGATGGAAATTATGGGGTTGGTTTTTATGTGTTTCTTCAACGAGCCATCAAATGTGCCAATTGTCTAATGAGCATATAGCTACAGGCCCAGATTGTTCGGGCTTCTCGCTCACAGCCCAATCACGATAACATGACAAAGTATCATCAATTTCGACTAATGACGTCTTTACTGTTTACAGTCGATTGATCATCCCAGAGGTCTGCAAAGACGTTAGATTCTTTGATGATGAATGATACCAATCATACCATGCATATTAATTTGTATCTTTTTCACATTTTTTATTATATTCTACGAAATTCTGTATGTATCAAAATTATAGTATTTTTAATTCTTTTTACAAAAAAGAAAAATTACCGTTGATATTCCTTAAGGTCGGTAGCTTTTTTATGGTCCTCATAGGTTTCGATTCTATGATCTTTCCACGTCGACCAAATCACCAACCAGAATCTTTTATTTTCGGAAATAAGATATGATGCTTTTAACATACAATGAAAAATCATCCGAGATACAAATATACAAATGCATGCGTGGAACTAAAGAGTAGATGTTGGAAAAAAACCAAAGAGTAGAAAGTAAGTTACATAACACATGCCATTTAATATCCTCTAACTTCCAAATCAAAAGAAGATGTAAATTACTTTTTTTTTCTCTTTTTGTTTAGGTGAATCGAGAAACCTTAATATAGCACTTTTCTATTTACATAATTTAATAAAAACAGTTTTCCAATAGATGAAGTTCTGAAAGGTCAAAAACTTATCTACAGTTCGCATCAGAGTAAATACCTTACTGAAATGCAATTTACTGTATCCAGTATCCACATGGACCACATGCATATAGTTCAATCGGTAAAACAAAAATTATTTTATTCTTGCACTACTAATTATTACGAGAATCACGCAGTTAATTTTGCTAAAAAAATCGGCTCAAATCCATAATTGATAATTCTTTACTTGTTTTTAAAGAGAGGTGTGAACAAGAAATTGAAGCTGCATTAATAATTTTCGTAGTATGAATGCAAATAAATTTCTTGAGACAGATCAAAAATAAAAGTGACATCGTACTAAAAACAACAAAGGGAGGAAAGACGAAAGGGCAAGTCTCTTCGTAAAGACCCCACGATCACGCATCCATATGAAATGCATGACACGTATACAAAACGTCATCGTTTTCTGCGCATTACCCAAAGCAACCGACCTACAAATTTTGCCCCTTCTTCTTCCATTTTCACTCTTTCCAGTTTCAACCACACTTCCTCCATTAAAACCCCTCTCTCTCACTCTCTCCATCTCTCACATCTCACCAAAAACACCCAAAGAGCAAGCAGAACAGAGAGAGAAGAATTCCACAATGGCCACAATCTCCTCCATCGCAACCCCTTTTCTTCTCGTCCTACTCCTCTCTGTCTCCTCCGTTTACGGCGCGTCTCACCACCACACAGCCGCGCCGGCGCCGTCTGTCGACTGTACGACTCTCATACTAAACATGGCCGAGTGTTTGTCCTTCGTTTCGAGCGGAGTAACGGAGATGAAACCGGCACGTGCTTGCTGCGACGGGCTTAAGACGGTGCTTAAAACCGACGCACAGTGTCTCTGTGAGGCTTTCAAGAGCAGCGCTTCTTTCGGTGTCACCTTGAACATCACTAAGGCTTCTACACTTCCCGCCGCATGCAAGCTTCACGCTCCTTCTATCTCCAACTGTGGATGTAAGATCTATCGATTTCTTATCCTCTTTTTTGGTTTTTCGTTTCTTAGATCTCTGTAGATCTCATTTTTTATGAGTAATTTTGAATCAGTTTCTCAGATCCATATTTTTCATCATTTTAGTTTATTTACGGAAACATTTGTGAATTTAAAAAAACTTTTGAGGTTGGATTTTGGATATAATTTCGTTAATTAACCGACCATCTTCTTTTCTTGCAGTGTCTCTTGCTCCTGCTACCGCTCCAGGTATTTTTTGTCCTCGACTTACTCTTAATTTTTCTCTCATGCAATTCTTTTGAATGCTAATTGAAAACTATTAAAAGTTTCGTTAATGATTATGAGACCATCTCTGTTCTGTTTTTCCGTTTATCTAGACTTGAAAACATCAAAATGGTTTGTTGTCACAGTTGTATGAATGAGTTTGATCCTCACTTTTTTTTATTTGAGACCATATTTGTCAGGTGTTGCTCCAGGAGGAGTTGCTGCTGGACCTGAAGCAGGCGGAATCTCAGCTCCAAACCCGTCTCCAGGAGGAAACGACGGATCTTCCTTGATCCCGATCTCTTCAACCACCGTATTCAGCGCTATATTGTTCCTACTGTTCTCGTCTCATGTGTAAAAGACCTGAAACCTTTTTCACCAGTTAGATTTGGCTGTATGAATTGGTTGTAGGGTTTAAAGACTTAGCATTGTGTGTTTAAAGTTTTCTGTCTGATCGATATCATGTCGGTTTCTCTATTAGTATTTTCTCTTTTAATTTATGTTTATTACTTTGTCGCACATTGGTCTTTTTATTTAAGTTTATCTCTGATTCCTCATTGTTTTGAGAAGCTTCTTGGCCCGGAATAAGAAATAATATTGTTGGTTATTTATTGAACCTGAAACAAAATACTATACGAAGTTAGCATGACAGTACCATTTACCATTTTTTCGAGGTCTACTCAAAAGTTTACAAAACCAAAACTGAAACTGTTAGTTAAATTTGATTCTCAAATTGGAACAGAGTTGTATAATTTAAATGTAAGAGAGAGATGCCATATATCGATATACGATACATATGCACCAAATGCAAAATAGTTCCCTATTTTTTTTTCTACTATGTGTGAAAAATTGAAAGCTCTAGAAAAATTGTAAATTCAAAACAGAGGAGCGTATCATTCAACATTTTATCTTTTTTTTTTTTTCCGTCTTTTTGGCTTTAAAATTGTTTGGATAGTTACATTTCAACCATCTTATTTTCTCACATTATTTCAATTTTTTTTCATGGGATTCGTTAATTTACCTTATCAGATTCAAAATTCAAAACCGCATGTGGATCATTAATTAACTGTCCGTTGTGGACAAATCACGTTTATAACCCACGAAGATTTTCAACTTTCTGATTGCGTGGACTTTCCAGCGCACGTTAGATCCTTTCCCTCGCCAAAATAAAAGAAATTAAATAAATAATCAGTACACTAAAGACCAAAATTAAATTAAATAAAATAAGAAAACCATAAAAGTTAAAATAATTTTTAAAGTATTGCGAACAATAATTACTTCCCCTCTCTCTCTCTCTCTCTCTCTCTCTCTTTGTCTGCCACCAACAGCCGAGGACGACGACCATATCCACGACAACCGCTTCCGGCAGAGACGACGGCGATCGATTCTCGCCGTACGTGTACTTGTGTCTGCTCTGCTTTTAAATTCATTTTTTCAAGCAGAAAATCTCCGAGAGGACGAAGAACAGATTATTGCTCGATTAGCTGATCTCTAGGTTCATTTCCGTGAGATTAGTTTGATCTCTGAGGAAATTTCCGATCGCCTCCGGTATCCGGAGATTAGATTGAGTAGAATACGGAGAATCTCTGTTTTCCGTGGGTTTTCGCGATTAGGTTTGCTGGCGTGGGAAAGTTTAGCATCTTAAAGCCAAAATTTCCTCGATTGGGCATTGGGATTTCGAGCTTGTAGCGGTTGTAGACAGTCGATTAGGTTTATGAGTGAAGGTTTACTGATAATCACCAGGGTTTAGTTATCGGAGAGAGACTCCGTTAGTTGGTGTGGATTTGTTGAAGAATCTCCTGGATCTGTCTTCTCGACGGATGATTTGCGTCTGTGAGCTAGGGCTTTTTATGCTTGGCTGATTCGGAATAAAATGCCGATGGGACGGTTTCTATCTCTGGTCAGAGGAGACTCGGCTGAGCCACCTCGTGAGATTTCCTCACACAGTAATCTCATCGGCGAGTCCGGTTCTAATGGTTGGCTTATTAGGTTTTTCGATTCTGCTTTCTTCTGCGAGTGGATTGCAGTCAGTTATCTGTACAAGCACCCACACGCTGGTGTTAGGGACTACTTATGCAATAGGATGTATACGCTTCCCTTGTCAGGTATTGAGAGCTATCTGTTCCAGATTTGCTACATGATGGTTCACAAACCAAGCCCATCTCTTGATAAGTTTGTGATTGATATCTGCGCAAAGTCACTGAAAATCTCACTGAAGGTGCATTGGTTTTTGTTGGCTGAGCTGGAAGATTCTGACGATAATGAAGGGATCAGCAGGATTCAAGAGAAGTGCCAAATTGCAGCTACTTTGATGGGTGAGTGGTCTCCTCTTATGCGTCCACAGAATGAGGTCTCAACCCCTGGGAGCAAGAATCAGGTCCTTAGTAGACTTTTGTCATCAAAACAGAAGCTCTTCTCGTTGAAGCTATCTCCTCCCACCCAGAAGTCTTTGTCATTCTCACCTTCGCCAGGGAGCAACATGCAGGATGATGGTAGTCAGTTACCTGCTGAGGACAACAAGATTTTTAAGAAACTTATCCCAAGTCCTAAAGTCAGAGACGCTATAATGTTCAGAAAGTCAGTTGACAAAGAGGATGAAGAGAGTGAAAAGGAAGGATTCTTCAAGAGGCTCATGAGGGACAGTAAAGGTGACGGTGATGAACCAACTTCTAACTCAGAGGGTTTCTTTAAGCGCCTTATGAAAGACAATAAATCAGAAGACGAGGACATAACAACCAGTTCCGAGGGGTTCTTCAAGCGGCTCTTGAGTACTAAAGGAGAAAGCGATGAATTGACATCAAGTTCAGATGGGCTTTTTAAGAGGTTGTTAAGGGATAACAAGGGCGATGAAGAGGAATTAAGTGCAAACTCGGAGAGTTTCTTCAAGAGGTTATTACGGGAGAATAAAAACGAGGACGAGGAATCGAATGCGAACTCAGAAGGGTTTTTCAAGAAACTATTCCGTGACAGCAAACATGAGGAAGATAAAGTTCCTAAAGCAATGGATGAGGAGGACAAAGATGGGTTCCTTAAGAAACTTTTCAAGGAAAAATTTGATGACAAAAAAGGTAGTGAAAAGAATGAGGCCGGTGGAACAGTGCTTGCTGATGATAAAACTGGTGAAGAGGATGAAAGGGAGGGGTTTTTTAAAAAGTTCTTTAAGGAAAAGCCTGATGACAAGAAAGACACAGTCAAAGCAGATGACGGGAATGAAAGCGAGGGTGATGAATCTCCAGAATTTTCTTTGTTCAAAAGATTATTTCGTATACATCCAGAAGATGCAAAGCCAACTTCAGAAAATGAAAATAGCAGCAACGGCTTAGCTGAAAGCAGTCCCGGGACAGAGAACTTTTTCCGTAAATTGTTCAGAGATCGTGACCAGTCTGTGGAAGATTCTGAACTATTTGGATCAAAGAAACATAAGGAGGTTTGCTCTCGTTTGACTTGGTCTTTTACTGGTTTTATCTGCACTATATTGACATTCGCTTTACTTTAAATCCATATCTTCAGATTAATTTGTCAAGATTCTTGTAGGATATAATCATATATCTCTACTTCTTAGGAAATTTACTTGACGCAAATGTTGGCTGAAACAGAGCTCTTGTTCGACTGCAATTGATTAAACATCTATACCAGACATTCGCAATCGATTCTGCTCACACCAATCTTTTTTATAATACTCTTTGCAGAAGCGGCCAGGTTCACCTAAACAGCGGGATGATACTCCATCTGGTAAGCCCCCACTACCAACCAATACCGCATCACAGTTCAGGAAAGGGGCTTACCACGAGTCGTTGGAGTTTGTACAAGCGTTATGTGAAACATCATATGGTTTGGTAGATATCTTTCCCATCGAAGATCGGAAGATTGCTCTTCGGGAGGTGATCTCTTCCACCTGACTTTCTATATTGATGATTAAACTTTTAAGCTGTTAAATTATACCTATGTAGCAACTGACTAGATTTCATGTTTCTTCTGTTTGGTTTTAGTCGCTTGCAGAGATCAATTTTCATTTGTCTGAAGCTGAAACCACCGGAGGTATGTCAGCGTTTTTAGCCCTTCTATGTTGCTTTAAGCAAAATCATTTTTCTTGTCTTAAAAAAAAGTAGTATGTCCTTTATATCATATTTCTGCTGCTCAAATATTCCAATGTATGGTAGCTGTTGGTCATTGTTTTGTCTGATTGGGTTTCGGAATATATTGCAGTCTTTCCGCTCTTGTTTGGAGAAACCTTTTATCTCCACTAGTATTTAGAGAATCTTTTTAGTTCCACTCTTGTTTCTCTTTTATGATTTATTTTCCTCTCCTATAGAGAATTGCTGGGACTTGTGTTTCTCCCTTGAAAGAATCATGTGGTCCAATCTCTTTGGCATCTTAAATTCTTAACTTCAGCTTTTGGAAGCATTTTTGGATTTCATTTTTTAGATTTAATTGTTTCATCTACATTGATTCTGCTGTGGTAAATGTTTCGGTTATCAGATACTGAATTTTGTTTCCAATAACCTTCCAGGAATATGTTTTCCAATGGGGAGAGGAGTTTATCGTGTTGTTCATATTCCTGAAGACGAATCCATTCTTTTGAATTCTAGGGAAAAGGCGCCGTACATGATCTCCGTAGAAGTTTTGAAAGCGGAAACACCCAGGTAAATTTAAAATTTCTTAAATGTATACTAATCTACTGCTTTAACTAGGAAGTTACTTTCTTTTCTATGTCCCATAATTTACCAAGTGTACAACTTTACATCTTAACACTCTCCCTTGTTTCCTGGAATTTGTTGTGGCAGTGCTAAAGATACATCTAACTCCCAGAAGCTTTCTAAAGGGGGCATTCCATTGGCAAACGGGGACGCATTCTTGCAAAAGCCACCTCCATGGGCATATCCACTATGGACTACCCAGGAGGTTTATCGCAACAGTGCTGACCGAATGTCGCTTTCCACTGCCCAAGCAATTGATCAAGCAATGACTCCCAAGTCAGAGGTGAAGGTGAAACTTGTAAATGTAAGCCTCTCTGTGGGGAGTCATACTTCATCTCTTGAATCACTGAGTGATCCATTTGATGATGTTCTGGCTGAGGCTCCAAAAATTGGGCTGGACACTGATCTTGAATGGGTAAGGGTGGTAGTGACGGCTGACCCAGGACTTCGAATGGAAAACATTCCTGATCCAGCAGTCCCACGTAAAAAGGAACATCGTCGTGTTCCAAGTACTGTTGCCATGGAGGAAGTAAGGGTGAGTGTTTCTTAATCGACAACTTGTAGGAGGCAGTTACAATTGAGTCGATATTTTTAGTGCATGTGCTTGTTTCTGTCCTATACACTTCAATTATTTATAAAGGCTTCCACGGTTAGAAATCCAATATATTGATACTGTAGGCGTTCTGTTTGATGCTGTTTCTCACTTTCTCTACCTGTCATTTATCCTCGATTTAATCACATATGCAGGCTGCTGCAGCGAAGGGAGAGGCACCTCCAGGTCTTCCTCTCAAAGGGGCTGGTCAGGATTCGTCAGATGCACAACCAAGGGTGAATTCGTGTTTCACATAGAATATGGATCTTCCTTTTTCATATTCCTTTCTTAAATTTTTAACGGTGTATCTATTGTGTTGTTCACCAGGCCAACGGTGGAATGCTAAAGGAAGGTGATGCCTTATCAGGTGAACTTTGGGAGGGAAAGCGAGAGAGAATTCGTAAAGTTTCAATATATGGCAAATTACCTGGTTGGGACCTGCGTTCTGTAAGTGTTGCATAAAGCCATACTCTTTATCTTTAATAGTGGCCATTTTCCCATATGATATTCCTTTCTGCCTCTATTTTTTAAAAGGCTCTAGATCTTCGCAGATCATTGTAAAGAGCGGTGATGATTGTCGGCAGGAACATCTTGCTGTGCAACTCATTTCTCACTTTTATGGTGGGTGATACTCTCTTATATCTACAAAAATTTATATCTCATTTCTCATTTTTTTCTGTGTTATGGCTTTCTTATTCTGTTATCTAAAGATGACTGTATTTCCACCTTATAGAGTAATTGTTTTGCTCATGTGCCAGATATATTCCAGGAAGCAGGTCTACCCCTCTGGTTACGTCCTTATGAAGTTTTGGTTACATCTTCGTATACTGCCCTAATAGAAACAATTCCAGATACGGTAAATACGTAAACCAGAACCCTGTTTAGTGGCTACGTTGTATCTTGTAGTCAATTTTTTTCTATTGAAAGTATATGTAAAACGTACCACTTTCCTCTCCTGCAGGCTTCTATTCATTCTATCAAAAGTAGATACCCCAACATCTCCAGCCTGCGTGATTTCTTTGCTGCAAAGTATAAAGAAAACTCTCCGAGTTTTAAGCTTGCCCAGGTAACAGGTTAACTCTACATGTTGGTTATTTTGTTTCAGAAATTTGCTCGACTTCAGTCGAAGAAATGTGAGACATGCCAGAACTACATAAACTGCATGTCCTACGTTGCATTTGATTTTCAAGATAGTTACTTTTTATGGATTAATCTAAGGAAAGAAGCTGCTTGGTTGAAACTATGAGGAGTTTTATGTGCATAACTTAAAAGACCCAATTTCACCAATTTGTCTCGAATGTTGTGTATATAACCTTGCGAATTGGCTTCTTTTGCAGAGGAATTTTGTTGAGAGTATGGCCGGATATTCTTTGGTCTGTTACCTCCTACAGGTACATTAGTGGCCCATTCTCTCAGTACATTTTGTATTCATCTATATATAGCCCATTGTTGATTGCCTTTTGCTTTAGGTGAAAGATCGTCATAATGGAAATCTTCTCTTGGATGAAGATGGTCACATTATACACATTGATTTTGGCTTTATGCTTTCAAATTCTCCTGGTGGTGTAAACTTTGAGAGTGCTCCCTTTAAGTTAACCCGTGAACTTCTTGAGGTAAAACACTCATTAAAGCTTCCACATAATAACTTTAAAGTCTTTTCCGGTTGTATTTCCTTGATTCTCTTTAGTCTAAATGTATACCCCCTAAAAAATATACTTGTCACAACCAGGTCATGGACTCTGATGCCGACGGGGTTCCGAGTGAGTTCTTTGACTATTTCAAGGTATCCGCGTGGCTCTCCTTCTTGCCTTTGAATTTAATCACTTGAAGCTCTATTCTTTTTCTGTCTATAGCTATTGAGTGGAAGAAGAGCTTCTAATAGTCAATTGTTCTTAGGTGCTATGCATTCAAGGATTCCTTACATGTAGAAAGCACGCAGAGCGGATTATTCTCTTAGTTGAAATGTTACAGGTATTATACTATCTCTAGCTTCTTTTTCTTTACCAACCTGAATCATATACAGTTACAGTAAGGCAAGGCACAAGTATCCCTAATTATTTGCCATGTGAAATTATTGTTTCTGCTAGGATTCTGGTTTCCCTTGCTTCAAAGGCGGTCCACGAACCATTCAAAACCTAAGGAAACGGTTCCATCTAAGTTTAACCGAAGAGGTAAGCTTTTCATCTTCCTCAATTTCAACTTTTCGCATGATCCACTACCGTTAGTAACAGTTTACTCATTCCTTTTCTGTTGTGGTTGGATCACAAAACCAGCAATGTGTGTCTTTGGTGCTCTCTCTCATCAGCAGTAGCTTAGATGCTTGGCGAACGAGGCAATATGATTACTACCAGAGAGTCTTAAATGGAATATTGTGATGTTCCCGAAGCTAATATACAAAGAAGCAACCTAGTAAGGGTAAAACGCCTTAAAACCGCGCGTTTTGAGGAACCCTTTTCTTCATAGATGTAGTAATCAGAGAAATCCTTCCGAAGGCAGAAGAAACAGAGAAGCCTTTTTCTGAAGAGAAGCTATCAGATCAGCGTGTGCGTGCGTGCGTGGGAAGAAGAAACTAGTCACGCACGTGTGTGACTCACACGTACAAGAGAGAAACTACACTTTGTGTACAGAATGATTTTTGCAGAGGTTTGATTGTGTTTATCTTACTACTTGTTGCTGGAGAAAAGAAAAGAAAGGCAAAAGCCTCTATTTTTCTTCTTCTTCCTTCCAAAAGGCTTAAAACAAAACCCTTTTCGAGAAGACAAAAAGGGTTATTTTTTTCTTTTCTGTTTTTTTTCTTGTTTTGTTTCTAGTGGAAACTGATGATGTGATTATTGTTGTATAAATTGTGTATTACCTTTTGTTGAAATTAGAATCTGAGTAAGAGAAAACAAATATTACATGTATGTTTGATATTTCATTAAGATGTATGTTGTGTTGCGTCCCCCTTGGTTCATCTCCCTCACTCTCTTCATATGGACTCAAATTCATAATGTGGTATCTACATGAATCATCATTCCATGATTTTTTTTTTTAACTATCTTATGATTAACTTCGATCACACTCAAATACAATATATTTTTTTATTTCATTTGCTACAACAATATTGGGAGATGAATAAAACAGTATATGAAAAGGAAATAACTCCTAAAGAATCTGTATGATTGTTGATTCGTTTAGCATAAATAGTTTACTTGGATGTAAAATGTGATGTCATCTGGCCAATGAGGATGCTCAGGTTTAGTTCCCTTAATGTAATTATAATTGTTAACAATTTTTATGAAAGAATACTTTTTCAAACATCTTTTTCCACTTGTCAAGTACTCGGAATATCAGAGATTTTAAATAATAGTATACGTTGACAACTCAAAATTTTCAGAATAAAATTATTAAATCAGAAGTTTTATCATCAGCATTTGACTAACACATTTCCAATTTGATTTTTGTTGATTTACCCCTCAAAAAATTGTTCCAAGATGTATAAATTATTATTGATATCTTCAAAAAAATTACACATTCACTATGTACAAAACTATCAGTCTCTCTAGCATTTTGTTATTTGGTGTAATACGTCATTTATCAATTATTGCAAAATAACGTCATAACTTTATTACTCTCTCAATAAACGCGTATTTAGATCTATATAAACCCTAAACCCCTTCACTATCTCACTCCCTCTGGCTTCTCTTTCAAGCTACTCTCTCTCCTCTCCTCTCTCGCTCCTCCGCTTCCCTTCTCCGACCACCGTCGCCTATTCCTCCGCTTCTCCTCCTCGGCGGGTGCGATTTCTCTCTTTTATCTCCTCTGTTTCTTTTGCTCTCCTCCATCAATGTATCTCACTTAGTTGCCGATGTAGTCTAGTCTTCTATATTTTCATTTCCCTTGATGGGTTTTCGATTTCCAATCCTTTTCATCTCCTGCGATTTCTGGGTTTAATCTAAGCGAGCTACATAGATTTTTCTGGGTCTTCCCTGAAGTCACCTTCTTTTTCTTAAAATGAACGGAATTTTGAAAAGGGTTTAGGTTTCAGAGATCGTAAAAAAAATTGCTACTGTTCTTAAAAATCACTTTAGTTTCCTTTTTGTCTGAAAGTTTATAAGCGATAACAATTGATTTTTTCTTACCAAATTGATCAGTTAACGCACTTGCAAATCGAAATTAGCCCTACAATTTAGTCCATCAAAAGTTTCTTCCATTTATGTGCTTTCATTTTGTGTTAAAAACAGGATTTGTTTCTTTGCGGTTGGTCACACCACATGTCTGTTGATATCTGCAAGAAGAATCCATCGTTTCTTTGGTGCGACTGTGGTTATATGAGCAGAGGGAGGTTGTGGTGCTTCTTTCACACAATCTTGTTCCAACACTCCACTTGGTCTTAAATCTTCATTAGCTTCTTCACATTCTCTGTTTTTCCTTTTTTAAGTAAAGAGTAATTGCTTCTGCTAGATCCTGTCATTGTGAATAGAGAGACAAAAGTCCAATTTCCTTGCTTTAGTTAGCAGTCTAGTGAAAGTTTTCCACTCTGCAATGGGGAAAACAAGCTTGGCACCTGGATTTCGGTTTCATCCGACTGATGTAGAACTTGTGAGATATTACTTGAAGAGAAAAGTTTTGGGGAAAAAGTTCAAAACTAACCCCATTGCTGAAGTCGACATTTACAAGTTCGAGCCACCTGATCTACCTGGTAACTTCATTAACCTCTGTTTTGTTTGTTTTGGTGAAGAAAGTTTCATGCTTTCTTATTTTTCTTTCATTTTCTACACAGATAAGTCATGCCAAGCGACTGGAGATCTGAAGTGGTTCTTCTTCTGTCCGAGAGAAAAGAAGTATCCAAAGAGCGCAAAGGCAAAACGTTCGACTGAGTCCGGTTACTGGAAAACCACAGGAAAAGACAGAGATGTTTCTTACAACAACCAAGTCGTCGGGAAAATCAGAACTCTCATCTTTTACTACGGTAAGACGCCTCGTGGGGAACGTACCGATTGGGTCATTCACGAATACAAACTCGAAGACGAAGCGCTCGCGGAAAAGAATGTTCCTCAGGATGCTTATGTGCTTTGTGTTCTCTTCAAGAAGAATGGACTTGGACCTAGACATGGATCTGAATACGGAGCTCCGTTTAAAGAAGAGGATTGGAGTGATGATGATGATGAAGAAGAAGATACTCAGAATCTTGCAGCTGTTGATCCTAGCAGAGAAACCAATCTTGTTGCTACTGCCTCACAGTCGCAAGCTCCTAAGGATTGTGTCGCTGGAGTGATATCAGAATCTTGCGTCTCCGGTGTACCAGTGCTTCCACCTGTTGTAGCTTACACTCCTCCCATGTCTTCTTCTTCTCCTCTTCTTGAGGTCCCTCAGGCACCACAGGATGATGATGATTTATATTCGATGCTGGATCTCTTTGCTGTTGATAATGACGACACTTTACTCTTCGATGAATTTAACAACCAATACGAGGTAAGTCTCAATGCTTTTTGATGATTCAGGCTCAGTGTTCTTTTTAAGAAACTTTTGGTGATTGGTTTTTGTATATCCTACAGGTGACACATGAGCAAGGTGTTCCTGTAGTTGAGGAAGCTCCGGTTTGCTTAGGAGATGATGGTTTCAGAGGAATACCGGATATGGGCCACGATCTATACATAGAGCTTAAGGATCTGATTGGACCATCCAGTCCTGCTCCTGCTCAAGCCGGTGGTAGCGGTGACTCGAGAAGCAACGGTCAGATTTAGACCTTTAAGTATGATATTTGATCCTCCTCCTTGCTTTGGTGCCTGCGACAGAGACCAAACATGTGAAGCTTTGACTAGAATGTTTCTTCTGTCTGAACACAAAGGAGAGAAACCATTAGACATGATGAAGCCAGTTTCTAATGTTTTCTTTCTGCAACTATGTTGTTGTCTTAAATTATATCATTTGGCAAAGACCTTTGCTTTAACTTCTGTTTTTCCATGGATTCTTAGCTTCATTGATAATTAAGCCTCACAATAAGTTTATCTTTCTTCTAATTAGAGAATGTCATTGTCAGTTTGTCACCGAACGACGTCATCTGGTGAAAAGAATGATAATTTGTGTTAAAATAGGGCCATTTAGATAGAAAATATAACACGGGGGTGTAAGTTTAAATAAACGGAAGTTATGAAGCTTTTATCTAATTTACTGCTTTTCAGTTTGACCTCGAGCAAGCAGACGACTTTCTAATCAAATCCTTTTATCCTCTGAAAATCGCAAAAGGCGCAACGAAAATGGCGAGCCTTGTCTTCAATACGCCATGGCTTAAGGTTAGGTCTTTACCTGGGCTTGCTCCTACTTTCCTCCGACGTCGTCAATGCTCTTTACTCACCTGCTCCCGGCGAAGCTTCGCGGTGGTTGCGTGTTCTTCGCCGAGTGATAATGGTGGGTCTGTCAGAGTCCGTTTCGCGCCTTCTCCTACTGGTAACCTCCACGTGGGTGGAGCAAGGACTGCTCTCTTCAACTACCTTTTCGCGAGGTTCGTGATCTGATCAAGTGTCAGTTCTCTTCCCGAAACACAGAACATTTGAAGATGTAACTGATTGAGTTCACAGGTCTAAAGGAGGGAAATTTGTGCTGAGAATCGAGGATACGGATTTGGAGAGATCAACACGTGAATCCGAAGCAGCTGTTCTTCAGGATCTCTCATGGCTTGGTCTTGATTGGGATGAAGGTTACTTCTTCTTCTTCTTCTTCTCTCTCTAATTGAAAGGGGTTTGATTTTCCCTTGCTCAATAGTGAAAATTGGGATTGAAATTGCAGGACCTGGGGTTGGTGGAGACTTTGGTCCGTATCGGCAATCCGAAAGAAATGCTCTTTACAAACAATACGCAGAGAAGCTTTTAGAGTCAGGCCATGTCTATCGATGCTTTTGCTCCAGTGAGGTGATTATCTTCAAATTCGCTTGAAAGTTTAAACCATTTTTCTTGTTGTCTCTATAGGTGTTTGACTTTACTTAATTGCAATGTTTATGTTAGGAACTTGTGAAAATGAAAGAGATTGCAAAGTTAAAACAGTTGCCTCCAGTGTATACTGGTAAATGGGCAACAGCTTCTGATGCTGAAGTAGAGCAAGAGTTAGAAAAGGGAACACCTTTCACTTACCGTTTTCGTGTGCCAAAGGAAGGTTCTTTGAAAATTAATGACCTGATTCGTGGTGAGGTACAGTTTATTTGTTGTGATCTTGTAGAAGAATTCTCACTTTAAAGTTCGTTGTGTTATGAAAAAGCTATTTGTTAGCTCTGTATGGTTTTGTTGACCATGTGTGATAGTTTCTTGAAGGTATGTTGGAACTTGGATACACTGGGAGATTTTGTGGTAATGAGGAGTAATGGCCAACCAGTTTACAACTTTTGTGTTACGGTTGATGATGCTACCATGGCTATTTCACATGTTATAAGGTTGCTACTACTTCAGTGTCTTCGTTTGGACACTTGTTTTTTCTTACTTTAACATATTTGATTGTGATCTTGATCAATCAAATCTCTTAATATTTCACTTCAGGGCTGAAGAACATTTGCCTAATACTTTGAGGCAGGCTCTAATTTACAAGGTGCGCTCTAATTTATGTGTGTTTCTTTCAACTGCTTTTGGAAGTTTTGGGAAGAATTTGATATAGTGCTGTCTGCATCAATAATGGCAGGCTTTGGAGTTCCCAATGCCTCAGTTTGCACATGTTTCTTTAATTCTAGCTCCGGATAGAAGTAAACTGTCGAAGCGACATGGTGCAACTTCTGTAGGACAGGTGTTTACAGCTTTTATTGCCTTTGCTTTAAGTTGATCATAGATTACTCAGCTGCTGATTCTTCATCTAATTTGGGCTAAAAAAAACAGTACAGAGAGATGGGATATTTGCCTCAGGGAATGGTTAACTATTTGGCACTCTTAGGTTGGGGAGACGGCACTGAAAATGAATTTTTCACACTCGAGCAACTTGGTAGGTGGATCTTTTTTACTGTAACTCTGCTGTGATTGATATGGTAATCTCTTTTGCTTTTCTGATTCTTTTGGTTGAATGTTTGTTTTTGATTTGCAGTTGAGAAATTCTCGATTGAACGTGTCAACAAAAGTGGCGCTATTTTCGATTCTACAAAGTTAAGGTGATTATAGAATTTGCTTAGCTGTTTGAATTCTCCAGTTTTCTTCTTCTCTCATGTAATAGCTTCAATGTTTTTGCATATCTATAAACTCGTAGATGGATGAATGGTCAACATCTGAGGGCACTTCCATTTGATAAACTAACAAAGCTTGTCGGTGAGCGATGGAAGAGCGCTGGCATCTTAGCAGAATCCGAGGGAAGTTTTGTAGATGTAAGGCTTCTAATCATGACTCTCTCCACACTTTCTTCTGATCCTAATATAAAAGACTTGGATTTTTAAGAACATGAGACAGTTTTTTGTATAGACTTATCGAGTTTGAGCTTGTTGTTGAAAGTACAGGAAACCGTGGAGCTTCTCAAGGATGGGATTGATTTGGTGACAGATTCAGACAAAGTACTTTTGAACTTGCTATCATATCCTTTACACGCTACATTGGCTAGGTGACTAACTATCAATAAACACTCCATGGTTTTTTGTTTTGAGCTCTGAGCTAGTGGTGATTTGAGTTTTGTTGCAACTGATGCAGCGCTGAAGCTAAGCCTGCAGTTGAAGACAAGCTTCATGAAGTAGCAGCCAGCCTCATAGCTGCTTATGACAGCGGTGAGATTCAGAGCGCTTTAGCAGAAGGACCAAGTGGTTGGCAGAAATGGGTGAAAGCCTTTGGCAAATCAATGAAACGCAAAGTTAGTCATCTCTCGAATCCAGTATATACCAAAAAAGCAAAATCTCTGCTCTTTTTGAATGAACAAACCTGACAAAGAGATTGTTATGATTGTTGGTTACAGGGGAAATCACTTTTCATGCCACTAAGAGTGTTGCTAACGGGAAAGCTCCATGGACCTGAGATGGCGACCAGTATTGTTCTGATTCACAAAGCTGGAAGTCCTGGTTTAGTGGTTCCTCAGGCTGGGTTTGTGTCCATGGAGGAACGGTTTAAGATTCTTAAGGAGGTAGACTGGGATGCTCTTAACAATGGCGAAAGTGTGCCTCTTGAATCTACAGCTGCAGTATCAACCTGAGAAATCTACTGTTTCTTTCTTTTGTTATTTAATCTTCGTTTAGTTGGTGAGAGAAAGACAGCCCAACGATTTGATTGCTCGTTCATTTTATTGTTCCCCAAAAACAAACGAATTTTGTAGATTATGTGTGTCAGCTAAGTAAAGCTAATAGCAAACAGAGCCCATTTTTACTTTGCTTTCTTTGCTCTGTTTTCTCCAAATGGTTTAAAGCTCAGGTTTTTTCGAGCTTGACCAGAGCGGTTTCTCAGAAAACAGAGGTTTTTGGAATTCTGAGATGTTTCTTTGGTGGGGACCGAAGAGTGAAGCTAAACCACATAAACCACTTAGAAAGAGAATCTGAAAGACTCAAACTTTGAGTAGTAAGAAAAGATTTGGATACTTGCCAATAGGACTCGAGGGAAATCTCACCTTATCCACACTCCAACCACAATCCCTTATTACATTCATGTCCACGTCATCATCATCATCTTCATCTTTCTCAATCGTCTCTTATACTAAAATCTAATCACTTCCCTCCTCTCCTCACCAATCAATCAAACACAAAACTCTTGAATTTTCCCCAAAGAAGTCTAATGGCGACCATGAACTCGAGTGTTCTCACCTGCAGCTACGCAATCTCTGGTGCTAGCTCAGTAGAGCTAAACCAGAAAGTTGGTTTGGCGAATTCGTCGATTGGGTTTGGTCAGAAGAAACAGATGGTTATGCCTGTGATCAGAGCTCAAAGAGTTGGTGGTGATGATGTTGATGGATCTAACGGAAGAAGATCCGCCATGGTTTTCTTAGCTGCTACACTCTTCTCCTCTGCTGCTGTTTCTGCTTCTGCTAATGCTGGTGTTATCGATGAGTACCTCGAGAGGAGCAAAACCAACAAAGTAAAGTCTTGACATATCTGAATCTTTGAAACCTCTAGAGAAACCTTTTTATGAAAATTAACGGTTTTGTTGTATTTTGGAATATAGGAACTAAATGATAAGAAGAGATTGGCAACAAGTGGAGCAAACTTTGCAAGAGCATTCACTGTTCAATTCGGAAGCTGCAAGTTCCCTGAGAATTTCACTGGATGCCAAGATCTTGCCAAGCAAAAGGTTTTTCCGAAAATTCAACTTTCTTTTTTTAGTTTTGTTTTGGGAGATAATTAATTGAAGAGACTTTTGATGTTCTTCGTGGATTCCATTTGCAGAAAGTCCCATTTATCTCAGAAGATTTGGCGTTGGAATGCGAAGGGAAAGACAAGTACAAGTGTGGTTCCAATGTTTTCTGGAAATGGTGAAGAACTTTGTTTGTTGTTTTATCAATTCTTAATATAAAATCCAACAATGTATCTATCTCTCTCTAATATTCATCAATTTTCTCATATCCATTTGAATCTATCAAGTTAAAAACTGCATCGAAAGAGATTAGCAATTGTTATTGCACACACTGGAGCGCGTAGATGAAACTTTAGTAGAGGTGTGCATACTCGTTTGGTTGGTTTTATGCTCATCAAACACATAACTTTAACAACCGCAACAGTTCATTTCAGTTTCCAATTCAAGCAAGTAAAAGAAACCGAATAGCAATCCATTCACTATAATCTAACTTTACCATAGTTCTTCATCTTCAAGAAGAAGACCAAAAAGTGCGAAATAGTACAAACAAATGACTCAACTCAGACTCGAAGCTAAAGAGAAAACAAAAGAAAAAACGAATTTCCTAAAAGACGACCAAAAAAAGAAGAAGGAGATAACGAGTTAATAAGAGTGTGTTTTACGTACAAAAGAGAGTGGAGTTGAAGAAAGTTCTTCTCAAGCGATAGCGTAAGTGAGAGTTTCTACTTCTTCGGGTCGCCAAATTGACTTTTGAACAGATAGCAAACCTTCTTTATCCTTGGAATAAGTCAAACGAACTTCCCATTTCATCGCCTTCACCATTCCCTCCACTTGTCGTATGGTTTCCGCATCGTCCCGCACTATCAGTTTCCCTTCTGGTCTCAATACCCGATCCACTTCCGCAATCACCGCCGTTAGATTGCACCTGCAAAGTTAAAACGAGAATTGTGTTATTTGCTATCTTCGGTTGTTTGAGACAGAGACTCTCTTTCTTACACAACAATGAACAAACCTTTGTTTGAGTTTTGAGAAGAGATGGTCGGCATGGAGAAGATCGTATGATCTCGGGTAAGTGCTGAAAGATTCACACCAATCGTGGTATATACCGAAGAGTCCTCGTTCATAGATTATGGCCAGTGTGTCTGGCGAATCTATTGGAACCACATTCATCACCCACACTTTCAATTCTCTTAGAGCCGCCGCAAATCTGCATACATAGACAACCAAACACAAACATTAAAGATCATATATTATCTAAATTTGAATGAAAGCGGAAACAGATTCTGTTTTACTTACCCTCCATAAACGGCTCTCATGTCCATGACATTTCTAACGGTGGCCCAGTTTATTCCTAAACCATTAAGGTATGATTTGGTCACCACGCGTTTCCAATGTTCGTAATCAGCGCTGAAATCCTCTGGTGCTGCTTTCCCATAAACTCCGGTCTGTGAACTTGATAACCAGTACGGTGGTTTCTCTAATCTCGCTGGCCATTGCTCGGGCCATTGAGATCCACGTTGCGTTTTGTCTTCTGGAGCGGTGTGCATGCATGCTTGAAGTGGCACTTTCCTACAACAACCACACGACAATAGAATATTTGTATTTGTAAAACGTAGATAGGCTGATTTTCAAGCACAACACCAAAACAATTGGAAAATAAAATAAAAACATACCAAGATGCATTTGGGTCATCAGAGTCGGGACAAACTGGAGGTTCTTGTTTTGATCTGTTTGTGTAGCATTCATTTGAAGCTGGCTTTTTGTAAGTAGCTACACCGACTCCGTTGATAGTGTCCTTGTTAATGGATATGAGTTCCCAACACATTTTCTTGGTGAGTTCACTCATAGCTGCAAAAGTCGCCAACATGAGGAGTGTGAGAAAACAAGTTCCAGAGCAATTATCTATGGAGGATAACATTCTAACAAACCTTTCCAAATTTCAACATCTTCGGTCTTCTTCTGATAAACGGGAGTAGCAGACCACACAAAGAAGCCACCGGGTCTCAATACACGGTTAAGTTCGAGAAGGAGTTTACCACCTGTCCATGTATTGTGCACACAAACATCAGAAGAAGATAACAAAGAGTTTGACGGATCAATAGGAATAGAGAATGTTCCATTCAAAGACTACATCGGTTATGCTACTTACCTTCAATGTGCCATGGCACTCTACAGCGAGCACAGTGAACAATGTCAAAAACTCTGCCAGGGAAAGGTAGCCTTGTAGTACCCATCACTGCAGAAATGGCGGGAATGCCTCTCTCAAGAGCAAACTGCACTTGAGCTTCATGTTCATCTTTAGGTGCGAGGGACATGGTGATCACGTTTCTGTCAAAGAGGAAACCTCCAAAGCTTGCAACACCACATCCAACATCCAAGACCACGCGAGAACGTTTACCCCATGCGATATCAGAGACAGACTGTAGAGAAGATTTTCATCAGAAAAGGAACTTCATAAGAACAAATATTACCCTAAGGTCATTAAAGTACAAATCAATTCATATTTTCTAACAAAATAAGGGAGTGGAAATCAACTGGATGCATAAAAGGAACAGAAATATGGGTGGCAAATGATTCTGTTTAAAGAAGTAATCCACTTCAGACTTTTTAACAAAATACAATTACATCTGAATACCAACCTCCTGTATGAAATCGATGTAATGAAGAGCACCATGCTTGAATTGGGTTCCTCCACCGGGAAAAGTTAGATACTCACCAGTTACTTTAACCCAGTTTTGATGCCCCTTATACTCAGCAAGCTTGGTATGAGGGACGTTGGTATACCAGATCTGCATAAAATGAAAGTATCTGTATTAGGTTTGTTTGAAGAGTAAGATATATATTAGTGGGACTATGGGAGATGAAACAAATTCAACAGACCTTTTCTCGACTTTTGGGCCACTCAATTGGCCGCTTGTATCCTTCAGGTAGAGGAACAAGGCAGGTGGGTGGGGTGTCTGGGCAATGCCTCTCACGATGCTCATAATGTTTAGTGCTCTTAAGACTCTTAATGGCTTGCACATTATCGAGACAGGGAATGTAATCCGGTCCGGCAGTTGTATTGCAGAGTGTCCATTTGTAATCAATTTGATCACCAGAACCCTTCTGAGCTTCTTTTTCTTTTTTAGACTCTGTTGCCTGGGTTGAAAATGAACCATTTTGTGCAATCGTTTCATTCTGTAGCTCTAACTGTGCTCCAGGAGGCGAAAGATCACCTGAGGTCTCGTTTTTAGGTTGACTCTCTTTCTCTGCTTGAACATCCACGTTTGTCTCGGTGTTTTCCTTCTCATCAGGCTTTGTTTCAGTATCTTCGTTGCCTGTCGTGGTTTCTTTATCATCTTTGACGCCTTTTCCTTCTGTATCATCGTCACTGGGTTTTTTCTCACTGTCATCAGACTCAAACTTCTTTTGGTTTTCACCATCCTCACCAGACTCATTGTCCTCCGTCTCCGGTTTCGTTTGCTTTTCATTCGTATCAGGATTTTCTTCATCTGGGTTGTCTTTCAAATCTTTTTTCTCATCTGAATCACTTCCACCACCATTTTCTGACTTGGATTCATCGTTTTTATTTTCCCCACTTTCAGTCTCAGTTTTTGTCTCACCAGATGAAGTAGACTCTTCTTTGGGTTTCCCTTCTGTCGTCTCTTCCGGGTCCTCTTGTTTGCTTGAGCTCTCATCGCCTTGAGGCAAGCTTGCATCACCATCTCCTTTTTTCTCTTCGCTTGGTGTATCACCAGATGCGTCTTCAACCTTCTGGTCATTCCCCTCCTCCGCAGGTGGGGTTGACTGTTTCTTGATCCCATCTTTGTTTTCCAGAGAAACCACATCAACATTCTCAGCGGGTCCAACAGAGGAAGAGGATGATGTCATCATCCAGATCCCAACTAAACATAGGGCCACAAACACAACTACTGTCACTGTTGAGCAATAATTTGATGAGGGCCTCCTGTTGTTATCTATCCTAGTGTACCTTGGTTGTGCCATTATTCCAAATTAAACGATAGACGATAACACAAATGTGAACGCCTACACACAAAGAGAAACAAGGAAAATGAATGTTAGGCAAGCCATAAGATCTATATCCAGAGAGATAGCAAGACAACTGTAGAATACAGCTGCAGATCAAACTTATTTCCTCATTTCTTAACTCCAGTAAACCGCTAAATCATATTTCTTCCAAATGCATAGAATCAGCTCAATCTTCTCTAACTTCACTGGGTGAATAACCCAGTTACATACACTGAAACTCTAAATAAAATTGGCGAAACAAAGGCAATGTCACCAGATCTGCATAAAACCTCGCGATTACGGCTCAAAACCAGAAGAACGACGAGATTATCGAGTGGCTTGTCACGGCCACATAAAAGACCAAAATCATTCGAAAAAGTTACACATGCAACATAGATTTTCAATTCGTAAAGCAAAAAAATGAACAATCAAGCTGAATTATAGAATTTCAAGTTCGATAAACAAGGAACAAACGATGCAGCAAAATCACCGTCGACAACAAATCTATAAGCAGGATAACGAAGAAATAACAGCAGATCCGTAACAGATCTCGGTAGAAGAACCAATTTTCTACATTATCGAGATCAACCATGTTTCTAAATCATCGATATCATCACTAAGCAGCATAAGATACAAAAAAATTACCAAAACGAAAAGATACAGAGGAATGTGCACAAGGCGTACCTGATACAGGCGAGAAGCAATGAGAGGGACGAGATAACGGAGAAATTCAATCTCAATTTTCAAGCTACGGAGCCATTTTCCGTCACTTTCTCGAGAAAATTCGAATGGCACAGCACGGGGATATGTTTGGGAGAGGGTGAGATAGGGAGAGAAAGGTATATATAGGATTAGAAGAGAAATTGATTGATATGATCTTACGATTACGAAATTTGATTTACACAGACAAAATTAATAATCTTTATTAGTGTTAAGTTAAAATATTAATTTACGGGGAAAAGGCTTATTATAGATGCTTTGATGATGATTCGTCACCAATAAGCTGTGAGAGAGAAAGAGGGAACTACGGAGCGGGGCCGTGAATTTAGTGGTCGAAACTCTAATTACTCCAAATAAATATTTTTTAGCTTATTTTGGTTAGGCAAAGAGACTAGTGTAGTCAATTACTCAAGACCATTTTTTTAATTAATTAGAGAATTATATACTATCATGATATAAACAACAAGTTGTTGAGTGGTGGTTGCTATAGCATGATTTTAGCTAAAAAAGCAAAATCACACTTTTTTAACTTTACTCTTCCATACAATTAATTATCTTTTGTAGTCCCATCTTTTCTAAATTAATTTTCTTTTGTCATCTGATATTAAGCTAAAGTCCATATTCCCATTTAAAAATCAAATAAAACATCACCGTTGTTGCGTTATAAAAAGCAGGTAAAGAGTGAAAACACATATCTTATGTATTTCTAAAATAGTTTAGTTTTGGAAGAAAAAAGATTACGCAATATGTGTACCGTATACGGTCTAAACAATATTTAATCGTGCTTTAGAAGGATTGAAAGATGCATGTGAAGGGACTGAATCTGTATCCGAATGTCCAATAAGGCAACAACCTCTAAGAGACTGATCCCTTCGAACCCACTCCAACGATGGCAAAATTATTCATTTAAAGTGGAGGGACCCAAGGTTCTGTAAGTTACAGTCGAGACAATCCATACAAATACAATTTCCCTAAATCACAGAGACATATGTCCACGTCTTTGCTTGTTTTATATGCCCGTTAAGGCATCAGGCATGTACGTACCTCTGCTTTACTTAACTTGGAGAAATTAGTAATACTAGAAAAAAAGCGTCTCTAATCTAACTATATGGCATATAACATACTTTGATATAACTAGTATAGTAAAAATGTGACAATAGGCATAAAAGCGAGTCTATTAGTATGGACAAGAATGCGAGAAAAAATATGTTTTGGTTTATAAAAAGGGGATATTGTTGATGCGTGCATGCGTTGCCGGATCTCGTGGATCTTAAATTAGTCCGCACATTAGCAAAGTGTACAATGAATGTCGCTATGTCGGTGTAGTTGTAAAGTCCAAGCCCCCGAGAAGTTTCTAAACAGTGCACAATAAGGATGCCACGGCTCAAGTTTTTTTTTTTTTCTTTTCTAGTTTGGTTTGCATTTTTGGTTTTTTTCGGTGTTAAAATTGCCATGAGTTAGTGTAGTTTTATTATTTTGAAGAGCATTTTTTATTTTTTTTAGTATTAACTTCTAAAGGACAAAAATAAACAATCTGATTTGTGAATTAGCTTCAGTTTCGGATCTTGGTCATATAAAAGAAAGTAGAAAGTACAAGGAGATTTACAAGAAACAAAAATAGTATTAAATCATCCAGAATTAAACGATAGCTAATTGCCTTTTTAATGAAAACAGTTGAAGGCGAAAGAAAAAGAACATGAATCACCAAAATTATCACTACACGCTTTATTGCGCCGAAAAAAACCAATCAAGGAGGCAAAACAAACACACCAACGTTGGATTATTTAGTCACTCGTACAATTGATATTTCTTTATCCACGAACATGTGAGGGATCCAAATTCAGAGGCTGATTTGTAAAGTTCTCGCTCTCCAGATCTACACTCCACTGACCGCTCGTGGAAGATCCGATCATTCACTCGACTTCTTCTTTGTTTTCCGGTAAAGCTTCTATCACATCTTCTCGCCCGAAAATCGGAAAATCACCAGCTCGATTTTGCGTAGAACTTTTTTTTTTGTCATTTCACTGGAACTGTATTCGTCGATATCGATTCTGGGTTTATCAGTATACTTCTCTTTTTCTTTTTGTTCCTTGGGTTTAATCAAATCCCTGCGTCTTTCTGTTTGGTTCTGTTTTCTGATTTTGATGAATCCGGGGATGAAGAAGAAAAAATCGTTAAAAACATCAAATTATTCATTTCAAATGTTAGAACTAGGGATTGATTTGGATATAAGAATTCGCTGTATGGTCGATTGTTAAAATGATTAAACTATTTCTGTTCTGTCCTGCTTTTGAATGATTCACTGCTGACTAAGATTGTTAAAATATTGATCAAACCATCTTCTTTTAGGCTTTTGAATACCTGACTAAGATTTTGCAGGTCTTTTCAAGGATCTTGGAATCAACAACAGAGCAAGGAGCATTCTTTATCGAGAGAGTTAATGTTATCTCAGGCAATTAATCAAAGATGTTTGGTGGAAAAACTTACATACTCAGAGGCAGTGTATCAATTGCCTTGGTCATCCTCATCCTTTTGATGATAACACTCCTTGTCTCCGAAGAAAACCCGCTTCGTACTTCTCTCTTTGAAGTAAAACGTCAGTTCTCAGCTTCTTCTTCTTCAGGTATTCCATGCTTTCTCCAGCTTCAGACACAAATGCTCCAAAACAACTTTAACATTTGCTTACTTCTTTCAACTCTTCTCAGTCTGTAACTTTGCAAAGGGGAAATGGGTTGAAGACCGGAATCGACCATTGTATTCTGGCTTTGAATGTAATCAGTGGCTATCAACCATGTGGTCCTGTAGGATAATGGGCAGACCCGACTTCTCATTTGAGCGTTACCGATGGCAGCCACATGGTTGCAACATGCCTCAGTTTGACAGATTCTCCTTCTTGTCAAGGTTTGTCAAACTTTTCTGATTTTTAAACGTCTCTCAGATTGCTTATTGCAACTTTGCTTCGTTTCTGATTTTAGAATGCAGAACAAGACGATAGCATTTATAGGAGACTCATTAGGACGGCAACAGTTTCAATCCTTAATGTGTATGGCCACTGGTGGCAAAGAGAGCCCCGAGGTTCAAAACGTAGGATGGGAGTACGGTCTAGTGAAACCCAAAGGAGCTCTCCGTCCTGACGGTTGGGCTTATCGTTTCCCAACCACAAACACAACCATCTTGTATTACTGGTCAGCGAGTTTATCAGACTTGGTACCAATGAACAACACAGATCAACCTAGTGTTACTGCAATGCATCTGGACCGTCCACCGGCATTCATGATAAACTACCTTCACCGTTTCGACGTGTTGGTTCTAAACACGGGTCACCACTGGAACAGAGGAAAGATCGAAGGAAACCACTGGGTGATGCACGTGAACGGAACGCGAGTCGTGGAAGACGAGTATCTCAAGGATATCAAGAACGCTAAGGATTTCACGATACACAGCGTTGCCAAGTGGCTCGACGCGCAGCTTCCGTTGCATCCGCGGTTGAAAGCCTTCTTCAGGACGATATCTCCGAGGCATTTTAAAAACGGAGATTGGAATACAGGTGGGAACTGTAACAACACGGTGCCTTTGTCTAGAGGAAGCGAGATCAGTGGCGATGGTGGATCGGTTGATACTACGGTGGAGAGTGCTGTGAATGGGACTAGGATCAAGATTCTTGACATAACTGCACTCTCTGAGCTGAGAGACGAAGCTCATATCTCAGGGTCTAAGCTCAGACCTAGGAAACCGAAAAAGGAGAGTAACGTGAGTTTGACTGCAACTCCAACGGTCAATGATTGCTTGCATTGGTGCTTACCTGGGATCCCAGATACTTGGAACGAGCTTTTCATCGCTCAGATTTAGTTATACTTTACACTCAAAAGGTCTCTGTTGATTCTTTTTCATAGAAAGTTTTTCTGTATTCATTCTTTGTCTTAACACAGATTGATTACTGATTACACTTGAATAAGAAAATCACGGATCTCTCACATACATGATCATCCTAAATCTCCCGAATGTAATGGTTACAAAGTGGTTTATACACGAAAACAATCAAACAATTTTTGTTCATAACCAAAACCGGTGCGGTCAACAATTGATTTCTAATGTAATTACTAATTGGCTTTAAGAACCGGCGTACGGAAGGAGATGACTATTTTGATTTTGATTTTGAAAAAAAAATTGGAAGAAGCTATGGCGAGTCTGGAGAAATTCGAAGCCATATTCGGAGAAGTCGTACCGGAACGTTCGGAGCCGGGTTCGGGTATACTCCGGCGATATCTGTTCCACGTCTACGCTTCCGATTCGTTTCACCTCACCGTCGATGTGACGGACTTCGTCTCAGGCGTCTGGACCACGATCCTCTCCATCTCGCAGCTAGACGATATGGTGCATTTACTCTTCCTTTTTTTTGTATTTCAGTTTGGGATTTTCTGGTGTGGAAAAACTGTCAATTTTGCTGAAACTCAATGAGAAAGCGAAGATATCAATGGATTCCAATTTTCACTTGTTTTTTTTTTTTATGTATACACTTGATTTGAAACAGAGGGATACTGTTGGGATTGGTGGATCATGGTCTGAGTTCCTCGATTACACAGTCGCTTCCTTGAAATCCGACTATGTGAAGCTTCTCCTCGGAGATAATACAGCTTCAAATGGTAATATCATGCCTGCTTGAGCTTGTGTTGACTATGATTTGACCTGCTTGAGCTTGTGTCTAATACTTTGCTTTACACTATTCTTAGCTGTTGTTGAGACTGCGCGGTTAGTTTCTCAGAAGGCCAAAGGAATGCCACGTGTAATCATTCCACTTACAAAGATGGTAGATTCATCTGCTAATGAGGCAATGGCAAATCTTTCTCTCGAGCTGTTCAGAGCTTTCAAGAGCAAGCGGCACTTGCAAGGTATCTTATTAAGGCCACTCTACTGTTGGTTATAAATGATAATCTGGAAAACTGAAAATTACTTTTTCGTCCTTGTTTGTGCCTTCAGGAGAAGTGAGCTCTCCAGCTGCAGCAGCTGACGAAAAGGTATTTTTGGTCTTTCTAATGCAATACACAGTTCCGTTCTTACGACTGGTTGGGAAAATCTCATTTGTATCGTGATCAGGATAAGAGAGACTCTGCCAATAACCAACTGGAACGACACTCCTCTGGAAAACTAGATGTTATGGCTCCAGCTACAGATAACCGGCTAGACTCTCCCGGTTAGTTCTCTTTGCTGGTTAAGATCATGTAGTATTTTATTTTCCCATATGTAAACAATCGTACCTCGTAATTTTGGCTGCAGCCAAGCAAGCTAATACAACAAAACCTGCTAAACGAGTACCTGCTCACCGGAGGTATATAGTATATACATTTATCATCTCCTCGCTAAACTTCATATGCTACATCCTTATGAATATGGATAATCTTGGTCTGAAACATAGTTATGGTTTTTTTTTTGCAGAGCCCGTAAACGGGGGGCTCTTCTGCAGGATTCAGAAGAGGAGGATGGCTAACCGGAACAGAACATAATCTTAGACGACACTTAAAGCCCATCAGCAGCTATCAGCAACAAACTTGGATTGCCTGGGGAGTTATGTTTATTACTCATGATAATTTCCCAGGTCCTTTTTTTTCTCTTTGTGTGAATGGATTTTGTGAAATTTATCTGTAAGCTTGAGATGGATTCCCAGTGGACACATGTCAGAATCCATTTTTGGAAGATCAAAAAGAAATAAATTGGAGAGTTCGTTATTATTGTATATTTCCTCTTAAGCACTGTTTCTTTCATATATGATTTGACGTATCCAATATATGAACTCATACACTCCAGTTCCGAGTTCAGACAATACATCTATATAGTATAGTTTCAGTTTGTGTCTCAGAGTTGAAGATTCTCCTCTTCCATGGATTCTCTGACTGCCTTCAAAACCCATGGCTTCAGTTTCTTGGTGGTAACTATGATCCCCGTTTTGTGAGCAAGATACTTTCCTCTAGAGAAGTCCAGAGATTTCCCTTCAGCATCGCAAACTACACCTCCAGCTTCTGCAAAAGGTTTTGTGTTATGCGTATCTTCTTTGAGTTTGTTAATGAATTGCCATTAGTGGGAATTAAAACTTGATCCCTTATGTGCTTGGAAATTAGCAAGCAAACGGTTGCTCTATAATATGCATTAGAGCCAACAGTTATCAGTGTTAAAATTGTTTTTGTGTACTGTACCTGTGGTGATGATTGAACCAGGAGCATGGTCCCATATACACTCACGGTGTCCACTGAGAGTGAAACGCAAGTATATCTCTGCGTCTCCTCGCGACAAAGCCGCATACTTAGCTTGGCTATCGATCCTTACAGGTAACGCTTTGATCCCGAGTTTCTGCTCTAACCATAAAACCGATTGTTTTTAGTAGAAAGAATCCATCCACACTTGGTTATGGCTTACTTAAGCTCACACTACCTTGGCAATGGAACCGTGGATGGGAATTGGTTTATGGTATGATTCTAAGAACTTCGCTTCTTCAAGCTTCTCATTGCTACTCACTCGCACCTGTCAACACAGCTTTCACTCTCTCTGTTAACACTTATCAAACAATTGTATGGTTCAGCTTTGGATAGGTCAATAATACCTTCTGTGGTGGTGAATAGCCGTTGAGTGGTTGCACGTAAGCCCCTGAACCCGTTGTAGCAAAGAAAAGACAGCCAACATTATCCTTGGAAGACTTATCATCCGTCTCACAAACCGCAGAATCCAAAGGAAGATTCGGACAAGCCATGACACCGAGCACGACTTTGCCTTCCACAAGCAACGCTAATCCCACCGCGTATTGCTCTCCTCTTACAAATCTAAACAAGCAGAGAAGTTTAATGACCTAGTTTTCAAAGATAAAGCATAGAGATTACATTGGTTTTGTTACCCTCTGGTTCCATCTATAGGGTCAAGAACCCAGTGGGAAACGCTGCAACCGCCTTCTGATTTACCGGAGTCTATAGCATTCAACACATCCTCTGTGGATAGAGGACAGGAGGCGTATGATTCCTCAGAAGCTAGAGCATCTTTCACAAGCTTCGTTATACTTTCTAGAAACAACTCGCTTCCCTCCTTCCGCAGATCTCCTGTTTCCTGTAAGAAGAATTTCCAGAGAGAACTAGATAAACATTTTTACTCTACAAGACTTCTGATTAACGACTGAGCTTTTTTGAGATATTGAACCTCTTCAGCTACTAATGACAGTGTTTCAGGTTGGAGCTCCCTCTCCAATACAAGACTAACCACAGCTTGTGATCCTGAATAAATCATCCATTAGTGGGAAAGGTAAGGACATTTTCTTGAAATTGAATTCGCATACAAACCGTAATCAGCGGCAGTAACCGGAGTTCTATCAGATTTTTTCCAGACTTGGGATTGCAACAGAGTCTTCTGCACTTCCTGATTCATTACATAATAAGAAAGTTTTTTTGAGTTTCAGCGATTCTCATAAATATGGTCCATGCTCTGATTCTAGCTTCCAAAAATAGTCTGTTACCTGGCTGAGACGAGCAGCTAGTGAGACTGCTTTCTTTGCAGCGGCTAGCTCCTTCTCATAAGACATTTGAAGGCTTAAAGACTCAGCAGCTTATACTATGTTGTTTTAAATAGCCAATGATTATTACATATATATAAAGCTACGTATAATATTTTGATGTTTGATATACATAACCGAGTTTCGTGTGAGACGGGAGTTGCAGACCGTCTTTCACGTAATTGTGGCCGAACAAGTTGGCGTTTAAAAAACGAAAGAAAAAGACTTGCGAGTAATTCTATAATTTGTGGAACATTTATCGAATATTGTAATTGTCTTGGTCAGTTGGTCTATCATATTCTACTAATATTCGTTAGAAGACGAGTGATCAGTTACCACTAAACACTAAACAAATTGTGTTTCTTTCACCTAACCAATACACTAATCTCTCTAATTAACCAGTATATGATTTAATATAAGAAATTTCCCAGAATTTTCTAATGGAATCTTCATAAAATAATATATCTTAGTTTCCCTTTTACTTATCAGTCGAGAAAGGTCTTTTTATTTGTCTTTTTGATACAGAAAAGGCCAAAAGGGCATATAATAGCTAACTTAGGCGTTTTCATTTTCAAATTATGATTTTGTTAATTTCACAAATCTTCACAGAAGTTTTACAGAACAGTTTCTCGAATATTTTCGATTATAATCATAAACAATCTTGAGAAAATGTTTCAAGAGCTTCCTAACATCAACATGAGTTTTTATATATATATATATATCAATCAAAGGTGAGTTTTTAGTTTTTTTTAGTTTTTTAATAGTCTGTGTTTTTGAAAAACACAGAGACAGATAAGGACACCACAAGAGGCAACAATAATAAGTAATATTACAGTTGCGTGTTAGTGAAGTTTCAGAGACGCAGCTTTTTGTTCTTCCTCTTCTTCTTCTCTAATCGATTCTTTTACTGCTTTCAAAAGCCTTGGCAACAGCTTCTCCGTCGTAACGACAATTCCTCTCTTGTAATCAAGATACTTCCCTTTCGAAAAGTCCAATGGATTCCCCGCTGCATCAGTCACTTTCCCTCCCGCTTCTGAAAGATAAAATTACACACAAACATCTGTGTGATCATTCATGAACATTGGATCAAAAGCTATGTAAACACGAAGAGCTCTAATGGTCTTCTTTACCTGAAACAAGGATATATCCAGCGGCATGGTTCCATATTGATTCGGGTCTTGGTTTGCGGGTAAACCTCAAGTACACTTCTCCATCTCCTCTAGATAAAGCTGCATACTTTGTCTGACTGTTGATCTTGATCGGCGATTCCTTTATGCCCAGTTTCTGTCATTTGAATTTCACCGCAAACAGAGTCATACTCAGAGCAAACTCAGACCAGAGAAAGTAGATATATAGAGAAAGGAGGAGGATGTTACCGTAGCAATGGTGTTATGGATGGGGACAGGTGTGTGGTATGATTCGAAGAAGCTCGCTTTCGCTGGATCATCAACGCTGCTTACCTCCACCTAATAGAACAACCAATACTTTCTTTATGTAAAACATATTGAGAGAAGTTTCCATAGTAATGCATCTAAACAATAGTGGTTTACCTTGACAGGAGGAGAGTCAACATGGAGTGACTGAACATAAGTCCCAGTGCCAACCGCGCCATAGAAAAGGCAACCGACATTTTCAGTTGTAGACTTGAGTGTGTTACCATTAGTGGATGCCAAAGGAAGCTTGGGACAAGCCATTACACCAAGTACTACTTTGCCTTCCACCAACAATGCTAATCCTATTGCATATTGTTCTCCTCTTATAAATCTACAAAAATGAAATAGTAAAATTTAAGTCCTGAGTACCCAAGGAAAGTTCAAAAATGTAAAACTCAGATACTAAGAAAACAGATACTACAGTTCTACTACTGATTAATCTCAATACAAATCCAGCGACGAGTAACTAACTCTAAGTAGCATTAGCGACTGTATACAAAATGAAGAAAGATTCAGTAAGTAAAGGCTCACCCTCTAGTGCCACCTATAGGATCCAAGATCCAATGGCGACCATGAGGACCTCCTTCTGATTTGCCACGGTCAATGGCGTTGAGCACATCGTCCGAGGACAAAGGAGAAGCAGCATATGATTCATCAGTATCAAGAGTATCTTTCACAAGCTCCGTAATACGCGCCAAAACATTCTCATTAGCAACCTTCCTTAGCTCACCAGAATCCTACAGACAGATTACACAAGAAAAGTCATAAATTAGATTAAAGAAACATCTGCTTGGATCATTCATTACAAAGTTGTTGCATTCTAGTCACCTCTTCAGCCACTAATGACACAGGTTCTTTCTGGAGTTCCCTTTCCAGCACAAGGCTAACCACCGCCTGCGAGCCTGAAAGAACATTTCTTTGTTACATTTATGAGCCAATAACAAAAAAGGATTCATATTTCTGACTTCTGAGCGAGAATGAGACCACATTTAAGACCCAAATCGAAACATTTTGCCAAAATGAGCAATGAAATTGCAAGAAAAAGGGGTCAAAAGAGAGCTTACCATAATCAGCAACAGTAACAGGACTCTCATCAGATTTATTCCAGACGTCAGTTACCAACAGAGATTTCCTCACTTCCTGGAAGAAACAAAGCAATTTCACTTTGTTCAAATCTGATTCAAGTCTCTCTAAGCCGTACATATAAATCTAAGAAACATTGGATGGATTGTTAAAACCCAATTGACAAAAACATTAAAAATCGGTCAGATACAAAATCGAAGATTCAGTCAAGAGCATAGCCTCATTGTTAAGTAATCTTCCATTTTTCATAAATCAAATCCCAGATTTCACGCCCTAATCCGAAAATACTCATCTCAGTTGACGATTTTCAAGGAAACAACCAAAAAGTCACCCATTCAACTTAATTTTTTCCACAGAGAGTTTAAAGAAACATCTGACTTTATCCAACACACATCGCAATGTCAACGAGCGAAAATGAAAAATCTAAATCGAGAAATCAAAAGAAAGGAAACGAGTGATCGTACGTTGCTGAGACGAGCAGCGAGAGAAACAGCTTTCTTCGCAGCAGTAAGCATCTCATCATAAGACATTGAAAGGGTTAAGAGTAGGAAGAAAAGAGTACGAAGAAGAAGAAGAAGACGAAAACGAAGGAAAAAATCTCTGTAGAATCGATTTATGAAATGAACAGAAAATCCTCTCGCGACTCTTGAAACAACTTCTTCGCAATCGTTTATTTATTATTTTTCTTATGGTAAATTTTTATGTAATTTCATTAATTGTTTCATTAATTGTCATTGGTCCTTTTCTTTGGTGCAAATTGTTATTGGTATTTAAAATTTTCACATCTCAACCGTTGTGGAAAAAGTAGACATAGGAGACCCCTACCGTTGAGAGTTGAGACAATGAAAGTTTGGCTCACGCTGTATAAAATACATTTAAATTTGCCTACCATCTAAATAGTTTCAAATTATTATGCTCTGCAGATTGTAAATGGCCTTATCTTCTAAGTTATAATCCAAATGTAGAAAACATAAAAAAACATACCATAAACAAATCCAAGAATGAGTTGGTCCAATAGGAAGATATTTTTCCTTGGAAAGAGATATTTTTTTCCGAGTATGTAATTTCAGACTTTCAGTCATTAAAAGTTCAAAACAATCAAATTCAATACTTTTTTTAGAGGTGAGGAGAAAAGCCATGTTAGATTTTATGTCAGGGGAAGAAATAGTATATGATTGACACCTTTTAATTATATATCACCCAAAAAAGTTATTTTGGGTACGTTGTCTTTATTTAGCTCAAACATTTTTTAATGCTTTTATTCGAAAGAGGTTATGCTTTTTCTTTCTTTCTTTTTCTCTGTAAAGAACGATAGGAGAATAAGTTCTTCTTTAATATTTTAGTTTATTAACTAAATAATAATAAGAAGTAGTGTAATCTAAATCTAATTAATTATATTGCAAATTGCTTTTAGTATATTGAATATGACGTGTGAACCTTTGGCCCGATCTCGTCAATCTTTCATCAACACAAAAATATCTTGATTAACACAGGACTTATAAATATACCATTCACATTAAAAATTGCTACCAGTAGATTTTGTACGCGTGCATATATGTTTTAAAGTTTGACTGTATTTATGAAATCTGACGCCGAATCATTCTCGTGAATGGGAATTTATCGAGAATTTAAATCTCGAATTTCAACCTTTTCTTGTGGATTAAAAGTTGCAAAATATAATATTTTTCATGGAAAGATTCTTCTACCAACGCGCTTACTTCCTTACAAACTAGCAAACGCGCTCTAAACACGTCGGTGCATTTAAACCTTAAAAGGCCTTTTCCGGCCCATATAACTCTCTTCAGCCTGTTACACTTGGCCCAAAACATTCGCTCACTTGTGTGCAAGGTTCGTTGTCGTTTTGGTGAGGAAAGGAAGTGAAACAAACAACAGTTGCAAAGAAACAAACAACAGAGAAGCAACAGAGAAGGAAGGAAGAAGAAAGAATCAGAGAGCTGAAGCTTTGTCTTGCTCGGCAATGGAGTCACGAACGGCTTTCAAAAGCAGAGGCATAAGCTTCTCATTAGCAACGATAATGCCAGTGTCCAAATCAAGATACTTGCCTTTCGAGAAATCCAATGGCTTCCCTCCTGCATCCGTCACAATCCCACCAGCCTCTGCTCCCAACAAAACGAAACCGAAACCGAATCAAATTCACATATCGGTATTGTCACATCAGCTCCAAAAAGAGAAAGCTTTATTAAGTTTACCTGTGACAACAATAGCACCAGCGACATGGTCCCAAATCTTTTCACGGTATCCTTTATGAGGAAACCTCAAGTAAATAGCTCCATCTCCTCTCGATAAAGCTCCATACTTTGCTTGGCTATCGATACGTACAGGTGGCGCTTTCACTCCGAGTTTCTGTACATGGCAAAAGAGAGAGAGATTGTGATCAAAGTTAGTTATTCAATGAACATCACATGGAAAGGGAAGGGAAAGAGAAGCAATTTACATTGGCGATGGAGCTGGATAAGTCGTGAAGAGAATGAGCTCCTTCGAATGACTCGAAGAACGATGCCTCTTCAGGATTCTCAACGCTAGAGACTTGTACTCTGACCGGAGCAGATTTCGAGTCTAGGAGCTGCATATATGTCCCTGAACCCAGCGTGGCGAAAAAGAGGCATCCGATTTCGTTGGAAGCAGAGTTGTTGTTCTTGTTGATTCCTGCTATGGATGCTAATGGCAAGTTTGGACAAGCAAGCACACCTAAAACTACTTTCCCTTCCTCTAGCAATCCTAGTGCTACTGCGTATTGATCTCCCCTCAGAAATCTAATTCACCAAACAACAATCAGATGAGCTCAGTGTAAAGAGATCACGTTTTAGCTGAGATTGTTTTCAAAACTTACCCTTTAGTGCCATCAATAGGATCCAAGACCCAATGTCGACCATTTGGACCACCTTCAGATGTGCCACAGTCAATGGCTCTGAGGAGATCATCTGTTGATAAAGTGGAGCCCCCAAACGATTCCTCGGTGGCTAAAGTGTCGTTCACGAGTTTCGTGATGCGTTCAAGAATGTCCTGAGAACCATCCTTGCGTAGATCACCTGAGTCCTATATAGATAGATTTTAACACAATGTGAGTCCTAAAACAATATAACTCAAGATAAGTGGAATGTGAGAGACATCTAATAAGCTGTTATAAAGTTGTCTCACCTCCTCAGCCACCAACGAGAAAGGTTCGGAAGTGAGTTCCTTTTCTAAGACTAAGCTAACAACTGCTTGTGAACCTGAAACTCAACAAAACACAGATTAATAGGTTGATCAAACTATGTGACTTCTTTGCAATCTCAGTAAGATTCAAAGATAAAAACTTTTGTAATCAGGGAGAGGTATAAGCTAACCATAATCAGCAACGGTCACTGGACTTTTATCAGATTTTGATTGAACATCTGACTGCAACAGAGCCTTTTGAACTTTCTGAAACAACCCAAAAACAACGAAGACAGATTTTGTTGAGAACAATTTGGATCGCAGATTCACACAATTTTCTCAAAAAGAGGATTATCAATTACACTATAGCACTAGAATCTATTGCCAATTATGGAAGCAATACACAATATACATATTCATCTCCAAACCTTAACATTGCCAGGCAAAACTCAAATCTCAAAATTTGAAACGAAATTCGGAAGATTGCGAAATGGGTTTTCAAAAGGAGCAAAATTTAAGAATCTGGGTCATGATTGAATCTAAGAAACAAGAGAGAAATGACGGAAAAACTCCGAACCTGACAGAGACGAGCAGCGAGTGAAGCAGCTTTCTTAGCAGCATCGAGCTCTTTCTCGTAAGCCATCGATGAAACTACTCTGAGAGTGAGAAATGAAGGAGACGACTTCCTTCGAAATACAGAAACGAGACGGCTCGACGAATCTCTGGGTCTCGAAATAGATGTTACTGCTGCAAATGTTTGAAGCGGAGCCTTCGCTGTTCGAAGGCAATTTATAGACATCTTTCGCCTTTTTCAAGATGATTGATTTTTCTGATTGCAAAACACAATTTTTATTACTTTTCTGAATTTCCCATAGACACCCACATAATTATTTATTCTCTTAAATTAAACCAGATAGTTTTATTTCCTATCAAGAAATACCAAATTGCTCTGTTGGTTTAGTGGTTCATTTAGTATAAAACAAGAACAAAGGGTCAAAATTCAAAAGAACCAAAACCTTTTTTTGGTAACATCTGTAAGAATCAAAACTTTAACGTTCATAGATTGGTGGTAGTTGAGTTTGGGCTAATGGCTACCGCACGTGTAAGTTGTGACAGAAATATAGTGAATTATAGGTAGTGAAGATGTTTTTAAAAGGTTTCTTGATTAATAATGAAGCCCAAGAAAGAAAAGAGTGCTCTCAAAGAAAATCAAATCATATATCGATTTAGAGTTTTCATGTTCTTAGGATCAGAAGCCCAAATGTTTCTTTCTTCAGAGAGAATCAGAGACCAAATATTGCCACGTTGATGTCCACATGAGATTGATTCTCGACAGTTGTTAAGATTTTGGGTTTTGGATAAATCATCATTAATGACGCATAGACAAAGACCATATTTTCTAGATTGACGATGGCGTGCGAGAGAGCAAAATGTTTTATTATTTGCCGGCGCAAGCAAAGGGTCACGTTCCACTATAGCTTTCAAGATTCAACTAACCTCTCTATTTTTTGTTTTTGTTTTTCTTTCTTCTTTATATATTCTCATTACAAAACAGTCTCTCCAATAATAAAACACTTTTTTTTCTTTCCAACTCTTCTTGGTCTTCGACAAACTCAATAGTTCTTCTTCCAACTTCTATCTGTCCTGATTGTGAAACTCATAAATATATCCTTAAATATTGGATTTTGGGGTTTCCAAATGAACAGAAGCGATAAACGTAATCAGCAGCCTTCATATATTGCTGATCATTTCAACAGCTTGGATCAGGTTTCTATAAAGTTTACCAACTTTCTTCTTGATTTTTCTTGATTATATGAGTGTTTTATTTACATATTCATAGTTGATGAAGCAAAGTGATGATAGAAAAACGGTTTTGTGTGGACTTTGCTTTGATAAGGTGATAACATCTCTGAGAGAAGCTGGACTTGAATCTTCAAATTTGATTTTAGGAATTGACTTCACCAAGAGCAATGAGTGGACAGGTGATTTATCCTTTTTTTTTTTTTAAATGAACATGTTGATAAGACGATTTTTCAATCAACGGTTGTGAAATCATGTTCGCAGGAAGATATTCATTCAATAGGAAAAGTCTTCACGCCATTGGTAAAAGACAGAATCCATATGAGCAAGCTATATCGATCATTGGACGCACATTGTCTCCCTTTGATGAAGATGATCTTATACCTTGTTTCGGTTTTGGCGATGGTTGGTTTTCTTGATTTTCTTGCTTTTATCAAAAAGAAGCTTAACAAAACTCTAAAATGGACTGACTTTTATGTATTCTTCTTCTTCTGCAGTAACAACACGTGATCAATATGTATTCAGCTTTTATCCCGAGAACAAAAGCTGCAACGGATTAGAAAACGCTGTCAAAAGATACAGAGAGATTGTTCCACATTTGAAGTTGTCAGGTACTAGTTGTGATCACAAACTCTCCAAATATATTTGGCTATCTTCTCTCTTAATCCTAAAGATTTAACATTGTTTCGTGCAGGTCCTACATCTTTTGCACCGGTGATTGATGCAGCAATCGACATAGTGGAGCAGAACAATATGCAATACCATGTTCTTGTCATAATAGCAGATGGTCAGGTCACAAGGAATCCAGATGTGCCATTTGGTCGGCTTAGTCCTCAGGAAGAAGCTACTATGAACTCCATAATGGCAGCTAGGTACAAGTTTTCACAATAAGCTCATATTCATTGTCATAGACTCATAGTCTCATCATACTAATGTTGTTTGATATGATTTTTCTAGCCATTACCCATTGTCGATCGTCTTGGTTGGAGTAGGAGATGGACCATGGGACACAATGAAACAGTTTGATGACAATATCCCTCACCGAGAATTCGATAACTTCCAGGCAAAATATGCAAAGATAGCAGCTATTCTCATCTTCTTTCTTTTTCCGGATATGGTGGTAAAACTCTGTTTCCTTCTACAGTTTGTGAACTTCACAGATATAATGTCAGAGCACAAAGATGCAGCTAAGAAAGAGGCTGCTTTTGCACTCGCAGCTCTCATGGAGATTCCTTTTCAATACAAGGCTACATTAAGTCTCAAGTAAGTTGACCTTGAGGAACTTCTTGCATTAGATTCTTGAATAGTCGGAAACAAAACCAACCTTTTGATTGTGTTTGTGAACAGTAGAAAACAAGTGCGCGGTTCCCGTTTGCATCACAAGCCGCTCCCACCACCACCGGAGGTCATAGAGCGTGACAATGCTGTTAAATCAGTGCCAAATCCAATAACAGAATCTGCAGAGAAAAGTGAAAGAACGGCTGCACCGGTAAGCTCTCTTTTCCTGCATTTGTTCTTGTTCTCTGTTTGTCTACGGATGCTAATCTTTACATTCCTTTTGTTTACCATAAAAGGTATGCCCAATTTGCTTGACGAATCCAAAGGACATGGCTTTTAGCTGCGGTCACACGGTAAGTGAAATTTGCAGAACAAGAAAACCTCTTGCTTGTTCCATGAAACCATATCCGTTTTGTGACTTATCTGTTGCTTTTGTTTTCACATGAAGACGTGCAAGGATTGCGGCGTTGTTGTCACGACATGCCCACTGTGCAGACAACCTATAACAACGAGGATAAGGCTCTATACCTGACTCGGCATTAAAGGAGCATCACTTCTTGTAGCACATTGTACAGTCCAAGCAGAAGAATAATAATACTTAAATCTTGAGATGTGTAATTTGTATGTATTGCAGTAGCTGTGAGGTTCAATGCAAAGAATTTGTTGATTTGATGAACAAACGAAATTCTTAGCGTGATGAAACAAGTAAATATGCAAGAAGAATCATCTTTCTTTATTTATCAAAAGCTACGTACAAGGAAGCAAAAGAGGTCCCAATTATAACAAATAAACAAAAGTTGAAAAGAAAAGCTAAGAACTTAGAAGTTCCAACGCTCGAGTTGTTGCTTGGCCACAGCCATATCTTTTTGTGCTTTCATTCTCCGGTAAAATATTGGACAATCTCGACTGGTAAAGAAAATCATAAAGAAAAGAAAGGAAATTGGGATCAGAATCATCACTTTTACTTGTTAAAAGTAAATTATAGATATCGAAGAGTATAAAGAGCAAAACCTGGTGCACAAGACATCTTGGTGAAGAGAGCCTTGACATTCCTGACACTGAGTCCACAGCCTCCCAAAGAGCTCCTCTAGGTCTGACACTGAGTTTACACAAAAGTTCTTTTAAGAATTAGCGAGGAGGGATCAAGAAGCCTGTTGTAGAAAAGGGGAAAAAGGTTAGCTTACCCTGAGACACATTCTTGCAATATAGCTCGGCTTCTCTTCCTTTGCAACCTGAGCATAGTGTTTTTCCATTGCTGGTTGAAGTAAAAACGAAAAGTTGATAAGCAAATCCCATATATATGGAACGAGATAAGAATATCACAGGACGGAACAATTTTATGATAAGAAACTTTGAAAACATAGAAACAAATACAGATCCGGAATAGAGAATCAAGGATCAAGTACAAATTAGTATGATCCAAATACTTCTTTCAAAGAGTAACATGAACAATACGTAGGCACGAAACCATAACCATCAAAGTACCTGATTAGAGATTTGCATCCAACACAGCTCAACTGTTTCTTGGCATATTTCATTATCCCCTCGTTGATTGAAGGAGTAGCGATTGATATTGACCTCATGTGGCTTCCTTGGAGAAGTTCCTTGCTGGCATTTTTCAAGACTGGCTCAAAAATCCTAAGAAGCGGCTGAAAACAACATCTGCTTTAACTTCCAAGCACCAGAACAAAGGCTACAAAATAAACTTATTATCAAGCCCCACTATTTACTGACCTTGCTAATCTGATTCTCCAAGTAGTAATGTGGGTCGATAGAAATGTTGTTCTGAAGCACGTAGATCGGATCTTCTGACCGTTCATAACCCTAGTTGTCATCAAAATGAGATAAGCACGGTAAAAGAGAATGACCTCAACATCTTATAAAAAGATAAGTAAAGTTGACATGAAAGCTACCTTGGCACCTTTAATAGCTTTAACAATAACATACGGTACCCTATCCCCAACATTTGGTGCTGTAGCAGCATCTCTCTGTCACATATGAAAAAGCAAACGTTTTCAAAGGTTGTCAAAAGTTTCACATGATAGATCATCAGACTCCGTAAGTGCAACCTCAGTTTCAGTGCAACCTCGTGAGTCATGATATATTCACCACAATAATGCATGGATTTAAGAAAAGTCACTGCAGCTCTAAATGATGCCGGAAGAATCACATAGATATCTTAAAGCCAAAAATATATAGTCTAACTGTTTAGCACATCCTTTTTTCAGTATGAGGGTGTGCGTGTGATGCTGGAACTAGAGTAAGTAGAGAAATGAAGTTTCCTGTAGACACGTTTTGTACATGTATACGAACGGAATCAAACAGCAAGAGATAAGGATAAAGAGTACCACAAACCTTACGCATGCGTTCAGCAAGTTCACCATGAGCTGATTTATTTTCATAATTATCTCCCGTCTTAGTTAGACCCTATTATTTGAGAAGTTTAAAACCAGATCAAGGTTAGGTTTTGAATGGCGTTATTTTTTTAGGATTTCACAGATGGATCTAATCATGACCGTACACTTCACAAGATAAGTAATCAAGCAAAACACCTTACCTTAGTAATCACCAAAAGTGATAAGTCAATACGGTTCATGAGAAGATCTGAAATTGTATTCTTAACATACTCAGCTGCGCCTGGAACATCTCTATCAATAAGTATCTTGTGAAGACTCTCAGTCACAAGGTTCTTAACCAGTAAACAATTATCCCTTCTCACTGTCTCGATTCCTGCCATAGCCAGTCATATAGACACTTAGTTCAGAAATGAACAAGTTAGAAACTGTGAGATTACGGAGATTTACCTTTGGTGTCCATTTTGTCAAACTTTTGTGGATTTGTCCACAACAAACCAGCATATCTCTTCTTGTTAATCAGCAGATATGGGAAATAGACTTTCTCGAACTCCAATTTGATGGGCTTTATGACATCATACACAATCAAGAAACAGAGAAACGATTCAGCCCCTCGTAATTTGTTTTCTAGATATCATGTAATCTGGCATATACTCCTCGCAAAACAAATCACTCACTTTGATAAAAGTTCCGCTAATATATTCTGCAGCTTCCCTCCCCAAGTTCATCGCAGCTTCTACATCCGATACTCCAAATTGCACCATGACTGAATCCGTGTCTCCATAAATAACCTAATACATAATTGTCCGTCAAAGTGATGAAACCAAAGAGTTATGTTTCACTCAGCCTTTTCAATACCGCAAGTAATCATTGAAAATGTACCTCTGCATTGTATTCATACCCTCCCAATGTTGTGAATTTATCTTCCACAAATTTCTTCGTTTGTTCAATCATCTGGCGACCTTCGAAAGATACACGTCCATCAGAATGAAATTATAATATACGTGTCTAGAAAAGTTCAAGTGAAATACCATAGCTGGTTACACTTGAGGATATCTCTAAGCAAGGTAACTGCCCAATAGTGGCTCCCGTAAACCCATATACAGAATTTGCGCTAATCTGAGACAACGATAGAAGACAAATGTAAAGAGTAAATTTACAGGGAAAAATCATTCACAATATCTGAACATTCTAATCAGGTTGTAGATGACCAACTTAAATAAACTGAATGTAAGAAGTTCACCTTCAAGGCCAACTGTCTACCATCTAAAACAGCCTTCACAAGCGGATCCTTAGCCTCCTAAATTAGACAAGCAATAGTAGCTGTTAAGGGCTGCATAAACATACTGAAGACTTTCTTCAGAAAAGTTATGTTACCTTTAAATCTGCTTTAGCTCTTTTACGGGCACTGAGAAGCTCTTCAAGAATTTCTGGAAGTATGCCCTGAAATAAAATTATTGGTATTTGTTGTATTTCCTCAAAGAAATGATTCAATAGAACTTAAGGTAATTCAGGCCATTAAATCCAACAAAAAGTGGCAACCTTTTGTAAACTTTGTTTAACAAAAGTTTCCCCTGATGGAGTTCTATTGATTTGCTCAGGTGGAAGATTCAGTTTGACTACATCTTCAGGTGTCACCTTCAAAGATAAGAAGATGGAAATAATGCGCAAATTAATAAGGTGTATGAACAATGGATGATAAAATAAACAGAACTTAAAAAGAAAATGCCAGAAAGAATTACCAAGGTGCAGTAGCACAAATTATATGCCATCATAATTGACGGATACAATGAAGCAAAATCCAGAGTTGCAACTGGCTTTTCATAGAAACCTGTTCTTGCTTCTAAAACCTGATTATCATTTGAAACATTCAAATATTAGACATGTCAGAACAGTGGAATATATATCATCGACGATTTGTGTTTCCTCAAAACATTAGATAGAAACTAATAAATGTTGGACCCGTAGATCACCAACTTACAGTTGCGCCTTCATAAGTTCCTTGTTCAGACCCCGACTGTTTAGCATTCGGAAGAACCAGGTTCTTTTGTTTAGCTTTCCTAAGAAGCTGAGATAGAACCTAGAATAATAATACGTTGAGATACAAAATATCAGCCACCATAGTCAACTGAAAAATTAATCCAGAAACTATTATTTGAGAACTACCTTAATACTCTGTCCTCTAGCAAGAAGAAAGGATATAGGGACACCAGTTACACGAGCCATTTCGACATAGTTATATATAAACATCAGTTTGTCCAGAAGCCTCTGAGGAAGATATGCATCCTGTAACAGCAAAGAGGAACGTGGTTAAGTTTCATATTTTCAGAAGATTCAGATGGTTAACTATTAACAGAGAGACAAATAATTCAGAATAAACAACAGAAGATACCTTCAAACAATAAACAGCAAGACGCCTCCTGGTTTCCGAATTCCCATTCTGGAGATCGGTTATAATAGAATGGTGGACATCCTCTTTCTGAAGAAGACAATCATATTAGCCACATAACAGAAGAGAAAGAACCTGAAATTCTAAGCATAATTACTCAGTTTCACCTGTTCTGAAAGAAAGTGAGCTGAGACAGAATTCAGCGAGTAGGAACTTAATTTGTAGTCTCTATGTATTGCCTACAATAAATAGAAGGAAAAATAGTTGATGGCTTTGCAAGTGAACAACAAATCTAAGAATGACTCGACCAAAAAGAATTTGCCAGAAACAGAAACCTGAAAAAGGTCAAACTGAAATCGTCCTTCAATTGTGGTCTCTTTGCTCTCCCTTGTTCCTTGTTGTCTGAAACATGGCACAAGTTACTACGGGAAGTAATATAATACCAAACGATACGAGTTTAGAGAACTCATGCGCCACAAAAATCATGAAGAATAACAAAAACAAAATAAGGAGAAAGCGATGGCAGATTGCAAGAACCAGTTACTCCTACACACCTTGATGAAAAGGTTGAGTCCCTCATTCGGACCCTACTATTCTTTATACGACCAAGAAGAGGAAATTCCTCTATTCCCAGTGTTGCAGCTCTCTGAGAATTAGAAAACAGCATATTTTCTAGGTAAATAGATTCGTGATATGTAAATGTGCCACTCAGCGCAGAGGAACATAGCAAAATAGTACTTATATAATGCTATAAAAATGGAAGAGCAAGCTTCCAATACAAAGGTAATATAATGATCTACAAAAAAGAGGTTAACGTTCAAGTACCTCAATCAGATAAGGTAGATCGAATTTGCAGATGTTATAGCCAATGATGATATCCGGATCAACATCACGAATAAAGTTCTGCAACAAAATACATATTACCACCCATTAGCACAACACATGCTTCACCAAAGCCTCCACAAAATTGCAGTGGCAACCTAAAATTTATTAAATCTTTCACAAAGTCCTTAAACAACGTTAGACTATAAAAAAGTTTGATTCTGCAAGTTAAGGTGCCGAAAACAGAAAATATTTATGAAGGGCAAGTAATGCACACATGGTAAGGAAAGATGAGAGGAGGCAAAAGGAATTACCCTCCAAGCTAGTAAAACCTCTCTTTCTGTTTCGAAAGACATGACATCTACGCCTACTATTGGAGCACATGATTTAAGAGTCATGACATTGCGTACAAATGGTTGATCCTCTCCCTGATTAGTTACAAGGTTCGCTATCTAGAAAAGAAATGAGAATGTTGTTTCAAGAGGGATGTAAACAAAGGAACCAGATAGAGATATCAAATCATAGCAAACCTGGATCACAGGATCATGCTTAGCCTCTGGAAAGTGTCCTTTACGACCTGCACACTCAATATCGAAACTTAGCACACGGAATGGAGCCATTTTTGAGTATTCACCTTCTGCAGCATGACTGATCAAATCTGAGTATCTAAAACCCATGTTAAAGAAAGCAATGTCATAAATTAGAATCTTTTACTAAATAAACATATTCTTGCTTCAAAAAAGAAACTCAAAGATCTTAGTTGAGGATACAAGCAATGGAACTCCAATTGGCAGTATGACAAAGTTCTTGCATCCTTCTTATATTTCCCAGCAGGCACTTCAATCCAATTCCCTCCAACAATATCACGATCAACCATGAAACGGAGAGCAAAGACAATATTGCTCTCGTATGTTTGGAAGCTCCTCATACCCAATCCATCAATTTGTATGCCTCTATCAAGGATCCCTACCAATCCAAACAAATGCATTAAGATAAACGAGTAAAGGAGATAGTAGTAGACCCATAAAGCACAAACACTTGGGAAAAATCATACCGCGACAGCTAGCAACCATAGTCGGCAGTGCAACTGTAATCTTCAGAAAAGGTTGGGATTTTTGCTGTTGGTAGTACATAATGCTTCTCTTTTGCACCATTTCTATATGACGAACAAATTTCGGAACGTTGGCATTTTTATTCGATTCCCTCATCCTTCCCTGAACGATTCAGATACGCATTATAAGAATCAAACTACAACAATCTCAAAGATTTATTTGCCTAAATAGAGTAAATACCTCAAGACTCTGATGGAAACGAGAGATATCGTCTGGTCCCATTCCAGGAGGGCAAGCAATGTAAAAGTAGGGCTCAAACCCATGAACATAGCAACACACACTATGACCTGAATACATAAACCAGAAATTAAGTTCATCAATGAAAGGAAATTGTTCACAATAACATATTCAACTATCACCACTTCTTAACCAGAATACTTGTAAACAATATGCAGTAAATCAAAACTCTGATCCTAAATCGAAACACTTAGATTGCGAAATCGCACAGTGAATCGATAATCACGAACCTTCTCTAGTTACCCCGAAAATTCTGATGATTGCAGCTTGCCCTGAGGAACCCGGTAACAGTTCCTTATGACTCTCCTTAATCACATAGTCAATCTCCAATTGCTGGAAAACTAACAAACCCAAATCGAAATCAGTTGAGCAATTCCAGCATCATAAGATGAAACTACGAATTGTTGTCAGTAATGTAAAGAAACTCAACTGATACTCTGGGAATTGGAGAGATAAGCGGGTGAGAGAGGAGGTCGAGCCCAAGTCGAGGACCGTGCGGAAACCGCTTCACGCTCCTCGATATCCCGGAGGATTAGGGATGCCTCGTCCTCTTCGTCCATGAACACATCCTCGTCCACGAATTCGTCTTCTAGGGTTCCGACGGCCGGAGACGGGGTCGGATTACCCGTGGCGCGATGCTTCCCCGCCGGTGGGGTATTCGACGGAGGAGGTCGCTTTTTGGAATTCCCGCCTTTATTCATCGCTTCTAGTTTCGGGAGAGCGGCAAAAGGAAGAGAAAGGAGTGAGTTAGTGAGGGAGCTCGCTCGTGAAGGTCTTTAGAGCAGAAAAGGAGGAGATTGATTACACATTACTGCAATTCCCGCCAGTTTTAAGGGTTTTACTATTGAGAGACAATGTCACATGATCGTGTTTTTATTTAGTCTAAATAATTCAACCAATTCTCACAACCTAAGATAAAAACTAAGCAAAAATTTAGAAATACTAACCAGAAACGTTTGTAAGAAATCCAATATTACTGCACCCAAAAAAAAACAAAAATCCAATATTATCTTCCAATCAATAAACCAACATCTTGATCAATAAAACTTTCGAACTTATGCCAAACAACAAAAAGGAGTTCCAATAAACATCGATCTCTTTTAGAATCTTGCTTCAAGTTGTTCTAACTTCTCATGTTTCACAATATCTCAATCCAAAAAGCAAAAACGAACTATATATACACATAACACATTATTCATTCTTCAAAGTTCAAACCACACACAGCACTAAACTTCATTCTCAACCTTGATCGACTAAAATCTTTTCAATATGCTATCCGAGGAAGCATGAGTGTATCAAAATTGAATCCAACTATTTTGTCGCACCTAAATCAGGAAGGAAAGATTCTTCAAAGTTTAAGCGAAACCCGAAACGCCTTTTTGGTTAAAATTGTTGTTTGAGTATTTAAATAGCCACGGAGAGACAAACCACTTTGAGAACGGGGCTTGTTTCGGCATTTCAAAAGGCATCGGAAAGGCCCGGCCCAATTACGGACCATATCAGAAATTTACAGTCGCAAACGCTGAAAACGTTGACGTTTCGAGTGCACGAGAGCCTATTGAAACAAATATGACAATTTTCACAAATAAATATATTTTGTGAGTACAAAAAATGGAATTAAAATATAACATTTCAGGTTAATAAATCAGAGAGAGAGAGCGTATTTTTAGGTTATCATTTCGTATTGGAACTGAGAAATCTTCAAATTTCAAAAACTAGAAGGAAAGGCGGGATTCCGATACATCTTCTTCTTCTTCTCTCCATTATTACAAAAATCAATCCTCGAGAAACACACAGATCATCTCGAGAAAACAGTGTTGCAATGGCGGAAAACACGGCGAGCAGTAGAAGAAAGCCTCAGAGCTTGAACGATCGTCACTATCGTCTCCTCCAGGATCTTTCCGCGCCTCCTAAGCAGCAGCCTCCATCTTCTTCCCGTGGTAAAATTCTCCTCTGTTTCTATTCTATTGGTTAGTCTGTGTCTCGATTTCGTATCTGTATTTGATTTTAGATATGTTTTTGGGGGTTTCAGATGGAGAAGATGAAGGAACGAAGAAATCCATGAATAAGCTTGCTGGACGACGGCGTCTCTGCAAGGCCTCGGAGAAGGAAGATGTAGACGATGAAGAGGACGATGACGATTTGGCCGATTTCGATTCCCCAGGTAATCTGGCTCTTCACCTGATTTTAGGGTTTTAGGATTTTGGGCATATCCATTTCTCAGAAAATAAGCTGATTAGAATGCTTTCGTCTTGCTTGATGCTCGAATCAGGTAAAGGAGATACACCCATCGAGAGAGATGGAGATGGAAACATGTTCACATCTCGGGGTGAATCGAAGGAAGCTAGCACAAAGGTTGCTGACGAGCCCAACTTCTCGATGATCACAGACTTTGGTTCGCCATCACCACAGCTTAAGCAAACGGAGGAAAGGGAAGATGGTGGAGGAAGGAATGAGATTATGGATATTTTGGATGATCTGACCTCTAAGCTTGGGACTATGTCGATTAAGAAGAAAAAGGATACGGATCAAGTAAAGAGCCGGGTTAATGATTTCGATTTCGAGAGCGTCAAATCCTCATTTGACGTTGATAGTGACAATGACATCCAGGAAGAGGAAACTAGTAATGAGCTGTTTGCAGGTGAAAGGGGAGGAAGAGTTTCGAATGTTGGAAAGCAAAACTTATTTTCTGGTCAGAGCTATGTTGATAAGTCTGAAGATAACAGGCAGGGATACAATCTTGACCTTGGGAAGGGCAAAAGCAAGGACGTTGGCCAAAGTCTGAAGACGAGTAAGCATGTAGAGGTCACTGAGAAGCTAAGAACAGCTGGAAGGTCGAATGCTGGTAAACTAAGAGACTTAGACGACGAGGATGATGATGATGATGATGACTGTGTCGTTTTGTCTGGGAAAAAGGCAGCTGATATGAAAAGCCATCTTGAATTCAAGCCTAAAAAGCCAGCTCGGTCTAACAACATGGAGAGACATGGTTATAATGAGAGAGTGGTGGAGGATGAAGATGAAGGGTCTATCACTTTAACTGGCCACAAAATGTCTTATACATTGCCTGGAAAGACTGCAACAATGTTATATGCACATCAGAGGGAAGGGTTGAAGTGGCTTTGGTCATTGCATACCCAAGGGAAAGGTGGAATCCTTGGAGATGATATGGGGTTAGGTAAAACCATGCAGGTGAGGAAATCTGCAACCTTAACTTCTTCCTTTTTCCTTTACAATAATAGATCGTTGATTTCCGGTTGATTCTTGCATTGCAGATTTGTAGTTTTCTTGCTGGTTTGTTCCACTCTAAATTGATCAAACGTGCTCTGGTAGTGGCCCCAAAAACACTGCTGCCTCACTGGTTGAAAGAATTAGCTACAGTGGGACTTTCACGAATGACTAGGGAGTAAGAGCGAAATTTCTTTGATATTTTTACAGAATTTATTTTTACTGTAGTGATACTGATTGTCTTCCTTTCCTTCTTACAGATACTATGGCACTTCCACAAAAGCCCGGGAATATGATCTCCACCACATCCTGCAGGTACATGTTCAATCTTCCATTGTTAGCTGAGAAATATTTTATCATTTCTTTATTGGTCTTGTTCTTCTCCAGATAGTGCTTTTTTATTGTTTTTGTTCTCCAAATGGTATAGGTTTTCAATCTGAGATATCTCTAACTCTTGTAGGGTAAAGGTGTTCTTCTAACGACCTATGATATTGTACGGAACAATACAAAGGCTTTGCAAGGTAACGACCTTTATGATGATGAGGATGACGAAGATGAAATCAAATGGGACTACATGATTCTGGACGAGGTAAATACATATCAATATTTAAGCGCTGAGATGCATTGGTATCAATATGATGTATTGATATTTGTACTCTTAGGGACATCTTATTAAAAACCCCAACACACAAAGGGCCAAGAGTTTGCTTGAGATTCCAAGTTCTCACCGTATAATAATTAGTGGTACACCAATCCAGAATAATCTTAAGGTATGTCTAGGACATTTAATGTTGGTCAATTTTCATTACTGAAACTATTCTTGCAATCCTAGTGCCATCTATTGATTTCATATTCATTTTTAACAGGAACTGTGGGCTCTCTTCAACTTCAGCTGTCCTGGGTTACTAGGTGACAAGAATTGGTAAATATTTTCTCCCTAATCCATATTTTTCAGAGTACATTCACTAGCTTTGTATTATTAAACATTTAAGCTTTAACAGGTTTAAGCAGAATTATGAGCATTACATTCTTCGTGGAACGGACAAAAATGCCTCTGATAGAGAACAGAGGATAGGCTCGACAGTAGCAAAGGTGAGGATCCAGTTCGAGTATGCTTGAGTGGATCTTGGTGTATGTTGCCACAGTCTGTAGGTTGTAAATCTCACGAGAAAATATTTTCCTGTTTATGTTCTTTTGATTTCAGAACTTGAGGGAGCATATTCAACCTTTCTTCTTGCGGCGCCTGAAGAGTGAGGTCTTTGGTGATGAGGGCGCAACCTCCAAACTTTCAAAGAAGGACGAAATTGTTGTATGGCTACGATTAACAGCTTGCCAGGTGTAACCCCTGAACACCTAAATACAGTCGCTGATCTAATATTCCCAGTTTTATAGAAATACTGATACTTATCTCTTTGTTGCAGAGGCAATTATATGAAGCTTTCCTAAACAGTGAAATTGTTCTGTCAGCTTTTGATGGTTCGCCTCTAGCAGCTCTAACGGTAACTTGAAGCTCTGTTCTTGTCTTTTATCTGTTTGTTTGATCAAGTATGTGATTTTACATGAAAAATTGGCTTCCTTTCCTCAGTTTAAAAACATTTCAAGTGTATATGTCCTGTTTAAAATATTTTCTGACTACATTCATTGCAATGTTATAAAACAGATTCTGAAGAAAATATGTGACCACCCGCTTCTCTTGACTAAGAGGGCTGCTGAGGATGTCCTCGAAGGAATGGAATCAACATTAACACAAGAAGAAGCAGGCGTGGCAGAAAGATTGGCTATGCATATTGCAGACAATGTGGATACAGATGATTTTCAAACCAAGAATGACAGTATCTCTTGCAAATTGTCATTCATCATGGCACTACTGGTTAGATCAAATTTACGGTTCAATTAGTAACATTCATTTTGATGTTTTGTTTGCTTGACTGACATCCTTTCTACGTTGTAACTCAGGAAAATTTGATTCCAGAAGGGCACCGTGTTCTAATCTTTTCTCAGACACGAAAGATGCTTAATCTCATTCAGGTTTGTTGCTAACTTTACCCCCCAACGGCTATATTTGACTTTATAGGATTCTTCATGGTTTGTGGTTGAAATTTCAGGATTCTCTTACCTCTAATGGTTATAGTTTCTTGCGAATTGATGGTACAACAAAAGCCCCTGACAGATTGAAGACTGTTGAAGTGGGTTTTTCTCTTCTCATACCTTACAAGTCATTTTTTCCCGAGTTAGCTATTCTCTCTTGTCATCACAGTTCTTTAAAACCTTCATATATTCCAGGAATTTCAAAGTGGTCATGTGGCTCCTATATTTCTCTTGACATCTCAAGTTGGTGGTCTTGGCCTTACTCTGACAAAGGCAGACCGTGTGATAGTGGTTGACCCTGCATGGAATCCAAGGTACTTACTTTCCATTGAGTATTCTTTCAACAGCACAAGTCTAAACGTTTTGTAAAATACAATGTTACTCGCTCGTCTATCAGAATTCTGCATCTCTAGCTCGTCTATTTTGCTTCCTGTTTAACTTTACATGCTTGTTGCCGGATCTCTAATAGGTTATTAATTTGTAAATGATGAAAGATTTGTGTGTTTGCATTCCTCTGCTTTATACATTGCTTTGTGAAACTTTGATGTAGTCGAAAACTAGTATTGGGAAAGCTGTTAATGTTTTAAGTCTCTTGATAATAATTTCACACGACATGATTATATGGTATCTGTGCAGCACTGACAACCAGAGTGTTGATCGAGCATATAGAATCGGTCAAACAAAGGATGTCATTGTTTATAGGTTAATGACCTCAGCTACTGTTGAAGAGAAGATATACAGAAAGCAGGTCTGTGACATGTTTATATTTTATTCCTTGGTTTTGATATATATGACCGGCTTTTGTGATATATAATGCCGTCGGTATATGCTTCTGTAGGTGTACAAGGGAGGCCTGTTTAAAACTGCGACTGAGCATAAAGAACAAATCCGCTACTTCAGCCAGCAGGTTTAATCTCTATTCTGTTGTCAGTGGAGGTCTAAATGTGTTCCTGGCTTTACTTTCTAAATGTTTTACATCAAATGATTTTTGTTTTTGTTTTAGGATCTTCGAGAACTTTTTAGTCTTCCCAAGGGAGGCTTTGATATTTCACCTACACAGCAGCAACTACATGAAGAGCATTATAACCAGATCAGATTGTAAGCGAAGCCTCGATTCTTAGCAAAACAGAAAATGGTTTAGTTTCAAATATGGAATTAGCTTATCTTTGTTTTGTTTGTGTAGAGATGAAACTCTGGAGTCCCATGTCAAGTTCCTGGAAACTCTCGGCATAGCCGGAGTGAGTTATCACAGTTTACTCTTCTCCAAGACTGCTCCTATCCAACCGATACAACAAGAAGAAGTTGAAGAAATAAGGTGAAGCTTCTTCTGTCTTCTTTCATTTCTTTTTTCAGTAATAAAACAGTTCTCATTCGTCTTCAAATCCTGTTTCTGATTATTTCTTCAACATTTTTTATACAAAAAAGGAGAGGAGCAACATCGTTTGTGGGACGCCCATCAGCAAGTTCTTCACAAGACAACGTGATCAATGGGTATTATTACCATCAACAGCCTTTTGTTAAACTTAAACTGTTGTGTTTTTTCCGTATGATCTCTCTCATCGGTTTTGGGAAAACTGTTTCTGGTATAGGGCTGAGTATGCTTTCAAGCCAAAGGATGTGAAAACGTTGGACAAGAGAATCAACATTTCCCCAATCGACGACAGTGAATTGTCCGAAAGCGAAATCAAAGCAAGAATCAGTCGGTTGTCTATGCTATTCGAGAACAAGGTAAAAGACTATCAAATCAATTCATGTAAATATCCTGAAAAAAGCTTCAAGCTTTATCTCTTATGTCTCTGTTTTGGGTTTCGTTTTTGTTCATCTCACAGAATACAGTCGCAAGGCTACCTGATGGAGGAGCCAAAATACAGAAGCAGATTGCTGAATTGACTCGAGAGCTCCAAGAAATAAAGGCAGCACAAAGCAATCATGTGCCTCAAGTTATTGACTTGGAAGACATAAGTCAGAAGATGCACAAAGGATTGAATCTCTAGGCTAAGACACAAGTCAAGATGCAATAACACTTGATGATTTTGTTCCTTATCAACTTTGATTTCTTTGTTGAATTGAAAAGTCAATTACCAAATGACTTATTGCATAACATCAACGTTATTGATATTATTTTTTAATCCAGATTTTATCTTATAATCCCAAACTAGAGTGTATGAAGGTTTCTAATCTCAAAAAGTAAAAATAAAGGAATTAGAACCAGATTTTATATTTTTCCAGTGTATTTTTTTTTTTTTTATTCTGCTGCAGTGTTATACGTAGAGAGCTCAATTTGGATCAAAACAATTGTAATCCCATAGTATTACTTTACCAAGTAAAGTTTTCAAAATTTGACTGAAGGGAAAGTGAAAGAAATTAAATTAAGGGATAAGACTGATGTGTTGTAATGATTAATGAATAAAAGGAAAATATCTTGTAGTTAGTTAAGAAATCTTTGAATACAACGTCACCAACCCTAAAATGTGATTTTCTATCTTTGCACTTGAAAGTTTCAAAGCCATCCTTCTCTTTAAATAGTGGCTCATTCTCTCAACAAATTCTTCATCAACCCAAAAAATTCTTCAGTTGTATTCTCAAACATATTCTATTGTATTCCATGTCTCTGTGCTCATTCCCTTGAGACTCTGAAAGGTGTTTCAACAACTGATGATTTTTTTTTCAATCAGTGGTTGAAATTCACTGACCAAGTTTAAGCGAATGAGCTCAAGAGATATGGAATGGAGGTAGATTCTACACATGTTGTTTTTGTTTGATATTTACATTGTAGATCTCATTAGTATTTGTTTTTCTCCTTCAACAGAGTTGGTGAATATTGTTATTGCCAATAAATATTTTGCTATCAAAAGGTGAATCCGCCTTACATAGCCTGTCCTAGCTTGGATAAGCCTATGAAACTGTACTAATGCGTTTGGTTTTTAAACTTCCAAACTTAAACATGTACACGCTTCATCAGCTGCTCCAAGTTTGGACAAGCAATGTACAGCAGTTTCTCCTTGGCAAAATACTTTTTGTTGATTGAACTATAACATTATTCGCTCACTCTTTTGAAGGAGACTATATATTTACAAAGATCTGCAATAAAGTGTCATGACAAGTAATCTGCACATGTTATCATCTTTGTTGATGTTCTATTACGGCTTCCAATAAAATGTGTTCGCTCCTTTACAAAGAGTAGCAATTCTAGTTTCACTCGATGAGCAGCAAGTTTGTTGTAAGAACTGTCAATTAATGGAGAATGTAATTGTATCTATAGTACTCGGACGAGCTATGTATGATAGATAGATTCTCCCTTGTTTGACTTAGAAAACAACAAAACTTGGTGTTGATGGAGTAATGCTAGTTCTTGCTTAACTGCTTTTCAAAGGACCATATAGATTTTATTGGAAATCCTAGGATGTCAATAAAGACACACTATTTTGTTTATTTCTTGGATCTTAATTGGTTGTTAATCTTAATTGTATACGATACAACTCTTTTGCGTCATTTTGCGTGGCTGATTTATTTGTTAAGCAAAACGGAATCTTAAACCCAACCGGAACACTTGCGTTTTTTACTCTTAGAGTGAGAGAATGTCATCAAAATAGACAAAACGGAACACACTTGAAACATATTCTACTCATATGACTAAACAAAGAACACACAAACTTCATCTTTTGGCCTCTCTCTCTCTCTACAAGAGCTCTTCACTCTTCCTAAAATTGACGCATCTAAAAAACCTTAAAAACCTCAGAAAAATCGATTACAATTTACACAACTTACATCATCGTTCAAATTCTTGGGATGTTAAAACTATTACTAGTTGAAGTTGAAGCTAGCGTTGCGGCTCCATCGCCCTTTCAAGTATTCCTCAACGGAGATACTACTAGCTTCAGGGCTACTATCAGAAGCTGCATCATCTTCCAAATCAAGCAACGCAAGGTTTATGTGTGATTCTATGTTTGTCAAGTATGCTGTTTCATCTTCTGACGCTCTTCCTTGTTGCTTTCCCCACTCTGTTGCTTCTTCCTCCCCTTGTAAGATCTTTAGCACCTGTAAATTTATGAAATTAACTCAGCAAAGACTCAAGAATTTATAAAAAAGAAAGGAGAGCTCGACAAGATAACGGCATTTAAGCTTACAACGCCGATTTGTGGACGGTCATGAGGTGCGCGTTTGATGCATAACGTGGCAGCTAACAGTAGTCTCTCGATCAGATCGTTGCTGTTATCAGTTTCTACTAGTCTTGGATCCAGTAACTGAGCAAACTTTCCACTCTCTAGAATTGGGTTTGCCTGGGAAAGAGATGCAACTTAGTCATTTCCTGCAGTCATGGTGTGAAGTAAAAAGAAATGCAAAAAAACTGTGCGCTTACCCACAAGACAAGGCTCTCCTGGCCTTTAGATTGGTCGACGCAGATTGGTTTTCTACCGGATAGGAGCTCCAGCAATACAACACCAAAGGCATAGACATCAATCTTGTCGGTTACTTTACCGTGCATGAAGTACTCTGGTGCTAGGTAACTGTCACAAAAGGAAAGTTAAGAGGATGATTGATGGAGCGATGATGGTCTTTAAGGGAAGGTGTTAAAGAAACAAAGCTAAATACCCAAATGTTCCGGCAATACCACCACCGGACACATGCTGTGAAGCACCTGAAGCCAAGCTGGCAAATCCGAAATCTGAGAGCTGAAACCAGTATATTATTCAATGTCAAATCACCAAAGATCCAGGAAGATTATGTTTTAATTGCATCTATGAATGAAGTCAGATTTCAATAGAAAATGTGTAGCAGTACCTGTGGCTCAAAATCATCTGCCAAAAGAACATTAGAAGACTTCACATCCCGGTGAATCACCTCTGGATCATGAGTGTTATGTAGATAGTCTAGTGCCTCGGCAACACCCACTGCTACTTTATATCTCTCCAGCCAACCAAAATTTGTTGCATCCTTTATACTACCTGAATCAAGAAAGGAAAATAACAAGATATAGATATTTCTCTGGTATGAATGTATGAGAAGGAGTATCAAATATGTGGTTTACATACCGTGAAGGTTTTCTTCAAGGCTTCCTCGTGGTAGATAGTCGTACACCAGCATCAAATTATTATCCTCAAAACAGAAACCAAAGAGAGAGACTATATTCTTGTGATGCACACTTGTAATGACTTCAATTTCAAGTATAAATTCTTTCAGCACGTCAAGACAAGGCTTCAATATTTTGACAGCCAATTCCCTCCCATCTGGTAGGTCTCCTCTATAAACATAACTATTACCACCTTCTCCAATCAAGTTCTCTGGAAACAGAAAAGGATGTATTTATGAACAAAGGATGGTGAAAATCAAAACCAAACCAATATTAGATAATGGAAAGGGACATACCGGATGCAAAGTTTGAGGTAATTGACAAAAGCTCCTCGTATGTGAACAATCTACATGTTGAAGAGTATTTTTCATGTAGACCCTCCAGCTCTTCCGGAATGTTGTTAGACCCAACGCAGTGAGAGAGTGGAGACTGCATAAGCTCAGAACCGGATCGTGAAAAGGAAACAACATCTTCACCATCAATGCTAGAAGAGCAATCTTCATCACAACCAGAATCACTCCGTTTCCTATCCAGGTAGATTACAGCTGCTGAGTGCCGTCCTCTCAGCCTCGAAACCCACTGAAGTACAGCCTTCTTAGCAGAAACTTTTGTCCAGCTGTTTCGTCTAGTGTAAAGCCCGCGAAGAAACTGCCAGCCTGGTCCTGACTCAAGGGAACCTGAATCATTCTCATTTGTTTGTACTGGCACTAAAGCCATTGAATTGTCTACACCTAAGCAGCTTTCAGGAGACTGTAACGATGAACTGCGAGTAGTTCTCGTCCAACGTGAGCTCGTTCTTGCAGGGCTAAAAGTGTTCCCAATCTTTGACGCTTCAATAGCAATGTTAGATGATCCACAAACTAAAGAGGGAAGATCCATGTGTGGACCATCAGCACCACCTGCAAAGCATAAAACTTTCTTTACAACTAAGAGAGAACAAACCAAATCATAAGAATTTGAATCACAAACCCAATGCGTAACGTACCATTGTTATTAGGTACTCTGCGGAACATGATTTTGCCACTCTTAACAGCATAAACGGAGACATCCTTGGTAAGATTCCTTGCACAGTACTTGGCTAAGGAAGCTGAAGAACGGATTGTGTGGTGTTTCCGAGAAGAACCTACGATTAAACTTGTTGCTCCGCACGATTTCACTTCCTGCACAAGTACTTTCCTAGCTGACTTCCCTCGGAAAACCTTTAACTTCAAATCTACCTGATATAGCATAAACAACATCCATTGAATTTCAGTAAACTTGTCCTCAAAATTCCCAATTCTAAAAAAAGAGAAATTTCCAATTAAAGCTTAAAACTTGCCTGTTTTAAGTTGCAGAAGCTCTCGTAAACACCAAGCATAGTGTCAAAGCTCCTAACGAGCGAAATTAGCGACGTTGAGCCCTCTGCACAAACCAGAACAAAGGTTTAAAAAAAGAAACAAAAAATCTCAGATCGCAGAGAAATAAGGGTTTTACGAACCAAGAGAATAGTCGAGAACGTGAAGAGCAACGATTCGATCTCCAGGACGCGCCACATTCACCAAGGACCATGTAAGCACCTCCCGGCTCCATTCGTCGGGCTTTACACCGACAATTAACAACGCCGAACCCTCCACATCCGCCACTTTAACCGCTTCCCCGACTTCGGCGACTCCGCCTCCTCCTCCTCCTCCTCCGGTAGGTTTCATCTAAGCAAAACTATTCCTCCCGTTTTCCCCCTTCTCTTCTCCTCTCCTCCACGGTCAAAACTTGCGATTCTCTCTCTCACACACTCACACACACTCTCTCTATCTCAGTATAAAAAATTGCTCTCTTTCTCTCTCTCTCTCTTTCTCTCTGTGTCTCTCGTGTGATTCTCAGGTTTGTCGTTTTGCTCTTGGGCAAAGGGAAAGAGAGAGAATCACGTTAACTGTCTCCGGGAGAAAAGTGGGAGAGAGAGATGTTTTGTGTCCTCTGCTTTGAATGAATCTGCACCGTTGATTTACCCTCATGATCCGATCATTACTATTCTGTTATTTAATTTAATGAAAAATGAACTCAAATAATAATTAATTAAGCACGAGGGAATAATAATGGGAAGATGGAGAAACAATGAACATCGACATCATTCTCTCTCTTTTACCGGACAAACGAATTTTCTCTTTCCCTTTATTTATTTCTTCTCCTCTCTATCGCTTTTGCAACTTCTCCCTTTGAATTCTCATTAATAATCGCCTCATTTTGTTATCGAATTTATTTAATTATACGTTAAACGTCATTATCTTTCATGTCTCACCTCACAAAATATCATGCATATTTCGTTTCCAATTAAGTGTATCTAACTCCTCCACTTTTTTTATCCATTTCTCAAAAAAAGGCTAAAAAGTAGAGGCCAACATAGATCCGTCGGTGAAGAGACCTAATATCATTTTGGCATCTAAAATCATAGCGAAACAGTGAAAGATATTCCTATTTAGTAGATACTTATTGAATATGAACAATATTAAACTTAGAGCAATGAAGTAAAAATATGTAAGTCTACCATGGTTAGACTTGGGATTTTGTCTCTTCACATATACTCAAATTAATGCGATATCTTAGCGGAAGGCTGACATGCAGATTGTTTTACCTAAATCGAATCATACACTTTAATATGTATATGGAGTAACAACTAATGTAGTTAATAATTACGCAAGTAAAGCCTTTTATGACAAAATCTAGAAGAGCGATTTTAGCTTCTGTTTTGCTTTTGTCCCTCCCAAATCCCAACGTAAACGAGGTAATGATAATCTAGTCGACATTTGATTACCTTATTAAAGTTAAGGTGAGAAATACAAAAGTTAAGTCCTCTAAAACCTTTTTGTAGCTTAAGCATGTTATTAACATCGATACTACTTAACCATCTATGTGAACTGTAAAAGTACAAATAAAACTAAAGCTATTTTGGACATGTACTTTCACAAAACGGACTCATCGGTTTATTTTCAGAAAAAGAGTCGTCTTTAAGATGATCTTCTCAGTTACATTTTGTATCTTCCTTTATTTTGAATTCGTGTTGGAAGAGAAATCAAAATACCTTTCATACTTTCATGGTGTGCAAATAAGTCCATTATGACTCGAATCTTTGATTTTAAAACCATATCCTTCGAGAGTGAAGACCAATAGAGAATATGAAGAAAAAACGGATCCACATAACTAATAGAGATTAGATATATAATATGGTGGGCACGATTCAGGATAGCACGTGAAATATTTTATCTGAGAAATCCAGCTAACCGTGATCTACGCAAATCATGCATTCCAGAGCAAAAGTGGCCGTTAATTATTACTGTGGTCATTAAATAAATTAAACTATAAAACCTAACCACTTTAAAAATCAAGAACTGTATAATTAACAACACATCGACAACTTTCGTATTAAATTATGTTTTAAACATAACCAATCAAAATGATCCAATGTGTTGACCAAAAAAGAAATCCAATGTTAAAGAGAACAATAACACTTTTTACCTGATTACAAATTTCGTCGCAGAAAAACTATTCTTACCGTTTGAGACGATGATTGGATATTCACACTTTATCTAATCATGCTGAATATAGTAAGTAAAGTAGCTTACTAATAGTTACCGTTAGAGTTACGATTAGGACAAGCATTAGCAAAATGTGAAGGATCACCACAAGAGAAGCACCTTGTGCCACCCACTGGCTCTCCAGTTGCAGAGACGAAGCTTGTTCCGCGGCCGCGGCCACGTCCTCCACCGCTTTGACCGCCTCTACCTCCACGGCCACGGCCACGACCGCGTCTACCACCGCTTCCACCGCTATTAGACCCTGCTGTTGCATTCCCAGTACCGTTGCTGATGCTATCTTCCCATCTGTTACAAGCAGTGCAAACAAAATAGATGTTGTTCTGAGAGATTTAAAAGGGAGCAAAAGAAAGAAAGTGGACTTAGGCTTATAAGTTATGGAGTCATACGCGAAGAAACTGCAGCCTTGTGATTGACATGAGAAGAATTTTCTTCCCCTGTTAGCTTCTGTGTTGGCTGTACGAAGAACACATGGTGTTCCACAAGTGTTACATGATACTGTAGCTTCATCTGCATTATGACAACGATATCGTTAAGGAAGAATTTGATATTAGACTATTTGTTAGATATTTGATTAGTACCAGCGAAAGCTTATTGAGAAATGAGATGATCTTTGTTTGCTATATATCATTACCGTTTCTCGGATTTGTACCAGTAGGACGAGGATTTCGAGATCCTGAAACCCGTGAGGGACAATTAGCAGAAGTATGTCCTCGTTGTTGACAGTGTATGCAGGCATTGTTCTGCTGTCTTGTGTTGCTTCCTTGGAAATTGTTTGGTGGTGCATTGTTCTGCTGTCTTGTGTTGCTTCCTTGGAAATTGTTTGGTGGTGCATTGTTCTGCTGTCTTGTGTTGCTTCCTTGGAAATTGTTTGGTGGTGCATTGTTCTGCTGTCTTGTGTTGCTTCCTTGGAAATTGTTTGGTGGTGCACCTGGAGCGCTCCTTGCTACGAAAGCAAAATCATCAAAACTCATTTAGCCTAAAGTTCTTGCATTTTATTAAGGACAGGAGATGGTGAAAGAATAATTGTATGAAGTCCAATACAGAACTATGGGAAAATTTCGTTGATTGTTTGGTCTATGTACGTATTGTGTAACTACGGAGCACTAACCTTGAGAACGGGATCCAGTTCCACATATGTCTATCAATTGTTTAAGAATGTCATCACAGCCACCAACACAGCCTGACCACGATGAAACAAACTGGAAATCAGCAGCAAAACTGATTTCAAAGATAAGCACAGAGTTGGTTGCAAATTTTGTCTGCATACCTAAGTGATTAACTTCAAATCCTGGTGGAATTCCAATCTGACGAAACCTGAAACGTATCTTGTAGACAAGACCTACAGAAGAAATTGCACCGTTTAACTATTGAGAAGAATGTTTCACGTATAGTTGTTGAATCTTTAATCACTGTTTTACAGAAAAATCTGGGGCGGTACCTGGACCACAAGATTGACAAACATCAGTAGTGACAGATGCTTCCAACGTAGGTCCAGGAAGCCAAACTGCATTACGACACTGAATAATTGGCAAATGTGTTAGATCAATAGGTGCAAGCAAGGATAGCATAAACGTAGAATGTATAATCCATGTGGTATGTAAAGAGCTTTGAGATTCTGACATGAGGATAACTCATGCATCCAACCATAAAATTGCCACCCTGCAAAGAAAAGGGATCAGACTGTTTAACCACTTGCTCTAACAAGAGGAGAAGAGCTACCAAGATAATGATTTGATGGATTATTTGACAACCTGATTCTTCCTGAGCGCCATATCTGATTCATGGCAAAGGTTACATCGCCGGACAACTTCACCAGCTGTCTGATTTTCACCTTCATCCGTATTATTAGATCTGCACATGCAGTATCATATATGTTATGACAGAACAGACTTAAGGTACACAGTACTTGAACAGAGAAATGGGACCACCTTTCAAAGAAGATTGTCATTGCTTCTAGTAGCTTTGATTTTTTTACTCTTGCCTGCGAGAATTAATTTTTGGATGACAAAAAAAATCAAAGCATTTAGGTTTCAGTCTACTGCGTTAGCAACAGCTTCAGCAAAAAAAAAAACAGATCTGGTTAAAAAGAGTTCACTCACATCTAAGAAACAAGCTTTCATTTGCTGCAAACAAGTTTGAAGAACTTCAGCTTTAGTCTTTCTGCCATGACTAACTTCATTCATATCATGTTCCATGATGGCTCTGAGATTTGGTTTCCAAAGTTCATACCTGACATGAAAAAGTTGGCAACAAGAACATACATCAAATTCTCAGGGGGATCTCCAGCATGATACTAATACAACCTAATAGATAAGCCCTAAATATAAAGATCTCCAGCATGATACTAATACAACCTAATAGATAAGCCCTAAATATAAAGACTTAGACAGTTCTGAAATATGATTGAAAGCCACAAATTCAAGGAGCCTCCAAGTTGTTTTTTATATAAGAAAAAATTGTTATTACATTAAATGCAGGATTATACATACCCCATGTCATCATATCCCATAACAAGTGCCTCACCCTGTAAATTCAGGTAACTTCAGAAACGTTATGCAGACATATAGAGGAGATAAATTAATTCTTTCCCAGGAAACAAGAAGCTACCAGGTTGGTTGGAGAAAACTGCATATTAGCATTCTTTGTAGCATAACCCCGATCAAGGAGTTTCTTTATGTGGTCATGCATTGTCGCATCGGTACCAATTCCTGCCTAACATTTACAAAAAGGTAGGATAATAAATAGTTACCAACATGATCAGATTAAAAATTTAGGGACTGATGAACAAGAATATGCAAACACCACAATGAAAAGAGGGGCAAACAAGACAGTTTTCAATCACCTTGTCCATACAACTCAGTAAATCAGCTTCACTTAATAGCGGTGGTGGCCTTGTTATGGATGAATCAAGAGTCAAACGTGTAGGAATAAACTGCACAATCATACCAAGAAATTCAGAATCGTTAGCGATTGTCCTGGCTGTAAGAACTAAGTAGACGGGTAAGCAAAGGAGTGAAATTTAAACAGAATTTGCAGAAGTTGAGACAGCCTACTGGAAGATAGAAATAAACAACCTACTGAAAGCATATCCACGGAAAAAAATAAGAGAATTACAAACCTGCTGCCCTTTTTCGTACACTGGAATCACTGAACCTCCCCATGATTCAAAGCGGTACACCTCAAGATAATTTTTCTAGCCACACCAAGAAAAATAAAGTCAGCAATTAACTACTGAGGGTGAAAGTACCAATAGATATTTTATTTTAGCGTAACCACAGAAATCAAGGCTGAAGTAGTGAGTAAAGAGTCTTACAGCTAATATTGCTCTCCCAGATGCAGAAAAGCCCTCGCCGGCAATATCAATTTCGACTGTAGTTTCAGCAGCAACTGCTGGCTGGGAAACACATGCTAGGTAATGGCGGACGACTAGCTCATATACATTCTGGAAAAGTGGATAAAGAAAACGTTGGTTGAAAAAAAGAATACCATACTTATACTCGGTTATGCTAACCAAACTCTCAGCCATACTTACAAGGTGATCTCTGCTCCAGTTAGACTCTCCGCTAGAAAATTTAGTTGGGTGAATAGGTGGGTGAGCCTTGTCATCATGACCACCGTTCCCAGGGTTTCTCCAGAGCCCCCCCTCAGGTTCTAATAACCTTTGTGCATATGGACCCCATGCAGGATGTCTTGTTTGTTCCTCCACCATAGCCTGGACACAACTAGAAATCCTAAGAGACTAATATTACAACCAAAGCATCAAAGCAAAGCATGGATTGGCTCATGAGAAAAAGTTACCCACACGTAAATCAGTCCTGCTCGAAAAAGAATCAGTCTCCGTACGAGGATAGCTGATGAAACCAGCCTGATATAACTCTTCTGCAACCTATCCAGACATTCTTGATGTTATTAAACAGAGGGATCTAGTTGCAGTTCAAAAAGCCAATCAATCTTCAAGAAAGCAGAAAACTAAACCAAGATTTAATAGGATCTAGATTCAATGTGAACCAATCTAATACACGTTCAGACCTTCATGGTATGCTCTGAGCTCAAGCGAAAGTATCTCGAAGCACGTTTTTCAAGTTCAATGGTGTTCAAAGGATAAGGAGGATATTTGAATTTTTCCCTCGGATGTGGAACATTCATAACCTGAAAGGAGATGACAAGGGACAGACAATATTAAGTAGAAGATGCAGTATCAGAAATTCAGATGATAAATATGTTTCTTGTTTTACTCACGGTGGCAGTAGGTTCCAGGACACACATCTCATATAATATGACAGCTGAAGCATAATCAAAGAGATGACCACGCCTGCAATAAAAACTACATCAATGCCACATTCAAGGATAATAGACCGGGAAACAAAGATAGGCATGGAAGTTGAAAAAAGTACATCCAATGAAAGGTGGCAAGGCCTTCTTCTGATTCGTGAGAACAGTTGATTGTCCAAAACTCTTCTGGTTCATGTGCCTGGATCTCCCAGTATCTCTCTACAATAAAGCCAAGTGTAGGAAACTGCAGTTGAAGCAGGATAATATCAAACCCTTGCTTCATGAAAAACAATGAATACCCTGACTCTGATAGACATAATGGAACTGATAGTTATCATAATTACCTGACAAGGACCATAACTTATAACACGACTCCTCTCCTCACCACCCGTGGAGTCGATAGAGAACCTATCTTTCAGTAGCATAGTCTGAAATCTAGTGAAAGAAGCACCAATGCGTAGGTCTATTTCCTAAAGTATTTCAAAAGAAAACATTACCTATTACAAACTGTACAGAGAATATAAACACGCATAAGCATTATAGATATTTCAGGAGAAACTCACTTGTCTAGCATCAACAGCCTGAGCAAACAACTGATTAGGCTCTCTAAGATTCTGAACTGCCTCATGAATTTCCCTACAAAATCAAATGCCCACACACCATAAGACTATATGTTCTATGGTTTGTTTGAAGTAGAGTGAGCAAGAAAAAAAACATGTGGTAAACAGCATTCTCTACCTTTCAATTAACGCAGAGAAATGAGCCCTTCGGATATAAAGATTATGTTTGACAGCTGTGCAAACATCTACAACTTCAAATGCAATGTTTTCGCCTTCTCTATCACAATCAAGCCACAGCACAAGCCAATCGCTTTTCCTTGCTTCCTCCTCTAATGTCTTCTTAATATCTTTTTTATCCTAACTCACTCAAAACCAAAATTATAAAAAACCTTGAAAACCAGCAAACACCCACCTTTCACCAAAGAGGGAATTCTACAATTGCAATTACTAAAAATTCGACTAAATTAAGTACCCAAAATTACACATAATCATACAATCACGCTACTATTGCACACGAGATTTCAAATGTATATTAACACGGGACATCAAATACCTCGGGGACGTGTTTCATGACCGGAGCTTGGTATAGATCTGCCGGGTCGCAGGAGTGCCATTTCCGGAATCGATCGGCGAACTCGAGCTCCATCAGGTGGCCGATGACGGAGGTCATCATCATACGACATGGCTGGCCATTGATGGCGTAATCGAACTCAAAGATTTTGTTGTACCGAGACCTACCCTCCCGAGTCCGGAAACTTCCACGGGATAGAATCCCGGCCACTGACTTCGCCACGGACGGCTTCTCCGCCACGTTCAGGACCGTCACGGGTCCACCTCCTCGCCGCGACATTGTCGGAGAAAAGCCCTATCGGTTGTTAATTTCAATTTTCCCAGTTTCCAGTAGGCGAAATTTTCCCGCCCTTGTGGAGACTTCTACTTCTACTGGTGTCACTTCGTCCCAAAAGCACATAAGTCGAAAGGTTTGTGGATTTTTTCAAAAAAGAAATCACAAATAAAATTATAAAAGCCCATTTGTTTTGCTATATATTCTGTTTGGGCCATGCTCCAAGATTATACTTTTGTGGAAGGCCCATATTTGTTAATGGTATCTTTCGAAAACTAATTGATAATCAACAAACTGAAACAAAACATAATTAATTAATCCTAAGCCTTCGTTCTGAAGCTATCAGGGAATGTCTTGCAACCTTCTTGTTACTGACGAAGTCAGGTTGATTACAAAAAAATATACTGTATGGCTTCTAAAGAAAACAAAAATTACCACAACATTTTCTTTTCCTTTGTTACAAAAAAGACTTGATACGGTCAAGGCACAAGCTATAAACACAACTACCGGTCTACCACAAATGTCACTGTAGAATCTCATATACATTGGCCACTATACAGCCTATTGTATTATGGGAAAACGCCAAATTTATTCTTCAACTATCTGAAAATGAACGTTTTATTCCCCAACTCCTGATTGCACAAATAATTTTTCAAAGTGTAGTTGACTTTACCAAATCGGGTTCCAATTAGTCAACCATTAACATGGAAATGTGTTTCGTTAAATTTATAACATTATCCGTAAGGATTTTCAGTTTCAAACTCAAAATTTCCAAACTTAAAAATCGTAAGGGAATTTCCGGCTTTCTCTAGAAATTTTTAGCAATTTTAAACCAATTTCGGAGCTCTAATTTTGAATTAATACAATTGCTAAAATATGTTGGAATTTGCTAAAAATCGTCAAAATTCGCCAGAAATTCCCTGAAGGTTTTTAAGTTTGGAAATTTTGAGTTTGAAACCGAAAACCCTGACTGATAATGTTATAAATTTAACTAAATACATTTCCATGTTAATGGTTGACTAATTGGAACCCGATTTGGTAAAGTCAATTACATTTTGAGGAATTATTTGTGCAATGGGAATAAAACTCTTCATTATTTTCAGATAGTTGGGGAATAAATTTGGCGTTTTCCCATTGTATTATACTATTATCTTATCTCAAATACATTGGCCACTCACTATATAGTATATATAGTATATAGTCTATAGTCTAGAGGATTTGGCTGATAATCTAGAATCGGTAAGAGATAGAAAAAGTCAAACGAGTTTGACTAAAATGAATTTCTTCTCTCCGATAGCAATCTCTCTTCTCCTCGCTCTCCTATCGCCGTCTCTTCTACTTTGCTCCGGCGATTCCACCACCGTCGATGATGAATCTCCGCCGCCGACTGTATGTATCGTCGGGAGTGGGATTGGTGGCTCATCCGTCGCTCACTTCCTCCGCAACTACTCTGTTTCAACCGGCTTGGATCGAGCCCGCATCCTCATGTTCGAGCGTCACGAGATAGTCGGTGGGAGAATGAGAACCGTCACCTTCTCCGGCGATAAATTCGAGGCCGGCGGTTCGATTCTGCACCCGAAAAACTACCACGCTCGGGACTTCGTCGAGAGGTTCAATCTGACTGTTCGATTGCCGACGTCGATTGAAGAATCTACCGCTCTTGGAATCTGGGATGGGAAGAGGTTCGTCTTTAAAACATTCGGTTGCTCCGATGTAATCAAATTTCCGTTTATGGATAAGATCGTCTCTTTGGTGAATGATCTCTACTTGTTCCTGCGTTACGGGTTTTCGCTTCTCAGAATGAGTAGCTTCATTGAGGTATCAACAACTCTCATCTTCATAAATTTACAACATTTGATTTCAGAATTGGCTAGTAAAGGAATTTTCATATTTATCACAGTGACTCAAATAAGCCTTTTTGTGTGTGTGTGGATCTTCTTGAATATGTAGAACACAGTTGGTAATTTCTTGAAGTACTATGAAAGTCGAGAATCAAGGCCAATCTTCGACAATGTTGAAGCGATGCTTAAATGGTCAGGCTTGTACAATCTCACAAAGGTCACTCTACAGGAGAAATTATCTGAAGCTCAGCTTTCTCCTTTACTAGTCAACGAGCTTGTTACCGTAAGCTTTCTCAGAAACTGTATCAAAGATTTTAATTTTCAACATATAATCACCATTTACTGTGACGACGTTTTCAGGTGATTACGAGGATAAACTATGGGCAGAGTGTACTCATGAGTGGACTAGCAGGTGCAGTCTCAATGGCTGGTTCAGGTGGAGGGTTATGGTCTGTTGAAGGTGGAAACTGGCAGATGGCTGCAAAGCTGATTAACCATTCGGATATTACGTTACACCTGAACGAGCAGATCGAATCCGTTTCGCACCTCGGTAGCTACTACGAGCTTAACTCCACGAAAGGAAACAGCTTCAAATGTGATGTCGCAGTCGTTGCCACACCATTAGACGAGGTGGATATTCAGTTCTCACCGGTGATCTCAATTCCGAAGAGGAAGTTGCAGCACACTCACACAACGTTCGTGAGGGGAGTTTTAAACCCGGTACGTACCAATCAAGTTACTCTGGAGTTAGTGATGATGATTTTGTTTGGCCTCCTTTTGATGTTTTCTTTTATGAATCAAGGGATATTTTGGGATGAAATCGGTTTCGGATCTTCCACCTTTGGTTGGAACTCTTGAAGATCCTTTGATACCATTCTCAAGCATCTCGATTCTGAGGAAGTATAGTGAGACAGATATGGCATACAAGATATTTACACGACAACTAGCAACAGATTCATTGCTTGATGAGCTCTTCAGGTACTTTACAACACTCAGATTTGATTTACTATACTTAGATCTCTTCATTTTCATTAAAAAAACTTGTCTTTCTTTATTCATCAAAACAGTGTGAGAACCGAAACACTTCGCATAGACTGGGGTGCATATCCAAAGTACCACGCTCCTGAAGTTTTCGCACCGTTCGTATTGGATGATCATCATTTGTACTATGTGAATGCTTTTGAAAACGCTGCGAGTACAATGGAAACAATGGCAGTGGCTGGTGAGAATATAGCGAGACTCATAGTTTCCAGATTCATGACAAACGAATCATCAACTTCTTCTGACACAAGAAGCTGTGGTTCTGGTCTGCATTCAGACTTATGAGCAGACTGTGACTGTGTGATTTGATGTGTATATAATAAAAGAAACAGAAAGCTGCAAAAACTGTAACTTAAGCTCTCTCTGTTTTCAGTTTTTGAATCAGACCACTTTCATGAATATACATACCATCTTCTTTTTTAAATTGGCAACACAGAAACAAACAAATGATACAATGACGTCGTTTTATGTCAATGTAAATGAGAAAAGCCCATAAACTTAAAAATAGGCCCATTTGTTCACGCGTCTTCTTCGTCTTCTTTAGTTTTTCTTTTCCCACCGGCGTTGTCTTGGTAAAAGTCTAAAAGAGCAGAAGCAAAGAGATCAATAATTCCGATCGGCGATGGGTTGCTTCAGTTGCTTCGACGGAACCCAAAAACAACAGCGTAAGGAAGAAGAGAGACAAGCCTCCGCCGAAGCTCGTGCCAGAGCCGCCGAAGCTGCCATGCGACGGTTTGTCTCTCATCTTTTTTTTCTAATTTCGAATCGCATCTATTGAAATTGACTTTTTAGGATCTAGGATATTGAATTTACTCAATCAGTTCACAAATTTCTCAGTTGAAATGAATCAAAATTCAGTTTGGATTGTTGGGGGCAGAGCTCATTTCTGAAAATTGTGTGTTTTTGTTGTAACGCAGACAAGAACAGTTTGATAAGTCTGCAGCTGGAAGGGCTGCACAAGCTCAATTAAAACAAATGGCTAAACAATCGGAAAATGCTAATAAAGGAGAGCCTGTTCTTAAGGTTTGTAACCTCGACTTCTTCCTCTCAATTATGTATCATCAAGTTATCATTTTTGCTTATTTAGCTTCTGTGAATTTTGCAGTGGCAAATGACGTAGCCTATGAGACCGACTTGTGACTTGTGAGCATTGGTTCATTGTAAATTGTGTGCTTCTCTCTCAAGGTTTTTCAAGACTTTGAATGTGAATGGAAAGGACCTTGTTTTCTTCCTTTATACATCTGATTTATCTTTTGACTTTGCATAAAAACAGAGTTGTAACAGAGCAGTTTGCTGTATAGTGACAAGAAAATGTTAAGAATGATCATCATCTCTCTGTTTTATTATTGGAACTTACAAAATATAGTTTGCATTTTCCACAAAAGTTGCTTATGATCAGTCTGGGAATCTTAAGCAAATGAGCCAATAGCTTTAGTTCCTTCAAGTTTGCATGAGCATTGGATTCATGATTCATCTATGCATCTGTGATTTGTCGGAATATCTGAGACCGTTTCTGAGTTCATTGTTGACTCTCATCGTCTTCATACCTCCAGGAGAAATATTGCATGCTATGTTTGGACATGTTTCTGAATCTGACAATAGACATAGAGAAACAGAGTCATGCCAAGCTTTCCATTTTCCACTTAGTACCTCAGATTGAGCCAATAATATTTGGAAATAGCTTTTAGAGTGCATGTTCTTGGTTTCCTTAAAGATTTTGTATTCAATAGCCTATCTATAGTCGTTGGAAAACAGAAGAAACAATGGAACCGATCAAGGCGTTATAATCTGATTTGATAAGACTTGCATCTAATTAAAGACAAAAGATATACAATTTTTGGTCTTCCACATCAAGAGTTGTTGTTAATACACTCACTCCGCAACATTTGTCAAATAGAGTCAATCTTTACACTCGGGAAAAAAAAATCAGGACTTTGTTGCTCAACTTCTATTCCGTCAGGCTTGACTCTCTAGAATCTTGTTCATTTCTTCGCATGAGAAACTTATGGCACATGACAGTACCAACAAAATCAAGCATCCCATGTTTCAAAATCTCCAACCTCTCCGAACTCTCCATAACCGAGAACCCAAACCGCTCAGTCCAAGTGTTCAAAACCTCTTTTGCAGCTGGTAACACCAATTTCACTACTCCAATCCGAGACATTTGCTTCTCCAACTCATCCATCAGCACTCTACACATCCCACTTCTCCTGTAATTACACAACGTAGCCACCAAAGGGATCTCAGCTACATCTTTGTCAACTCTCAACGCCGCCACCGTCACAGGCTCCTTCTTCCTCTCTATCAAAACCGTGTAAAACCCACGACCTTTCCCACTTCCGTCTCTCCTGAATATCAGTTCCTCGACAAGGTCTCTCCCAGAGAAAGGATCTGTCGTAGGCTCAAACCCCTGGTGAAGTATCTCAACAGCAGACTCAAGCTTTGAGAGCTGTTCGTTATCAAAATGTTCATCGTCATTCGGAGCTCTCAGCAACGTCCAAACCAAACCTTCGTCTCCTACTTCAATCTTACGTCCTAGGAGACTCTCAAGCGAGGAGAAGACTCTGCTGCATTGTTTACTACAGAACCAGCCTCTACGTGAAACAAGACAAGGCTCTTCCTTTAAACACTTCAGATGGAATCTTCTTTGGCATTGCTCACAAGTCATCAACTTGCTGTTCCCTGATGTTCCCATTGATCCACAGACGTCGCAGCAGCAACAAGGACAGAACCAGAGTTCTTCTTTGGGAAGACTCGAGAAACCGAGGCAAGTATGGTGAAAAGCTGATGGACAGCCATCACAGAGAAGCAAATCTCCACCGTAATGACAAACACAACACACGTCACAGTTCTTGTCCGGGTCACAGTCTTTTCTCCAGAATCTTACATACTCTTTCTCACACTTGTTGTTCTTCTTCTCCATCACCTGTAAGATCTTCTTCAGCGACTTCTCAACCCTCGGCCTTGTCTCTCCTTTGTCTTCACTACTCTTCTTCTCCTGTTGGTTTCTTACATCAATGTTGAGAACGATTTTGAATAGATCAGGAGAAGGATCATTCACTCTCGTCCTCTTGTTCTTCGATGCATCAACATTGGGAACGATTTTGACGGAATCGGACGAGACATTAGTATCAAGATCCTTCCTTTTCCTCTTCGATGAATCAACATTGGGATTGGGAACGGTTTTGACGGAAGCACACGGAACAAGCGAGATTTTTTCCGGAGAGTCAGATTTGGGAACGATTTGTAGTTGCGGTCTCGAGTCTTCTTCATTGACACAGCTCAAACAAGCTTTGGCTAAAGAGTAAAACCATCTTCCACTGGGAGACTTATAACGCAGCTCTCGCTTTTTCCCTTTCTGGAAGTAACCGAAACTCCAGCCGAGAGCCGAGAGATGTTTCTTCACCTTGTCGGAGAGTGACCGGCGATTTCCGTTCGCCATCTTCATTCCGTGAATTCCGTCGCGTACAACGGAAAGCCATTGTTGGACTGATTCTGGACTCAGTTCTGCATCTACACGAAGGAAATTACAGGGATCCTTGGAATCACCCATCTTTCTTCACAAATTTGTCAATAGATTTTAGAATTGGCATGGATTAAGAAGAGCATAGCTTTTCTATTTAGGTTTTATGCGACCGCCATATATACAGAGGTTTTAGAAGGGTTTATATTAATAAATAGTTAAATACTCGATCGTTTTCTGTTGAATAAAAAAGGAAAATTTCCTTATTACACCTCACTTCAATTTTTTATTTATTATATAAAGCGGGAAAAAAACAAAACAAAATAGATAACAAATGAGAGTCAATACTATATTTGATTAATAAGTTCTTATGAATTGAAAGTGTACTTTTACAAAAAGACAATTTGAAAATGGACATCCATAAAACATTTATAATTAAAATGTCTCCAAGAAATTTCTTCAATGCCTTATCACACTCCCACTCCCACTTCAGTTTCCTTTTTTCTTTTACAAAGTGTATATAGTTTTATACTTGAGCGAACAAACAAAACAAAATAGATAAACAAGTGAGATAATCTAAAATGTGAGTTTTTCTAAGAAAAGGAAAAAAGTAAGAGGGAGAGAATTGAACCAGTCAATAGTGAAGTAGATTGAGGAGTTTTTGAGCTTAAAGATGTACCAATATATCTTGTGTATGATAAATAGACATTTTGAAATGGACACTTCAAATGTATGTATTGATACATCTTTACACATATTTCATAAACTCGGATTCCGTGATTAAATATAGATTTATTTGGAACATTATTCTTTCTTAAACTAAAAACTTTTTTTTTTTTTTTTTGGTCAACTTAAACTAAAAACTTTAAAAACCAAACTTTTGTTCCAAAAGCAACTTAACTTAAAATAAAATAAAAATAGAAACTTCTTGGGTTTTTTTATTCCTTTTGTTTTGGACTGAAAAATCGAAAATGTAAAATCGATCTAAAACTGCAATATCCTTTAAAAATTAAAAGGGTATTTCCTTAAACTCCAATTCGATCGAAAATTGTCGTAAATTATATTTTAAGAACTTGAAAAATCGATCAAAAACCGAATGATTTTGAAAGGATCCAAACCTTGTGACAACCGGCGATTTCTCGTGTTCGTCTTCTTCTCCGCCGTTCGTCCCTCGTTTCTTCAACATCGCCTCCCTAAGAATTTGAAAGGATTCTTCAGTGATTTTCTGTCTACATCACGACTACGTGAGTTTTCTTTCGATGCGATATCGAATTAGTTTTGAATCAATTGCAATTGATCGTATATACTGTTTCTGAGATTGGGTTGTTGCTGAATAAATTGCATTCGATTATGTGTAGGTCTGAAATTTTCATCTCCGAGATGGAATCAAAATCTACCTCCGGTGTTCTCCGTCGCAAGGCACGGTCGTACAGATACTATCCATACAGTTCGGGGTCAGTGCCTTGATTCGCTTCTTAGCTTGCAAAGTCGTCAGAATATTGAAAAGTGTTTTTTTTTTTTTTTTTTTTCCGTTTTGTAGGAGCGTCTCTGGAAAAGAGGAGATGAAAGAGGAGGTTGTACGATTAGGAGTTGAGCTCTCAGTCTCTGTAGCTGAATCGATGTTCTTGCTGTGTGATGACATAGACACTTTGTTATTCTTCTGCTTGAGGCTGTGGAGAGATGTCCTACCGCAGTGTGACCCCGTGTTAGAAAGACTGCTTCTTGTGATGTATCATGTCTACTCAAAAGATATCAAACCGAAGAACGGTGGTGACGGCAAGTCGGTGCAATGGAAGTTTGTCAGGACAATTTGGAATGATTTCGTTTGCGGGATTGTGGTTTTGCATCGCCTTGTTCTGGTTCTCAGAAGAAAAGATTGCTCTTTTGATGATCAGCTTTTGTCCTCGGCTATTGCCAAGTGCAAGCAAGAGCTGAAGAGTCTAGAGGATAAGCTGAGGTCCGCTAAGGATGTTTCAGAGGCCAATGGGTTTGCGAGGGAGGTTATAGAGTCTAGCGTTTCTCACTTTTGGAAGTCTCTCTTCGATGGCAGAGAAGCAACGAGAGTGATAAGGAAGAGGGTTCTAAGGGACTTGTTTGAGCCTATCTCCGGTAAGACTTGGGATACGGAGATAAGGGCACTGACCTTATATTCTCCTTACATTTTAGGCAAGGATTTTGCAAAGCAGGAGCTTAAAAACGAGGCTGTGAGACTAGGAGTTGGCTTCTCGCTACACGTGGCTCAGTTGATGTTCTTGCTGTGTGATGACATTCGTAGTATGTTATGGTTCTGCTATAAGTTATGGAGAGTTGTGAAACGGGAGTGGAATCCGAATAGTCCCGTGGTGGAGAGGCTGCTTCGTGTGATTCATCATGTCTACCTGAAAGATATCAAACCGAGGAATGGAGTATACCGTAACGATGGCTCGTCAGTGAAACTGAGATTGGCCGGGACGACTCTGCATTATTTTCAGTTTGGAGTGACAAGTCTGGATCTCCTTGTTATGAGTCTCAGAGGAGAAGGAAGCTTTTCAGATGGCCGGGTTTGTGCGTCCATGGTTGAAGAAGACGTGAAGAAGATAGAGGAGAAGTTGAGGCGTGGGGAGGCTGTTTCGGAGGCGAATGGGTTTAGGAAGGAAGCGATAGAGTGTAGCATTTATGGCTTGTGGGAGTCTCTCTTTGATAAAGAAGCCAAGGAAGCAACACAGACTCTGCAAATGATCAAGAATGAGATTCTTGGCGACCTGTTTCTCCCTCTACACAACGAAGTAGCTCCACCACCTTAGCTACTAGTTTCTTGTCACTGATTCTTCAGATTTTGTTTAAAGTAATATATGGAATACATTGTTATAACTATCCCATTCTGCTGAGAATCAGAACAAATGTTAAGTTGTTTTCTTCTTAATCTCTCGAGTCTCAACAAAGTAAACTCTCTAGAGGCATTGAGAGAAATCTTGAATCCATATCAAATAGGGAGCATAAAGTGAAACGGTGGAGAACACTCAGCAATAAAACTCTGACTATTTTTGCTTGCAGGTCTTTACCCCAAACACTTTTTTGGTCATATATACAAGCTGCGACCTCACATTGTTTAGGACAAGAACTTTTCAAAGATGTTTGACCCTCTGAAACTAAGAAATGACATGGATGAATGTCGTGGCAAGCAAATCATGAAAAACTGAACAGAAACTAGTCGAAAACCCATAGAATCTTGAGTTTGTAAATGGGCCATCTCACTGTTTGATGGGACTTCCTCTTGAGCCAAACATTCTAGCTCCTGCAATGAAGAAAGTTAAAAACAGATGAGATCATAATATATGGATTCTAGCTTCTGCAAGAAGAAGAGAAGTTTACAAGACAAGACTTACTCTAGGTTATTGTGAAAGAAACTGAACTGAAACTACTGGAAACACCATAAAATCTTGAGTTTGTAAGGCCAAGCATAACTCTCTAGCTAAATGGATATCTACACCTTGATGGGACTTCTTCTTGAGCCAAACTTTCTAGCTTCTGCAATGTAGAAAGTTAAAAACAGATGAGAGATCATGTATATGAATTCTAGCTTGTGCAAGAAGAAGAGAATTCACAAGACAAGACTCACTCTAGGTTTTTAGCGGCTTTGATCCATTCTCTATCAGTCGGAGTTCGGTTTCCTTCAGATCGGATACGACGAGGCACCACCACCACCACAGCTTGGTCGTTTTCAGCTAGGGAAAGTTTGTCATAGGCTCTTCGCCAAGCTGCAGCAGTCGGAGTACGGTTTAGGAGCTTGGACCTAGTACGGCGGCTGTTTTCAGCTTGGCAAAAGATTAGATGTTGCCTTTTCAAGTGCTTCAGTTGCTATGAGTATCTCTGCTTGACAGGCAAGTAAACTGGCAGTAGATTTAACGGAACCGTCCTCAAGACCCGACTTGATGAGATTGCATGTCTTGTTTGCATATTTCCTAGCTTCTGCGAGGCTTGCTCTTGTTTCTTCGAGTAAAGCTGGATTTGGTTCCTCCAATTCCGCTAGTTCTTCAGAAAGGTTATCAAACTCATAATCTCCAAAATCGATGTCATATGGAATCTCCAAGTTTTCATAATTGAAATGATCGTCCATTTCGCTTAGGTAGATTGAGAATGTTCTCTGTTCATATAGACAATGTATAACACTTTTAATACACTGAAACATTCCAAACAAACAGATTTAGTTCGAGCCCTTGCTAGAAGATGAAGTCATGAATATACGAAGGAGCAAAGAGCCAAGTTGAGAAAACCAGAATATGAGATTTCTCCTAATAGATCAATGGAGGAGCAGAGACTCTATAAACGATTCAATCAAACGATACGGAAATCAAAATAAAAAGCCTAGACAATCGACAAAATTTTCTGCAAATTAAAAGTTCGATTTCCAAGTCTCCGCAAGAACATTTCCCGCCAAAAATTGAACAGAATCAAAATCTGATCATAACATCAAAATCAAATAAAATCAATCACCAAAGAGATCTAAAGCTTTAAACATGAACAGAATCATATTCATACCTTGAAAATCTGGTTGGTGCTCCTCTGATTCCACAGAAAACGAAGCTTCCTCGCGAAAGCTTACTCGTCCTTCTCTTCTTTCACTTCTCTCCTCTGTCTCTCTCTCTCTGCTTTTGTAACGAACTGAAGAATGAAGAATGAAGTATTTCGGTTATAAACAACAGCTCGAACAATAAGAGTGATGATGGGCTTCAGTGTTACTCGGCCCAATAATATCTGTTGTCGTTTTTAAACAAGAGAAAAAAAACAAAGAAAGACACGTGTGTAATTAAAAGGGTCAACCCATCATCTCCGGCGAGACACCACTCTACTTGAGCAATCCGGCGAAATGTCCTTCAATCTGTCTCGTCTTTCCCTTCCTTCTTCGCCTCGTCTTTCGTTTTCCACTCACGCTTCTCCGAAAGGTACGATCCAATTTCTCACCAGAACTGATGCTGGATTCTTCAAATTTTTCGATTTCGGGAATTCTGAGATTCAAGTTTTCACCGTTGGGGGGGTTTTTGCTCAATCAAACCCGAATGATACAGGATACGTTAGGTGCTCCATGAAGTCGTATAGATTATCTCAACTTAGTTTTTCCCAACTTGAAAATCTCAAGGCACGCCCTCGCATTGACTTCTCTTCCATTTTCACCACTGTAAGTTTCTGCGATGCTTCGAATTCTTAAATTCTTCGTCCTGGTTGAGAATTCTCCGCTTCACTTACCCGTGACATGAGCTCGCTCGCTGACTCGTATTGCATAATCAGGTTAACCCAATTATCGATGCGGTTCGTGCGAGAGGAGATTCCGCCGTCAAAGAGTAAGTGACTGTGTCTTTATCTGAAGACTCTTTCGTTTTTATGATCTCGATTGAGGTAATTCCAGTTCAAATTCGTTTCAGATACACTGAGAGATTTGACAAAGTCCAATTGAATAACGTGGTTGAAGAAGTCTCGGAGCTTTCTGATCCCGAGGTAGTAGATTAACACTGTTTATAATTGAAATTCTTGAATGCCCTGTTCATGTGTAGTGATTGAATTTCCTTCAGCTTGATGCCAAAGTAAAAGAAGCGTTTGATGTTGCGTATGACAACATATATGCATTTCACTTGGCACAAAAGTCTACTGAGAAAACCGTTGAGAATATGAAAGTAAGTCGATTCAGTCACATATGTTACCTACTTAAAGTCTAAGCACCATTGCTCTATATACTAATGAATCTTGACTTTGTTGAATTTTGTTAGGGTGTGAGATGTAAAAGGGTGTCGAGATCTATTGGGTCTGTAGGTCTTTATGTACCTGGTGGAACAGCTATTTTGCCATCAACTGCTTTGATGCTTGCAATTGTAAGCTCTCTCTCCATTTCCATACTTTTTTTGTTTTCACTCTTCTTGTAATTCTGTAATGATGTGGTCTTCTTACTATTTATCTCCCTGTCTCAGCCTGCTCAAATTGCTGGATGTAAAACAGTTGTGCTCGCATCTCCACCAACTAAAGAAGGAAGCATATGTAAGGTAGTACTCAATCTGTTTTTTCATTTTTTGGGGAATTTTCAATATTACTCACAGCTTCATCTATCTATCTTGATGCTGAGCTAATGAGTTTGTTATGTTGTTGATGCAGGAGGTATTGTATTGTGCCAAAAAGGCTGGTGTAACTCACATACTTAAAGCTGGTGGAGCGCAGGTGTGGTAGTCTTAGTCTTGTCATATTATATATTTTCAAGCTAGTCCTCTTTTGTTTTCTCTAAGATCGTGGAATTACCATTTCTTCGCTCTGCAGGCTATAGCTGCCATGGCTTGGGGGACAGATTCTTGTCCCAAGGTATAACAATCAGTAATTAATGTGCCTCAGTAGCTTACATCGAACATTTTCCCGACCAACCACACATGAATTTGCTTTTGTTATTATGGCAGGTCGATAAGATTTTTGGTCCTGGGAATCAGTATGTTACAGCCGCTAAGATGATTCTTCAAGTACAGATATCGATCCACAATTACCTAACTTGTTTAGACTAGTCTTTTTAACTTGTTTCGTACTCATTTTTCTTTTATCTCTTACTGCAGAACAGTGAGGCAATGGTTTCGATTGATATGCCTGCTGGTCCTTCTGAAGTTCTAGTTATCGCTGACGAACATGCTGATCCAGCTTACATTGCATCGGACTTGCTTTCTCAGGTAATTGCCATTAAAAAGTTGCGTTTCTTCTTCCAATATAATGAGCTTGTGTCTGCCTTATTTGCTTTCTTCTTATCGAATCTGCTAACTTGTACATCTCTTTCCACTTTTTGTTGGTTTCTCTGCAGGCTGAGCATGGTCCAGATAGTCAAGTTGTTCTTGTTGTTGTAGGTGACAATGTAGATGTCAAAGCCATTGAAGTTGAAATTGCCAAGCAGTGCAAAGCCCTTCCTAGAGGAGAGTTTGCTTCAAAAGCACTAAGTCACAGTTTCACAGTCTTTGCTCGAGATATGATTGAGGTAACTCTCTAGTTATGAGTTAACATCTCAAAACAACATTTGTGGTAACATCATCACCATTTGCTCTTCAATTCTCCAGGCAATATCATTCTCAAATCTGTATGCACCGGAGCATTTGATCATCAATGTCAAAGACGCTGAGAAATGGGAGGGACTGATCGAGAACGCAGGTTCGGTTTTCCTAGGGCCATGGACGCCAGAGAGTGTAGGTGATTACGCGAGCGGGACAAACCACGTTCTTCCAACATACGGATATGCGAGGATGTACAGTGGCGTCTCTCTAGACTCTTTCCTCAAGTTCATGACTGTACAGTCTTTGACAGAGGAAGGTCTGAGAAACCTCGGTCCTTATGTGGCGACTATGGCTGAAGTCGAAGGTCTAGATGCACACAAGAGAGCCGTCACTCTCAGACTCAAGGACATCGAAGCCAAACAGCTTTCCCAAAACAAATCGAGTTAATGCCATGTGGGTATCAAATTTGATCTCCTTAGATTGGTTGAGGAGAAAATAATAATAAAACAGACGTTGTGAAACTCTCGTCTTAATTTGGTCTCCTTAGATTCAAAAGATACTTTGCGTTTTTTTACAAAAGAAAGTGAGTGAAGATTATACATAAAAAGAGCAAAAAGAAAAATAAAAGAGTCTCTTGATCAGATTCTTCTTCTCTCCTAGCTCAAGCCGGCAAAGGTTCTTCAAGAACTGATGCGGGAAAAGAGACAGACCAAGCAAAACTTGTTAGCTCTTACAATTCTAAGATACAAACATCACAAGCAAGAGGAGAGTAAGATTTGAAAGGATAAACAAACCTTTTCTCTTTGTGGCTGATTCAGCTGGTGTGATTTCCACATTGGAAGCGACCGGTGTTTTTGTTGGCACGTCGGGAAGATCCAGCTTCTCAGCTTCGTCGTACTCCTCCATTGTAGTCACGTCAGGCAGATCATCAATAATAAGCTTTACACAAAAACATACATCACCATCACCATCAGCATCACATGCTAAACAAGTTCGTTTCCATTCCATTGACACATGAAAACATACCTGGCTTTCTAGGTTGTCAAATTCTGCTAATATCTCCTCTTCATCCTCTGCTGATAGTTTCTCTCCCAATATAGCATTCAGCTCCTAACATCCAAAAATGTTATACACAGTCAAAACACACAAAAAGCACTTGACTAAAAGATTATAGACGAGCTCAGGACAAAGTATGTGCCACAAAAGCGGATGATGCACATAAGTTTTGACTCACATCTTGATATGCTTTGGCATCAGCAGTGTCATCCATTAGTTTCTGAACATCATCAAGGTCCACTTCGCTTTGAATCGCCTTAATAGCATTGCTACCTTGCTTTAAGCTCTCAAACACTGCTTTTTGTTTGCTCGTAAGTTCAATATCTGCCAACTGTAGAGTCACAATGAATGTTTTGAAAATAGTTCAATATCTTAAAATGCCACAACTATGCCTTCAAAAAGAGATGATAGTGGAACACAAAAATCAAAAGATTTACTTGTTGTTCAACATTGATGACCCACTGATCTACTTGCTTCAATAATTCTTCTTGCGTCCGTTTCTTCCTCAATGCTAACAAAGCCCTGTCCTTACGCTTTTCCCGGATTAAGTCTCTTGCAGCTTGCTTCTCGGCTTCAATTACTTTCTCAAGCTATATCGAGAAGATGCTAGGTTAAGAAATGAGCTAAGAAATCAAAAGCTAGAGTTTTAAAATGGATCAAACCATACAGAATTGAGGAAATATCCAATCTTCAATTTACTGTTCCTCAGATTTTGAGAGAATTTTACAAATTACGATTTGAATAAATCAAAAACTACTTGACAAGCCATTTGATCTCAAATTCCGAAAAGAAAATCCTAAAATTCGATTAAAAGTTTGTGTCAAACAAGTGAGAGAATCGAAAACCTGCTGCTGATATTGACCGAGCTTGCGTCTCTGGGTTTTGAGAGAGAGAATCGCTCGATCAACCTCCGTGATCTGTGGTTTCTTCACGAACAAATTCCCCATCTTTTCACTACTTGTCGAATCCAACAATAGCAACAATCAAAACGATTCGACGAGCAGAAAGGAACAAAAAAAAAGCAACTCTAGATTTCCAAAAAACGACGCCAATTTCAAATCAAGACCAATTTTGGTTTCTCTCTCTCTACGCTTTTCCAGTTGGATCAACAGTAAAAACCCCAAAGCAAATGTTAGAGAGAAGCACTAACCGGACCGGACCCAGAAAAATTTAATCTAATAGAGACCGAACCGAGTTTTGAATAAAATCTATTGAACCAGCATGTAAAAAACCGGCCGGTTTGAGAGCATGTGGTTTTGAATTTCTTTGATTGGTTTCCAAATTGGCGTCGTTTGATCAATTTTTAATGGACAATGAATCCAGATTCCAAAAGCCAAACACAGATCCTAAATCTCGAAGGAACCGAATGAAGAGAGGAATCAAAAGTAGCTAAGTCCAAGATCCGAGCTTGAAAATCGTTAATTGTCTCCCCATCTTTACCAGGTGAGACTCACTCTGTTCCGAATTCTTCATTGTGATCGCGATTTCAATTTTGATAATTCAACTAGTAGACATGATTTGATTTTGAGCCTTTTTTTTAATGCTCTGTGAATTGTAAGGTGTACGTATATATCTAGATTCGATTTTGTACTCGTACTCTGAATTAAAACATGTAAAGTAAATAGCTCAGGCTTTGACTCTGGTTTTTACCTTTTAGTACTTGAACTTCTTCGGGAATTGAGCCAAAAAGAAGCGCACTTTGGTTACGTTTTGAACTTTTGATGATTACAATTGTTTCTTTGGAAGCCGTTATATAACAACATCTGATATTCGCATAGTTTGTTTTTACAGTTTAAGCTCGAGTTAGTTCCAATGGAAGCTGTTCCACCATCTCCAATTGTATGGCCAAACGGTGGCGATCTCACGAACGAGTGGGTACATGGACTTATGTCATCATTCGAATGGTCTTCATGGAATCTCCCTCCTTCCGAATTACCTTCGCTGCTTCCAGTCAACGTCTTTGATTCTCTCATCCTCACCGCTTCCAAAATCCTCCACAAAGAGCGTAACTGCGTCCACATCGACGATCTCGGCTCTGAATCCAACGTTGTTGTGGTTGGCGACCTTCACGGCCAGCTCCATGACCTTCTCTTCCTGTTGAAAAATGCTGGCTTTCCTTGTCAAAACCGGTTTTACGTTTTCAACGGTGACTACGTTGACCGTGGCGCTTGGGGTCTCGAGACCTTCCTCGTCCTCTTGTCTTGGAAGGTGGTGATAACTCTTTCTTACATATTATATAATGCTCATGTTGAATCTGTTTGAATATTAAGTTTTCTCTTTAGGTTTTGATGCCGGAGAGAGTCTTTCTTCTCCGTGGTAACCACGAATCGAAGTACTGTACATCGTTGTACGGTTTCGAGAAGGAAGTGCTAACGAAATATGGAGAAAAAGGGAAACACGTGTACCGCAAGTGTTTGATGTGCTTTGAAGGTCTTCCTCTGGCTTCCATAATCTCAGGACGTGTTTATACAGCACACGGTGGGCTTTTCCGTAGCACGGTCTTGCCTAAGAGAACAAGGGGAGGGAAAAAGAACCGACGTAAGGTGCCTCTTCTAGAACCAGAACCGAGCTCGTTGAAACTCGGTAGTTTAGAAGAGCTGAAGCAAGCTCGGAGATCAGTTCTTGATCCTCCTTGGGAAGGGTCAAACTTGATTCCGGGAGATGTTTTGTGGTCTGATCCTTCAATGACTCCGGGACTTTCGCTTAATGAAGTGAGAGGCATTGGACTTCTTTGGGGTCCTGACTGTACAGACGAGTTTTTGAAGAAGTTTGAACTCAAAGTAATGCCCAACCTTTGCTTCTCTAATGATTCTAGATGATTGGTGGATAAAATGTTTCATTTATTTATTTATTGATGCAGTTAATCATAAGATCACATGAAGGTCCAGATGCTAGAGAGAAGAGAGTTGGTCTAGGTGGTATGGACTTAGGATATACAATAGATCATGATGTCGAATCTGGAAAGCTTATCACTATTTTCAGTGCTCCAGACTATCCGCAATTCCAGGTATATTAGTTTATTATAACTTGTAATAATTGACAGACAAAGATGCTTGATGGGTATCATGATCTTTATTTTGTTGTTGTGTTGTTGTTGTTGTGGTATAGGCAACAAAAGACAGGTACAAAAACAAAGGAGCATACGTTATATTGCAGCCTCCTGATTTCTCTGATCCTCAGTTTAGAAGTTTCGAAGCAGTTACTCCACGGCCAAAGGTGAAGTTCACTAACTGATTATGTTGTTGTTGTGTGTTTTGGATTCATACCAACATTTGTCTTTGGTTTTTTTCCTTAACGTGCAGGCAAATCCGTATTATGATTTTGAAAATGTGATTGATTCTGATGATGAGCATGAGATGGACAAGTCAGCAATGGACAACGACGCTGACGGATCATCTTGAAAAATAGGTGGAAATGGAGGAATCTTAAAGTGAGGATTATTATTACTACAGAGTTTTTATGATTGATCATCGTTTACAAAAAAATGAAACCAAATGTAAAGAAAAGAGATGAAGGAAATCAAAATGATTTGATTAGAGTTGAGACCATTTGTACCATTATCATTTATTTAAGTTATGGATTGAAAGAATTCAGTGAAGATTGAAGAAAATGGATGCTATGAACTGTTAAAGCGTACCAGCTTCAGCTCGGTTTAAACCGAAATTTTTAATTCTTAACCGAACTAAATTCGGAAACCGATTCCACCTGGTATAGTACTACTCCGCCTCTTAACACTTAAATGAAAGTTACCGAAAACTTCTAATCTCCTCTAATCGCGGCGGCGATCCAAGCTCGGAAACTGGAAACGTCGACGCCGGTGACAATACCTAGCCGTAGATTTCTTCGTATATGAACCAGTGGTGAGTTTCACACTCTGTTTCGATAAAGCTTCTCATTTCACAAGCTTTTGCCTCTGAACATCGAAGCTTGATTTTGTTCAAGTTTTGATGATATAATTGGGGGAATCGATAGAATCAAATCTACAGATTGAATTGAGAATTTCAAATAATGATTTGCAGAGCTGAGAAATTGGTAGGGATGCCTCACAGAACAAGGCCGTTGATGGGACTGTTACTTTTCACGGGAATAAACGCGGTGTTGGTGCAGACCATCACTCCAGTTTATGACTTTGTCTGCTTCTTGCCTTACTGGGAGAGAAGGGTATGTTTGTTCTTACATTATCTTGGAGACATCTAATTCTGTAATTCATATTTTCATACAATGATTGTTGCTACTTGCTACGTTGACTGTTGAGACCAAATATGTCGCTAAACTGAATCTTTGATCTTGATAGTAGCATCTTGTCCAGGACAAATCTCTGTGGTTAGTCAAAGTAGCCAAATTCTCGTCTTTAAATTTTTAAGTAATAAGTCAGGTAGAATCCGAATTGAGTATCAAATTGTTCAGAATTCAGATGAAAGTGTGTTTTTTGAAAATGTGGTTAATGGTTGCTTGATGCTAACGATCTTATGGCTCTTGGTGTATCTTAGTTTTTGCTTAGATCTGCTTACTGCACTTTGAAGCTCTTATTGCAATCTGATGACTGCTAAGCTTATAATGGGTCATTTCTTTCTCTGCAGAGAGAACAAATCCGGCAGGAGCGTGGAGCAGCTTCATTCTCCAATGGCACAAACTCAACACATAAAGCTGCTCAAGCATCTGCTGGATGAATCCTCTCCTTGCCATTGTATTCATCGTCCTGTCGACATATAACGCCATCACTCATCCATGATCTTCCCCCATTTCATCTCCTCTCAACATTGATATGGTTTGGAACATTTTTTGCAAACCTTGAGATGTTTATGTAAACTTGACCCTTTTATCATTCAGTTATGATGTTGTGGAGAACCAATAATGGTCAGCCCTAGCCGCTACAGACCGATCAGTTATGCTAATATTCGCTTTAATTGACTTGCAAAATCACAAGTCCGAGTCTAAAGTGGTTTACTGTGCACAGCCCCATGTGGGAGTTTGGTATTTACTGTGTACTTTGTTCATCGACAAGCTTCGACATGCACTCACCTCAATGTTTTTTCTTTCTTCTATCTTTCATGTGCATAAAGTATAAGTGTCTAAACGATAGTAGTAACTTTAAACACTTCGAGTCAAGCCTACATAATTATAAGTCTTATCTTGTCTCTCTAGGAAAGCCTTTGAAAACTAAAACTGTTTTTAAGTCACGTGCCTTGAAGTTGAGATAGTTTTCATGTAATGTCCATTTTACATAAATTAGTTGGCCATGAATCGTGATGGTAAAAAGATAATGCCACAAATGTGCGTATATGAAACGAACCCATTTGGGAAGAGGTCGACGACATATGTCACGATTAGAGACTATCTTGATCTAGAGTTTTGTCTCGTTGACTTTAATGCCAAAATCGGACAATACATATGATGTATTAGGCAGTGCAATGCAATAATGTATCCATTCATTAATTTTTCTTACTAAGAGAGTAAAGTAGAGATGACGTGACAACTTGTCGCTGACAACCATAATGTTGGTTTTTTATCTCGATTTAAACCTTTGGTTTCGCATAAATGCAGTCGAGGTAACATTCGGTCTGATTAACTAGAAATTTCATCGATTTGGAATATCATGTGTATCTTGGGTTTCACGTATTCAATAGAAAATCTAGTATCCGCATGAATTTCGTCGATGTGTGTTTTCTCAAGATGTGTGCGTTTTGATTACGTAAAAGGTAAAGCCATGTATATATGTGCAATTACAGTAGAAACTCTATAAATTGATACTTGATAAATTAATAAATTCTATAAAATAATAAATTTTTTCGTTCCCAAGTCGGACTAGTGTAAAAATTAGCAAAATTCGATAAAATAATAAGATAATAATATTTTTGAAACCCTTATGTAAATATATGGTCTCATTAATATCATAAATTAATAACTACCTTAAATAATTTAATGTAAATACATATCTATAATAATATACTAAAATATAAGTATAATTTTCACTTCTTTTCTATTAAACTTCAAGTATATTTAGAATTCATCCCTAATTTTAAAATGAACCTATACAAAATATAAAAACTTTTAAAATTTCTTATTTTTATTTAATTTAATATTAGTTTAATTATTTTTTTAATAAAATAACTATTTTATTCAAGATCGATAATTTAATAACTCTATAAATTAATAAAATATCAAAATCCCAATTTTATTAATTTATAGAGTTTTTGGACTATGAAACGCGCGAAATTTTTGACTAGTTTCTATATATACTCTCACACGTATACTGTATACATGACTATATCATATGAATACGATCTTACGATCTATGTGCCTTACATGTGTGAACGAGTAAACAGAAAACACAGTAGCACAATTTATGATCTATGTGACATGTGTCGATTGCACCTTGCAGGTAAAATGTAGTATGAAAAGCTTTCAGGGTTTCATATTCTTAAAGAATACTATTTGAATGAAACGCATAGAATTCACTGAATTCAGAATCTAACAGAGGAATGGAAAAGACAAAAAAAACATTAGTAAAAAAACGATTGAAATGACCTAGTGGTCCCAGTAGTAAAGATGGACCGATAAATACAAAAGTACATTTCAAGTATTTTTTTTTTGGGTTTTGAAAGAACCTTGAAATGTTATTTTTTGTAACAAAGGAACCTTGAAATGTTATGGCATACACACTACTACTGAAAATATACAACGTTTTTTTATTTCTTTCTGTCATTAAGTTTTGTAACGTAAAAGGACAATAAATGAATTGACAATGAAGATAGTTAATGCGAAGAGGTAATTGAAACGGTGAATTAAAAAGTATAAACTTACCGGTGAGGTCCGTATTTGGATTGTTTATGTGAAGAGGGACCCTTTTGCAATTAAAGCCTGTACTTCTTTCATCTTCCTTTCTCATATCCAGGGAACACGACAAGAAAAACTACTGCGCAGTAAAACACTGATAGTATCTGAGTCAAAGAGAATTACTCTACGCATTAAATTATGGTACAGTCTTCTAGTTGAATATACCTTCAGTCATAAATTTACAAATTTAAAAAGAATTTATCTACATACATATTTGCCGACAAAAATTAAAAGTTTAAAAGAATGTCACTACATACAGAGTATTAGACTATTAGGTACAGCTTTTTAGTTGAATATAGATTTGCGATTTCTTTGAAAAATAATTTCACCGAAATGTACTATTTGTGAAGAAAAATACAAAAAACAGTTAAAAGTTGAGGAGTAAAAAAAGAAGAAACTGACATGTGCGATCTCCATCGCGCCTTTATTACCATCTCAACTCCTTTTTTCCATTTCTCTCCTTGGCCATCTCTTACGGATAGTGAAAGAGAAGCTGCAAATTTCCCAATTTATCATAAAATAGAAATTTCATATTTCGTACTAAATAATATTAAAAAACTCCTAACAAAAAATCTAAAATCTTCAGCTCAGGAGAAAGAGAGAGAACTGTGATCGATGGCGGAGGAGATGGTGGCCGATGAAGTTACGGCTCCTCCTCGTAGGGTTCTTATCATCTCCGCTGGCGCTAGCCACTCCGTTGCTCTACTCTGTATGTCTCACTCTTTCATCCTCTACTTTTCACTGTTTTTGTCGGTTACGGAGGTAAATGATCACCGGAATTGTGGAATCGGCGGCGTTAAAAGACCGTGTTCTTCACGGATTCACTTGATCTGACCTCTCCCAACTTGTTCTGTTAGCTTCTTTCGTTTTCCACTATCTTCGCTCAATGGCTAAGAGAAAGCAAATGATATGATAAATAGTTGAGTTGGATGTTTGATTTGTAACATTTTTGATTTTTGTTTTTTTTCAGCTGGGGACATTGTTTGTTCATGGGGTCGAGGAGAGGATGGACAATTAGGCCATGGAGATGCAGAGGATCGACCTTCTCCAACACAGCTAAGCGCCTTAGATGAGCATCAAATTGTTTCCGTTACCTGTGGTGCTGATCATACGATTGCTTATTCAGAATCACGTATGGAGGTCTACAGTTGGGGATGGTTTGTGTTTTCATCAAATTGTTTCTTCTTTTGTTTTGTTCTGAAAAGTGGTATTCACGGTAGAGATTGCTGTTGTTTTTAATGCAAAAGATTTGAAACTTTTTAAGCACTAGTTCTTGTGTAGATTTTATGTAGAAACTAAAGCAGACACTCTTTAAGCCTCATGTTCTCTCTTGCAGGGGTGATTTTGGGAGATTAGGACATGGGAACTCAAGCGACTTGTTTACTCCGCTGCCAATCAAAGCATTGCACGGTGTTCGTATTAAGCAGATTGCTTGTGGGGATAGTCATTGTCTGGCTGTGACCATGGAAGGAGAGGTTCAAAGGTATTTTTCTCTTAGTTAGCGTTTTTGCAATCAGTCACAGATTACATTGCAGCTCAGCCATATTACTTGTCGATGATTTTCATCAGAGTTTGATAATGTAAATGCTACAAGTGTCATCTGACTTCTCTTCTTTGACCTTTTTCGTATATAAAGTTGGGGGCGAAACCAGAATGGTCAACTTGGTCTGGGGGACACAGAAGATTCTCTAGTGCCTCAAAAGATTCAAGCCTTTGAGGTTTGTGTCGCTTTATATTTTGTTCTAATAGCATAATGTTTTAACATTATTTTGACAATGTAGTTTCCTGAGCTTACCAAAGACAATAAGCTTTAGAATTGGGTCAATGTTGGGTCCATTTCTGCAACTTGATCTTTTTAAAGATAGAGTGTTACTTAATAAGGGTCCACATCTGGTGGAGATATGATTTGAGTTACATTATTTAAGAGAGTGTTAACTATACAACTGTGACTTTTAATGGTTGCAGGGAATACGAATCAAAATGGTTGCTGCTGGTGCGGAACACACAGCTGCGGTTACAGAAGATGGTGACCTGTATGGATGGGGGTGGGGACGATATGGAAATCTGGGATTAGGTGACCGGAACGACCGCTTGATTCCTGAAAGAGTTACTTCTGCTGGTGTAAGCTATCAGACTCTTGTTCCTTATTTTTCTTTAAGCACTTTTAAACTTTCGTTTGAGATTCTTGTGACTTTTTACATTTTGCCTTTTTGCTTTAGACTTTTACTATTTCGGTTCTTGTGATTCTCGTTTTCATGGTTGTGGGAAATACAATTGTAGGGTGAGAAGATGGCGATGGTTGCTTGTGGATGGCGGCACACAATATCAGTATCCTACTCTGGAGCAATATATACTTATGGATGGAGCAAATATGGACAACTTGGACATGGAGACTTGGAGGATCACCTTGTTCCTCACAAACTGGAAGCGCTGAGCAACAATGTTATCTCCCAGGTAATTTACATGGATCCTAAAATTCCATCTTGAAATGCATATATGTACATTTAAACTATCCATCAGATGGGATTTTCATTTGGATATTGTTTTCTTGTTCAGGCTGCATGAATAAAGTAGTAAAAATTTCTGACAGATATTGCTTGTTGAGGAAGACTTGTCTCATTAATTGTATATGTTTCTGATGGTTGTATTCTTCTGGTTCAACATCTTGTGGATCTTTTTTGGTTATTTTTTTCCAGATTTCAGGAGGTTGGAGACATACAATGGCTTTGACTTCTGATGGAAAACTATACGGATGGGGTTGGAATAAGGTCGAGAATATCTTACCTTTTTCTTCTTTATTTAGACTGTATTTTTGGTAGGAATGTATAGAACACAAGCTAGCATCTGAGATTTGCATTCAGTTACTTTGTGCAGGCACTTGGACAAAGCTTCTAATTATCTGTCTTTGTAAGCATGCAGTTTGGGCAAGTAGGAGTGGGAGATAATTTAGACCAGTGCTCTCCTGTGCAAGTGCGATTTCCCGATGATCAGGCATGTTCTCTTACTATGAACCCTACAGAAATTTAACCAGACAGCTTTCGTTGCTCGTCGGCTATGTAATCATAAAATAATCAGCTCATTGTTTTGTTTTCTATACTAATACACACAAATTTTCGTGGAGTTGCACAGAAAGTAATTCAAGTGTCATGTGGATGGAGACACACCTTGGCTGTGACTGAAAGAAACAATGTGTTTGCTTGGGGCAGAGGTACAAATGGACAGCTCGGCATTGGAGAGTCTGTTGACAGGTAAAGTGTGAACAGAAATATGAACAATTAGCCATCAAAATCAATTGCTTTACAATCCCGTTCATTAACCATCATTTGTAATGTGAAATGTATATGTGGTGTGTCTGTAGGAATTTTCCCAAGATAATAGAGGCACTGAGCGTCGATGGAGCAAGTGGACAACATATAGAATCTTCTAATATTGATCCATCTTCAGGTAAAAAAAAAAGCCACTTTACTGTTCTTTCAATGACACAAACAAGTGAGCTAATATTTCAAAACTTCCATTGCTTTGTTTGCAGGCAAACTCTGGGTGTCGCCTTCAGAGAGATATGCGGTTGTTCCTGATGAAACTGTAAGTTTTTTTTATCTTCTTTGTTCCTCGGTAACTTTATCCAATACTTCACCTGCATGCATGAAAAAAATGGCTCAATTATATGGGTTTAACCACTGAATTTTGATATTCGTTTTGCTGGTCAGGGCCTAGCGGATGGTTCAAGCAAAGGTAATGGAGGTGATATCAGTGTCCCACAAACTGATGTCAAGCGTGTACGATTTTGAGTTGGAGACAATTCCGGTTTTTCTTCGAAGGTTTTAAAGTGATCTCTTTTGGGGTTAGGGATTTGTTTCTAGTACGTACGTCTGTCCAGTTTGGGATTGCTTTATGTTGTTGTTTATTAGTTTGTAACTTGTAATGCTTCCTCCTCTTGGCTCTTACTGTTTGGTGTTACAACTCTTTTTTTTCTCCTTTTCAACTATGTACTCTTGTGTTGGTGCTTTTTTTTTACCATAATAATGCCTTCTGGTTATATTCTTGAAAACTTGCGTTTTTGTCCACAAGGCAAGTTTTGTGTTGTTTTCTCTTACGTACGTTTGAATTAAAATGTGATATAGGATTGAGATACACTAGTGATGCGTTGGTTTTTGTAGTATGTTAGAAATAAAAAGTTAAAAATAAATTTGGTGATTTTACATACAAATATTTAACAATTTCGTTGATGTTCTGCGAAGATTGAATCATTTATTTTCTGAATCCGAAAAAAATAAGAATATCAAGAATTCCTTGGAAGTGATTTGAAATTTCATTTAAACACTAAAACCTAGTTAGCTAATAACTTTGGCGTATAGTGGAAATTTTCTGTTCAGTGATCATGATTCTCTTTAAAGCCAAACCATCCATATTGCTCTTTCTAGTGTTTCACTTTGTGTCTGGTTACTTTCTCAATTATTCGCAGTTGATGTCACTTTGATTCCATGCCATGTTATACCTTTTCCAGTTCCAAGTCGCATCCTTTAATCTTTCTGATGATGATTCTACATGTCTCCTCCACGAGTTTCCTTTCCCAACATTTTCATGCTCTCAATTTCCATAGCTTTATGACTTATGGTTTTAAAATTTCTATCACTAAACCCTTTATTCATTTGATAGATTAGATTGATACTTTTTATAAAGTATCAGTAAACAACACATGATATACATAAATTGAAGAAGCTTTTACATTATTCACATTTCCCAAATGCAATATAATCAATTTTCGCCACCAAATTTGAATATGTTAAATTTCTTTCTTTCAATGCCTTCTTCTTCAACACATGGTTTTGTTCAATAAGTAGTCTTGAACGGCTTGTAAACTTTAAGGTCAAGCATTACTCCGGCAACGGAGCCAACTCCGGCGACCACCGTGATCATTAAACAACCACCGCTCAACATCTGCAAACAAACCCACTTCATACTCCACCTCTCAACCTTCCTCTGCTTTATATACATCTCCACCGGGAAATAAACCGTCAAAGGCCAAAACCCTAACGCTCCCAAAATCCCAACGACGTCGTTGAAAAACGGCATAAGCATCGATATCACGGTGGTCAAAACCACAAAACACGACCTGAAAACCGATCTGAAAACGTTGACTTTGTACGGTGACCTAAAACCAGGGATTGGGATTTCGAATTCCTTGGTTACCAAGTCACTGTCTGGAAACCTAGCAGCGGCTTGTTTCTCGACAAAGGCGAAGATGGGCTGAGCAAAGACTTGGTAAGCTCCAACGAGATGGATTACAATGGCGGCGTTGGCCACGTCAAGAAGCCAAAACGGATTGTAGAAACCAAAACCGGTTAAGAGGTTTCCGGGAGCTGCGTCTCCGAAAGCGGCGTAGCCCATACAGCCACATAGCATGTAAAACGTCGTCGTAACGGCGATGCTGATTCCTGTTGCTTTCTTCATCGTTGTTGATTCCGCTGGTGGAGATCTTACAGTGTCCTAAGGAAAAACAAAAAAAATGTCAAATTTATGGAAACAGTTTTCGCTATATGAATCTTTTGATTTTACCTGAATTTCGATAAGGACAACAGAGAACGAATAAGCAAATGCAATGTTTCCAAGTGCTTGGAAGGTTCTCCAAATCTTCTGCGTCTGAGTCACTGTTCCGATGCTGATTCCAGTGAGACTTCCCTTGAAAACCCCATTTGCTGAAACCAGTCATAAGAGTCAGTTACACTAAACAACAATCTGGTTTGTTTGTTTCTTACTGCGAAGAATATGGTAAAAGTAATGTTTTTTTACCTGCGACCTGAATGATGCCGAGAGCTAAACCGATTCCAGAGTATGTGAAGGACATGATCGCAGCGACAATGGAGAGCCACCAAATCTGGTCAAAATCTTTGATCTGAGAGAGCAAGATCTCGGTCACACCAAACATGATCATGTATGGATTGCTCGACATGTGACACGGGTTTTTCCCTCCGCTCTCATGGAAACAGTTTGATCTCTTGATTGCCCTGCAAGCTCGAACAGGGAAAAAAAAAACAAACTTTAAAGGCTTTTTTGTCTCGTTATTTAGGTCTAGAAGAAACGAAAGACAAAGACTCTCACATCATGCTTATAGATGCTGCGATTGTGTATCCCACCGTGACTCCAAAGAGATTCAAGTACTGAATCATCCCACAGATCTTGAACCTAAATCCACCTGTCAGAAACAGAACATCTCAGAACACAGAACAGAGCAAAAACAGAGTATAAAACAGAGCAAGAAACAGAGCAAATGTAGAGAAAAACAGAGAAATGTTAGTTGATACCGAGGATAGATCGGACAGCATCCATGTAAGTATAGTTTCTCTTTCCGGAGACATGATCTCCGGTTCTGTAGCAGTCGCTGAGAAGAGTGGAAGCGAAGTAAGTGACACAAGAGAACAAGAGCATCACTACAGGACCTGCGATCCAACCGAGTTGACCTATGGCCCATGCCAGAGACAGAACACCAGACCCAATCACCGCCGTTATTATATGCGCACTCGCCGTCCAAAACGTCCCTGAAGAAGAAGAAAAAACGAAAACTTCGCTCATCAACTGATTCTTATACGTGAATCACTCCATTCATAGGTTTAATTTAGCTTTTTTACCTGATCTTTTAAGCCGGCCATCGTCGTCGAAACATTTGAAAGCTGGCCGAGGAACATCCATCTTGTTTTAGTAAGACGTAAAAGTTATGAAGAGACGCTAGTTTGAAATACTGTTATAACTAACGAAATTTTGGCGGTAAAATAGTTTCTACGAGAGAGTAATTTTTAGTACCTCTTCTTATTGATCCTTTTGAGGATAAGATTTAGACAAAGCTATGCACAAAACTAAACTTGAATAAACGCAAAAGAGAAAAAGCAATGCACAGATAAAGAAATGCAAAGGAAATGGGTGGTGAGAGCAATTGCTGCTGCGTTTTTATTGTTTTGGGTCATCATCTTATATAAGCCATCAAAAGTGGAGAATCTTTTCTAATTTCATAGAAAAAATATTAATATATAAAGGTAAGATATATATGAAATTCGACCACATAAGCCTTACACATTTATGTAATTCTTTATATGATATACGTATATGAGGCTATTAGCCATATATGTGAATACATTTGTTTTGTGATTTTTAATATGAAGGTAGGATTTATGAAATTTGACCACATAAGCCTTACACATTTATGTCATTGTTTCTATGGTATGCGTACTTTGTTTAGGCAATTTGGGGGTATCGAGAAACTTTAAATTAATTTGCAATACTAGAGATGGAAAAAGAAAACTACCCATTACTTTCGACATACATATTGCAAAAACATAGCATGTGTCGAACAATGAGTTGGAGAAAAAGCACTAAAGGTTTCTTCACCCATCTCTAATTCTCTGTGTATTAACCCATGATAGTACTTGTACTCTTCTGCTTATAACCATGCCACGACTCAGTAGATCAAACATTTAGGATTCATGAATCGCAAACTGAATTGAAAATTCAAATACTTAGTACTACTAATTAAATCAATAGATAGTGCATGTGATTTCATCCGTTATTATGTATTTAAATTGATATGTTTAGGTGCATAGAAACATGAGATAAGGAACAAGCAATAACATAAACATGAGATAAGGAACAAGCAATGACAAAAACATCACACGCGAATAATATAGACCTTTTTGTCTAAACGTTCAACATGTATTATACATGATGTATATAAGTATTTCAATTTAAGGGTTTGTGTTTTCTCCATTCTTTAGTGAAAGATACGTAAGAAAAAAAAGCGAATCAAATGCTTGTTTTACGTCTCCATGCCTTTTGGATACGATCTAGTCACTCATTATTCTATAGCAATTAACAAAACTCATTCTTATTTCAAATGCCTCCGAGATCTAAGCTAAATTAAGAATTAACGAGCTAGTGTTTATTTTAGTTTATATATTAAGAATTAACGAACAAAAATAAAGCGAAAAATGCATGATCAGGAGAGAATCGAATTTGTCATGCAAGTGCCTACTATTATTATCTGCCAATTTTATTTTAAAGAGTATCTTTGAACACTTTAAGAAACTTCTTTTGAATTCCAAGATTCTTTTGTTTTTATAATCACTACGTTCTGAAATATATTATTCCGAGATTCATGAACCGAACATTGTCTGGAAATATGCGGTTTTAATGTAAAGGGAAAATGGTCTTTAACTCTTTATATATACCTACAAAACCTAGGTAGTTACGTGACTCTTATTACACGAAAATTTGGCTTCTCATTTCACCTACACGAATCTAACATTAATAACGGCATACTTAAACCGTATTATGTAAAAGTTGCCTGATAAATCAAATCTAGTCCACAGAATCTGATATATTCTCGATCATTTTTATATTCACGACTCTAACTAAAATCCTAAAACGAAATGCAAGAATTTTCATGGGTTAGTTAGGTAAAAAGTAAAGGGTTTGAATATAATTATCATTTATCAGCAATGAAAGATAAGATTATATCCAAGTTGATGTTTTGAACAAAAGTGAAATGGTTATGGTTAGACCGGTCTGACTACTAGAAAACACAATTCGTTGGAACTTGGAAGTGTTGGATAGGATGTGTAACACCAGTTTTTCCGGCCCAGCCCATTTAGATCCGGTTCGTTTAAAACCCGGTAGTCCGACCCGTTTAATCTTCAAAGATGAAAGGAGGAAATGCATAACAGTTTTAGAAACCATGCATTATTGTGATAATAATAACCAAAAATCTAAACTTTGTATATATGAAGATAAACAACGATGCAAGTGGCTTGAAACTGTTAGCTCGTACAACTATTTAAGTCTAAATCTCCAGAAAATCATTACGAAAAAAAAAGTGGTGCAATTCCGTCGCCGGAAAAAGCACAGATATAGGCCACGAGCGAGAATGTGGTCCAATCAGAGAATCTTAACGGTCCAGTCCTGGTCCACTCTCACACCCGGTTTGCGAATAGTCAAGACCTTTGTACCTGAGGAAGCTACAAGCCCACCCATTCGCAATGGTCCCATCTCAATCTCTGCCTTTTGATTCAACGGTTCGACCAGTGCAGATTTCGGACCCGATGCGTGTCCCAAGAGGATAATTCTGTCGATCAAGCAGTGGGAAGAGAGGCTACCTTGTGGAGCCAAGTTCGTTGATGTAAGAATACCATTGGAGTAGACGAAGCGTCGGTGGATGTAAGAGCCTCTCCTGAATTCAAAGCTTTTGCCATCATCGATGTAGAGCTCACCATCTGCTTCTTGAGTACTGTTCAAAGCTACCACCTGAATCATACAAAAGTATCCAATGCACAAAAGGTTACAGACCGTTACCAACCATTTTTGTTCATTGATCTGCTATCAGACGATAAAATATAACGTACCAAAGTATAAGGATCATTGTCCATTTGGGAAGAGCTTCGTCTAAACCGGTCTTTCCTCGGGATAATAGTTCCCGCCCTTTGAAACGCAGGAATGCTTTCCTCCGGAGCGTCCATCTTGTATGTCTTGCCTCCAATGTATGGCTTTCCATTTCTCAGGTCAAACCATGATTCTTTGCCAGGCAAATATACTGAAGCATGTGTTGTTCCCTAATTGGCATGAAGACGATAAGTAATTATTATATGGCAGCTTCAATCATTACGTAAAGGGACAAGATGGCTAAAGTAGTAATCAGAAGGAAGTTGTTTTAAGCACTCGGAAGTACCTTAGTATAAACTCCTTGCACCAATAGACCATTACCGACCATGAAGGCTTCGTCGTTGCTAAAAGTAGCTTCGTCTTGTGGGAATTCCATCCATAATGGGCGTACAACAGGAACACCTGTAACGTTTGCTTCTCTGAATAATGTGTAGAAGTACGGGAGCAGCATGTAACGAGTGTGTATGGCATCTCTCATCAATTCTGTATTCCGTTCACTGAAACAAAATGAAATTGATTTGATTCGTATGAGAAAGTGCAAAGTTTATGAGCCAGCAAAACAAAGGCAGAGAGACCCCTGAACAATCATTGCAATACATAATAAATCACATCTTACCCAAACAACCAAGGCTCTCGTCTTTTGGTGTCATGATGAGCATGACCCCTGAAGAATGGATAGTAAGCACCCACTTGGTACCACCTAACTAGTAGTTCTGGTTCAGGGTTTCCAAAGAACCCACCAATATCAGCTCCTGGAATAGAAAGAAAGCTTCCATTAGATTTGAGAAAGAAAAATAAATAAAAGCCAGCACAATTTGAACAGATAATTTCCCTGTACCTGAGAATGTGATTCCAGTAAGACCAAGTGTCAATACCATCGGAATGGAGACTCTAAGGTGTTCCCATTCGGCTGTGTTATCTCCAGTCCAGATTGCTCCATACCTTTGAGTACCAGGAAAGATTGCCCTAGATAATACAAAAGGCCTATCTTTTCCTTTTTCACGCATAACAAGTCCATCGGAAGTTGCCATGTGAAAGTAATATCCATAAGCGTTATGAACTTCCCTGTGTTCAACACCCCCAACATGTAATGCATCCCTTGGCATAGTAACCTATTCAAAAAAAAACTTCAGTCAGTCTTCATCCCAGTGATAAAGGTTGTATATGAAAGTTGAATGTGGGGAAAGAATGAATCTTCTCCACGATAACTGATAAACCAACAAACGTAAAGATAAGCAACCACAGCATATATCTACTCTTAAGAAGTCACAAAGATAGAGATCCAATGTAAAACCACATAAACATGAGAGGGATCTTTAAATTCTTGCTTAGTGCAACATTTGATCAGTAAAAGGTGTCAGTTCATGCGCCAACCAGAGTTCAAACCTATCCATAATTGTGCCATAGGAAAACAAGGGACCATAGTCTCAAAATGAATACGAGAACATTGAGAGATATACCGATTATACAAAGACAATAAGGGAACAAGCAAAGACCAATCAGACAGAAAGTTATACCTCTGGACCATTGAATACGGAAGGCTCGTTCATGTCATTCCAGATATATAACGACGGAGTTGAACCAGCATAGTTCTTATACGAGAACCTTCCGCCCCACCAATCTCTAATCTGTGGACTCAACATATCAATGTAAGATGATGAACCAGGCCAGCACCAACCATCAAAGTCTTTTCCTGATGAATCCTTAACATAGTATCCCATCTGAGTAGCCTCCTTATGCAAGAAGTACGAGTCATCCCTCTTGATATGAGGATCCACAATGGTCACCATACGCCTACCCTTTGCAGCCAATTTCTTTTGCATCTCTTCCGGATGAGGAAACAACACATTATCCCATGTGAAGTATCTTTTCCCATCTGTGTGCTCGATGTCAAGCCAGAGAACATCATAAGGAATATCGTGTTCATCGAATTTCGAGTCCACCTGAGCCACATCCTCCTCGTCTTTGTAGTTCCACCTACATTGGTGATAACCAGTGGCAAACAACTGAGGCATGGCTGAAGTACCAGTCACACTCGCATACTGCTTCACAACATCCTTTGGCTCAGGCCCGACGAAGAAGAATGTATCCACAATCCCTGCCTCGCTCATCCATAATGTGTCGATCTTGCTCTGACCGGAAGGCAATGAAATACCACTCTCTGCATCCCATCCATTAGCCAACACATCAATCTGCATTTCCGCAGCGTTCAACCAGAAAAACCCGGAAGTTTTACCAGATTTTCCGTGTGAAACCATGAATGGGATCGACCCGTAAAGCCCAAATGGTGATTCATGGTCGTATTCGAATACATCTAGATTGAATAGCCGGTAGGGTTCAGATTCCGCAACTCCAGGACCCTTTGTAGGCTTCAAGGCGAAGCTAGTGGCGTGCTCAGGAATTCCGTAAACGAAACTGGAATCGTAAAACGAAACGTCGAAGCTAATCGATTGAGGACCAGATGGTCTCGAATCTGTATGAGTTCTAAATTTCTCCTCCCAGTTATCTCCGTCGGTTTTCTTCCCCAGCTGCTCAAAATCAAATAACCCATGAGAATTCAAAGACACAACGCGGCGGCGATCACCTGATTTCTCGCGCACGAACACCTCAAACGGTTCGTGCCGCACCACCGCCTCGTAGCCGTCCGATACGTCGACTACTGAAGAAGGACTAGCGTCTCCAGCGATCGTCTCCGTCGCTACTTTCTTCAGCCAGATCTTCTTCGCGTCGAACTCAGACACTACCACATCAGGAACTCTGAATCTCTTCTTCGGCGGGTTCAGCGTATGGTCCTCATCTATCCTCAGCCGCACGATCCCATCGGTGTAAACCGAGAGAGACAGAATCAACGGCTTGATCTGACTCCCATCGCCTTGATTAGGGGTTTTCGGTAAAAGCTTCGCTACGAGATCTCCATCGGTGATGGTAACATCGCTGACAATCAGAGAACACGCGCCGGGAGTACGGGATCGACCGCGTTTACAGAATGGAGTTTGGTCACAGCTGCGAAACTCCTCCTTCTTCCATGAAAGTACTGTTTGAGAGCCCAAGCAAATGAGTGATAGTACAAAGAGAAGAGATCTCATTATGATTCCTCGTTCATATGGAATCCTTAGATTGAAGAAGAAATGTGGAAAGCGAAAATATAACACTGAGGAAGACGATCTTTCCGGGTCGGATATATTCAACCCGCTTAGTAAGGATTAAATCGCACGACTAAAGGCCCATGTAACCCATATTCCGTCCCAAACCCGTTTTTTAAAAAACGGTGTTTTGAGTTTTCGGATCCGTCTGCTTCAAAGGAAGCCCTAATTTGGTAGAACGATTGATTTCAAAAGTTCTGAGAGATGATGCCGGAGAAGACGATTATTACATCGGAGACTTCAAATTCGTCTCCGTTAAACCCTTCTTCTTCGCGGATTATCTGCCATGTGTGTAACAAGCAGTTCTCTCAGTACACTTGTCCACGCTGCAACTTCCGTTACTGCTCTCTCCCTTGTTACAAATCTCACAGCGTCCAGTGTACTGAATCGTTCATGAGAGAGAATGTCGTTAATGAGCTGCAGCAAGTTCGATCCGACGATCAAACCAAAACGAAGATGCTCGAAATTCTGAAACGGTTTCACTCTGAGGAGGAAGAAGAAGATTGGGGAATTGATAGCATGGATGATGAAGGTTCGGGTTTGACTCTACCAGAGGAGATCATCCAGAAGATTCTCACCGGAGATGAAGTCAATCTCGATGATCTGAGCTTAGAAGAGAGAATTGGCTTCCAAAGAGCCTTAGCGTCTGGAGAACTTAGCAAATTGATTGAGCCATGGAAGCCTTGGTGGTTGCGACCTTCTGCGCGAACAATATCTCTCGGAATCGGAGGTACACAACTCGTCCAATGCGTTGCAGAAGAAGAAGAAGAGGAAGAGGAAGCTAAAATGGTGAGCGAAATCCCTAGAGGGCCTGAGACTCCTCTGATGTCACTAAGCAAGCTTAGCTCAACGAATCCATCTCCTCTCTTACCACTCCATTTGCTTGACATTGTATACAGTTACTGCTTCACGCTCCGTATCTACAACGGAGAGTGGGAATCTGATTCTTTAGGCTCAGCGACGATGGCACTGACTGTTTCGTCAGTATTGGGTCAGACTTCACAACCTGAGACCATCAAGGAAGTGATGTCCTTTTGTTTGGAGCAGACGTGCTCTTCAGCTTATAAAAACCTCGGCGGTGGACTGAAATTCGGATTGAATCTGGTCGACGATGTGGTTCATTTGCTTTCTCTCGGCAACGCAGCTCTCGTATGCCTGCTCTGTGATCTCCAAAGGTTGATTCAATGTGCGATACAGGAAGGTAAATCAGCTGGGCGTGATCTGAAGAAGAGACTAAAGTTTGCAGAGAGAAAAGTGTTCTTCATGATGTGTTGGGTCAATGAGCAGACTCCGGAAGTGTGGTCAGCTCTGGAATCATCGGTGATGGCAGAGAAGAACTCAATGGTTGAGCTCAACGATCACAAAGGGTTTCAAGACGTGAAGAAGAAGAGTCTTACCAGAAAAGGCGGTGTTGTGATTGAGGAGATAGAATGAGTCTCATGTGAAAAATGATGTTGTTATAGCTTGATGATGTGTGTTTATCGTTTTGGAATTGCAACAAAGAAATACAAACAAAAAAATAATCTCTTCCTCCTGCAAATGGCAGCATTTTTCACTTCTTGATTATACTTATACGACTGAGACTTTCCTTCTGGACAGATTGATCTTCATGGGATTGCCACCTTTCTCTTCGAAGATCACCAGCTCATTTCCGGAAGGTTTAAACCATGATCGAGGAACATGATACCTAAGCCAAAAACCAAGAATCAGATTTGAATAGAGATGTTAAAAACAAAAGATGAGAGCTTTTTATAAGTTTTACCATCTCTGAGAGGGTTCTCCACAACCAGTGTTGCATTTGTCAGGCATGAACTTGCCTCTGTAATCGCATTCTTTAACGCATTCGTCATTTGGAGAGTTCTTTCTAGCAATCCTGGGCCAGTATCTTCCAATCTCTTCGCCGTTTAGCCAAGCCATGCCTTTCCCCATACTGAGCATATCAAGCCCCACTGGTTCATTTCCAGAAGGTTGGTCTATGACAACCTAAAAGAAAGTTCAGATATTTTAGAGAGGAAAACAGAACTTCATCTTCTAAAAATCTTGGATCTTGTCCAAGAATGACGACATTACCTTATACCAAGTCAAAGGCTGTTTCTTTGGAGGTTTTGCAGTCACCGTCCATTTGACGGCTCCAGAGTTACCTGGCTTAAACAGACCTAGGTGCTCTCCTTGCACGCCAAGCTGCAAGAATTCATGGGAATGGTGTTGAGAAACTCGTTAAAGAGAGAACCAATTAGAGCATATGCGAAATGGTTTCAAGGCAGAGAGTTATATAACCTTGTAGGACCATTTGCTATTTGTCAAATTCAATGTGCCATTGTTGAGACCTTTGATTGAGACGCTTGTAAGTCCAGCCGGAACCCATTCGTAAAAGGATCCTGCATTCTGTAGCATAGGAAGTAAGTAAGCCAAATGCATGGTGAAGCAAAACCACAATGATAATTCCAAAACTTTCTGTTTATATAATTACCGAAAGACCAACAGTCATGCTAAGCAAATCAATATTGTTTTCTCCCGCTTTGAGAGGAACTGATTTCTTGAGTTTGAAAGGCACGTGAGTCCCATTCCCTGTCGCAGTTCCTATAAAACCAGTAGTCACATTTACACCCAACCAATTAGAAACTCGACTTCCGAGAAATCACAACAAACAGAGCTGTGGAAAGTACCTAAGTACTCCTTGTTAATGAAAACATGAAGAGTATGTCCCTTTGATTCAATGAACAGAACTGGGAGGCTTCCCTTCTTCAGGAACTCTTCGTTGCCACTGACTGTTATACTGCAACAGGTTGAATACTATCTGCTTTAGAGATTCTTTCTCAACTAACTTTTCCGTAGTATTGAACAGTAATACTTACCTTGTTGTGTACCAAAGATAGTCAGTTGTGTCCTTTGTGGTGTTGATATGATCAACAAGTTCATTTTTCACAAAGTCTGCTTCTCCCCAAATACCAGGCTTCTCCGAGAACACTTGCCATTTAAGACCTGATGAAGATTTCAAATCTTCAGGTAACATTTCCACCTTGGAGGACTTCGCAGTTACCTGTTGTCAAATGTTAAAAATCAGCTTTTTGTTTAGGTTGGCGTTTTCAGTGTGTTCTTATCCAAAATCAGCTTCTTCTTCTTTTCTTTTTTTACCTTTGCGGAGTTGAAAACGGCGTTCTTGCAGTCAGGAAGGATGCTAACTGACCAAGCAGGTAAGTCGTAAGACGTGTTCCGAAACACAGCCTTCTTGTCATTTTTATCATCCGAGTTTGACAGAAACGCAGCACAGCTTCCTGATGAGTCCGTGTACACATCAGCCTGAAAATCCAAAAATAAAACAAACCATCAGAAGGAACATTTTGATAGAAACACAAGTCTTTTCCGATTTAAAAACAGAAAATGTACCTCGAGTGAAGGGCCTAACGAAAAATTCCGATGCTCGCCACTGATGAGCATGTTTTCAGAGAGCATTATAGCTTTATGGAGATTCTTAAGATGTCCCCATTTTGGTAATCTAGGCAATCCTAAGAAAGGAAACAAGAAGATTCAGTTATTATAACAATGGAAGTATTAGTGATCTCTTTGTTACACAAAACTCACCATACTCATCGATGGGAGCTTCGTAGTCATAGCTTGTTGTGATGAATGGTCCTCCTGAAGTACGTCCAAAATTCGTTCCTCCGTGATACTACAACCAATTTTCAGAAACAGATTTAGTTGTGATGCAGAGCTAACAAAGTTCCTCATCTTGTAGAAACTAAGTAATATTATCATCACCATGTAGTAGTTATGAACACTTCCTCCTTTCTGGAAGAAACGAGCAACAGAGTAAGCTATATCCTCTGCTGGTCTGTGTGGGTCTCTGCCTCCAAAAGTCTTAAACCTTGAAGAAGAAAAGGAAAACTCTTTTGAGAGCTTGCCAACGAAGAAGAAGCTCCAAGAGACTCCAACTTTGTATATAAATGCTAAAGGGAACCAAAGACCAATCAACAACTTACCATCCAGGCCAGTTCTCAGTCCACATTTTTGGTTTATCCGGTGTGTTGGGTGTGAATTCGTCACAGTAAAAGCCATTGCAGGTACTAATCACAGTGGAAGGAGCGTCCCATTGCTGGCACATCATCCATGGAACACCAATGTTCTGTGAAACAGCCATAGAAGCAGACCATTGAGCATAACGTTTCCCTCCTTCACCGTAATCACGCTCATAATACCCATACTCGTTTTCCACCTAAATGAAAAAATCAAGAACAAACATCAAAACAATATTCTGAAATGAGTATATAATATGTTGTTGTCGATTTTCATATGATATGTATTTGCCTGAGACAAGATGATTGGACCGCCCTGTGGTGCGAAAAGCTTCTCTTGTTTCAACAGGTTCACTATATACGTAGTGAAACTCTCCATGTAATGCTGAAACAAAATTTCACAGAGCTTAAATGAAATTGTTCAAAAGTAACAGAGAACACCAAATTTCGGATATTGTGTTTGCTACTACCTTCCATGGCTCGTTATCTGCCCTGAAGACTGTTCCTGGCACATAATGCAGCCAAACTGGGACTCCTCTATAAAACCACAAGATTTTTCAATTACAAAAGTGACAATCTTTGAACTTCAGATCAAAGAGGACAGTTGCTATTAGTTTAGAATGGCATTACCCGTAATTCCACTCGGCTGCAACAAAAGGACCAATTCGTAGAATCATATGCATTCCAGCTTCCTGAACAATCTTGATGAACTTCACTATATTGTACCTTCCGCCAAAATAATACTACAAACCAACAACAAAACCGGATCTTGGTCAGCTTAAAGATTGATTGATTGGACACAAAGCTCAACAAACATTTGGGAGATATGTATTTCAACACATTAGAGTTGCTTATTGAACTTTTCCAACCTTTCCAGGAGATGGCTCATGGCCATTCCAAAACACATAAGACTCTATTGCGTTGCAGCCTCCCTCTTTCGCTGTTTGAACAAGCGATGGCCACATCTGCAAAAACAAAGAGATCAATTTTATCTACAAGAATATTTGCTAAGAGACTAATTCAAAAATACCATCTTTGAAAGAATTAACTAAACCCTCGCAAGCTCGAGACTTTGTTCGATTTAAAGTGAGTTAATTCAAGGAGGACAAAATCCAGAATAAAAAAGCTTCGAACTTTGGCATTACCAGACGGAATATCAAAGACTGTATAAGGAGCAAAAGGAAGAGGAAGTTACTAACAGCTGGGACACTTCTCGGATAATGAATGGCGGCAGAGATAATGAGCTGACGGCGACCGCCGATTGACAGAGAACGGTGGTCGTAAGTTACATTCGCCGCGGCAGCAGCTCTGAACGAGAAGAGAAACACCATCGCCGCCACCAGAATCGCCGGAGAAGCCATGCTTTTAGTAGTAACCCGCTTCATTTTTTTTGTTTTTTAGCTCTTCTTCTGTGTCTTCCTTGAGTGTTCTTGTAAAAGTCTAAAACCCTCTTTTTCCGATTGAGAGGGGGAAACAAGATTTATCCCTTTGGAGCTTCCAGAAATCTTCCTTGGTTTGTGTGCGAGTGAGGAAGAGAGAGAGTGACCAAATCACTCTTCAGTCTTCACTGTCGATTATCAGTTTATCATTAATTAGTTTCGTAGATTGTTTCTTATTAATAGAAGACTTTTTGCTTTCCAATATCGTTGTTAATACGTAGATATCATCATATATCAGATTCCATTTACGTGTGTGCAATGCATTATACATTTATAGGAAAAATGGTGCTAATTTTGTTGTCACTATATAATTATGCTATTAGAAGATTATTATATTTACTTGTTAATTAATTGTATCAGTATCAAATTAAGATACTATACACAGTAAGAAAGTATGGATCGAAGTTACAAGCAAACTATATATGATAAATTTATCCTAAACCTTAACAAACCATGATTTAAAGATGATTTGTATACATTCAATTCTCACTAGTGTTGAAAATCTCTCACTTCTCATGACTAATCACAACCGTAGAGTTTGATATTTCAAGATTATAGAAAATAGCAAAAACCTTTTTTAAACACAAATAAAAGAAGAAAAGATAACGCACGATGATCCGTGGCATGGCGTGGCGCTTGAGCAAGACATTCGTCATGGTCCATAGATTAGTGAAGAAGTAAAGCAAACTTAAAGAGAAAAAGACATAAGAGAAAGCGAAGTCGTTAGCCTTTTGTGTGATCTTCTTAACAAGATTTGACTTTACTACGGAAGGATCGATCTTTAACCCTTTCACTGTTCTCTTGCCACGTATTCGCGAAGACTTAACTTCTCACTCTTACGACTTACGAGTAACTAACAGCATTGGTTATCTTTTTTTCTTTTTAACGAATCTACAAATATTGGTTATTGGTTTGTTCTGTAATAGGTAAGTATTTTATTTTTACTTGGTCACATAAGGAAACATATCACATGCACACGGAT